TGTGGGTATAGATGTGAGTAAATTAAACATGAATCCACACCCTCAACCAGATTCAGACCCAGGCCCAGATGCACCCATCCACCCTCCCTCCTACTTTTTATATGTTCGATGAATTTTTATTCAAAAACAGATAGAAATACTTAATGAAGAAAATGTTTTTCAAACATACTTATTGCGCATAGAGAAATAAAGAACGTGATTAAAAGTGAGTTCTGACAAAGCAGATTATTTAACAGAATCAAATAAAAAAATATCAAACTAATCATGACTTATTCATTGACGTCAATCATTTATTGACGATGATAGTTGATATCTTATTTTCTGTTGAAACACGTTCGATGATTAATGCAAATTTTCATCAATTCTTCTTTCTCTTCATCACGTTCTTCTTCACTAAAATCTTCTGATTTTCTATAAAATTAAAAAAAAAGAAAACGATTATTTGAAATTTAAATTTCATTTTTTACTTTCGAAAAGAATGAATTCATCTGAAAATGAGCAATCATACGACCAGTTTTATCGTTATTGAAATCTGAAATCAATTTTTTGTCTTCTCTGCGACTTAATCTTCTTTAAAACACAATTTTTCTCTTTTTGTGATTTTGGAAGAAAAGAATGAGAGAATAAAGAGACAAAGAGATATATAACTAGAGAATAAATCTACAATTAGTGTCATTTTGTTTTCATCTAAGAAAAAGATTATTTTATCAGTTAACTAGTTTATCAAAAAAAGAACTCTTGTTGAATGATGTGGAATATCTACGTATTCGTCATTATTCTTCTGTTCATTCTCAACAATGAAACATCAGGTAAATACTTTTATTTATTACATATTGGAGAACAGCTATTGCGCAAAAATGATATTGTTCGTTAGAGTTTTAGTTGAACAAATTGGAATGAAATAATAGATTATAGAGTTTGACAGGAATTTCTATTTTATGTTGAAAAGTGATGATACTGATCCCTTGTAGCAGCTATGCGAGACTTTTTGTGGTTTGAAGAATGAGTGTACTTTAACTTTAAAAGTATAAGTGGAAATACTGATGAATAATATTACAGATATCTGAATTTATATTGATTCATAGTTTCAAAAACGAGTGAAAACTCGTATATTACTGAAATCTTCTCTCGATATCAAATTTATTTGTAGACCTTGAGACGAGAATGAGACACACGAGAAAGGAAAGGAATCTATTTCATCATCTCGCATGATAAAATATGGAAAAAACGATTAATTGACTTTTATAAATAAGTGTGCGTGGGTATGAGTGTAGGTGTTATTTTCATGTCAAACTCACACTCACACCCTCACCAACACCCATTCCCACACTTACCACAGCCGCACCTACACTCACCACATCTACACCCACACCCATAGCTTCACTTCGTTTACGGTTCTTTCCTAATATTTTATACATTTTTCTCGTTTTAGCTCTTTCATTCAATCAACCTAAGTTTTCTCCAACGCCCATTTGGGATTCTAATGGAATTACTTTTTCTAATCGATCGATTGTTGGCTTGAATCCTCTCGCCATTTTCGTGAATACAAACAACACAATCTATGTCGCTAATAGAGAAAATAACACAATTCTAATGTGGCATGAAGAGACTGTGAGCCCAACAAAGGTAATTTCTGGTAGTTTCACAGGGCCCCGATCTCTCTTTGTGACATCAAATGGTGATATTTATATTGATGATGGACTTAAGAATGGTCAAGTGCAGAAATGGATGGCAGAAACAGGTACCTTTGTCACAGTGATGAATGTCAACTCATCATGCTGGGGCTTGTTTGTCGATATCAATGATACTCTTTATTGTTCAATGATTGATCGTGATCAAGTAGTAAAAAGATCATTAAATGATTCTGTGATGGCTTCAAGTCGTGTTGCTGCTGGAACAGGTATTAGAGGATCAGCTTTGAATCAACTCGAAAGTCCTCGTGGAATCTTTGTCGATGTGAATTTGGATTTATATGTGGCAGATTCTTCGAATAATCGAGTTCAGTTGTTTCAGCCGGGAGAATCAAATGGTATCACAATAGCTGGAACTACATCACTAAATCCAACAATTACACTTCGTTATCCAACTGGAGTTATATTAGATGCTGAGAAGTATTTGTTCATTGTGGAACTACTCAATCATCGTATTGTTGGTTCAAGTTTGAATGGTTTTCGATGTTTAGTTGGATGTTATGGAAGGGGTTCACAATCTAATCAATTGTTTAGTCCATTTATTTTTAGTTTCGATCATTCTGGAAACATATTTGTTACTGATCAATCAAATCATCGAATTCAAAAGTTTTTATTGATGAAAGATTCTTTTGGTAAGCTGGAGAAAAGTTGAATAAAATGAGAAGATATGAATAGATAAGTAACATAAGTTAATAAAGACATTTCAATATAAAAAGTGAAAGAAAACAAAAATAATTGAGAAAGATTAATTAAGCCAATGTGTCTAAGGAAATGAACTGTTCAGATTAGACAGAGTCATGTGTGTCAATCGTCTAAGGCAAACAATCTTTACCTTTTTGTTGAGATTAAAGAATAGAGAAAGAAAAAGTTTTGTCCTTAACGGAGTAGTAGAAGGGCTTTCATGTTTAATTTTATATTTCGATATGTTTGATTCCAGAAAAACAAAATGTCACAACTATAACAACTAATTTTTCTTCTTTTTTTATGTAAAATAAATTGAGTCATTGTTTCTCTTTGAGAGAGATAACTTTTAATATGAAATATTATGAAAAATGAATTTTCTTATAAAGGAATGTTTGATTGATGATTTGTTCTTTCGATAGTGATCATAATATTTAATTGCATGGAGTAATATTTAATTTTTGAAGACAATCTACAACGTGATATATGAAATTGTTAATGAGAGATATTATATATTATTATTTCTATAAAAGAAAAAAGGTATTTATTTGATAATATGAATAAAATCTATTGCACTGATTTTGAATAAAAATATTGTTTTGTTTAATCGAATTCATTTCTTTTTCTTTTTATTGAAGATGCGTAGTCAATGATTAGTTTCGTTATAAGAGAATTACTTATTCTTTTCACATGAAAATAAAGATTTTCTTTTTTTTTATTTCATACGAAAAACATTAAAATCTGTAAAATACTATTAAGATTACAAAGATGAGATTATGTGTCATCTTTGATGAATCTTTGAAGTTTTTTCAGATGAAAAATCTTCGAGGAAGAATGTGTATAATGAGTGTCCGTAGAGCGAAAAGAAGACATTTTTTGAAAAACATAAAAATCATTTTTTATCTCATTTTTCTTTCTTTTCCATACAGTACTCAAACTAACGTGTAGTGACACTATTTTTTATATCCTCATGAAATCTATTAAGATAAATCGAGTCATGCTCCCAATAAAACCCTCAACTGAGATCACATAGAGATATTTATCGTTTTTCTCTTATTTCTTTTCTAAATTAACGTTAAATTTGTATCAAAAAGAAAAACTTCAGAAACTTTGAATAAATATTTCAAAGAAAGATCTGCGATGAGATGTCGGCAGACTTATTTTAAAAAAATCGCTTTTTTAATAAAAACATATCTGAGAAAGGCGAATAAGATGCTTAAGATTGAAATAAATAAATTAGATTCGTAGGAACTTCTTCTTTTCTATTGATTATTTTCTCTTCTAATAGATGAATTCTTACATTTCATTGTTTTCTTTAATACAATTTATTCAGCTCTTTCAGAGGATTTTTCAACTAAAATTAAACAAATTTATTTTAACAATATTTCAATTTACATTTCATGAAAAAACTGATAAAAATCATTCCTAAAATTAATGTTAACAAACATTCCTAAAAATCTTTATAATCAAAAATTTCTTTGAAGAAACTTTATTCTTCTTCTACGAATATATAAATTAACAATTTCATTTCGTTTACAGTTCTTCTCTAATATTCTTTCTATTTTTATTGTTTTAGCTCTTTCATTCAATCAACCAAAGTTTTGTCAAACAGCCACTTGGGATTTTAATGGAATTACCTTTGCTAATCGATCAATTGTTGGCTTGAATCCTCTCGCCATTTTCGTGAATACAAATATCACAATCTATGTCGCTAATAAAGAAAATAACACAATTCTAATGTGGCATGAAGAGAGTGTTAATCCAACAAAGATCATTACTGGTAATTTTAAAGGGCCGTCTTCTCTCTTTGTGACATCAAATGGTGATATTTATATTGATGATGGACTTAAGAATGGTCAAGTGCAGAAATGGATGGCAGAAACAGGTACCTTTGTCACAGTGATGAATGTCAACTCATCATGTGATAGTTTGTTTGTCGATATAAATGACACTCTTTACTGTTCAATGCAAGGTCGTCATCAAGTAGTGAAAAGATCATTAAATGATGCTGTAATTACTTCAAATCGTGTTGCTGCTGGAAATGGTACTGAAGGATCAGCCTCGAATCAACTCAGTAGTCCTCGTGGAATCTTTGTCGATGTGAATTTGGATTTATATGTGGCAGATTGTTACAATCATCGAATTCAGTTGTTTCAGTCAGGAGAATCAAAAGGTATCATAGTGGCTGGAAATAAATCATTAGATCCAACAATTACACTTGATTGTCCAAGTGGAATCATATTAGATGCTGAGAAATATTTATTCATTGTGGATAATAACAATCATCGCATTGTTGGTTCAAGTTTGAATGGTTTTCGATGTTTAGTTGGATGTTATGGAGTGGGCTCACAATCCAATCAATTGGACAGTCCATTTAGTTTTACTTTCGATCGTTCTGGAAACATGTTTGTTATTGATCAACACAATGATCGAATTCAAAAATTTCAATATATCGAAGATTCATGTAGTAAGTTTAGAATAATCGAATAAAGTCTTCAATATCATATCAATCAATATTTTTCCAGAGAATTAAAAAGAAAAACTATCATAGAAGACGAAGACAAAAATGAAACTTCTGATGGATTTTGAACTAAATTATTGAATAGTTAAATTTAAATTCCAAGTTTCATCCTAATATATTATTGTTATAAAATAAAAACCTTGCTTATTTATAATTTTCAACAAAAGTCAATTGATAACATTATCGTCATGTTAGTTGAATGATACACATGGAAGTTAAAATGGTTGTGTCTTAGTAGGAAAGTTAGAGATGAATTTAGCCCTTTTTGTTGAACTTTCTTTATGAATTTTCTGTGATTCACCATTATCTGCGCTCACTTACAACTGCTGAATGTAGAAAATAATGAACGCAATGATTTTATGAAATGTAAGACACTCATGAGAAGTAAAATTTCTCGCGTAGAATTCCATTTTTGAGAATAAAAAAGTTCCACAAATTGCTTTGAAATCAACAAAAAGTCATTTTAAATAGTTGTCCTACGTACTCTCAAATTGATAGATATAAAATATCTGTCAAAGAAAAATGATCCTATTCTCGACCGTTAATCATAACTCATAGTGCAATTATAGAGATTCAGAATATCACCTTTACTCTCGAGATAAGAAAACGATTATGTTATATTTAGAGTCATGATTTTAGTTAACCAACGAGAATAGAATCAGGATTATCACAAAGGAGTGAGATTTACACGCAGGTTAGTGTCGTCACAGAAAAATGCCAACAAAGCGAAGAAAGAAAAATTTCGATCCTTATCTGGTTATTCAAGACATGCTTTATTAGAGTAAAAAATAATTAAAGAGTCGCTCTTGTAATATTTTAACAATGAATCGAGTGTCACTTGCAATCGACACTTTCTTGATGATGTCATGCCATACTCATAGATTGACTAGAACTTTATGAAATAGTTTCATCAGATAGTTTATTTTATTATTATGTTTAGTAATATCGATAAAAAAAACTAAATTTTTGTATTATGTTTATACAAGACGAAATGTTTGAAGATAAAGATGATAATGAAGAAGTCATAAATTTGTAAGTCTATAACTTAACAAACTTTCTTAGTCTAGAATGGTACTCGTTTTTGTATACGAGATTTTATAACATTTCTTTGTTGTGATTATTACAATGTCTCTCGGAAATAACATACGGATTTTAACAGCCATCATCGATACTTATTGTAAGGACGTTAAATAGATATTTTACTTCATGTTTTTCTTCATTTCTCTATTGGAAGCATTGCTCTAAAGTAAACGATTCAACTCTCATTAGTAAACAGAGCGAAAAATAAACTAAGAATATACGGAATCATTCCTTTTCTTTATTGTAAATACAAATACTCATTGATTTTTTTCATTCAGTAGATAACTCATTACTAATAACTATGTATTCATCAGTACTAACCTCGAATAGTTCAATTTATTTTCAAGTTTGTTCAGAATTCGATTCGTATTATGAAGCAACACAAATGAACGTCACTATAACTGGTCGTTATACTTTTTTGATCAACAGCGAGATGAAAACCATATACGCTTATATCTACACAAATAACTTCAATCCATTCGATGTGACCGAAAATATGGTGAGCCGTAGTGGAGGTTCTGGTAATCAAGGTCAATTGAAAGTCACAGCTGTTCTTCAAGTCAACTTGACATATGTTGTCGTTATAGTAACATCTCGGAATTCAATGGGGAATTTTTCAATTCAAGGATCTGACCGACGCTATATCGGTTTTAATCGTATTCGTGAGTATTTATAGTATTTTAATAGATAATCAATTGCACTTATTCATATTCGATAAAAAATATAGATAAAATCAGTCTGCAAAATGATGTACAGATATTTCTATTCGGTAGAGACTAAGACTCATATCACTTCCAGTCGCTTTTGTTGAACGTAGCTGAGAGAAAGTAAAATTGCAAATTGTTTGCATTTATTTCCATATTATACAAAAATTGAATCGATTTTCTTTTTGTTAGTGAATACTTCATCAGCTGTTCAAACAGTTTATGCATCAAAATTGACAACGAACAGTTCAACGTATTTACGTAGCTGTGCAAGATCAAGTTCTTACTATCAAGCGATACAAGTGAATGTTCATAGAAGTGGTCTTTACACTTTCTTCAGCAAAAGCAAAATGGACACATACGGCTATATTTACAAAGATTATTTCAATCCATCCAACCCAGACGAAAATCGACTCACAGACGGTTATCAAGGCTGCGAGTCATTTGGGTTTAGATTCACAGTTGCTCTTAAAAATAGTATTACATATATATTAATTGTCACAACGTATCACTCCAATGAAACTGGTACATTCTCAGTCTTTGTATCTGGCCCAAACAATGTTGATCTCAAGAATATTAGTAAGTATTTGCACTATAACTATTAAATGAATATCTATCAACGTTAGCATGAGTATTTAGTTGAGTTTGGCATATCCTCAAATAAAAACTTGTTTTATAAGATGACATTTGTGTTATAAGAAGAAAGCTTTACAAAAATAGCTACGTTAAATGCATCAAACAACAGAATATTGCTACTAGGATCAGATCAATCACCTTCGATACAGACTCCTTTCAATCAATCACTGATCTGATGTAAATAATATACGAATCGGCATGAATCCCTGCTCATGACCATGAAATGAAAACACCTTTGCTTTTTGTTACAACATGTCCTATCACACAATGTTCCTATAATAAAAAACCGCTGCAAACATTTAAATATAATACATCGTAGATAAAAAATATAAATATATTCTTACTTTTTATAAAGCTAAAAAGTACCTTTGTATATTTTAATTTTTCAATAAATTATATTAGTAGCAGAATTAGACTATAAATAAACAACTTTTTCCTATCTCAAACGTTGGGATATTATCCTTTTTCGAAATAAAGAAGTTATTCTGAACTCATTCGTGACATACATTATCGACGGTTCAAGTACAGAAAAATGTTTTATATATTCTATTGTCACTCTCCATTTACTGCTTACTTACTTCATTGAGAGTGATATTATTGAGAGTTGTCTCTTCAGAAAACTAGGCACAGTTTTGACATGCCTTTCGATATTCAGAGTATATAAGAGACAACTTATGATGCTCAATCTCCTTCCTGACATTTAGACAATTCGCCTTTCTCTCAGTCAATCAAGATCTATCACGAATCTCGACTGTTATTTTTGTTTTCATCACATAGGTTCTCCATCAGTCATCGAAATAAAATATTCAGATGCTGTACAATCGGGCTATTCGTCAGAGCTAACTACGAGTAGTCAAACATATTCTCGAGATTGTCGAAAATCAAATTATTACTATGAAACTATACGAGTGAATGTCATGGAAACTGGATACTATGCTCTGAGTAGTGTTAGCAGCATGGATACATTTGGTAATATTTACAAAGATGATTTTAATCCAATGAATCCTTCCGAGAATCTACAGGATTATCGAAGTTGTAGTTTTCAAGATTTCAAGTTCATCGCTTATCTTTACACTGGTATTACATACATATTAGTGATGACAACGTATTCTCCAAATGTAACAGGAAACTTTTCTATTCTGACATCTGGTCCAAATAACATCACTCTTGATCCTTATAGTAAGTATTTTGTATTATTTTGTGATCATCATCAAATAATTACAACATACAACTAGACTCTATTTCCCTGCTGAATAATAAAAGATCTAAGAATTTCAAATAAATCATGTAATTCAATAGAATTATTGTTCAAAAATAGGATCACATCGGAACTTCCTCTTTTAGAAATTGGACGCTTAGCTTCCAATCAGATAAAATTAACTCTCAGTATTGTAGTTTAACCGTGATTAGATTGATTGTACGAGGTGAATTTTCTCCTCAAATAACGATATATTCCAAAAGGCCTATTCTTCAGTGATTTCACTATCTGAAATCATATTACTTTGCAGTCTTTCAAAATCTATGGGGTTCATATGCAGAAACATCTTTGTACAACTGAATAAAATCATCATGAGATATTAAACAGAAAATAGAAATGTAGAAATCTAATTTCGACACGACATATCATATATGGACAAATGACTCTGATAGACTATTGTTGCTTACAAATTTACTCCGATATAGTTCTAATAAATTAAGAAAGATTGATCTTATCTCTTGCTAATTATGACTTTCTTTAGCTCAAATTTTGACCAGTTGTTTCATTGGACAAAAATGTCAGTTTTACAAAAAAAGTATCGGTGTCATTCTCGATGACATTTTACGTGACGAAATTAGACCGAACATGGCATTGACTGATCAAACAATATTGATGAAAATCAATGTCGCTTTAACGATGATTATGTTTGTTGGAGGTTTAATCAATAGTTTGCTGTCTCTACTAACATTTCAAAATAAAGATCTACGACAAGTTGGATGTGGCATCTATCTCTTAGCATCATCAATTACTTCTTTTCTTACAATCAGCATGTTTACAGTGAAGTTTTGGTTTGTTGTTGTCACTCAAATGAATCTATCGATTCGTGTTTCTGTTGTTCGAGAAGGTTGTGTATTGATCGAACCTCTTCTCAAGCTTTGTTTATATTTAGATGCTTGGCTGAATGCTTGTGTAGCCATTGAAAGAGCGATTCTCGTCTTCAGAGGAGTTAACTTCAATAAACAGAAAAGTCAATGCATTGCTCGATGGATAATTCTCATCTTACCGTTGTGTGTCATGATTTCAATCATTCACGAACCTATATATCGAGAATTACACGAAATGAAGACAGAGACGAACAAAGCAGATATCGATAGATGGTGTGTAACTCGTTACTCTCCTTCTGTTCAACAATACAATACAATCATCCTATTTTTTCATCTTGTCGCTCCATGTATTGTTAATCTTTGTTCTGCTTTATTCATCATATTCGGATCAGCCCGACAACGATCAACAGCTCAAACAAGACGAACTTTGAAAGAACATGTTTATAATCAATTTAATGAACACAAACAACTATTGATTAGTCCGATTATCCTTCTAATTTTGTCCTTACCCCGTCTGATTATGTCAATGTTATCAGAATGTGTTAATCCATCAAACCATCGATTGTTATTTATTTTTGGTTATTTCATTTCATTTACTCCATCAATGCTTATCTTCATTGTTTTTGTCCTTCCTTCGCAATTGTACAGAAAAACATTTCGAGAATCATTCGGACGATGGCGACGACTTATTCATCAATAACCAATACTTCTTCATTATTTCAGAACTTTTCTAATTTTCTTCGATTTGATAATTGATTAACAAATATTGATCAAACAGAACATTTTCCATCTTTACATAGACTACTGAATAATGAAAGACTAACTTCAGATGTAGGAGAGGATTTATTTTTCACACTCACCCGCACCCTCATATCGACACGTCTTTATTCGCAGTCTTGGCTTCATAAGATCGATGAAGATATCAAGACAAAATCACACAAGTTTCCACAGTATTGTCACTGAAAAAAAGTTCTCATGGAATATCAAAATGAAATTCATCTTGAATATTTTAACCCAATATGAATATCAACTTTAACATTAATCTTGAGGGTGAGTGTGGGTATTCTTTTTCATTCATACCCACACCCTCAACATGAATCATACTATTTTATAGTATATTTTCTGACTCGAGTCGATACAGTTTGTGTTGTAGACGAACACATATGATGTTTATGATCAAATTTGCAATGATTTAAATTGATGTACCCGTTCAGGGATTCCATCCTCCCCCTAATTGTTAATCGATAAGAGACAATCACTATTTCTTTCCATTATTAAAAATATTAATATAAGAACATAAACGTCTTGTCAACTTTTTATTTTTTATTTTCGAGATGAGTAAATACAATACATGACAACATTAAATAACATGTAAGAGAGTATTGTCTAATGAATAAGTTGATCTTTATTTTCAGATTCCATACAAATATTTCTTTGTTCATATGCACTTAAGAAAAATCAGGGAGCATGTGGCAGATTTCTTGAATCACTTTTTTGTACAGTAGGAGTATTACGATGTATTGCCATCTGATTGCTCAATTGATGCAATGTTACTACCTGTGAATCCACTCGATTGTCTCGAGATATCATTAGATTTAATATGTTATTTCGTAATTCAGGTGTTATATGAATTGTTATCAAAGCAATAAATATCAGACACAATAATGTTATTAATCCAACAATAGCATAAGTATAAGCAAATAAATGTCCAGCAATAACTCCATAGATAATAAAAATAATAGTTGGAAAACGTAATATCATTAAAATTGATATTAATATAATAATACGTTTAATAACGGTTAAATCCCTTAAATTTCGTTGTCGTCGATTAATAGTAAGGTCTGTCGATGTTGGATGTGATGATTGACGAACATATAGTGTTATCCAGATGTAAATGATAGTAATGAAAATTAATGGAATTAAATAAAGAACCATAATGAGATATGTTGATGCATAAGTATCGGTATATGGAATAAGACAATAAGTTTCTGTTGGTAAACGAATGTACCATTGTAAAAATAATGTTGGAATAAGTAGAGAAAATACCAGAATCCATTGAACAATAATTAAAATATTGTATAATGAGTATGAAACTAAAAATCTTTTCTTATAAAAAACAACACGACATAGACGAAAGAATGCTTGTAAACAATAACTATAATAAATTGAACATTCGAATATATCATAAAATAATCCCCAGACATAACAAAAATGAATATCGTGAAGTAGATATCCATTAAATAGATTTGAACTCACCATGATAAAAACGGTAATACACGTAAGAAACGCAGCTAAACAAGTATTACATGTTAATATTACTGAGAGATTATGTAACTCTCGATGACATTTAATAACAATGATAAAAATCGATAAATATAAAAGACCAGCAAATATAGTAAGACACCAATTCGTTATTCCAAAAATAGTTGATGTATTCATCACTTTGCTCAATGGAAATGTAACTCTGAAAAAGATTGCGACAAATATTTTATTAACGTGAGACGTCAGGAATTATTCGTTACAATTATACACGCGATCATACGTCACGTTTCCTTATCTTATAATCTCTAAATGCAACGTTTTTAGTACGGCAGATGTTTTTTTAAATTAAAATCTTTATTATTTCATGATATATCTCCTGTGTGACAATACGAGATTAACATTAATATACACGAATTAAGAGAATGTAAATTCGATAGATGAGAAGAACGTGCTCAGTCAACTTTTATCACAAAGTTTGACGTCATCGTTGTTCGTGTCTCAAAAATCATCAATGACTTTGAGTATTATCTCATATGTGCTCAATAGTACAGATTAATTTGGAGTATAATATAAACAATGAGTTATTCAGGAACATTGATATACGTTAGTAATTACAACTGTATAATTTTAAGAAATAAGTACATTTATTTGATTATATCTTACACATATTAGCATAATATTGAGATGATATCTAAAATGGTTGAATAATTGTACAACATAAAAATATTCATTCTTTCTACAACCATTATTTTTTGTATGATGATAAAACAATATAAATTGATCTGAAGAAAATACTATTTTCTAAAAGTTAGATTAACATCATTGAGAGGAATTGTCATGCACATTTAAAATATACAACATTTCTTCATTAAAAAAGATAATACCAAAGTGAGAGTAATGTTTACTTTTTTTGTTGAAATACACGTGTAATCAATTACTGATAAGATACAAACTCATCTAGTTATATAGACCCTTTTTATTCTTTTTCTTTCTTTTATATTTAGAAAAAATAACAACAAAGATTGTATTTGTCGTATTTTACACGTAATATGACATTTCCACCCACTTCTCCGTTGACTATCGATGGTTTACCAAAATTTTTATCAATGGGATATCATCGTTTACTCGATAGAGCTACTTATACATTTGCCGAACTTGGCTTAGCTGATCGACTAACAAATGCTCTACCTAATCAAGGTCTTACTGCTCATGAACTCATTAATAATGACGAAATAGAATGGAATGCTGATATATTACATCGTGTATTATGTGCTTGTACTGATGTAGGTCTTGTTGAACGAGTTAAGAACACTATCGATGATAAACATTTCGTTCTCACTTCATCAGGTCTAATGCTTACATCAGATCATCCATCACATGCTCGTGATTATGTGAGATATTATTTAGGACCAATGTCTAGTAATATTGGATATCAGTTAATTAAATTAGTTCGTGGTCAATGTAAAGGTACGGGTTTTGCCGAAGCTTCAGGTGGTCTCGATTTGTATACATATCTGAAACAACCAGAAAATCAAGATTATCTACATCTTTACAATGGAGTTATGACTTGTTTATCCACATACACAGGTGATAAACTAGTAACAGGTGTAGATTTTGGTCGCTTTGAAACTTTAGTCGATTTAGGTGGCAGTCGTGGTACTTTTCTTGCTGAAATTCTTCAGCATTATCAAAATATTCGACGTGGATTTATATTTGATTTACCACAGTGTATTGCCGAAGTGAAGAGTGCTGATGAGTTTGAATCACGTCAGATTACTTCAAGTCGGTATACATTTGTTGCTGGTGATATGACTGATTCATCAACAATTCCTCAAGCTGATGCTTATATACTTAAATATATATTACATCTTTTCAATGATGAAATATGCGTGAATGTATTATCATCAATTCGTAAAGCAAATGAACAGCGTACTGACACATTACTAACTATATTTATTGTCGAACATATCATTTTCTCTGATGGAACGATAAGCAATTGGCAAGCACACGGTTTTGATATAGGTATGACTGCCTATGGTGGTGCACGAGAACGAACAGAACAAGAATATCGAGTATTACTTGAAAAAGCTGGATTTCGATTAAAAAAACTCTATCCAATTCAAGCACCAGATTCAATAATTGAAGCTGTTTTTGTTAAATGAATTCATAAAATGAAATGTAAGGGTGTGGTTGTAGGGCTGTTTTGTTTTTCAAAGAATTTATTATTATACTAAGACTCTGTTCATTTGTTTTGTTTTTTTATCATAAAAGTTAAAGTACAGTCTACGACAAAAGTTTAAGTTAATAAAGATTGTAATAATTCAACTGTTTAAATGTGATCAAATATATATATGTATATCTCATTTGGATGATAAACATAATTCTTATATATTTTTGAAATTGGAAAATGCAGAAAGTTTATCAAAGACGCTTAAATATTTCCTTAACAAAAACAAATTATTAACTGAAAAAAAGAAGATTTGAAATTCTTTTTTGTGAAATAAATTGACATTAGTATATATATATTCAAATATAATATGTATGCCATATTATATATCATTACCGTAGCTACAGTTTTCAATCCAATATTTGATCACTTGCTTGTAATTTATATATCACTATAACAGAAAACTATTACACCTAATTACACACCATTATCGATAAAATTGTATTCTACAGATTGACATTTTCTCGTTAATAAATATCTCGTAATTGAGACAATCTTCGAAAATGCGAATACTGCTTATAAAAATCTCAAAAAAGGAGTTTGTATCGCATTATTTAACGCGAATTTACTGCTACAAACTAAACAGCAGTTTGATATCGAACACATTAGATTACATTATTTCCTCAACATTTTTATACCATAAACAAGAAAACTATTACTGATATTATAAATTATTCAGTTCTATCATGCATTTTTCTAAATTTACTGAACGGATAATACATAAAATTAAAATTATAAATCATTATTTATAGTTTTTGTTTTAATTAAATTTTAATGCATCAAGGGCTTTGACGTACTTCCCGTTTTATATGAAAACCATGTACTTATTCCAGTGCAATTTATATTATGTCCTTTTTTTACTTACCTTGCAGTATCGTCATTTATTATATAAACTCTATCAGCCACGTAAATATATTTTTCTTTTTATGTTTTAGTCAGCTCCATACTCGAGTTAGGTAATTATTTATTCTAATAAAGATAAATATTTCTACGTAGAAAAAAAGATGTTTAAAAATACATCAACTATATCAGAATAGTTAATCAACTATTCTATTTTCGAAGGCAAATTTTTACTCTGTTGATAAAATGACATATTCAATTAATGTTATTTTTATTTCTTTCATGTCCGTAAGAAACAAATTTACCACCTTTTACGTTGTCAGAAGCAGAAATTGATAGAAGTTTTATCGCAAGAAATATATTTGATACAAAATTATATTTCAGTTTTAATTAAGTATGTAACAATAAAAAGAAAAGTTGCGCAATATAATCTTTATATTCATTTAATACAAGGGCCAGTTTCACTTTCTAAAGAAAGAGCATAGACTAGGAAAACTAAATAGAGACATTGACACTCAAAATAATTTATCTCCATTTATTTTTTTAAAAATATCCTTTTGAATATTAAAAAGCAGAAGAGAGAAATCTTTGAAAGATTTTTCTAATAATTTCATAGTAGTTTTTATCTGCTATTCTATTACATCGATATTTGATAAGACAACGATTACGTTTAATTTCTCATATTTAGATTCTACTGACAAACATACATACTAAACGAATCCTAATTATATTTCTATTATGTCATCTACTGATGCTACAATCAATCAAATAAATACAGCTGTAACAACAATCGTCCTTTCTTTATCAATAATCAATTTTATATTCGGTGGAATAGGTCTCATATTCAATGTTCTTATTTTTACACGACCCAGTTTGCGTGGTGAACCATGCTCACTCTATTTTTTATTTTCAACATATTTTAATTTATTTTTTATATTTGTAATCGTGCCTGTACGTGTTGTCTCGGAAGGTTTCAATTTGGACTTGGCTAATTTCAATTTAGTAATATGTAAAACTGAACTTTTCACTTTCTATGTTGCACGAACAATACCATGCTGGTTGATTGCTTTCGCGTGTGCTGATCGATATTTTAAGAGTTCAACAATAATAAATATTCGTCAAATTAGCTCATATAAAATAGCAAAAATTGCTATAGGAATCATCATCATCGTGATCATCATTTTGTACAGTCACATGTTGATTTTCTATAACATAAGCTATTTATATGATCGATTTGGTAATCTGACACCGGCATGTTATGGTCAAAAGGGTATTTATCGTACTTTCATTGCATTGTGGGCTATGCTTTTGTATTCACTCTGTCCATCTTTAATAATGCTTATCTTTGGTTCTCTAACACTCAACAATTTGCGTCGACATCGTGAAGTTATTCCAAGGGTTCCTCGTAATAACCATACTATTCGACGTACGGATGCCCAGCTCTCACGTATGTTAGCGCTTCAGGTATTGGTAATTGTGATTTCTACTTTACCATTTTCTATATATCGACTCTATGCATCATTTACCGTCAATATAACTAAGGATCCTCTACGACTTGCTATAGAAAATTTGGCTTTTGAAATTGCTAATATGTTAACACAATTTGCTCACTCGACTAGCTTTTATTTATATACACTAACAGGTACCATTTTTCGTAAGGAATTTTACAAGATTATTCGACGACATCGACATCAAAATCGAATTGGTTTTACTAGGGCTCCAGATGGAACACGTCAAATATCAATTATGCCTAACCATCGATAATTCACTTTCATTCGTTATGATTCTGTTTGCTTAAATTAACTTCTTGACAACTTCTATAAATATTACGACAATTCATGATTAAAAGATCTATTACATTTTATTTTAATTAAATAATCTCAATTAAAAAAATGAAAATTTTTGATCATAAATACTTGATAATACTCAAGTTTTTAAAAGAAGTCACATTCAGGCAGTCACTAATGTATTATTACATAGTTTTTATAAAAATAACTATTCATTGAGACGCCCGATGTCTTATTAAAATTTTTCTTCATCTAACAGATAAAGGCAAATCTTTTATTATGAACTATTAAATATGTTACCTGAAGCTTATAAGATGTCTGTATTTGATAAGTTGAGTTGAGAACAATTTTTATATTAATTATTCTAGTAATATACGAAATTTCATTTTTTTATTTAAAATACTTATCTCTTCGTTTGATAGTCTCATTAATTACCCAACATGGTTTATTATTAATATAGGTTTATCGACTTTATAAAAATGTGCTTCATCATTTGCAATCAAATGATAAGTGTGTTCATTGTATACATACTTACACCCACTCTCAAAATAACTCAGAATATCTTTCGAGAAACAGCCGATGCTTATAAATATGATAATAAAGCACGACGAATTGCTTCATCATTACTCGAAACTTTTACTCTCTCTGACCTTTTCATTCAATTTCTTCTCACATATGCAAGCAGTAGTATTTTAAATTTACAAGGTGGTCCAAGTCAATTTCGCAATTTTGTTGATTCACCAATCATAGCAAATACAAGTGGTTATTTAACTTTAACTTTATTACCAGAATCAATACATACAATTTGATTATTAAGCTTTTTTGCAAGATAGCCCTGTCATATATATACAGTGTTGACCTGTCTGATCGGGCAGTCTAGGCAAGACAGATATGATATAGCCGTATATTATTGACTAATAATGAACTTGATTCATAACACTATACAATATCTATGAAAAAATTGATGTAGGCCATTGTTGTTAAGATGAATATCGAATCATTAGCAAATGAAATTTTACTTTATCTGTTCGATTATTTTGATGGTATCGATCTTTTTCATACATTCTATGGACTCAATACTCGTTTCAATTTACTTATCTGTAAACAATATTCATTACATTGCTTTACATTTTGCGGTATAAAGAAAAGTCAATTTGATGAATTATGTCAACAACATATTCCACGTCTTACCAATCGAGTTTATGGTCTTAGCTGTGCTGAAGATAATTGCAATCCTGGACAAATGGATTTATTGTTTACTTATATTCCATCATTTGAACAATTTAGTGGATTACGATCATTATCATTACAAAATATAACTTCGTCTGAAACACTAATAAAAGTTATTCAAGAATTATCATATTTGTTAAATCTCATGCATTTAACCATTAATTGTTATTCTGCCCGAAAATATGTCATCAATTTTCAACTGATGAATGATACTATTTGGAGTTTGCCAAAACTTCGTATTTGTTCTTTACATATTTTCGCTATGGGATCAAGAAACTTTTGTATTCCAACAAAAATATCAGCCAGTCTTCAATCAGTCAAAATGACATCATTTCAACTTGATATTAATCAGATAGATCAATTAATGAAAAACACTCCTCATTTGAAACATCTATCAATTTATACTGAGATTTCCAGTGCTATGAATGATGATTACAACTTACCCTCTCTTTCGACTTTAATCAATTTAGATATGCTTGTGTTGCATACATTTGATTTATCGAAAATGGTTTTATTCTTGAAAAACCTATCTGATCTACGTCATTTAAATATTAGATTTAGTAATAATATGATTAATGGTTATGAATGGGAACAAATCATTCGTAATTATCTTTTCAAACTAAAAATCTTTGAACTTGATATGCACGATGATATTCCGACAAATCAAAATATTGAGGATTACATCAATCAATTATTGGATTCGTTTCAAAGTTCATTTTGGATTAATGAACATCAATGGTTCATTCATTCATATATAGTTGATAGAACTATTCGTTTGTTTACATCATCAAAATTTCCTTCTTATTATCCTGATCAAAAACTTCCTCGTATATGGAAATCAACAGATCCTTTATCGTAGTATAACTATGATTAACGAAAACTTTTTTGAGCAACCCATGCCATCGGACATTTGTTTATCGAGAATTGATTATATTACTATAAAATTTCCTCTCCATGATCAATTTTGGTCTGCAATATCAAATTTTAATTGTTTACATGCAATAAACGTTTTATCTTACAACGATGCTTATCAATCAGAATTGCAAAATTTATTCGATCGAGCACCGAAATTTCGTTCTTTACGTATCAATCAAGACGATTCATTGCCACTTCAAACATCATTATCTAAGTGTATAAATCCTTCAAGTCATTCTCTTAGTTTTTTCAAAATGAATCATTGTTTAAATGAGGAAGAATGTTTGTTATTTTGTGATTCGCCATTAGGAATGCAATGTGAAACATGTACATTTAATGTTGAAAATCTTCTTTGTATTATAATTCTTGTCAAAAATATGATCAATCTTCAAGCATTACATATTTATTGTCAAGAAATATCAGCAGAAAACAGAGTTGAAGTTATTGAGTGGTTGAAAGATTATCTACCATCAACATGTTTTTGTTACGAAAGATCCAGTTCTACTAATGGTATTCGAATATGGATGTAACATTAACAGATAAAATTTGTTTGTTGTTGGCTTAAAAATAAATAAATATTCCTGGCTAAACTGCTAAAATTGATGTCATCTATTTGTTCGAAAATGTTTCATATGTCCTATATGTGAGGATGTGAGTATCTATCATCTCATAATCTACCCATACTCTCACTCACCCCACACCCACACCCATCTTCATCGTCTCTAATCTGCCTGTTTCATCAGTATTGAAAATAGAAATATATAGAAGTAATCAAGTTTATTAGTGAATTATTTCGAATAATAAACTAACTAAGTGAAAGCAAAAGTATAGTTAAAAAATATTAGTAATGAAGTCTGATAAATAAAAAAATAAGTGGAAATCGTCAAATTTATCTTTTAGTTAATAGTAGCTTTTTCTGTAGCACATCGACCAAAATTTTCTGGTGAATACATTTCTTCTGCTTTTGCTGGTGGCATGATAAATGTTCCGGCACATGTTGCGCGCATAACATAACTCCATTCATAAACACCGGGCCATAATAATGATCGAAATGCTTCAGCACGTTCATCACGTAAATTTTCATGTTCAGTCCAACCAGTAATTGAGTTTGAACAACATCTAGATTGATTTGATCTTGTAACAGATGAATCTGTATCACCTGTAATTGTACCTTTCAATTGTGTATTTAATGCTTCACAACCAGCAGGTAAATAATCAACTAATGCAATATGATATCGTCGTTGTGTTGTTGTCATTGTTAATATAACTTTGATTTTTTCACCTAATTTAAATTTCCATGTACCATCTTCTTGTTTTTGAACATGTGACGAATCATCAACAGCTACATATCTTCGTTCAATCTTAAAACCATAATTAACTGCATTTAATTGTAAACTTGTTGGTGCATAATTCAATGCAATACGATAATATAATCGACCTTGACCATCTTTTTGCATGATTAAATTCTTATCATTTGATTGTGACAGAATAAATTTCATTGGAATATCAACTGTATGTGTATTTGTTGTTCGACCTTTATATTCATGTTGACCACAATAATCATTATTTAACCAAATATTTGCAATAAAATCAGGTATATCTTTTTCTTTAATATGAAAATATTTTTCTAATGCAAGCAATACAAAACAATTTTCTTGTGTTGATTTCCATGCACCTTTAACTTTATGTGCTTGTAAACCTTTACATAATTTTGTACAAAGTGTTGATTGTGGATCAATATATAATAATGCTTCTAATAAGATAGCATCGGTTCTTTGATCAGAATGTAACATAACAGATTGACCATCATCACCATAAGATGTTATAAAATTGGCTGTTTCAGCAGTTTCACTTACTTTACCTTTGATATGTTTATAGATTGTCTCAATTGATTGTGTTGTTGTCGCATTTTTCTCAGTAGATAATGCAACTAAAAGCCAACCTAATGCTTCTAAACTAAGTTTATTAAATCCACTTCGTGTAAATAAGTCAACTGCTTCATTTGCTACATTTTGTGATCCTTTTGCTCGTACATACAATGCATAACTCATCAAACTAAATCGAGTTATTTCAGACCAATATTTTGCATATAATAATTGATTTATTTCAGATTCAATATTTGTTACATATTGAAGTGCATTATTGAACATATTTCCATCAATATCACATACCTTTGAAAGAAAATGAAATAGTCATCATGAATGTTTTTCTTATTGTTATTTACCTGTTTATCCGTAACAACAACCAAGCAATGTGCAGTATGTATACTGACAAATGGATCCGCATTTGTACCCTCTCGATTTGTCCAATAACCAAAACCACCATTTGAATGTTGACGACCTTTTAATGTATTCATATCTGATTGTAGTTTTGTTCTTATTTCTGCTATATCTGGTAAATCTTTACATTGAAATGCTTGTAAAATATCCCATAATGCTTGAACACCTAATAATCTTGAACTTAATTGTTCTGTACATTCATATGGATATGTATACAATGAAATAATTGCATCTGTTAGTGATGCTAATGCTGTTGAACTTGTTGAAATTGATAATTCACCAAATTGTGGAATAACATTTTCAGGTGTTTTAATTGGTTGAAACACAACTTGTTCTTCACATACATCACCGTAGGTTGCAAATGCTTCTGATGTTGCTGGTGTGAAGACAGGTACACTTAATTCAATTGCATCACCAAATGATGCTTGTGATTCATTTGCTAGAGTACTAACAATAAATTGAAATCGAGCAGTACCTGCATCAATTGTTGATAATGGAAATTGAAGTGCAGCTCGTTTATTTGCTTGAAGTTGAATGGCATAACCAACAACTTGTTGATTGGCGTTTGCACTAGTTAATTTTGCATTTGTTGCTTTTAAACCAGCATGTAATAATAATGGTAGATCAGTTTGATTTTGTAAAACAACTGAAAGATTAGCTGTATCTCCATAATTAAGAAATCTTGGTGGTGAAGGACGTATCATTACTGGTAATTGTACAGTAAATCCCATTTCACCTAAACCATATTGTTGATCAGTTGTAGCTATAGCCCAAACACGATAACGTGTAAGATTATCAGGTAATTTAAAGTCGAATGAAACTTGTCCTGTTGAATTTGTTGCTGATGATGGTACCCAACATGCTAATGGATTAAAATTCGATCGAACATTTATTGTTTGACCAGCATCATCAAAACCACCACCACCAAAACCTCCCCTCATACAAGCCATTGGCGCCATAGAATAACATGCGTTCATCATACGCGACTCCATACATAGACTTTGTTCATTTAGTTGTCGCATTTCTTTTTTAAATTGTTCGATATCTTTCATATTGAATAATAAACAACGATTTCTACCATGATGTTGTACAATAGATGCTGGTCTATTAGGATAAAATATATCTAATGGACTGGTTAATTTGTAATCAGTTAATGATAAGATTGCTTCATCAACAACAATTAGACAAACTTCTGCTTGGTTTACAGGTACTTTATCTATAAACTGTGTAACATCAACATCAATATGAACAGTTGATGATGGTGTATAGGTTTTCTGTGCATCTTTTGTATTGATTGAAATATTTAGTTTATAAACATCTCTTGAAACTTCTAATGTTACTGAACCAACAGCAATGGCTGGGCGATTAGGTGCATTGGCTACTTCTGTTTCCCTTGGCATTGAACCTGTTAATTCAATATGTGCAGTAAATCCTGGTATCCACTCTTTTGATATTTTAAATTCAACTGTTGCTGAATCTTTTCCAGCTTCAACTTGAAATTGTATTGGTTGTGAAACTTGACCTTCACAATCGAATAGTACTAGACCATGAGCTGGACTAAATGGTGCTAAGACAAGTAATTCACATGTATCATCTGGTTGATAATTTGTTGCATTTGGTAAAATTGTTAATGTATCAGTTGGAATATATTCGACTTTTTGTCTTTCCATTTCTTTTCCACTACCACCAGCAACATAAATATTATCATAGAAACTCATTGCTGATTGTCCTTGTTCATTTTTGACGGTAAACGATATATTGTATCGTCCACCTAATTTTGGTGTAAATTCCATGTTAATGGCATCTTTACTTGAACTAGCATTTGTAACTTGTTGTTCATCTTTGATTTCTTCATATATTGTTAAACCATTCGCATCTTCTTTTCTTTCTTGACCAATACCAACTATGTTACATTCAATTGAAACATTATCAACTAAATTTCCGTCAACATCTGTCACGATAACTTTGGTTTTTATAGGTTGATCTTTCTTGCCATAATTATTAAGTAATTGAAATCCAACATAATATGTTGATGGATGAATAAGAAATTGTGTTTGTGTTTCTTGTGTTTGATTATTTAAATCTGTAATAGCTGCTAATGCACGAACCATTGTTGGTTTTGGTTCTTTTTCAATACCATGATAACCTATTTTAATTTCATGCGTACCTTTACTGTCAGTTTTACCCTAAAATAAAAAAAATAATAGTGTGTGTATGTTTATAAAAATAAAATGTTTGATGTTACCTGAAAAAATTGTGCAGGATATGATATTTCATTGTTGTTATTGCTACCATACCAAAAGAAGAATGGTCGAGCTCTACCAAATGTATAATCAGATCTATTCGGTGGTGTATATGTTGTTGTTTCAGCACTAACTGACCATTGAACATTGGCATCAGTTAAAAAACCACCAGCAAATAGTTTTCCTTGACAACTAGCTATAACATGTTGATCATCAGTTGGATGACAATAATGTACTGTTGATGGTCGAGTCATTGATGAAACTTCATATTCTGGTCTACGAAACTCTTGAATTTTGAAAGAATGTGTTGTTTGTGTTTCTAAACTTGGTAAATTGAATGTTACCCATCCATCACCTAATAATAATATGAAAGTTATTTTAAAGTAGAAACAAATCTTAACATACCTAAATTAACATTATCAGGTAATGTAAATTTGATATCAAATGCACCATAATTATTTAATTCAACTTTTGATTGTTCTAGTTGTTGACCACGAGGATCAGAAACTATATACTCAATAGTACCTTTTGCATAAGTTGGTAGTTTTGCATCACCTTTTACTTCCAATAATCGAACGTATCCTTTAATATGTACTTCTTCTTTTGGTTTATATAAACCTCGATCATTAAATACATGCCATACATAAGTATTAACATTTGACGCATATGAATAGATATCAGGTAACATACATAAATCATCATTCTTTTGAACTATCAAGATTTGTTCTCGAATAGTTTGTTCGTCATTATTTACTGTCGTATCTTTAGCAATTGTACATAATCCTTGATTATTGGTTTCATTATTCTTGTTTGATATAGAAACCGTTGCTTGATGAACAGGTACACCAGTCATCAAGTCAGTCACCCATGTAGTTAATCGCGCATTCGGACCTGTAGACGCTGATGAGACAAAGACATCAACTGCTAATCGAGTGCATTGTAACCAAGCTGATACAATTGGTTTACGTTCCCACTCGTTTTGTCGGCATGCAGCCCAGGCTTTGTCTGTTGGTTCAATAAAAATAATTAATTGTCCTACACCTGATTCTTTTGATAAATAGGTTTTCAATGGAATTTTCATTTCTTTAGGTTCATCACGTTCACAATTTGTTTGCACAGTTTCATTGAATAATTCTTCACCGGGCAATTCACGATTTGATTCTTCTTGTCCATTTCTATAAGAATACTGTTGAAAACAAGGTAAATCTTGTCGATAATGTTCTGGTTTAACTTGATTAATGCGAAGTATTATTTCAGAATAATTATAAATCAAAAATGGATAAAATGCATCATCTAATACACCAGGATCCATTATAATCATACCTGTTGCACCCGACAAATGGCCAGCTAATGGTGGTGAATCATGTACATGAAATTGTATTGGTTGTTCAGTAAAATCATGTTCCAATGTTTGACCATGAATATCTTTTAACACTTCTGTTTGTATCGTCAATGTATAAACAGTATTAGGTTTTGAATTATTATGTATGGTTATTTGTCGATCATTGTATTCGACATGTTCAATACCTAATCCACTAACTTCGGGTTCAATTTTAAATAATGATTTATTAATTGTTGAACGATCTAATGAATTATTGAATGTTACTGACCAACTACTACCAGGATTAGTAGATGGTTGGTATTCATTTTTTTTATTTGGTTGCCAATCAATGATTTTTAAAGGTTCATATGTTTGAAAATTAGCTGACCATTCTACTGTAGTTTTTAATGGACCTTCAGCTGATGGACAACCCACAGGTAATTGAACTGTATATTGTGTTGCTTTTGATAGATCATTTTTAAATGTAAATGCAACATATCTTTCATGAGTTCCTTCGTTCGTATTCAAATATCCTTCAAATTCTTTTTTTGCTGCTGTTTCATCTATTAGTTCCAAATCACCTTTTGATATTTCACGTTCATCATTAGCAACTACTCGTAAATGTTTTAAAATTTGATTTTGATCAATTTTTTGATCAAATAATAAAAAGCATTTTGGTTTCAATGTTGAAACTGTACCATATGGTGAATATTGAATAACATTTGCTGGTGTTGTTGAAAATTCAAACAAAAAATCATCTGCTAATTTTCCTAAAGAACGAAAAAAACAGTGCGAGTTTTGCAAATACTTCATAGGTTTACCTTCAATTGCTGATACACAATTTTCTTTCTTAACTTGTAATGTATATTTTGTTGAATATGGCAAACGATGTTTTGGTTCAAACTGAATTGTTTTTGTTCCTGTCCATCTCCATCGACCTTCTAGATTTGGTGTTAATGATATACCAAGATTTTCTACATTCGTATTTTCATTCAATGTTGAAACAGCAATCATCGGTTGATTGAATGTTATTGTAACTGCTGCTAATGAATAATTAATTTCCGTTTCAGTAGGAGAATATCTTTCGATAATTAATGGACCTGCTTCTTGTTTAGCCAATTGTTTTAATTGTTCAATATCAATATCAAGATTTTCTTTGCGATCTTCGGAAGGTGGTGGAAATGGTGTTTGTATTATTTGACCTGTTTTTGGTGCTTTAATTGTTGCTTCACGTTTGAAAAACTCTTGATTATCCTTTGATTCGGCAACCAATTCAGAACTTGCTTTAATGAACAATTGATGTAATTGTTCTGGAGTTAAGTTCTGTTGTTGCGATGATGAATCATCAGTTGACGATGTCATTGCAGCATCAGTTGTAATTTGCTCATCCAAATCATTTGCTTCGGTAATATTGAAACAGAATTCACGAGGTCCAGATTCTTCAACGTTATCCGGTTTCGGTGGAAATCGTATTCTTCGAACCATGATATTCCGATAATAAAATAAAAATAATGTAGAATTGTACGTTTATCTACAAAGAAATATGATATAAGAGTTATGATTTATGTTTTTCGTATTTTATTTAATTCTCTTGTATTCAATAAGCAAGTTAAAAAATATTCTACTATTTTTTTTAGTTGTTACTGTTGTTGTTGTTGTATAAAATGTTGTGAGAGAAATGTCATGTGATGGAGCAATTTCGTCTTGTTTTTATATGAGAGTGTAGGAAAATTAATGGTTGTGTAAAAGAAACTTGCACAACAACAAATATATAACACATTACTCAATGTTTTTATATGTTTTTAACGAGATATTACATTTGACGCAGGTTATTTTTTCTTTCGTTCTGCCTTGATAGTTATATATACTTGATATAGATTCTCTAATGGAGAATGTTTAGTATCATAAAAAATGACAGGAAAGGAAAGAAAAAAGTAGCAAATCGAAGACTTTTTTACATGAAGAGAAAAAATATGAAGTAGATGTCATTGTAAATCAGCAGTTATCTTTCTTTTTTTCTCTTATATTTTTCCTACTACTCTTTCTTCTAAATTTATTTCCAGTTTTCGTTTGCAATACGGCGAATCGATTCTAGTAAGTGTACGATGTTGTGAAAAATTAACAGAAAAATTACAAAAAGTGAAATATGATATAGAATTTCTATGACTTATATAAAGTGTTCATTTTTCTATTTCATTGTCATACTTTAACATCTAATGAAGAAAAAGAACTGGTAACAATTTCATTGAACCTTCACAAACGTCGTTATCCTGATAATGTGTGCATGACTTGCATACGAAAGCTTGAATAAATTTTAAAACTTTGAATAGTAACAACGACTGTTTTAATTCTTTTTTATGCTTAAATCAAATGAATTACAGCTTTTATAGAATAACACCATTAATTATATTAACGTATCACAAGAAGGAATGCAAAAATTTACATCGGTATGTCAAAAACTAATGGTATTTGATAAAAATCATCAAGATTACATTCACTCATGTGTCCGTGGTGATTACAACAATCAACTACCATGTTGAGAGTGTGGGTGTGGGTGAAGAACGATCGTATTAAACACAAACACCCGTACCCTCAAGGTGTGTATATTACACTCACGCCCACATCCACAAAAGTTTAGAATATTATTTATTTTATCAATTCAAGTATGTTATGAAGAAGAAAGTAGACGAAAATTCTGAAACAAATATGATGAGTAAATTACATATATTTCTCATTATCATTTTTCAGTCAATATAATAAGCGAAAATTTTTTATTCGATTTGGGCGCAAGTGTTGATCAGTCAGATATTAGGTGAAGGACAACGGTATGAATAGTTTGGTTCACAAATAATTGAATTGAATTGTAGTTGGCAACTAGCTACTCGAACCATGGTATAAAAATATATGAATAAAAATGGTAGTTTTACTCTTATATATCTTTTTATTTCTTCGTTCTCTCGGTACGCGGCATCATACTGTTTTATCCGCGTATTTTTACCCTAACTGCATTATAATAAATGCATAAAAACAGCGCCATATCATATATTATTATGCATATATGTTTCGTTTTTCTGAGCACAAGTGTATAAATCATGCGCTTGTTACTCTTATTACGTTTTTTTTCTTTAGATGAAAGAAGTTGTTAACAGTAATTTATATTACACATTTTTATATCGAAAAGCACGTCGTTCAAAATTTTTAATGATATGTTTTCATATATAAAAACTTATCATATAAATCGAATTATAAGTATTGCTCATTTCTCTCAACGTTAAGCGACTGGATATAAACAATAGCAATTAGAAAAAATTAAAGCAATTACTTAGAAATATTCACATGAATTACTTCGCACAACTTCATTCAATTAATAGTTTCAATAAATTGTTTTTTGGAACCGACTGTAGAATCAGTTTATCTCATGCACATATATCAGTCTCTCAGAACTATAACCACATATTTCTTTAAATTATGTATGGTAGTATTACTGCACTCTAACTTAGAATAAATATTTCTAGAAAGTACGCACAAATATGAATAATGTTGCAAGTATGCAATCGTTGTTTCTGGCTCTGTTTGGTGAATCATGTAATTGCAAACATTGTATGAAAGAATAACGCAGTGTAAAGATTTTTTCTTGTTGTAACGTATCGTCATTCTTTTCTGTTCCTTTTTCCCGAAAATAATGCCTGAATTAATTGAACATCTTTTATCAATTGATGAAGTCAATGCTACGCTAAATGCTTTACGACCAGATAGTCATGAAATTGATTATCGTCAATATTATGCATTGAAAGATAATCAATCACTTGTTTGTCTACCACTTTTAATGGCATTTCAAGCATCGATCAATTTATCTGATGATTTTCCATGGTATCGATGTACAATATCATCAGTTCCTCAAAATAACATCATTTATATTCCATGGACACCAACAATTTAAGAATCAAAGATTTAATTGAACAAAAAACTGGTGAAACTTGGAATTTAGCTCATATTATTTATTATAGAAATGGAGATGATAGTATGGGAATGCATAGCGATACGGTGTTAGATTTAGCTTCAGGTTCAAAAATTGCTGTTGTAAGTTTTGGAGCTACAAGACAATTAGATTTAGTAAAAAACATGAAAGTACTCTAGATGGACCATCACAAATGAAGTTTGATCTTCCTAGCAATTCACTTTTTTTACTGAATGAACAAACAAATAAACATTATGTACATGGAATTAGAAAGAAAAGAAAAAATGATGTAGAAGATCGAATTGCAATTGTATTTCGACATGTAACAACATTCAAAACTGATGACGGTCAATTTTATGGTTATGGATCAGCATTTTTAACAAAACAAGATATTATGCAATAAGAAATAAGAAATTGGTGGAAAATTTTGGTCATTGGTGGATTCATTTGGTTTCTTATTTATATTATTGTTAGAAAAATCGAACGAATCACACATAACTATACGAATAAGAAAAATAATGAACATCTACAAAAATTATGCCATATGAAGAATTTTAAGATTTGGGATCAGACAGACATGAGAAACTTTTTAAAATATTCATAAAAACTGTCACAATTATATGTATATATAATAAAAGGAGAGTAATATATTTCGTACTTTGCAAATAAACAAGAGAGAATCACGACTAAGAGTACAGTATGGAACTATTCCAGCACGATTTGTAATATCTTGTTGATCTGTAGTCGAAATTGAAAAAGAACCTTTATCTTGAATATAATGACGAATGAGAAATACTAAAATCTTGAGGGTGTGGGTGTGGATGATGAATTCAAGAGATCCACAACCACCTTCAAGATAGTTTCAATCGATCTTGTATGTGTACCGTTGGTTTAGATTGAATAGGGCGGATGAATGGGTGCGCGTATATGGCTTCTTCTGTTATACTCATATATACACACCTACACACTCTAGAATGGACTTCCTTTCTGTTTTTGTTCTTTGCCTTCTGCGCCTTTTATATAATTCTGAATAGAGTATAATTATAGCAATTTTGAAAAGTACGTGGAATAAGTTTCAAAGTAATGTAAATATTTTTATGACAAAATTGTAATAAAATCGGTGCTGATGAATCATTATAGAAAATGAAGCGAATGACGTCAAGTAATTTTCTTCCATCAATAGAAAGAAATAAAAAAAAGTAGGAGTAAGGAAGTAAACATATATCAATATTATTATGGCAGTATCTGATTTTTACTTCCTTGGGGAACAACGACAATATCAATTGAGTAACGTCATTATGATAATAAATCTATTACGATTGAAAATAATATATGTTTTCTAATTTATTCCTATAAATATCACTGTTCTATCATAATGTACAACATAAATCAAAATAACATTAAAAATCATGAATTTTCTTATCACGTACTTATTTCTCTCTATTGGTGTTTTAATGGCTCAAGATGAATTTAATACAAATGTCAGTATTAACAGTGCAGTAGTAATACGTTCACGATCAATGTCTGTCGATTTCTGGACACCAGAAAGAATGAAAGCAGCCAAAGAACCCGTTGTTATTTTACCGCCCAATGGTAAAAATACTAGTCGATCCTTTTCGATCTCGAATAATGGTCCGCAAGCTACAATTCTTGGTCGAACTCCTGCTGCTACCAGTCCACTAGGAAGAGCTCTCAATGTTCGTGGTCGTTACGTAGCTACTACTGGCCGAGTATTTTGGTCATGTAGTGTCAATATTATGAGCTATTGTTCTGCGAGTGTGGTAGCATCGACTAGTGGTGATGTTATTGTGACTGCCGGTCATTGTGTGTATGATACCAGTACATTACAATGGTTAACTAATTGTAATTGGATTTTTGTACCAGCCTATTATAATGGCACTGCTCCTTATGGTAAATGGCCTGCTCGAGAAGTAGCAGCTTTGACTTCGTGGACTCAATCAAGTCCAAACTATAATAACGACGTAGGATTTGTTGCTTTGTCATTGCTCAATGGAAGACATATTACAGAACTTACTGGAAGTCAATCAGTAGGTTTTAATTATCCTCGAAATCAACCAACTTACTCTTTCGGATATCCACTTAATCTTGATCAAGGAGAAATTCTCCAGGTTTGTACCGGCATACCAGGTGTCTCTAAATACACAACGAATGGTTACGCTGGACAAGGTTTATCTAATTGTTATATGACAGGTGGTTGTTCAGGTGGTCCATGGTTACAACAGTTCGATGAATCAACTGGAATTGGAGTAACTTATTCAGTGAATAGTTTTACCTATTCTTTAGCACCGAATACAATAAACGGACCTGTGTTTGACTCAAATATTCAATCACTTTGGAATTACATAACGGCTCGTTAAAAGCAAAAAACTACTCTTATTTTAATCTTCTTTTCACTTTTTTTTATCTATACTTATATATATTCACATTTTTACAAATCATCATAAATGTGTCAATTTCTTTAAATTCATATTTTCTCTTACAATAAATCTCGACATAATAACATATCGAAGAGTAATTCATTTTACAATAATAATATAGATTTAATATATGGAGAAACGTTATAGTTATAAAATGAAAAACAGTATAAATAATACTTTAAGAGTTTATATACATGAACAAGCAAAAAAGATGTTTTATTATTTCGGACAGTTATTCAGAAAAATATATGCATCGTTCGATTTACCATTTGTTACAATGAGATCTGGTTTCTGATCATTATTTAAATCACCAGATGCAATCGAAGTAGGAAATATACCAGGAGTATATTTAATTTGAGAGTGAAAAGTGCCATTACTAATGCCTAACAGTACACTTACGCTGTTACTACCACTATTAGCAACTGCCAAATCCAAATATTCATCATTATTGAAATCAACGGCTACTAGAGAAGTCGGATATCTACCTACTATGAAAGTACTTATATTGTAAAAAATTCCAGCTCCATTATTGAATAAAACGCTAATTGTATTTTGACCGTAATTAGCCACTATTAAATCTCCATATGTATCTTTATTTACATCAGCGCATATAACACAAGAGGGTGATTTACCAACTGTATAGTTAGCTGAAGTATAAAAACTACCGTTACCACGATTAAATAGCACACTGACAATATCATCATCTTTACTGGTCACGGCCAAATCAATATTTCCATCTCTATTAAAGTCAGCTGATGCGATCGAAGACGGCGACTTCCCAACTGAGTAATTAGAGTATATATAGAAAGTTTTATTACCATCATTAAGAAGTATACGAATATTATTTTCGCCATTATTGACAACTACCAAATCTATGTATCCATCTTTATTAAGATCAATCGATGTCAAGGAAGATGGTAAACTACCAACTGTAACACTTAGAGGAGGATGAAAAAAACCATCACCATTTCCGTAAAGCACACTAACGCTATCTGCATCAGAATTGGCAATGATTAAATCTTGATTATTGTCATTATCAAAATCAGAAGAGATTATAAACGATGGATTTTTTCCAACAGTATAATTAAGCGCAATCTGGAAAACGCCACTCCCTTTACCAAGTAAAACACTAACAGTATTGTCAGTTTGTTCCACCACTGCAAAATCTAATATGCCGTTACTATCGAAGTCTGCGACAGTGAGAGATATTGGCGAGTTACCGGTACCATACGATTGCACAAATACAAAAGTACCATTTGCTCGACCAGTAAACAGACTAATAGTAGCGGCCCCATTATTAACTACTACTAAATCTATATTACTATCATTATTATAATCACCAAATACCAAATAAACTGGATAATTACCAGTTGCATATGTGGCTTCTTCTGCAAAAGTTCCATTACCATAGCCAAAAAATATAATAATGTTGTTATCGTCACTATTAATTATTGCTAAATCTATGTTGTTATCTTTATTGAAATCAGCGGATCTTAAGCAAATCGGAGAGGAACCCGTTGTATATGTGTATTGACTATAAAAACTTCCATTTCCTATACCGAGGAGGATACTAATCGTATTGTTCTTATTATTGGTTACTGCTATATCTAAAATATTATCATTATTAAAATCGTCCGAAATCAGAAATGTTGGATACAAGCCAGTAGCATATGTCATGTGATTTAGAAAACTACCATTGCCATAACCCAGAAGGACACTGATGGTATTATCAAATGAATTAGTAACTGCCAAATCTAATTTACTATCATTATTAAAATCAGCTGAAATCGCAAAAGATGGATAATAGCCAACTGAATTATTACTCGAAACTATAAAGTTTCCCAGTCCATCACCAAGTAGTACGTTAACGGTATTACTATCTTGACTTACTACGATTAAATCCAATTTATTATCATTATTAAAATCATCTGATAGAATACTAGATGGCGAGCTGCCTACTGAATAAGTGTTTTTACTTTGAAAAAGCCCATTGCCTATTCCTAGAGCTACAATGATGGTGTTGTCACCACTATTGACGATTGCTAGATCTTTTCTTGTATCATTATTGAAATCGGTGGTGATAATAGACACAGGTTGTTCACCAGTAATAATCTTTGAACTATGAAGAATATTTGTCGGATCACCTAAATAGATAATGACACTACTCTCATTGGCAACTGTTATTGCAGCATCAAGATAAGTATCGTTTGTAAAGTGAGCCAATACGATAGAACTCGGATATTCTCCAGCATTGATAGAACCAAATGATTCGAACGGATTAGTACATGGTAGCACTAAAATAACAATACTCATTAAATATGTTGTATCATTAAGATAGATATCATAAACTCAACAAATTAAGAAATGACTTATTCTCTACATTTTGACAATAACAAAAATCTAAAAAAAATCGTACCATTCGGAATAAAACTCTTTCGTGTTCCTAGAACAGCACCAATAATAACACCCGTAATAATTAAAATTATTAAAAAGATCATTGGAATTGAAAATCTCTTCTTCCAATACCAAGGATGCCTTATAAATAATAGACAAAGTTATATTCTACATATGATTTGAAAACAATATATCGCAATAGACTTACATCTCTTTTGGAAAAATATGTGCACCTAAAATAATCAAAATTATTGAAGTAATATATATAGAAAAAGCAATTGAGTAGTTTTAAAAATATACCTTCAAATGGTAATTCTAATAATTCTTCATCAGGTTTAATTTGTTTCAAATGAATGATATAAAGGTTTGGTGCTGGACTGAGTTGTGATTGAACTACCATATGTGTACCAGGAAGAAGAAGAATTTCATCTTCAGTAACGAAATGTGAATGATCACGTATTGAACGACCATTGATAGCTTCGACTGAGAAGAGTGTTCGATCACCTTCACGACCCAAATACATATTGTTTTCTAGTACAGTCATTTCAGTTGTACACGATGAAAATGCCCACCATGTTACTCTACTACCTAATGGAAAATCTTCAGTCAAATTCTTTGTAACACCTCGCCAGACAGTCAATGATGGAACACATTGTAATTTAGTTAGAGCACTTATAAATAATTTCAAATACTTGAAATACGGTAAAAGCTCTTGACGATTAGTTGTTTTTAGATGAAAATTAAGCATTGAGTAAAGACTATGATGTGGCGCATCCCATTCAATTGTATAAAGACGAATTGCAGCACTTTCATCAATGGTCAGTCCATCTAGCGGTTGTTCGGGTGTATCTTCCAGTGCCATATCAACATAGTATGATAAATTATGAAGATGTTTCTGTAATGGAGCACATGCTTTTGAAAGTGGTAATATAGGCGTATTAGCATATCCTTTAAGCGGATTGCTTTCATTTTTGCCGTTGTCAAGTATGTTCAAATCCGTTAAAAAGAATTTTTGCATAACATTTTCTACCAGATTCTCATTTCTCATTATCGGTTTATCCACAACATCGATCGAACGTCTTGCAACTCCTACCATTTGTATACGTTCACAAGTATCGTCTTCATTTAACTTCATATCTCCTTTGTTCCGTGGATTGAATGGCAATTCAGTTTGTTCATGGTTATTTTGCTTTAACATTGTTTTAAACTTGATAAATATATATTTTGATATTTGAAAATAAAAGAATCGAACTATCTATGATGACTTTTAGCAAAGTTAGAGAACTGTTATTTCTTTCAATAACTATAGTTAACCAATATCGTAGATAAAATAAAATACAAAATGAATGTTTTTTTATGATATTATAGTGATTATTGATGCATGAATATTCTTTTTTCTCTATTAGGTTATAAATGTATGCTAATAACAACGCTACTTACCTTGAATGAAAACGATGAAATAATTGTATTTATCATTAATATATCATGCTTTTCAATTTTTTCGTTCTTCGTCCTACATCTATTTATAGTAAGATAAAAACAATCGATAGATCTGTTTTAATATTGATGAAATCGCGCTGCACACGTGTTGACTAGTAGAATATAAATATCACTGAGAGTAAAGTTCTTCTCATCATTCAAATCGTTTCTTTTTTCGCGCTGTTTATTTATTTTCTTGTGTATTTAAAATATTATTTCCTTGTTCTAGATAATTACGTAGAAATTATCGACAATTTCAGGCAGTTACCTCATAGCAAAACTTAAAATGAGTACAGTCGATAATATTGTATTTTCAAGTGGTATTAAAGCAAATCTAGCATGAATTATGTTTAATAAAAACACAAATCTTGTATTATTTAGGAATTTTATTCAATTTAATTTGATTAAAACATGCATTTCTTTTTGTAATATATGTTGATTGTAAGAGAATAGTAATCAATATCAATATGTTTAAATAAGATTTTTATTTAGAATCGATAAACCATATAAAATTAAAACTTCTTCAATTATTATACGTTTGATATGATTCATTCCATAAGAAAATTTTATCGATTAAGAATAGATATTGATTTTAATATAATATCGAATTCAGGATTTTCTAATCGAACAAAGACCCAGTTGAAGTGAGTAAAGTGTATAATCATAAATAATTAGTTTGATTAAAAATGGAAAATTATCTGATGTGATTTCCGAACATTGATTTCATATGATAAACATGATGAATGACAATCAACCGCAAGATAAATAGTCTGACGTAAAAAATAGTTCATACATGTTTGATATTCTCGATTATCATCATCATTTATTATGAACGATGAGAAATAAAACAAGAAAATAGCTATGCAACTGTGCAAGCAAACATCTTATTGATTCAATTATTTTATATGAAATAGTTAGACAGTTTTTCTGTATATTCTATCGCAACTTAATAGTATTATTTATTTATTATTCACAATAACTAATTAGAAATACAGTGAAAACAGAAACAATTTCATCACGAATTTTATATACAAGAAAAATATCAACTATTATCTTCTAAAATCATATCTGCTGCTTTCAATCCAATAATCATTGTAATTTGATTTGGATTACCAGATATTAAATTTGGAATAATTGAAGCGTCAGCAATTCTTAACTTTTTTGTATGCCGTACTCTTAATCGTCGATCTACAACAATCATTTTATCATCCTGAAACCTATTTCCCATTGTACATGTACTCGACGGATGTGCATCACTTTTAATATTTTGTTGTATCCATTCAAGTAGTTTCTTCTCATCATTCGTATGAAATAAAGGAGTATTGATTTCATTGAAATCTTCTGTTAATTCACTTATTGTTTTTGTTGATAAAAATGTTCGAGCAATTTTAATACTATGTAATGTTTTATTTATATCATAAGAGTTTGATAACAAATTCGGATCAATAACTGGTTTTGAAAATGGATTCTTATCTAATAATGTAATACTTCCACGAGATTTATAATGAAATGTTTCAGCATATATCTGGATGATTTTCTTACCATTTATTTCTCCTACATCTAAACCATGATAATATTCTCCATTTTCTTCAATAGCAAGTGCACCCCACATACCAAATATATTCGTTGGTAATGGAGTTTCTTGATCACGTAACGGTGCAGACCAAATTTTTATAAAAGTATGATCTTGTAAATTCTTTCCAACGCCTTGTACATTAGCCAAACATTTGATCTTATATTTATTCAATTCATTACATGGACCAATACCACTTAATAATAATAATTTTGGTGTATCAAATACTCCAGCAGATAGAATCACTTCTTTTCGACTATAAAAATGAACATATTCTTTTTTACCGACATTATATGTTGTTATACCAATTGCTTGTAAATTTTTATTAAATAATATTTTTGTAACCTGTGTAAATACCAGAATATCAAGATTTTTTCGTGGTAATATTGGTTGAATATATGCATTCCAACTACTTCTTCTTTCTGCATAATTATTTGATATTTGCTTAGCCATAAGTATCCTTGCTGATACACCGCCTTGTCCTTGTTTAGAATTTAAATTATTTGGATTTGGATTGTATTTATAACCAATTTCGATTGCACCTTTTAATAATTTATGCATAATCGGATGTTTTGGATCTAATTGTGTAGGTGAAATTGTTTCTTGAATAGAATCCCAATAAGGTGATAAATCATTCCATGACCAACCATCAATTTTTCCCCAACGTTCATCAAAATCTTTGCGATTACCAAGAAGAAATACCATTGCATTCATACTATTGCAACCACCAGTACCTTGTGCTCTTGGTACTGGTATGCTACGATTTCCAAATCCAACTTGTGCTGTTGAAATATATCCACGTTCTATAAGTGGATCTAATCTTACTAAATGCCATTGTGATGCATTTTGTACGACTGGATTTAATGATAACCAATAACCTTGTTCAATTAATAAAACTTTATTTCTTGGATTATCAGAAAGTTTTCTTGCTAGAATACTACCAGCTGTTCCAGCTCCAACAACGATATAATCATAACAATTATTACCAAATTGGCTTGAACATTTTTTATAATTTGTATTATGCCAATGAAGATTCTTATCAAAGTTATTATTTGAAAAACTATATGTTTCAGCTATTGCTGAATAAAATAATATTGTAAGAATAAAAAAATTGACAAAAATCTTTCCATTTCGATTATGATTCATCTAACTCAATTGACTAGGTTCACTAACAAAGAAAAAATGTATGAAATGAATGCATTAATACATGTATCTCTCTTTTATCAGTTAACACTTATATCACTATCTTCCTCTCTTTTTTTTATTACATGTACCAATAATTATTATCTCTCTCTTATAAGCTACCACTTACGTCACTATCTTTCTCTCTTTTTTTTATTACGTGTATCAATAATTATTATCTCTCTCTCTCATAAGAGAAATGTTTTTTTTTTGAAGTGAACACAGTCATCGCTACATAATATTTAGAGCAGAAATGAAAAACAATGTTTCGTTATAATGTATTATAGTACCATTTCAATGTTGTATGTAGAACGAAATCGAAAAAGAACAACTTCGAAGATTTCTTTGAGCAGTCTATTTAGCATGTACACTATTCAATGGAATCAGAATCACACGGTGTTTTTGACATATCATAACTTTAATAACAAGACGAAGTTCTCGATCTAATTCAATAATTAAACTTGCAAAAAAATACATTCTGACATCTACATATATAAAGCTAGTATATATGGAATTCCACCTATTAAACAAATATTAAAATACATATATTTCGAAGAACAAATAAGATCACGTTTTTGAGAATGAATCGATTTTGTAATAGTTGTTGCATATCGTTTCGTTTTTTCATAGTTTAAAATACGCGTATATATATACCATTATAATAATCATCAGTGGAGTACCATAACAATCAGTGAAACCATACGCTATATGAAGTGGATATTCAACTGGCAATAATGTAATTGCAACAGTAGATAATACAATAATGAATACGAGAATCTATTTATTAATAATAAAAATATAATGTGTTTTGAATATGACAAAACATCGATATTGCTTGAATCATAAATGAATATAATATATCTGTTATTCTAACTAAAACAAAATAGATTGGCCATCGAATAAAAATAAAGTATTACAAATGAGAATATGATTCACTGTATATAAACGTGATTTTATTCGCCAAATAACTATTAATATAAACACAGCGATTTGTATGAAAATACATACGGAAATTGACTTTAATCCTAATATTATGGAATGACCTTGATCATCAAATGATTCAAAGTTTCGCAATGATTTAAAAATGTATTCATATAATTAACAGTATCGCTATCAGGGTGTGAGTGTGATTGACGGATAGTGAAAAGGTACTTATATCCACACCCACACCCTCAAGATGGTTTTGATGGTTCTTTTCTAAAAATGAAATCAAATATTGAAAGTTATATATTTCAAATATTTACTCGATGAAGACATTGATTAGTTGTTCACTAGCAACAAGTTTGCCATTAACATTTGAAATGCTACCTTTAACTTTACTATTTGTTGGATCATATTTGGACATATAATTAATAGAAATAAGTGGATGTAAAAAGAAAAATATATTTTGCAAAATATGTAAATAAAGAGAATCTAATACTAACCATTAAAAGCGACTACTTGAATACCTTTCTGAAGTGCACATCGAAGTATATGCTGACCAAGAAGACCAAATCCATTAATTCCAATTTTAATACTATGAATTAGATAATTAAAACGTTTCATTTATTTTCGAAGATAGAAGATAACAAATAACTGACTAGATAAATAAACCATTGTCTGGAATAAATGATAAGACATCACTTAATCGTTCATCTTCATTAGGTTCTGCCTTCTGTTGAAAGTGATTAATTTTTTGTATATTTGTTTTCCAACAGTAATGTAATTCTCTTGGTGGCACTAAGTGTAGTTTCACTTTCATTGTTGCTAATGAACATCTGCTCGATGGTGATAGTCAAGTTCATCATCGGTAAGCGCACCTAAAATTGAATTTGATTTATATTTTTTCCACAAGAATATTTACTAAGAACTAACTTTGCTCTTCTTCATCATTTGACATCACCTTATTAACAGATTTAAAAATTGTTGTTCGATAGATACATTGTTGATACAAGTAAAACAAATCAAAATCGAATTCTCTTTATCATTACCTCCGACAGTCAACCGACAATCATGAATACCAGTTCTTCCATTAAAATCCTTTGGTACAATTGATCGTTTTTAAATCTAAAATAAAAAGTTCAAATTGTGACAAGTTCGAAAGATTTCTTCCTTTGAAGTCGTAATGACTTAAATAATAAACAGGTTTTCCTTGATAAGTGAAATTTACCAAAAATAACACACATGGCCCTAATTCATCAGTAGATATTGATTTACTGCTGGTTTCATAGTCGTCTTGAAGAACACCTTCACGTTCGTTGATTTTTCCATACATAAGTGACATACCCAGGACGATTACTCCGACCATCGGAAACGGCCTGAAACAATTAGAAAACGGTATATTAGCTGCTTTGATTCTCACAGTATTTTACTGGAATCCGGGTGTGGGTGGATGCAAGCATGATGGGTGTGAATATGAGTAAAAAAATATACTCACCCACATCCACCCTAGCTAACGAATTTGTTGTGCAAGAATAATTCATCGAAAGACTTGGATAGTCCAACCCATTACCATTTAGTGCACCTAAAATTGTATAGAATTATTTTTTTCTCAGAATATTTCCTAAGAACTAACTTTGATCATCTTCGTCGTCTGACATCACTTTATTAACTGAGTCGAAAATTATTGTCCGATTAATAAACTGTTGATATAGATAAAATATTTTCGGATTAATAATCTGTTCATTATTTAATAAATAATGCTTAGTTGGATCTAAAAAAAGAGAAAAACACGTTTTTACTAAAATTAAGTTGTGTACATTACCACCTCCAACAGTCAATAAACAATCACGAATCCCAGTTTTTCCATTAAATCTGTTGGTATAATTGATGATATTTGAAAAGCAAGTTCAATATCATCAACAATTGTTTTTAAACAATAAATATAAGTTTCGAATTGTGATAAGTTCGAAGGAACTGTTCCTCTGAAGTCGTAATGACTTAGATAACAAACAGGTTTTAACTGATATATGAAATTCACCAAAAAAAAAGACACAAGGTCCGCGATCATCGGTGGTGATAAATGACCTGCTGTACCGATGCTCTCCTTGTGGAACCTCAGTATCTTCATCAATATGTTCCCACATGAGTACCATAATTAAATTTCATTAATAAAATTAAAAAGAAGATATGTAAAATAAAAAAAAATATATAAAATAAAACAAATATATAGAATAAAAAAAGTATATAAATTTATCTAAATTACAACAATTACTATTCAAAGAAAATAAATAGAATTTTCGATTCTATTATACACAACACAATACATTTTACATTTGTATAGACAGATATGTCATAATGGTCGGCTACTAATATATAGAACGAAAAGAACATATGACTTTTATTCTGATCATGATCGCAATTGAATAAGAGTTATTTCATAGCAATAAAAAGAGACAAACAAAGGAATAGATTAGTTTTCTTTCTATTAAAAATTTAATTCCAACTTAGGATCATCTTGTATAACTACAGAAAAAGAATAGAAAAATGAATTTTTTTCTTTATTAATTATTTTTCTATTTATATTAGAACTATCATAATATATAAATCGAACAAAAGGACAAAAAAAGAATTTTATTTTGATTATATTTTTATTAAAATAGTTATCGTATGTAAGTTTCATTATATCGATGAAGTTTACCAAAAATCTTGACTATATTATTTTATGAATCACTGCTGAAAATGAATGATTTCATAGAAGAAATATTTTCAAAATAAACATCTAATATTTTTTAATAGTATGAATGTGTACTTAATTTATATTGAATATTTTAATAATGAAAAAGTTTTATAAACTAAACTTTTGACCGTTTTCATATCTTACTTGTGATATTAAACATAGGAAAATTTCATTAAAATCTTAGATATCAGTTGAACATGAGTTATGCTATTCGAACCGTTTCTTTCGTACAATGATTTTTGCGTGCAACAAAAGTGTATGAGTGGGAATGAATATGAGAGTTTAGGTATAGATCTAGTTTTGGAAATGAATTTCTATTTAAAGATCTTTATTGACATAACTATTCTTCGCTACCTTTATAATTAATTTATTAAGTAAATGTCTTAACCTTCATATATGCTTTTCACTATCTAAGTACACCATTTTATTGTCCGTATTAATCTTCAACAACATCGATAGATGGTTGTTTTCGATCATATTCTATTTTAAGATCTAATTTATTAAATTGTCGTTGATAAGCTTGTTTTGGTCCTTGTTTATTAGAAGCTGCTCCATTAGCCAAATATAATATATTTTCTGACAGATCGTAAACAGCGACATGTACATCACCTGTTTTAACAACAGCAGAAATATTTTGAATAGTTGATTCTGGTGTAATATGACCATATTGCTCCATAATTTGTTGATAAAGTTTATATTGATATGATGGACAAAGCCAATCCATTCCATTATAAACAACATTTGTAATTTGTGGATGCCACTCAGCAGCTGGTTGCAAATTAAGATCATCAAAAAAATTAACTTTTGAATGTGAATATTGAATCATTCGAGCTGTATTTAATTTTCCATCAGCAATACCCATGATTAAATGACATGTTCGACGAACATCACTAATATAAGCAAGAGCATCATCAACTGTTTGAGAATATTGTAAAATATGTCTTGAAACAAAAATAAATGGTTCACCAGACATACTCTCATCGCCAAATGTATCATCAGGAAATTCAACACCAATTGATGTCATACCTAATAATGTCGACGACATACCACTTAAAACACCAATATAACCTTTTAAAAAAATTTAAAAAAAAATGTAGTAAGAAAAAAATAAGGAAATCTTACCTGCCCAAGCAATATTAGTGAATGTATGACCTAATTTCGATGATCGGGGATGATAAATAGTAATAACTGGATAGGCTTGTAAATCAGCACTCATATCCCAATCAAATGCGCGGAGTTGAAGTGTTTTACCACCAAGCGTTGCTTTACCCCAAGCTCCAAAATAAGAACAATGAGCTGAATTTTAAGAAACAACAACTAAATAAATCTATTAATGGCTGTGTCTTACCACGTGTAAGTTCTCCAAACATATGTATACGTAATAAAAGTTTATAATCTATTTTTGCTGCATCTGATATACCCTGAAGTTCATTATAAATTTCTTTATCCATATAAGGTTCAACTAATGTATTTTGAAGATCTAATGCAAAAGCTAAACCTTTATTAGCAATTATTTTTTTAAACCAGTCAGGTACTTGTAAGTGTTCAAGTTTTTCCATAACTTCTTTCTCAAAATATGCATAAGTTTTAGGTATGAATTTATTAATTTGTTCATTTAATAATGTTCCATAAGCAAATCCATAATCATAACCATTCATACCCCAAACATGAATAAGCCATGTTTGATCATCATCAATACCAATTTGATAAAGTGAACCATTTTCAATATTACGAATCAAACGAGGAAGACCAGTTTCAATTGGAAGAAGATTTGGATTATCATGTGGAGTATTGTTCTTGCAAAAACTACCAAGGTTTTCATAAGAAAATCCACGATGAGCAAGAATTGTTTCAACAACAAGTAATATGATTATAAATAACAAAAAAATATTCATATTTTTCTTTTTCTTCTTTGGGAATAATATTCACAAGTAATCTATTATTTTAATCGACATTTAAAAAGTAAAACTAAGTATGTGAAATTGACCAGATGATAAAATATTTTTCATGAGAAATATCTAACACCTTGATTCGATTGATAGAAGAAAAAATAAATTAAAATAAAACGATTAACTATTCAAAGGTTGTGAGGGTGTAATTCAAGAAAAAAAACACTCATACTTTCATCAGGAGTGTGTGGTGAAAATGCTTTGAACATCGTGTACACGTTTTTCAAATAATTAAAAAGTAAAAAGATATATTTTTGATCTTCTCTCCAATCTATAAAAACGATTTATTAGATTCAGTAATAAACATTAATTATGATCAGGACGTGAAATCAATTTTGATTAAAACATTTTCGGTGAGGATATGTCGCATCAAAGATTGATCGAAAACTACCAACTGTTATCGCTATTAATCAGTGCGCCTGTTTATACGTCCGTCACTGTTGAATATTCTTCAGTTTGATATATATTCTATTAAAGACCGTATTCATTTTACGAATCTATTTGCATTTGTTTCAACAAATTGTTTTTAAGTAAAGAATAGGACTACCAATTTATAAATAGTCTTTTTCATTATCCGTTGTCTTAGATATATAGTAGTAATCATGCGTATGTATAGTTGATTCATTCATTGCATGTCAAACTTTCTTAAGTGACATCATCTATACAAATAGCTTTTCAAAGAGTACATGAAGATCTTGTTCGTGATCAAATAAGCATTGATCAAATTTTCGAACATATTCAAGCTAATCTATTTCTTATCAATATTATATCACGTTTTGTTCAAATAGGCAAATTGACTGATGATGTACGTCAGAGTAGTTTCGTCTATAGTAGCAAGTATCATTTCAAATATACAGAATTACGATTTTCTACGTGAAAATACCACAAACAAATATAAGAATTCTATTCAACAAGCTCAAAATAATATTGTTTTCAATACCGATACTGATCGGATGATTCAACTTAAAATACGTGTCCCAACAGTCATTGATATCGATCGATCAACACAACTAATCAAAATGATAGTCGACATCCACTTTAATATATCTAATCAATCTATGATTACACAACTTATTTCTTTTTCCTCTTTGCAAACGAACACATTGCGATCAACTAAACAACGTGATTTATGGCAGAGAATAATTGTACAATCTATCAAAGTTAGATAGATGTGTTTCTTCTTTAATTACCCACACTAAAATAGCAACTAAATATTCTTCATCAACTAATGAATTTAAAAAACTTTATTTCGATAATGAACTAGCTTTTTTTAAACAACTATTAATATATAGTCCACTTTTTAAGAAAAGTAGAGAGGGATGAAGATCAAAAAATTACAAAACTACACAGAGAAACACGCAAAAAGAGAGGAATAATAGAAAGAGCAGTTAGTGTTCACATGTAAGTGCAAATGTTTATTCATGCGATTTCTTATTCGATCATCGTAGAACTATATAATCGAGTGCCATTTACCGTATATGACCTTCATACTTTGTGCTTTATAGTTATTGGTGTTTCTTAACATGTTTAGTTGTTTTCGACTCAATGGTAATTGAGATTTGCTTTGAATATCCATCGAGTTTTTACAATTATTAGTTAGTTCATCGAATTTATTCTCATCTGTTATTAAGAATAGATTGTCCTTCGTTTCGTAAAATTGATCCATATATTTGTTCAGCTATTTTTGAAGAACGTTGAAAAAATGAATCATTCGCTTCCGCATTATTAAAAGACACAAATTCATCAATGTACACTAATACCATATTATAAGCGGCTTGGTGAAATATCTGCCTCATGTAAGTGCATGGCCCTGGTACACTTCTGCCAACTATTCACTATAGCAGCAGAGGTATCATCATTAAACACGACCTTGGAAGAAATTCTATTAGTATTCGTTAAGTTTTATTGCTTGTTTGTTGTCAATAATTTTGTTTCATCAAATAAAATTTCTTCGCTTGACTGGAATTTACTAAAATATCTAGCTGCGGTTTATACCATTAACTCCGCTAAATCTAGTATACTTGATTTACTGTACCCTAGAATATAAAAAAACAATTTCTCTAATTAATATGAAAACCATGATAAATTCTTCTAAATTAGTTATGGAAAATAAGACATAAAGAGTGCAAGAAAATTCTACGCGTAGGGTTTTTAGACAGTCAGTTATACATATCTGACAGTAAAACGTGTATTATTACTATTTAATATTAATAAAATAAATGGAAAGGAAAGTTTTTATTTTAGAATAGATTTTACGACTCCTTTTTCCTAAAACAAAAGCCTATTGAAATTTTATTCTCATAATAGTAAACTATATATTCATCAGTATTTTGAAATCAAATATGTAAAATCGATACGAACCTGAACGACCGACGATCAGATTTGATAAATTTCATGGTACTAAAAAATGCGATGCTCTATTGACATATGTTAAACAATAAGTATCGGCAACACCATTGACAACAGTAAACCCCATAGCTTGTGCGTCAACTTGATAAAATAATGCCAGATGACATATACAACTGGCTAATTTTTCAGAAAATCAGGACTCTGGCTCGATTTCAGACATACAAGCAGTTTTTAAATTTGCTGGAAATATTTCCATGAGATTCATGATGCAAGTTGAATTGTTTAATCTGCAATAAAATCAATGTTACAATATATTTTAATTTTTCTACAGCCTGTTACAGTTCGTAAAGATCACTGATAGAAGCCAAAGCATGTTTATTTAATATTAGTTTTTTCCATATTGGATGATCATCTTTTTCAGCAATGTTTGTAATTTCTAAAAAAAAGATGAGTACCAAAAGAAATAGAAAATACTAGCTAAAGCAAATTAAAATTACTGGATGAACTAATAAATACTCGATTAATAGATTTTAATGATGGTCGACGATTACATGTCTTGATAGTTCCTAAAACAGAATACTATGTCGGTTCAGGTATTAATTATAGGTATATCATGTTTCATTTAGTTGTATCTTACCGAGAATTTGTCAAAAACAAAAAACTTAAGCATGTATTTTTCCAGATACAGATTTATTTAGCATCAATGTATGGCTCTTTGTCTTGATGAATTTGATGATTGGCGTAGATGTGAGTGAAGGCGGGTGTGATTGTGTTTATCTGTAATTAACACCCACACCCACTCTACTCTTCTTCTTCATATAAGCGGATATTACTTTCGTTCTTATCGTGAGAGTCACCTTGATCATTAGAGGATAACTCGCTTGCATCACTTTCTAGATTAGAATTCATTTATTCGGTTCCCAAAACGATTTGTAATATACAAATTATCTAGAAAAATTCGATATTTTAATCTAAACATACGTTAATTTTCGTAGATAGAATATAATAGAAAATGCCCTTTCAAACACATCCCGAATCATTCGTAATTCAAAGCTATTTTTCCTTCATACATAGTTCGGGAGAATTCGAGAGCATCCTTTGGGGCTTCATTTAAAAAAATGATGTGCAAATTTTCATTAAGTATGCGATAAAATTCAGTTATAAAACATGTGTAGCAAAAATGCTACTATGGGACTTAAAGGGTTAAAAGACGCATGATAGTTATTGATATATTCATGAATCATTTTTTCAAGAATAAAGATAATATAGCGTCACATTGGATATAAAGTCATAGCATCAATAAAAATCTCTTTTTGATAGTTATTTTTTTCTTTCTTATTCTTATCAACAATCCTCAAATATTGAGTCGTTCTAGTTTTTTTCCTGTTTATTGATGAATATCCAAATTACATCTTAGTTTTGGAATAAACTAGTAGGACATTCATAATTCAAAAATTTTTTGAATAAATAAAACAGAACTTAGTATAATACACTTGAAAAACAAATTCAGATTCAAATTCAAAGACGCGTTTATGATAGAAAACTAGATTGCATGATGCTGACAGAATAATAGAAATTGCTTATTAGATTTGAGGTGTAATTTTAGTAATGATTGTAGTATGACTAACACTAACAGAATTTTTAAAAAAAATAGAAGTCTAAAAATGTTTGTTAAGTCTAAAAGTTTTATATCGGCACCGTCTAGTCACCAAAAACTTTGATTCGTAATAATTAACAAAAATTTTTATTGATAATTATATTCTTTAGTGAATCTTTTCTATTGTTTTACATCTTTAAAAATATAAATTTCTTATTTACAATTATCTGATTTTTTTTGAAAAATTAATAAAGTATATTCAATCGGTGAAAAGATGTTACTGATCAACATTTTTTCTTAATCAGAAATTGATAGATACTATACTAAACAACTTGTTTCTTTTTGTAATTATTCATACTATATAAAAACACTTTTGATCATTCTTCCTTGTATCTATCCGTCCATAAACTATACTAAAATTTAAATATTGTTCTATTTGAAATATATATTCTGCGCAATTTCTCGATTATATGTAAACAACTTCCATTTTCACGTAAGAACTTGAATTTAATAATTTTTTTCTTCAATATATATTTTTGTCATTAAACTGAAGTATTTCATTATTATATTTGTATTGAAAGTAATTATTTTCCTCTTTGAATAAGGACAAATTTTGTACAATACAGCAAAATACTTTTATATTTATTATGAAAATACTTTCACAGACTGATATTTTTATTTCTCATAAATCTATGTCATTTTGTCAGGTATTTTTCTATATAAATTGGGCAAAAGATTAACATATTACTATCATCCTCAATCTAAAATACACAAAAATTAATTTAAAATGTAAAACTTGAGTTTATATGTATAGAATTCGAATAAATTTAGATCAAGTGAATCCTGTTAGTAGCGATAATACCTGATTTCGTCAAATATTTGTTTTTTAATTGATAAAATTTCAATATGAATATAGGACATGTTAATTACATGTTTGACATTTTAAAGTTCGATGTTCTTAAAACATTTTTTCTATTTTGATTTTCTTCTTTTAGAAACTACATAAAAAAACTATTTCACAAGTATTCTTCTTATCAAGTTTGTATATCCGTTCACTTCAAATCTTAAAAAGAAATATGATTTATTAAATATGAAATTCCTCATTTGTTAATAACTGAAATCTAATTTGAAAAAAAAAACAATTAACATGATATGATATATTTTATATTTCATTACTTTTTTTTAATACGTCAGAAAAGAAATACATCTCTAAGGAAACAGAACGCTGAAAAATAGAACTTATCTTGAGAAAAAAGATTCTTTTTTTATTTTCTATTCTTAATAAACACTTTCTATCGAGATGTATAAAAAGAATACGATAGTCGAGTTATTTGTTGTCAATTTGAAAAAACAGGCTCTCTTCAAACGATAACATTTATACTATTTACGAAGGTTTTGCTAAATTTTAGTCATTTATCATATGGTATAATCCTATATTAACACATAATTTATTTGATATCAATTTCAGCTTATCATTCATTGATAAAATCGTACCTTTTATTGAACATTCTGCCATTGATATTCTCATTGAATAATAAATAGTATGTATATTTCTTTTTTGTTGCTTTTCTGCTGAAAAATAAATCCATTGAACTTCTTTTTATTCACCAGATATTGAAAAATCATTGTAACAGTTTCTTTTCAAATATTTTCTCAAAGATAAAAGATTGAATTTTAATTCTATCCTGTCTCTTCTTTAAATACTGCTATAAGTATCTTCTCTTGTTATCTATATACTGTAGTTATATCAACGTCCTTGTCATTCCTTTCTTTGCTAGTTACCAATCATGAACGCTTTCTTTCGTGTTTCAGTGCAGATATGGTTCTCTCGACTAGGATTTGATTACAGTTCGATGAGAAAAACCTAAAGAAAAAAATACGAAAAGAAAGATTGTTCTAAATGGGCTATTATTTTACTGTTCTACAAAGATCTTTTGTTTTAAAAATACCATCAAAAGTCGTTTGAACTACTGAAAACTATTAGCAACCATCATTTTTATTAATAAAGATGTCAGTTTTGTGCGTTATTTTAGTGACAAACATTTCTAATCATCTTTCTCAATTATATCGAAAAGTTAAGTCGTATATTCAAGATTTTAATTTATTTCCATCGGTTCCACCATCAACCGATGAACATCAGCTTCGAAATGAAAATATATCCACTAGAATATTCCTTTATCTGTCAATTTTATTTTTGGCTATTCTTCTATTATACACTTCTTTGATTAATGTAACACAAACTATGAATGTCAAAGCACCTACCATGACACAATATTTAGAGTTATATTCAACATATCCACAAACATTAAAATGCCCATGTAAACAAATATCCATGAATTATGACACATTTCTTTCTATTGAATATACATTTCACCAAGTATGTACAAGTGTTTTTATTACCCAAGATTGGATTAATTTCCTAAACCAAGAATATTATTATGGAGGCGATTTATATGTTGACGATTATCGTTTGACAAGTATATTTACATTTCAAGCTTTAAATACATTTTGTGGATTAGCCATTCAGACGACCTCTATTCGTCTGAGTCAGTTTTATTCAACTCAGTATGTTAGTGCATTTGTAATACCATCAGAAATATTTGACCCACAAGTGCAGACATTGGTAGAGCAGTTTATATCATCAACAACTCATGATTTTTCGTTGTCAATATCTACAGTAAGAGACACAACTCAAAGTAATGCTTTATTCTCTAGCCAACAAACTAACTATGAAATGTATCTGTTGGGCGGACGTGGTTATGCATATACAGATCCATGGTCCTATGGTGATTGTAGTTGTTCCTTATCAGCTACATGTATCGAACAATCATCAATGTTTCGATATTCTAATGGAAGAGTATTATATTCCGTACCTGGTATGTATACTGGATGTTATATAGTTGAATCACTACTTCAATCCAATCTTCAATGTTTTTATAATCAAACTTGTATAAATAAAGTAGTATCATATTTCGTAACACGTCCACTAATGAATACAACAGCTCTTAAAAACTCATTACCAAGCCAGTTTTTGCCAAACTCAACACTTAAAGAAGTTATCAATGAGATAATGGTTGAACAATTTATTCCATCAATAATATATAATAGTTATTACAATGCATGTCAGCCAACAGAATGTACTTACACTTATCAAACAAAGAATAGTATTATCTATATTGTAACGACACTGATTGGTCTACTTGGTGGTTTGATAACAGTATTGAAGTTGATCATACCACCAGTAGTGATGTTTATAAGAAAAGAGAAAGAACGATCACGACCAGACATTGGTAAGAGATATAATAATTTCTTAAGAGTACTTTATGCTTCCTTAGTTGCTAATACTTCTTATTTTTCTAATGACATTTTAGCTAAATATTTCGCAAGAGTATGAATGTATAATAAGGCGGAACAATAAATATAATTTTCTTATCTTCAAATTAACTTACAATGTAACTAGATCTATAGCTGTTTCAACAATAGATTAAATCTCTGTCCTGTATACTAATCATTGATTTTTAACCAGATATAACTTTCATAGAATAATGTGAATAAACATTAGATAAATCATGTACATTGAGATGTAAATTTTTTAATATATTATCCTGAATCGATAAAGATAAATTTTATTCACATGAATTGAAATAAAGAGAAATCTTACTTGAATATTAAATAATATACTTGCAAAATAAATTGATGAGTGGAGATTGTAGAGAGATGTTCATAATAAGTCAGTTTTCTCCATTAGTTAGTGCGTCCACCTGTTTTATCTCCATAACGAAAATTTTCAGAGGATGTTTTTTATTTTAGAAATTATTCAAGGAGAAGAAAGATATAGCGCAAGTCAAAGGGTGAAAAATTATTTAGTTACATACAATACGTTTCCATCGTTTCCACCATCAACCGATGAACGTCAACTTCGGAGTGAACGAATATCAACTAGAGTATACATTATTTTGTTAACTTTATCTTTAGCTATCCTTCTATTATATACTTCTTTGATTAATGTAACACAAACTGTGAATGTCAACGCACCTACCATGACAAAATATTTGGACTTATATTCAACATATTCACAAGCATTAACATGCCCATGTAAACAAGTATCTATCAGTTATAATACATTTATTTCCATTGAATATACATTTCATCAAATATGTACTAGTGTTTTTATTAGTCAAGATTGGATTGATTATCTTTCTAAATCTTACGGGAGCAATGGCGTACATATGCATGACTTTCGTGACACAAGTCCATTTACATTTCAAGCCTTGAGTACTCTTTGTGATTTAATCAATCAAACCGTCTCTATTCGTCTGAGTCAGTTTAATTCAAGTCAATATGTTAGTGCATCTGTGACATCATCAGATGTGTTTAAATCTCAAGCTCAGTCATTGATAGATCAATTCAGATTATCAGCAACTAATGATTTCTTGTTATCACTCACTACAATACGAAACACAACTCAAAGTAATGCTTTATTTTCTGGCCTACAAACTAATTATTATTTCATTACACAAAATGATACAAAATGGCCAGATCCGTATCCAGTAGCGTATGGTAACTGTACTTGTTCATATTCACCTAAATGTATCGCGCAATCTGGTATTTACAATTATCCAGATCCAACGATTTTATTCAGTGTACCGGGTATTTATATTGGATGTTATGTAATTGAATCATTACTTCAATCAGATCTTCGATGTTTTTATAATCAAACATGTATAGATCAATTACAAGCACATTTCTTATCGACTTCTTTGATGAATATAACAACACTTGACGAATCATTGTTAGGTAAGCTTCGGAAAAACTCAACAATTGAAGAAGTTGTTGGTCAGTTAATGATGGTACAATGGAATCAATCAATAATGTATGATGAATATTTCAATGCGTGTCAGCCATTCGAATGCACTTACACTCATCAAATTAGGAATAAACTGATTTATATTGTAACAACACTGATTGGACTGCTGGGTGGTTTGATAACAATGTTGAAACTAATTGTACCACGAGTAGTAGGATTTGCAAGGAGAAAGCAAGAACAACCAACAGCACAGATTGGTAAGAGAACATCAGAAAAGACTATTTATCTTTCTTTATATATATATATATATATATATATATGTGTGTGATGTAAACTAAAAGATCTATTAATCGAGACATGTAGTTTTAGTAAGAGTATGAAATTTCAGTAAACTTATGACTGGGGCTGTTCTGAAAAGAAGTGAATCAGACAGGATGAAATAGTACTAAGTATGATGTTATCTCTCTTAATACCGTACCTTCTTTGTAAATCATATAGCATCCTGTTTATCACTATGTGATATATCAAGAACTCATAGTCATAGGACTTTTCAGAGAGCCATATGTGTTACTGGAGCCAAAAAATTAAATAGAACTTGAATATAATCAGAAAGATCGATAGAATATGAGAATGTCAGTGTTTAGAAAGCCACCGGAGTAAGTAGCAGAAGCCATAATATTTTGTAATGGTTCATGAAGTTAGAGTACAATGACATATTGCAGATAAGAAATATCATTCGAAAGAATGCATAATCGTTAGGAGGAAATGGTTTGTTAGATTGGCATCTATGCGTTATATCAGACATAACGTTTATGTCAATTCTATGATAAAAGAAGAATGGTTTTATCCTTTATATTTACTAAGCTTTTGTTTCATTTATTTTTTTAGCAGCGATGAGTATTAATGAACGAATTCATCTATTATACCGAAAAGTTAAGTCGTATATTCAAGATTTTAATTTATTTCCAGCGGTTCCACCATCAACCGATGAACGTCAGCTTCGAAATGAAAAAATATCCACTAGATTATTTATCATTTTGTTAACTTTATCTTTGGCTGTGCTTCTCTTATACACTTCTTTGATTAATCTAACGCAAACTGTGAATGAGAAAGCACCTACAATGATAAAATATTTAGAGTTATATTCAACATATCCACAAACATTAATATGCCCATGTACACAGATATCTATCAATTATGGCACATTTCTTTCTATTGAATATACATTTCACCAAGTATGCACTAGTTTTTTTATTAAACAGGATTGGATTCGTTATCTTTCTGACAATTATCAAGCTGGAAATATTTCTAGTTATGACTTTCGATCAATGGGTCCATATTTATTTCAAGCTTTAAATGCATTTTGTGAATTAGTCAATCAGACCATCTCTATTCGTCTGAGTCAGTTTAATTCAAGTCAATATGTTAGTGCATCTGTGATATCATCAGATGTGTTTAAATCTCAAGCTCAGTCATTAGTAAATCAGTTCAATTCATCAACAACTTCTGATTTTTTGTTATCATTAACTATAATACGAAACATGACTCAAAGTAATGCTTTATTCGCTGGCCCACTGACCAGCTATGGATTCGGCACAGACATTGGTTATGATTATCCATTTTTCTACCCGCAAATATACGATGGATGTAGTTGTGAGATTTCTGCCGTATGTTCTTATTCATCTAGAATTTGCGGTTCTGATGGGTGTAATTCCCCAGCATTCTATGTGCCAGGTTTCTATATGGCATGTTATATAATTGAATCATTACTTCAATCTGATCTTCGATGTTTTTATAATCAAACATGTATAGATCAACTACAATCATATTTCACATCGTCATCTTTCATCAATATCACATCTCTTGATGAATCGTTACCAAGTCGTTTTTTGCCAAATTCAACATTTGAAGAAATAGTTAATGGTTTAATGATTGAACAATGGAATCCATCGGATCAGTCAGTAATGTATGAGCGATATTTCAATGCATGTCGACCATCAGAATGTACTTACACACAACAGACAAAAAATAGTATTATTTACATTGTAACGACATTGATTGGACTACTGGGTGGTTTGATAACAGCTTTGAAACTGATAGTGCCACGACTGGTTCAATTTACTGCGTTTTGTATTCGAAAATGGAGAATGAGAAATACCGCAGTCATACCAGTGATCAATACATAACTATTGTTACTTTGATAAAAACTGTATATGTATATTTAAATATCTTCAATTCACCGGCTATAAATTAATCAATATTTTATTATATCATTTTAGTTTGCTTATAGTCTCTTTCATTTTGCTTTTAGAAATTTCTAAATATATACAATAAATGTCGTTTTAAAAACTATGTTTCTCATAATTTCAATAGCGCCAAACTTCAAAGTTGAATTCTGTCTGTCTGCCTGTTTGTGGTAAGGTGTGGGTTTTGATGGTAAATGAGGAGAATACCTTCGCCCACCCACACCCTTTCAACTGTTATTTATTTAGGAAGATAAAAATGAGATTAAAAATATCGTTTTGCACTGCATGTCTACTTTTATAATTAAAACTTGCAGATTTTTCATTCGTTTGGAGGATACATATTCCTTATTACTCTCGTGACTGCTTATTGTAGAAGAGAATAATACACGTCAGATTTGACTCTTTTGTAAATTAAATTTATTTTCGATTATGTGTGACGATGATGATCTGAATTTATTAGAGATTCTAGTAATAGGGAAGAAACTTTTTCTTGTAAATTAGATTCGAAATAATTATTTGCTAGATATCTCGCTACGTACCATAGCAAATATAACAAAAACGATAAAGATATCAATCAATTTTAAAACAGAAAAATAATCTAATTGCAACAGAATTTACTTTAATAATAGGACTGTTCGGTTTAAGACGTGAATTTGATTGTTGAATAACTTCTTGTATTAATAATACATATTTGAATAATTATTTTACGTTTCTATTTAAGTCATTGATAATTTTATTCAATTGATTTCAAAAAGAGATTTCGAGTGACTTGAGTTTTATCACTTTCATGCACGGGGAAAGTAATACTCAATTGTAAACTATTAACGGAAATAGTGTACAGATACAAACATATTTAATATGCTTTTTTTAATCTTGAAAGTATATCAATTATCATATTAAGAACATTTCTTTTGAGGAATTGAACAATAGTTAAGTTGTTTGAAGTATTCAATGTGAGCATATAAAGGATAAATATATATGTATTTTGAAACATTAATTAATGTTAATGCATGTTTCTTTTTCAATTTTGTATTGTGCAAAGATTCATAAAGAAAATAAAATACATTATATATTGGACAAGTTCCACGTTTTTTCATAACTTATTATTTGTTTATTTTTTTGTCGAATTAAATTATCTTTTTATAGACACGCAACATATCCAATTCCAATATTAATCACCGATAGAATTAACAAAAGTATGGTGTTGAATATTTTCTTTTCTATTCTCTTAGATTTTACTGATGGAAAGTTCATTTCTTCTAACACTTCCTGTTGAAATTGTACATCGTATTTTGGATTGCTTCAATATTGAGGATATTCTATTTTCATTTCGTTATGTTTGCAAAAAGTTTTATTCTATTACCGATATCTACAATCGATTAACGCTCGACCTTTCTAACCATTCATCGCAAACTAGTATTCATCGTTTGCACCGAATCATTTCACCAGAAAATGTCACAACATTAATTCTTCGAAACTCTTATTACAACAATGAATTAAATGATATTGATTATTTTTTTTCATTTAATGATATTCATCGATTTACTGGACTTCGTTTTGTACGTCTTGATAGTTTGACTGAAAAAGATTTTCGCACAGTCATCTGTCATCTCACGACTCTTTCTACATTCAAATCATTGTCAATCTTTGACCGACGAATTCTAAAAAATGATATAATTATTCTTCTTTCAAAGGTTACTGCATTGCAAAGTATTCGAGAACTCGATTTCGACGTTAGTACTCGAGTTCTCAACGAAATCTCATGGCCAAAACATGGAATGTATCAGAAAATAAATTTAAAACTATGTTCTTATAAACAATGGTGCCATATTCTTCACCATTCACCAAATCTTCGAATAGCTTCTATAACAAAGCTTGACATGAACAATATCGCCAAAGATGTTGCTTGTAACACCTATAAGCAGCTAACTTCATTGACATTGAATTGCATTCAATGTCCAATCGATCAAGTGGAAATGCTGCTTGCATCTTATCCATCACTTATTTCCATCAATTTAACTTTAAACATAATTTCTTCATTCGAAAATCTTCAACGTTTCTCGCAATGGGAATATTTTATTGGTGAGAAATTACCTCGACTTAAAACTGTTCGTTTTCGGATTTCTTCTCCAATATCTCGTTCTCAAGATTTTGCAAATATTAAATCTATTATTGCTGCATTTCGTACATCATTCTGGCTTCAACGTAAATGTTGGTATATGCAATTTAAGTATGTGATTAATAATGATGGAGCTCAGTTTATTATTAATTCTTCCGTCGATGGATATGTGGATTTGTATCAAGAATTCGAAACAGGTTTAATATCGTATTTTACTTCTACTAGAAAAGATGATGATGGACCAAAGATGCACAATGTATGGAGTGCTATTGTTAATTTACCAGAAGTGACACAAGCTATCTGTTCTCGTCGAGTACGTATTATTATTGATTGTCAGATAATAAAAATCTTTTTTTTGATTGTTTGTTCTTAGTTTACAATTCCGAAGTATTATTTATTTGATAATGTCATTCAACTTGGACTTGATATCGATCACTTTGATGATTGGCAGCGATCTTCTTCATTTGGTTGTCTTTCAAAATTAATTAATCTTTCACAATTGAAAGAAATTTATTTCTTATTATCATGTAAAGCAACTTTTGAAGCAAGTAAAATCAATACTATACTCGAAAAAGCAATTAATGTTCGAACTTTTGGAATAAAGAATAATGGTAGTTTACGAGATCATATGGAAAATGATTGTGCTGCAATATCTCCTCAAATTGAACATTTTATAATACGATCGCCAGATACCTGTACCATGAAAGTCATTGCCGAACATGTTGAACATATATCTACTATTACATTTTCATGTGATTGGAGTTCATCAAAAACTTGGAAGAAAATAATTAAATGGCTTATGGAAAAAGAAAAGAAATTCTCAGTAACAGATGATTATCGATTAATTCGAATATGGATGAAAGATACTATTGACATATAAAATACATTAACTGGATTTCTTTTTATCTTTTGAATTTTAATTATTTCACTGGTAATTTCTTAGATTTGTATTTATCAACTTTTTATTATAAAGAATCACTAATTAGAAAAGTTTCATCTTCTCTTAAAACTTCAATACTGAACTAGAAGATTGATATCATTGTTTCGACGAATTGAAACCAATCGATGTTTCACAGACGGACAGAATGAATAAACAAGAAAGTTATTCAATCTGATATTTTAATAAAATCTTATTTTGATTAAGTTATATTTTATATTAATCATCATCATCATCGGACGGCAATCGATTTTAGCTGAACTCATTGACAAATACTCTTCACTTTAGAAATATTTTCTTTTTTTCATCTTCACATTTGATATATGAGGTGATGTGTCTGTTTTTAATTATGATCAAATCATTACTGAAGATATGTTTTATGTCTTATGATAAAACTAATTGACTTCTTCATGAAATATTTCGATGTCGGATGAAAGTGGAGATGCGAATAAACATATAAAGATATTCATATCTACATTGATAATCTGAAGTTTAGAGATTTTATTGTTAAAACTGTGAAAAGACTAAGATGGAGGTTGTTTGTTGTTTTGTTAAAAGTGTAAAATCTGTCTGAAAATCTTGAGGATGTGAGTGCAGGTATCACAGACACAAAACACCCACACCCACCCTAAATATAATATTAATCAGTCACAAAGATCCACACCCTCAAGATCAAAGTCATAAATTGACTAATATTTTCTAAAGAATTCATATCTGACGAAAGAAAAAGTACTGAAATTTCTGTTAGGGAAGATCTGAATAAAATAGGAATATATTTAAAAAAAAATAAGACACTTAACAACATAATTATTTTCTCCAGTTAATCAAACAAAGTTTTAATTGAAAAAAAAAAAGGTATTTCAAATAGTACTGTTCTTCAAATATGTAATTACTTTAGATAAAAGAAAAAGCGATTTATGATGTAGTGATTTAAAACTCGCGTAAGTCAAGTTGGACAATATGACTTTACGGTGGTATAAGATTATTATTTCCCTGGCAATATGCATGACTCATATCGAGAGCGGAAAATCGATTTGTGATTTAAATGATTTAATTTTGATTTTCAGATGATTTAAATTACAAAAATTGATTTTTTCATATGATTTAACGTGATTTAAATGGTTTATTTGGTTTAAATTGATTTAAGTTTGATTTTTGTCGGATTTAAATCAGCTCGTTCCCCCGTGGCAATTTCTGTTAGTAGAAGATCTGAATGAAGTAGGAATGTATTTTGAAAAAAAACCACTTAACAACATAATTATTTTTTGTAGTTAATGAAACAAACTTTTAATTGAAAAAGAAAAGTATTTCAAAATAATAATGCTCTTCAAATATGTAATTTCTGTAAGTAGAGGATCTAAATAAAATAGAAATATATTTTGAAGAAAAACCCACTTAACAACATAATTATTTTCTGCAGTTAATCAAACAAAGTTTAAATTGAAAAAAAAAGCATTTCAGATAATAATGTTCTTCAAATATGTAATTACATTTGATATAGAAAAAGTATGTAAATTATAAATAAGAACTAAATCTGCGAAATAAAAATATTTATGTTTGATGTATTCTATTACTGATTCATTAGCATCGAATCCCATATAAATCATTTCGACAGTCAAAAACAGTGTTTTACTGCCTTGATCTTTGTTATAATTCACCGTAATCATGAATTACGAGCCGCTTCTCCTCGTTTATTTCTGAACTGATAAATTACGACGACATTATCTTTACCTTGGAATGCAAAAATTCGAAATATTACAATTGATTAATGATTATTCTTCATTTTTTTACAACAATTTTACAATTAACTAAGAGAATAATATCTAAATTTCAACTGGAATGTATTATATAGAAAAGCTGGATTTCATGTTCGTAATAACAGAAAAATATTTAATTAGAAAATATATCCTGTTAAAAAAAATATACTTCACTGAGCAGAAGAAATAAATTATTCAACATTTATATTATAATAGTTTATAAGTATTATGTAAACAGAATATTTATTTTCTTGCTTCTGTCGACACATATATTAACGTTCTTACATATCACAACTATGATTGTAAGTATGATGAGTATTCTAATCGTTCTTAAATCTATAACATACACAACTTCATTTCGTTATTTTCCAGAAAATATATTCTGGTATGAGCTCTGAGAATTGTAATCCTAAATTATGGCATCATATGCTGATTTTAACAAAAAAGTTCTAATTTCTAGTATTTGATCTTAACACATACTGCAGTTATCAGTGCTTCGAAAGGATCTCATTAGATCCTGATAAATCCTCTCTGCCGTTTTGTGACAAATCACGATGGATTCCTAGATTTTGAACTCCTGATAATGGAGCCCTCTCTTGATACCTTTATTATCGCATATCTCTCTCACTTAGACATGACACATTAAATCGAGCTGAATCTTTTTTTACCTAATAAGAAAATAAAAATGATTGTATATTAACTTACGTGCTGATTTATTTAGCAACCTCAAGCATCATTCAATGTCAGTGGAAATATTATCATTGTACAACCGATTGCTTCAGAAATAATCAGAAAGTAGATATCAAACTATCCTCATTATTATTTCATTGCTAATAATAATTTTCATTTTAAGGGTCAATGTCGTGTCAAGAAATAATGGGAAAATCATCAGGATCGGTATAATTGTTATACCTTTGTTGATTACGGCTGTCATCGCATATTTTATTGTCGCTGGTACTATCATACATAAATCATCACCATTAATATCAATAATAACAAGAACAGCAAAAACAACGACATCAGCTCTGACAAATGCTACTACCAGTACGTACACATTTCACACTTGTCAACGATAAAATGCATATATGTGAATACGAATAGAATGCTTATTTTCATCAACCATTCCGTTCTAATTTTTATTTGACCTAAATGGAAAGTATCCGCATTTGAGCATTTGCAGTTGATACTTCTAAAATCTCATTGATATAACCTTAATATATATATAAATAAGTTGTTTATTGTTTTTAGAAATCGCTACATCATTGTCAACATCAACTAACAGCAGAGTTACAACAATATCGGCTAGTACTGGTAAATAAATTTTAATTACAATTAAGCTTGTCAAACGAATATCTTTTTAGTTCGAACATCGACTACGAATAGTAACACTAGCACAAGTTCAAATTCATCTAGTACGTAATTCCATTAACTATGGTATCGAAATAATGATTTATTTTATTAATTTAGATTCTTCATGTCAGTCATTAACTTATAGTTCATATAAATCATATTCAACTGGAAATAAACCATGGTCAATTAGTATTGCCGATTTAGATAATGATAATAAGAATGATATAATCGTTCTTAATGCAAATGATGCAAATCTTGGAATATATTATAATCAAGGAAATGGTACATTTCAAACACCGATAATGTTTCAAACTGGTAGTTATCCTGTATTTGTCGGAAGTGCTGATTTAAATAATGATAATAATTTAGATTTAATCGTAGCTCAGGCTGGAAATAATAGTATTGGTTTATTTTTTGGTCTTGGTAATAAAAGTTTTAGCTCACGTATAAATATTCCAGTTGGTTCATATCCATATGGATTTGGTATTGGTGATTTCAATAAGGATGGTAATTTAGATATTGTCGCTGTTAATGATTATGACAATACTGCCAGTGTTTTATTAGGATACGGTAATAGAAGTTTTAAAAGTACCAGCACTTTATCAACAGGTAGTTATGTAACAGCAGTAGCAGTTGCTGACTTCAATGGTGATAGTTATTCAGATTTTGTTGCTACTGATTATTCTAGTAATACAGTAAGTTTATTTATTAATTATGGCAATGGAAGTTTTCAACAACGTACAGCTTATCGAACAGGAACTTCTCCATGGGGAATAGCTGTTGCAGATTTTAATCACGATAACTACATGGATGTTGTTGCTGTTAACTATGATAGTAATACAATGAGTATTTTAGTAGGAAATGGAAATGGAACACTTCAATCACAAAAATCCTATGCAACTGGACAAAATCCGATGTCTGTAGCTGTCGCTGATTTAAATAATGATACGCATATAGATATTGTTGTTGCTAACTACAATAATAATTACTTAAGTGTTTTTCACGGGTATGGTAATGGTAGTTTTACAACAGCTACAAGTTTAACAACAGATTGGTATGTAACAGCAGTAGCTATTGCTGATTTAAATGGTGACGGTCGATTAGATCTAGCCGCAACTACTAATTACCTTGCAACTTTAAATATACTTTTCAACATATGTTGATTTTCATAAGATTTAACTTTTATTCGCTTAAGCTTCAATTTAAACAATATTTCTAATGCACTATTACTTATTATATTTCATTTTGCTTTAAAATAAAGGATTTAAATTAAAAGATTTTTCAATAACCTCAATGGCTGTTCAAAAACTCAGTATTCTCCTGCAGAGAAGTAAATAAACAGGGTAGTGAAAAAGGCACCGATACTCACACCGTCAGTTGCCGTACACAGAAGGAAAGAAAAAAAACTTTTACACGTCAGCCCTTGTTGAACGACAAAAAACGCACCACGTGCTCGGTTAAATAAGAGAAAAGCTTTTTCTTGCCTAACAATACAACGAGTCATTTGTCGTCTTTTGCATCGTCTACGAAGTAGGTAAGCAGAACGGTGATGAATCGCGATTGTTATCATAGTCATTTTAATCACGACTCATAACAGCAAGTCCCTCAACTGATTTATATCAATACACACGTCCGTTTCGGTTCCAAACCTGCATGACTAGTTTTCTTTGACTACTTATGTTACTACGCCTCCAGTATAAGAGGAGATATTGGAATACAATCGTATTACGACGGAGAACGATAACTTACGTGGTTTCTTTTCATGCGCACATGTCTTTCGTATGTAAAGAGAAGAACGAAACGAATACTTATTCTTTTTTTTTCGCTCTCTCTCTATCACCTATTTGCATATGCACAGTAATTTAAGGACACGTAAAGTGCACCGAACAAAAAGAGTACTGTCGATATAAAGATTGGGAAGATCAACAAGCAAAGATACCTTTCCTATTTTTGATAATGAACGGTTCTTCAATTCTAAGACTATAAATCGTCCTCATTGATCCGATTTCTATTCATTTCTTTTTTTGATTTTCTTCTGTGCTTCTCGTTTTAGCACAAGCAAAGGTGATCCCGTCTGTCTCTACAGAGAACTGCCAAACTACCCACCGCTTTAGTGAACATGCATACATTACAACAACTTCAGTTAGGCCAGCTTGCGGGTGCTCAACGGCTGAAATTATCTTGTGGACTGACAGAATTTCCACTCGAAATACTGGATTTATCTGATACGCTTGAAATGCTCGATTTATCCAGCAATCATCTCACGTATCTACCCGATGATTTTGGTCGCTTACAAAAACTGAAGATCGCCTTCTTTTCCAATAACGATTTTACAGAACTACCAGCGGTATTCTCGCAATGTCCTTGTCTCGAAACAATTTCTTTTCGAGCCAACAAGATAACGTCTATCCCCGAGTCATTCTTTTCGCCCTCGATGCGTTCTCTAGTGTTGACTAACAATCAACTGAGAAACATTCCGTCCACCATCCATCGATCGGTTCGACTGCAGAAAGTGATGCTTGCCGGTAATGCTCTCACTTCTTTGCCTTCGACTATGGCTCAATGTCGAAATTTACAGCTGCTACGCATTTCTGTCAATCAGCTTGGTAAAATACCCTCATGGCTGTTTTCGATGCCGCAACTGTCGTGGTTGGCGTTTGCTTCTAATATGGACCGTGGAGTTTCGCAAACGGACGATGATCTAATAGGAGTTTCATGGGGTGATCTCATCGTAATGGAGCAGTTGGGTGAAGGTACCTCAGGCATCATTTCGAAAGCACACCGGCAGAACACAGCGCAGCAAGAAGTGGCTGTAAAATTATTTAAAGGAGAATTAACAACCGACGGCTTACCCACGGACGAAATGTATGCTTGTATGGCCGCAGGCGTCCACTCGAATCTGGTTCAAGTATTGGGCAGAATCGTTGGTCATCCGGAACAAAAACGTGGCTTAATGCTAGAACTCATTCCGTCCACTTTCAAAACGTTAGCTGGTCCACCCAGTTTGGACACATGCACGCGAGATATTTATCAACCGGGCACGTTGTTTTCTCGAAGCAAACTGGAGCAAATTGCCTCGGGAATCGCTGCAGCAGCCGCTCATCTGCATAGTCGCGGTATCATGCACGGTGATCTTTACGCTCATAATATTCTGGTGGGTCCTAACAAAGCATTGCTAAGCGATTTCGGTGCAGCCACATTGTATGGGAAAGACTATTCGGATGATGCAGCCGCTATCGAACGTTTGGAAGTGAGAGCTTTTGGATATCTCTTGGAAGAACTGCTCGAACATATCGATCCGAATGATACTCACTCAGAATCGATTAATGCTTTTACTCAGCTGAAAGAAGACTGCATGCAATTGGAAGTCTTGAAACGGCCCAATTTTGCTGAGATCTGCCACCGAATAGCTGCTTTTCGATTACTGACCAAAACGCTGTCGTCAACATGAAGGTTTTTCATTTACAGCGATTTATAGTTTTTTGAACGGAGGAAATAAATGCTTTAAGTTTTGAAATTACTATAAATGCGTTTTTCTTCTCAAACTAATCTGAGAACATTCTAGTGACTTTTCGTCGGCAAAATCTTTTTGATTTCATTGCGACAAGTGTGCAAGGAACTGCTCAATACTGACTACTTTAACCCTCGGTTACTGTTTCGAATCATTTGTTTTTTGTACACTCTCCATGCGGACCCCAAAACACTGTTGAAGTTATAAAATGAGAACGGTAACCGATAGTCAGATGGGGACCGACTTTAACATCTGGTTTGTGTATTGAAGCGTGTACAGGATATAGTGGAACAACTGCTAATCAACTAAATTATCCTGTGGCTATAGTATTTGATAGTAACGGATCTCTGTATATTTCTGATAATGATAACAACAGAGTACAAAAGTTTCAAATCCTTAACAATCCATGTGAGATTTATATTCACTTTGTAACTAAAATAGACGTCTTTTTTTCAATGTTTCAGTTCAACGCACTAATAAATATCTTGGTCCATTAGTATTTATTTTATTTATATTTTCTGTAGTTTTAATTTGTTGTAGAATGATGATTTCAATAATTTATAATCGTTTTCGTCATATTAGATGTATTAATAAATCAATATTAAATGAAAATACAGATATTTTTTTATTTTTATATGAGAAAATAAAACATTTATTTATCTACATATTCGAATAAATATTAAAATTGAAAGTTTAGAACAGGAAAATCTAATGAATGAATTATCAGATAATATTAATGTTAATTGAATTTGAGTAATTTTTATTTTTCGATTAAATTGATATTTTTTTTTAAATTTCAATTCACAATGAGTTCATTAAAGACATCGCGATCTTTGTTCGATAATCTGAGTTGATGTTGTATATATATGTCTTAATATAAATTAATATTATTCTACGATTGATTGTCTATCTTCAGATCACTACGCACTACTCAAAAAAACTTTAAAATAGTTTTTCTTAATTTAAACTTCATATGTCACCATCAAAATCTTTCTTGATCTCACTAATTATTAATAGCAACTCGATTAGACTATGATATACGAGTATCATTGAATAAAGTTCTTTTTAACAAAATATATACTATATAAAAAAGAAAAGATCAATGTAAGACTATCTTATATATTAATTTATAGAAAAAAGAATAAAAAATGTAATATGACTTTTTTAGAAAAATAAATAGGTTATAAAGATTTGTTCTTTGGTTTTGATGGACGTAATACTTCTCGTACAATTAAAACCGTCCAATAAATATTAAGTACTCGTGTTAAGAAACCTAAACTTCCTTGTACTAATCCAAAAACTATACTTGTTAAATCATCTGCATTAAATGCCATTTGAAAAAAATCGAGTCCAGCACAGAGAGCATATCCACATATAATCGATCCATAAATAAGACGACTTACTAAGAAACTAAAAACAAATAAATATCCAAAAATACCATCTAAACGAGGACGATTATGATATAATGCTTTTAAATTTAATGGAATTGTTGATAATTCTTCAGCAAGTAAATAAAAATGACACGGATGACAAATTCCATTTATTATACCTATACAATATATTATGCAAAAACAAGCGTATAAAATATAAAATTAAAAAAAAACTAACCAGCATAAAACGCTAGAAGAATTATAATATGATGTGCTAATGCTGCTGTTGTTCTTACTGATTTACAAAATAACATTAATAATATATCATATATAAAATAACCTAATGAATAACATATACTGTAAGCCATAATTTCATCACCAGTTCCATAAATTCCCCCGCCAGCTGTTCGATTAATTTGTTTTAAATTAACTGAATAACGTACAAAAAAATTTATAACACCACAAACACATATAATTGCATGAATTGTGGAAATAACATAAGTTTTAAGTGATGGTGTTAACTTCGATGGTAATAAATAAAAAATTAAACTGTTTACGACTGTTGAAAGAAATATTATTGTATATATTGGTACATCCGGTGAAGGTGTATTGCCAAGATCTATATTACTTACATATATATGTACATTGATAAAGCAAAATATACAACTTACATTCAAAACGAGCATGATCATCAAGCAACATCGATAGTATAATGATAAAAAACAAAACAGTACGACATGGTAAAAACGTGTCGTCACGGTCTACTAGATCGGTGTGAAGTTAGCACGAAAACCAATCACATTCTCAGAACTAACATCCAATCAGACGACAAGCACAAAATACCACCAACAATCCACAGAATACCAACTCAACAACCTTAGTTACCATGCAAAATTCAAAATACTTTCCAACACATCTTCCTAAAAAACCGAGCATCTAGTGCTCTCTTAAACTCATTCGTCAGATATAGAATTTCCTTTTCTATCGAATGGTATACTCCGTCTCTACAGATCAACTTTCCTAAGAAGAAGATTCTCCTTTTAAGCATATCTTCCAGTTCAGTATTGATAAATCAAAAGAAAAAAAAGGAATTTTTTTCTTTCAAAGTATGACCGGCTCTTTTAAACTAGCTTATTAAATACAGAATTTAATTCTCTATCGAACAGTATAGTCAGTTTCTCCCGGCCATATTTTCTTACAAGAAGGTTTTCTCTTCAATCATATCTTCCAATGCACTATTGCTCAATGAAAAGAAAAAAACTTTTTTTTTTGTCCAAAGTATGGCCCATTGTTCTAAACTAGTTCGCTAGAAACAGAATTTCATTGTCTATCGAATAGTATGTTTAGTCTCTCTCGGCCATGCTCCCTAAAGGAAAGATTTTCTTTACAACTATATTACAAAAGCGTCTTTATCGAGTACTGTAGTGCGTTTAGCAAATATGTAATTGAATTACGCACAAGTTTTCTTTATTTTCTATCTCTTTTTTTGTAGCTGTATGAAAAAGAACAATACAATTCTATTGAGAAGATAACACAACTGTCAGTCATCAGTAAGTTGTATGAAGAATATGATTGGAACGTACGGTTCAATATTCTCTTTCGTGTCGTAAAACTGATATTGTACCATAAATTTTTCTTTAGAGTATCTTTTTCTAAACTATCTTTCAATATTAAGAAAGAGTAAGGAAAGATTTATTGTAAAAATCCAATTATTCGTAAACCTACGAATGTCAGTTTTTAATATCGAATATGTTTAGATTTCGTCTGATTAACCTTTCAACAGATTGCTTCTTTACTATTGCCATTTCAACAGCACAGAATATGATGCAGTCTTGTAACTCGTTCAATCTCTTTTCTTTCGCTTCTATACCTATATAAATATTCATGTTTATCGATATATTCTATTTTGTCTATCAAAAAAACATGATAATGGTTCCAAATAATATGCATTCTCTATTTATATCGTATAATGTGGTAAAGATCTGTGAGTATATTCTTCGCAAGAATACTAGATGTACTTCAATGATTTTCAGATTAACAGAATTAGCGTGCTGTTATTAAGTTACTAAGGACAGCCATGTCCATATTTCTGTACTCTACAATGATGCTTTCGTAGTTCTGATTTTATGATTAATTAATTCTTAGCCAATGAGAATTTTTCTCTTTTCGTGCCAGCTTCACACTAGTTCGATGTCTACTAGCGTTGAGAACAAAGCGAGAGAAAAACGTTGTATCATTATAAATTATTATATTCATATATATCCTATATAGAAAGTGACACATGCGATGTACCACATAGATGAATTCTTCGCTTAATTTTTTCGTTTGATGATAGCACCATCAAAAGTTCTACAAAAAAATATAACAACAACTCTCTATTGACTTGTATTTATACTAAAAATGAAAAAGTTACATGATAGTATGACTTCTCATCATAATAAAAAAAGGTTTGGAAGACTTTTTTGTTTTTCAATAGGACTTTGTTTATGCAGCGTTTGTAGAACTTTTGACGGCGCATCTTTTGAAAAAAATCAAGTTTTATCATTTTCTCAAGCTGAGATACATGAAAATCAAAGAAATTTTGCAAACTTTTTTGTATTACGCAGAGTATGGTGGAAGGTCGTACTAACATGTAGCTTATTCATTTTAAGTATAAAAATAATTCAATAGAGGTTTGTTATTACATTGTTTTGTAGATCTTTTAACGGCGCATCTTTTGAAAAAAAATTCAAGATTTTATCATCTACCTAAGCCGAGTCATTCTAACAGAGCCAGAATACAGAAAAATGTTCGGGACAATGTTATTAATGCTTCTCATCCATAGTAAAAGCTGCAGACCTGAAACTTTGTAGTAATGTAGTACTTAACATTGTTAATAATCTCTGAAATTTTCAAAGAGTTTGCTTTTGTTAAACGCGAGAACGAAACATTTTAAAAGTACTTCAGAACTACTGAAACACCCTTTATCTGTAAATAAGAACAATATTAAATCTACAAATATATCAACGAACGGCAAAATATGAATGTAGATGCGTGAAACAAAATACCGTTATTCGGCTTAACTGTTTTCTATACAATTGTGCATTTTAACGAAAGAGAACAAATCGATAGAGAAGATATATAGGATACTCTTTTTGAAATATCTGTGTATAGTTGTATATTGATATACTTTTTCTTTTGTTAAAATTTGACTTTAAGATCATATTCGTGATATTTCATTTATACTATCTTATGGTTCCTGTTCGTGTTAATAAAATCATGTCTCTTGATGTTACCACATCTATCATTCATGACGTATTGATATAAATTTTTTGAAAGATATGTATTTATGGATGTGAAAGTATCAAGTATTGGTGAAAAAAAACACTGTAATCTAGATAACTAGCATTGATTTAAACTCATTGGATGAACATATTCATTATATCTTTTTTTCAAATAATATTTCGGCATTCATCTACTCATAAAATTATTATGTAATAGTAAGTAGTTTAAAGTATATTCTTTTTTCATTTGATTCAAAATCTTGTAAAAATTCTATTGCATCTTAGACATTATTCAATTGTCAAAGTTAATATTTATTATATTTTTGAAACGCTTACTGTTTAATTGTAAATGTAATTTTCGTATCTGTGAAACAATAAATATAACATATCAAGAAAATAATCAGAACAAAATCCTATTTAGTTATCATGAAATAAATAGAAATAAATTTTCATTCTTACTATATATACATACTAAATAATAATTTCTTATTTATTCATCCTTCGATTATAGAAACTATGCGCCTATTCTTTTCTATTTTTATTGGATAAAAAGAAAAGAAAAGAAAACATATGACAAACATCCTTGATAAAATAAAACAACTGAAGATTGTACGTAATAGATTAGGTTTTTTCTTCTGTCTATATATCAAATTAATTAGATATTTCGAACAATTACCCAATGAAATTTTATTAGATTTATTTGAAAATTATATACGTTTAATTAATATTTATTTCGCATTTTATTTTCTTAATAATCGTCGAATAAATGAAATTATAAATTTTGTTCATTTTTCTATTGATATACCTTCAAAAGATATATTTCATATGAAATCTTTTTCACATTTTGCCAATCAAATTATTTCATTACGTTTATCAAAATGAATTAATCTACGATATTTACATATAGAAAAACCAGCACAAACAATTAATTTCAATTCGACCTGAAATACTTCCACCTTGTTGGTATAGTGTGGGAGAATTACCAAAACATTTAGAAAATATTAATCAATCATGTTCTTTCAAATATTTACATTTTTGTATTTTACCTGATGGAAAAATGATTCGTATTCTATTAAAACCTGATCAACAAAAGATAATGAGACAAAAACCAAAGTGGTGATTCAGGTACATTACATAATTTTACTGGACAACGAAGTGGATCATCATAATTTCCAGCTTGTTCATAGATTAATTGTTGTTGTAGGTGGATAATATCTATTCAAATAAACATTAACTTTCAGAACGATGACTGGTTTCTCTAGCATAATTTTAACTAACCTTAAATAAACCGATTCTCCATATTCTTCTTTATGTCGTCTAACATTTGACAACGACAAAACTTGATGTTCATTAACAGTTTAAGAAAAAAATATGATTATTTCTTTTTTTATTTTAACTAGATTTTTTAATTCATAGAAGTATAAAAAAAATGATAACAAAATATTCTGTTTATTTTCCTCATTCTAATGACGAAATAACTCACATATAAATTTCATCTAAATACATTCTATCATGAGTGATATCATTCTCGTCAAAATCTTCACTCAATATCTTGTTTTGTTCTCTAGATAAATTAGTATGCTTCCCCATATTCGATTGAATTTTATTTTTAATCATTTGTTCTTGTTTTTCACCTAACAAATTTTTTCTACCATGTAAATGACGAACAGTAATCGTTTTTCCATTATCAGGATAATACATCCATGCTCCCCAATGTTTCCATTTTTCAAATGCAGCTTCTTTTGTTAGTGAATTTGTTATACTTTGCATATACTCAATACCAAATGTATCTTCAATAAAGTCTCCTCTTTTTATAAGTGGCATAGCAAAAATTTGACGATATGTTTCGACCGAACATAAATGTGGTCTATCAAACCAATGTAGACAAGCGATTAAATCATTGCTAAAGGGACGATCTGATCGGATATTTCGAGATTGCAAGAAAATATGACGATAATATGGATGTGTATGACCTCTACTTATTTCATAGTTTAATGACATGCGTGCGATAAAACCAATGTATTGTATTTCATTTTCGTTCTTTAAAATTGACAGAAGATCAAATATAGGTGGATGAAATTCAAAAATCCAATCATGTTGTAGAATCATAACATATGCTGTTTTCACATAATTTAATGCATTTTTGACACTGAATGCAAACCCATTGCGTTTTTTCGATATGAGAAAGGTCACATTACGATCTAAAGTAGTTGAAATCATACTTTCCTCATCATACGATAAACAAGAAACATCGCCGAATAATCTCTGAACATTTTCAATATAAGCAGAATATCGATTGGCTAGGTCCTGAGGAATACATCCTTTTTTTAACCTACCAGATTCATCTGAGGCAACAGTAAAATTATCAAAAGTAATGATAACGGGTACTTTTGATAACGAACTCGGTAATGATGCAAGAATTTTTTGAATCAGATCAGATGACGGAGCAGAAGGAACAGGTGAAGTTGTGACGATTATTGTTAATAAATCAGACAAAATAGATGACTCATGTATCTGATTCAGCATTTTTAAGAATTGAGATTACACTGCATTATATTATGCTTTTACTGTTTTTTTTATGATAAATATAATAATTCCGTTATAAAATAATACAATATTAAACGTAAACGATGATAACGATAAAAAAAGTACTGAATACTGGTTACGTGTCGTATGATGCAATTACTTATTCTAAAAATACAAAAAAACAAATTTATTTTTTCATACTGCGCTTATGATTAATATTGACAAAGATTGAGTAATGACTACAATTCGATACTTTGTTTTTTTCTTATAAAAAAAATGTACAATGAAAGAAAAACAAAAATATATTACACTTTTTTTTGCATAAACGAGTTGTCAATATGTATTGCCTTCGTTTCATACAGAAGAAAACCATAAAAAGCAAAAGTGATTGGTAATTCATTTTACATGTGTATGAAGCCTACCACCTTTATTGTTTGAAAAGAAAAGAAAAAATTGTGGCGAAAACGAAGCAAAAAAAAAAAAAGAAGTAAACATTACATTTACATAACGTTGAAAACAAAGTAGGCAATAGATTACAATCCAAGGTTGTCAGTCGGTGTAAACATCGACATTTATTGTCTATTCTACTAGTTTAATTCGAATATATTTGTGTAGATAGTATACTTATTCTATCACTTATTGTCAACATTTCGTTATTCCAACCTTAAACTCTAGGCGAATTAAAAAAAAAAATGTTGCGCAACACAGCGTTATTATGTTTATTATTAGTCATATCATTATCAACATCATCATCAACATTAACTAAGCGAAAAAATCTCGTACGTCGACAACTTAATCCTCAACATTGTGAAGCTATAACTGGTTTCGATTGTAAATGTTCATATTATCGTGTCACATGTACAATTGATCATGAATTACCATCACCCATAAATATTATAGAAAATGAAAAACAAAAATATCAATCTGTTGAATTAGTTATCGCAGCTCCGCGTGATATCAATGTTAATGACCGTACATTTGAACCGATTAAAGATTTATATAAATCTGATGGAAATAATTTTGAATTTCGTATTAAATTTGAAAAATTTACTTCACTTCGTTTAACATCACCTTCAATATTTAATCGAGTATTTCCAGATGATTTACCATCGGATGCACAAAAACATTTCGCATTAGAAATCTATAATCCTGATGTACCATCAAATAATAATCCAAATTTATTTCAAAATTTAAATGCTAATTCATTAGAAATTTATGCATTATATCCATTTTTTGGTACATTTCAAGAATTATTTAAGGATGCTAATATCAAATTTCTACATTTAAGTGGTTTTGATGTACATTCAGATGTTTCACAACCATTTACAGGAACTATTGCTCATTTAGAATTAGCTAAACAAGCTGATTCATTATCAGTACAAAATTTTCCTGTTTATCCAGTACATGAATTAACTATTAATGCTCTTTCTTTAACTAATTTTAATAGTGAACATCCATCAAATTATGCTAATTTAGGTGAATTACGTGTTCATAGTCCAGATCGTATACCAGCAAATGCTTTTCGTCAATTTCCTAATATACATACTTTATCAGTTCAAAGTGATAAAGGCATTGATTTACAAGCATTTGATGGTTTAACCCACTTAGAAAAATTAACAATCAAAGATTCACAACCAAATTTAGATCTTTTCAATAAATTACCAAATCTTAAAGAATTTGAAACAAATATTGAAAAATTAGATGAAAAGACACAATGTAAATTAATTGAAAAATTAGCTAATGGACAAGTTGCTATTCAAGCCATACAAGATGATCGAGAATGTACATGTGTACAGGCTTATTTGGATACAGCTGCTGGACGAGTGCCATGTAATGCCCAGGATTGTGCACATTCATCATGTGCTGTAATTAAAAATAATTATAACGCAGATACAAATACATTTAATCCACCACCACCTATCCGACGTTCTGATGGTACAAATGCTTTGCTTGAACGTGATCCACGAGTGTACACTGCACCATTTCAAGTAGCACATCAAGATCAACAGAAACTACAAAACGCTGCTCCACAACAACAACATCAGCAACAATCAGAAGAAGATAATCGACGACCTGGTGGTGAACATGAACGTCCACATTCACCAAATGAACCTTATAAACCACAAGATACATATGATCACTCATCAAATGTCGACAACAGTCAAACTGAGAAACCTTATCCTGATCCTTCACCTAAATATGAAAATCCATGGGAGGATCCAAATTATTATCAATCAAACGTTGGCAACAGTCAAACTGAAAAACCTTACTCTGATCCTTCAACTACAGATGAAAATTTATTGGATGATGAAGATTATGATGTACCAGATAATGAAGCAGAAGCAACAACGCAAAGAGTCACACAAGATATCTGGGATCAGAATCCAATTGATATTACTACTACTGTTCCTTCTCCTTATTCGATCGATGATGGTTACCAAGGAGGACAAGATAGCGAAGAATTACAACCTGATTCAGCAACTGCTCGACCAGATGGACGTGATGCAGAAGAAGATGCAACAGATTCATCTAATGCAGATATTACACCAGTACCACCAAAGAAAAAAATGAGTTGGATACCAATTATAATTATAGGTGCAGCAATTATTGGTGCTCTCCTTATTGGTTTAATCATTATGCTTTTACGTAAACGACGTGCTGCAGGTGGTAACAAAAAAGGATATACTCCAGCAGCAACCACCGAACAAAAAGTATAAACCAACCCGGACATACATGCCTTTTAAAATACGTTTTTACAATTAATTGTCGTCTCGTCTTATGTTTTGTTTAATTTTTCTTTTTTTTTTTATCGTCAATGTCCTTCCGCAGTTTAAACAAGAACAAGTATCAATATTATTATTATTATGATTAACATTCTCCTCTACTTTAGTATATAAAGAGGAGACATATAATAATACTATATACCACGTGTGTGTGTGTGTTTTCTTTTTTTTTTCTTTCTTCAATTTCATTTCTCTCTTTTATTATTACTCACGCGATAAAATATTGTGCTTTTTCGTCTCTATATTTCATTCTTGTTTTTTGTTTTATTAAAATAAAAATTATTCAAAAAAAAATTATTATCTTGAAGAAATGAATGAATCCTTTTTTCAGTATAAGAACAGCCATTAGCACATAATGATTTCTGGAAGAATTCAATTTCATTCAAATCTTAGCAACATTTTCTAAATGCGTCGAGTAATGTGTTGTTAAAAAATGTCTTTATACTCGACGCAAAATCTTTCGTAAACTTATCATATTTTTTTTGTGTTCATGTATTTATATGAATTATCTTATCAGTAAATATTATAAAATGAAGTTTAAAACACTATACCAGCAACCTTGAAAAGATAGGATGACGATTAATTAGTACCCACATTGACATTCACACTAATGCATCCTAATATAGATTTTAGTTTATCTAATATGATTATAGATACTATACAAATTCGCTTGATGAAAAGCTTGTTTAAATCATATTTATTATTTACTTTAAATGAAATTATTACACATGCTTCAATGGATATGATCGCATTTTACTTGTGTAAATAAAAATAAGTGGATTGAGGATAATGGAGAGTTTGGCTAATAGTGCGCATACTGAAGATAATATCTGTTGTTGACGTATGAATTCAAATCTTCCATTAATATTTAATAATGATACGAATGCGTAAGGACTCCAAGCAATTATAAATTGTGTCACCATAATTGCCGTTATGCGTGCATAATGTTGGTCAACCTTTAATAATTGTAAACGATTCAATCGTTGCCCAAAGCTTGTATCTAGTCGATGTGTTCGTAAAGCAAAACTATCGGTTAAGCGACAAGCTGGAGTTGTATTATTTATAGAACAATACAGACTAGTAGGTACAGATGAACAATCAAATAATTTATAATTTTGTAATAAGGTACGAATACGAAAGTATATTCGAAGATTTGTATAGATGAGAAAAAAGAGTATGAAGAAATAATTACAAATAAGTAGAGATAAAATGAAGATACGTGAATGAAAAGCTGAATTATTCCAATCAAGACTACAATGAAAACCAAGACCTTCACTGATATATGTATTTCCAATGTTGAAAAGCGGTGGAAGAGTCCAACACAAAGTCAATAGGGCACAAAAAAGTACACTCAACCCATGATTATGTTCTAAGAAACGATTGAGTAAACTATCTTTATGAAGAGTATTCATATAACGAGATAGTGACAATAGTGCCAAGATATACCTATAATAGTAAAAACAAAAAAAAAGGATCAAAGAATGAGATTTCATTTTATCTAAAGTTAAAAATTTCTTCATATAATTCATGTTTATTGTATACTATAATTTTAGGTCTTATCTCGTTTTGTAACGCACAATCTCTGTAAAACGAGAAAATTTGTCATTAGAATGATCGATATGAAAACAAATTCAGTACTTACATATTGAAAGTGCCAGTAAAAAAGCAGATGAAACCACTCATTTTACAGAAAATTATATGTGATTGAAATGGTCGACAAATAAAACATTGAATGAGTGTAAAAGGAATAGCTGTTAATATAATTATTATCGAACTTCCTAACATACCAATGAAAATAGGTGACAAATGTGTTATAAATAATCGCTGTTGTCGACGGTGACATCGATGAATAAAATAACGACTGATAATGATGACACTCATGAAAGTAGTAATGATCAGAAGAGAACCGGCAAACCGATAACATCCACAATCAAATTTTGATACAGTCATATTTAGATAACAATATTTGGTATCAAGGTTTGGTTAAGAAATTTTAATGTAAAGACATAATAATTTTTTCTTGAATAGTAATGATGATAAATGAAGTCAAGGTCCAAGAGAGAGAGAAAAATAGAATGTAAGCAAAAATCCTCGTACAAAAGTTTAATTATTTGAGAAAATATCCTTTCAACCTTTAGCATGCATATGCGTGTGCTTTTTAACGAACTTAGAAATCCTCAAGAGCGAAGAAACAATAAATTAAAATAATTATTCCTATTTTTACCTGAAAAATGTTCTAGAAATTTATATTTCTGTGAAACAATTAGGATATTTTTAAAAAGAACATTCTGTAGTTGACTAAACTGAGTAATCCCGAAGTTTAGACCTAGTACGATGGAATATATGAAAATTAAATTAATCGATAATTTTTTCTTTATTAAATAAGCAAATATTAAAATTTCATTACTAAAATTTTTAACATCAATAAATCTATAAATAAAGGTTTAGATGTGAGTACTCTAGGAATTACTTATAACCTGACCTACACCCTCAAGATGAAAATTTTTCTATTAAGTGATTTGCTTTGATTAATTGAAAAACAAGATAAAGTGTTAAACTTTTTGATAAGCGATTCGCTCGATTGCTTATTTCATCATTTTTTTAATTTCCTTTTCTGTTCTTTTGGTGAGTATACATTATCAACTAAATTAATCGACTATAGTGTGAAAAGAAAGATATCAATCATTTAGGATAAGATCAATGAAAGATTTATCAGAAGACAAACATCCTCTTGTATGTTATCCCTTGTTCTGTTTTTAATATTATACGTATCATCAATATCGTTCTCTTTTTTATATGTATGACTTATACTTGATGTCGCGAGATATAATGAAGTTGAAGCGCATCGAAAGTTAAACATCGTGAAGTGGTGTGTAAACAGATAGTTTAGTATACGAATTTGTAGGTATTATGTACATATAGTCATTAGTAGTAATACGTTACGATTTATTTATTCGATAAATTATTAGTTCTGTACAGTCCAAAACGTTCTCTTTTAATTCTTATCTTTCGATCACAACACAATATTTGTCGTTACATATAACAAGGCCGTTTTAGTGATAGGCACTCATAACTAATGACTTCCTCTTACTAACTTCACCACATGTACATGATGTTGTCAACAAGAAGATCACACTTTATATATTAGTCATGCGTGACAATATGTATATTTTTACTATTAAGTAAAGAGTGTAGACATGACTCTCGACTTCATTACTTTGTTTTATAAAAAGAAAGAAGTATATATACATTATCTTTTTGCACTCAATGAACTATTTAATATGATTAAAATCATCTCTGTATCAACAAAAAATTTATTAAATGAATGCGTTCTAGGTATTGATTTAGTGAAGACTATTATTGGACAAATATTATTCAAAAAGAAACATCTTCGTAAAATATTTCAACATGTTATAGGAACGTTTATTATTTTTATATTTCTCTTTTACAATGGATTCTTTTGTCATATGTGGGGATATTTATTTTTAAAAACTATCCCTAGTTTTGACGAATTGAACATAGATAATTATAGAATTTCACGTTCCACATCAACAAATAAAGATCTAATTCTTATTTTAACCCGAAAAATTTCTCCAGAATTCATACATTAAGTTAATCAATTGAGACGACCAGTCTTATTTCTGAATATCCAAAGTATTTTCTATTTGTTTCCCGATGGATTTGATTCTTGTTGTACAAAATCAACGTGGAGTACAGGAGGTAAATGGAATTATCATCTGATGATACGATTCTGGTTTAAAATTCTATTTGAATTATCTCAGTATCAATATATTATGAGATCTGATGATGATTCGAAAGTAATTAACACATGGTTCAATGTTTTCGACGAAATGCGTCGTAAACGTGCAGTTTATTTTATAAATAATATCGATATAGATGAAATTAAAACAAGTAATAATTGAATATCAAAAAGAATATAATATCACACCAAAACAGCCGAAAATGTTGGCAAATGCATTCATCATTGGACGAAAACAATTGATCAAACATATGGAATATTTAAATATCGATGGGGAGATGCAATTTTAAGATACATTACAATCGCTCTTTTTGCAAGAGAGCAGCAAGTATTGCATCGTTCTCATTACAGTTTATCTTACTGTCATAAATGTTGATTAAGTCTAAAAGTCAACTCTAAAAATTCATTTGAAATTGTTGAATTATAATCTGGTTGTTAATCATTGTTCAATGGAGGGCTTTGACGTTTATTTATAAAATATTTATAGTTCTTTACTATCTTTGGTATTTTTACGCAACTGCGCATTTTATTTAAATGTGATGTCAAAAGAACGTTATAAAAATTTTGAAAAAGATAATAAATTTGAGAACTTAAGAGGTTAGATAATATAAAGAACTATTTCATCTTCAAAAGAAAATAATTAAAGGAAGAATAAGAAAAAATAAATTATTCATTAAATTGAAATATACGCACTTAAAAAACAAGTAAGCATCTTATATTATCTACTAGATTTAATTTGATAATATTTAATACATAAAAATCAAAAGCATATCTATTCATAATACAAATTTTAGTTGATTAATAACAAAAGTTATACTTCGTGATTTGTTTCACTAATTTTTAAAATTCATCTAGAGAAGATTGCATATGAATTTAATAAATAAAATCGGACATAGCACAATATATAATCGACGTCAAATAGTTATGTACTTTTATTTCCTACAAGGAAAAGTCATCTTTTGTATTCTTAAAATAATTATTCATTAAGTTTATTTGAATGACGTGTCAAAGAATAAAAGATGATACAGATAACTTGTTCCTTTTATCTTTTCCATATATAATTACTCTACTTTCTATATAATTTAACATTTTTTGTATATGGTAATATAGTAGTAGTTCGTTTAATGTCCAGAATAAAATTATGATGAGTATATATAAATATTAAATAGTCAAGATTTTATTGGTGAGTAAATCTTAACAAAACAACTCATAACAGTACTTCTACTAAGGTTCTTTTTTTTTCAATTATAAAAACTAGTTTACTATAGTTTTAGTCGATGGTTTGTATGACTAGATCCATGAAAATACCTTAAGTGTAATCCTTTTAATATAATCATATAAAATTTGAAAAATGCATATCATATCAAGTTTTAGAGATTTATATTTTTAATTAAGATTTTAATACTCTTTCATTTTTCATATATTGTACTCATTACAACGAACACTTTTCAAAGAGTTGAATACCAAGCCATTTTATACTGTTAAAACAGTAAGGTATTTGATAGTTTATTTGTATTCATTGAACTTATTCTTTTATCGTCTAAATAATATGTTGTATTTAATATAGACTATCTGATTTGACAATCGTCGAAAAATCGTTTACAACGATAGAATTAAAGTCATCAATCCTTTTTCGACTATTCCAAAGAGTCTCTAGTTATGTTTCATATTCAGAGATATTAATTAGTAAAACGTTGGCTTTTATAATTGTCATTATTATTCTAAATAGACCCTTTTTGATCGTCACATGAATTAGAAGATGAGTATTTTGACTCTAGTATTTGTTTAATGATATTACTTCAAGAAATAAATTTTCGCAAGGGCATTTTAATATCGATAATGAGTACTAAAGAAACACTACAATGAGAAAACTATCTATTTACATTCATTTGATAATTATTTGTTTCTCATAGAAAGTTTACTTTGCTATAAAAGCGATCAAAATTCTTTTTCATCATTGACTACTATCAAAGAACTTGTCTATAGCAAAAATATATATTAGTTTTTTTCATTCGAATATAATTGATTGAACAGTAATGCTACTTTCATTAGTCAGTTATAGACAACAGTTTGTAATATATCAGAAATAAAAGATCAGTAAAACTCATTACCATACTTTAAACGTACCATTGATCCTATTATGATTACATTATCAATTTCATTCAGATCTAAAGATTTAAAAAATCTCTAAGTTAACAAAATAATTAAATGAGGAGGTTGTTGCTAGCATAGATATTTTACAAAGATAATAATCGATATCTTCTTAAGAGTTTTAAATGTTAATTAAGTTTCGAATCTCGGACTATTATCATTTGATAGGCTTAAGGGCTGTAACTAATAGATGCTCATCGCAAAATTAAATTAGTTTCGCCCATATAAACCTTTGAATAGAAGTTGAATTAGTATGAAGAAATAATAGGAAACAAGTATGTTGACAAGTTTCAGATGATAATTATATGTGAGAGAGTAGAAGTACCAAATATATTTTTGTTTTTGGTGATTTATAAGAGTATAGCAAATAGTTATATTATTTTCTTAAATCTTTTCTTTTAAGATCATCACAAATACATTCTTTAGAATCTGTCGTTAATTATAGTTTTGAACTTCTTTTAAAAACAAAGCATTTTTTTCGCAATCAAAGACAACCGCATTTTCGTATAAAATACTTTACTTTACTATTATGTCATCAAGTAGCTACATTGCATTCTTGAATTCTTTACAAATATATACACATCGAATTGGTGACTCAATTCTAGTTCCTTTTGGTACTATAAGTTGTTTACTGAACTTGATTATTTTCACACGAAAAGATTTTCGTAAAAATCCCTGCGCAATTTACTACATAGCATATAATATCGCTAATTTATTATATATATATTTCGTAATATTTATCACACTACTTCAATGGGGTTATTATATTGATCCAGGCACTTCTAATATTGTGTATTGTCGTTTTCGATTTTATCTTTATTATTTATTCGCAGCTTTATCACCAACCTTTTTGATTCTTGCATCAATCGATCGAACACTAATAACTTCATCAACAATTCACATACGACAGTTGAGCACACGCCGTTTAGCTTTTATAGTCATTTCAAGTATGACCCTGTTCTGGATGATATTTCATATTCATACATTGATTTACATAAATATTTATCAGCTTGCACCATATTATTATTCATGTTCATATGCCCCTGGTATTTATACTACATTTACAAATTACTATCAACTTGTTATCAGAGGATTACTTGCAACTTTACTAATGATAGTTTTTGGTCTATTAACAGTTAAAAATATTCGCCGTGCTCGTCGAACTGCTGCTGCTGCTGTTCCTGTTGCAAACTCAGCGATTTCGACAATTGCAGTAGGACATAATACAAATTATCCTTCACAAAAAGATCGACAATTTATTTTCATGATGTGTTCTGATATTATTATTTATGTTTTCTGTGGAATTCTGAGACCTATATATATGATCTACATACAAGCCACTCAATATCAAACAAAAAGTAATGAACGTCAAGCCATCGAAGCATTCATTAATAGCCTTACGCTGTTTATTACTTTTATACCGACATGTACTGGTTTTTATACATATTTTCTTGTTTCAAAATCTTTTCGTCAAAACGCTAAAAAAGTACTTCAAACTAATCGAATCTATAATTATTATCAATTACATAAATGTACTGCGAATTCATAATTTCATGAATATTGATTGATGAATTAAGTGATTGTATATACTATCTTTTTAAAATTGAACAATTCTTATGCTGTATTTTACTGTTGTAAAATGTGTTCATGTTAGTTAGATAATTCTCTCTATAAAAATTTACAGAAGAGAAATATATTGTACTATTGTAATTTGTTATCAATAAAAGTACTATTAACTCTTTATATTTCTTTTGAAATTTGTGACTTATCTGAACTTTTCCAACATGTTTGATTGTCCTCAACGTTTTGTAAAACACAATAGTACTGTAGTGTGTTTTTCTTATAAAGTTCTAGTATATATGACTATTCATTCTTTACATTCACTTAGTTACATCTTCTCATAAAACCACATAGAAATAGATAACGAGAAAAATAGTGATATGAAAATGATGAAAGAAAATGTCTTTATACCTAATATTTTTAAAAGACAAAATATTAATTTGTTCGAATATTTTCAATGATAAAGTTTGATGTTGAATTAGATCAGCTATATATTTCATCTTACGTCACAGTACTTGGTATGCATCCTATAGAAACGTTGTTTTTTAGATATTTCGAATACGATATTAATGTATTTTTCATTTGGATATCATCTTCTAGTTTCGAAAGAATCGAGAAGGAATAATAAACGTTATAGTTATCTTTCATCAAAGGTAAAGTACGTGAATCTAGTCATTGCATTACATAAGTCATTCACGGTATGCAAATAAACAATACTTACGGTGTGCGAGTTCGTTTGGTATTCTTTTAGCGCATAAACAACGTCTTTACACGATATACATGTAAGTACGTTTTGTGATATATGGTACGTAGTTCGCTTTTTTTTAACTGAAATAGAAACGAATTAGTAATGACATTACTGGTGATTTGATTGTATATTTTTGCTGTACCGATCGTGAACGTATTTATAATTACGTTAGAAGTTTAAAACTAGAGGAAACTTATTATCCGAAAAAAGGAATATTGATATTACTTTTTGAAACATATAATTAACGAAATTAATCATATTAAAATTTATTGCTTTGTCGTATTAGTACATATAATATTGTGTTTATATTCTTGTGAAAAATACTCCATGATTTTCATTGAAATAAACTCAGTATTAAGTGGTCTTTCTATTTTTTCATTTTCAGCTACATATTATTAATATTTCAAAACAAAAATTTAAGAAAAAATGATTTCACCATTACCGGACATTACTCGTGAAGTTAATATTTTAAATCGTATAATATGGTTTCTTATGAATATACTTTTTGGTGGTTTTATCAGTATGACTATGCTTGTTTGGGTGAGTTGTGATATGGAAATGCCGAATTTCTTTTTTCCTGTCTTACCATCATCATCATTCATACAATCAATTTTTCATGTGCCATGGATTGACATGAAATTAATATTTCCTTGTAAAATTTTATTTAATGCATTTTTATTTGCACTTTTCGGTTTTGTGCATACATTTTTTGCTCGGAATGATGTTCAACAATATTTAATAACTAGATTATCATTTCCACCATTGGCATTAAGAACATTTTATTTAATTTCAACAAATATTACAGCATGGCTATTAATGGGATTATGGCAACATACATCCATTCAATTATGGGATTTTCTTAAAAACTATACATTTCAAGATGAATACCGCGGACGACACTTAATTTTATTAATAGTTTTTACATTGATTAATTTACCAGGTACGAGAGTATATTACGGAAAAATAATATTTGCATTTTCATGTTTTTCTTAGGTATGTGTGTAGTAATACAATTTGATTCATTAGAATTTTTTGGTTTTAAACAAATATATCAATCTACAAGTTGTCCAATCATTTCTCGAACAACTGGTATGAATAAATTAGTTACCGATGGAATATTTAAGTTCTGTCGACATCCGATGTATCTATTTCTATTACTTGGTTGTATTATTTCACCTTCAGTTTCATTAGACAAATTTTTATTTATTATCTATGCAATCCTATATCTATATATCGCAATTCCAATTGAAGAAAAAAAACTAGAAAAAATATTTGGTCAAGCTTATATAGATTATAAAAATGAGGTGCCATCCATTATACCGAAATTATATAATATAAAAAAAAAGATTTAAATCCTTTTAAATAAAATAATATGGAATGAATATGACAATATTCACTATTTCATTACATATGTTCGTCAAAACATAAATGCTCAGAGCACCTTACAATAAACATGATCATCTATGAATTGAAATTATTATCTTTTCTGCAAACAGTAGATGTGAGAGAGAGACGATTATAGGATACCTCAACTCACACTCTCATACTCACCCTTTATCATTGAATCTTTAAAATTCTCTAAGATAATAGAAAACTGTTGCATGATCAAAGCATTTTTGACTTTAGACGGTCTGCCTCTCTTTCTCTCTGTACCAATTGCTACATTTTATACCTTCGGTGGAGCTTTGCAATAGTTTAGTCTTATAGACATCTACATGATGTGCTTACAGATGTAATTTTTTCAAAAGCGAAACAGTTGATTAGAAATCCGCTAATTATCCTAATCACCTCTATTGTCAACATCGTGCTAATTTCCGCTTAGAATAGAAGGATAAAATTAAGAATATAAGAGTAGCTGGTCGTTAGCAGGAGCATGTGAAAATGTAGAAAAAGGATGAATTAAGACTAATCTGAAAAATGTTCAGTCGATCATTAAAATGAATTCTAAGAAGTGAGTATGCATAGAATATGAGAATGAACTGGCAGCAGTCGCATGAAAATCATCAAATTTTCACAAGAAAAAATTCTACCTTGCATAAAATGACCAATTTTCCGTACGAAAAAATTTCATCCGTGGAATCTCTCTTTCATGCCCAGAAACAAATGCAAGAATTTCCCAAAATTTGAGAGCTGAGCCTCACAGACTTTTTACTGGTTACGCCGCTATATCTGTAACATATAAAAAAACGGCAAAGTAATCTCGATCATTATTCCATTGATCGCAAGAATGATTCATTATATGGCGGTACAAAGAAGACAACTATACATAATCAATAAAAGATCGTAAAAAAGTCATTCCGTGCATTTTTTCGAAATTGATAGTTTACAGAAACGAACATCTCACAAAAGTTTTCTAAGAAAACTAAATCGTACTATGTGTGTTATTGTGTGATCCAATCTATAGAGCCATCGACTTGAAGCATCTGAAAGATACTGAGAGACATATTGCTGACTGTCATTTTAACACCTGGAGAAATTATTAAATTACATATTTGACCTCTGTCGCAAAAATCGATCACTGGTACCTGACCACCACACCATGTATCAGCGGTCATAAATGCACCTGTTTTAACAGCAATAAAAGTAATGCCTAACAAAAAGACATTTTATTGAATATATTAAGTTTTAAAAATTAAGGAAGTTTATTAATACTTACCGTCATATAACATAATTTTTCCAAGAAGAGTATTGGCAACTGTTAATGAACCTTTAGTTTGATTGAATGGTTTTGTACAATTCGATGAATTACTATTACAAATACTGATAGGTAAAGTAGTATTAATACGTCCCCTAATATGAATGAACAAAATTGAATTTGATGGAAAAATCCAGTCAGTTTTATTTCTTTGATTTGATATTCCCATATCAGTTAAAATACCATCGTTGAAAATATAGATTGTAAATGGATGAAGCGGTGGAAATTTAGCTTCAACATGCACTTGAAATATTCCATAAATATCAAGACGAGCAAATTCTGGCTCACTACGAGCAGGACTAATTACTGTAAATGGTGCTGGAATAACAACAATCGCAGATGGATTGGGAATATCATCACTACACCAGGTTGATACAACGTCATAATTGCCAGATCGGCAAGCAGTGTAACGAGTACGATTCGTAACTATGATAGATATAGATTCTCAGAATACATAAATTGTACAAGAAATGTTACTCGTGAATTTGTTTTGAAATTAAAACAAAGAATATTCCGATATTTTAACAAGATAGCTGAAATATTGTTTGTACTGAAATCAAACATAGATAATGTGAATGAATTTGAGAGTACTATTTCTATCTCTTATTCTTAGGTTGAATACAATTATACATTTCGAAATCATAAATTTAAGCATCTAAAAGTCAACTATCTTATATAAAAAGGTATTTAAATAGGTTTAAAAAAATCAAAGCATATCAATCAAAGTTTTGGCAAATCCTACTATTGCCATATGTAAACTATTCCTGTTCATAAAACTGCATGAGAACCTAATTGTTTCTCTAGCATGAACTACATCGACACGCTCTTTTCTGTAAAAAAGTAAGTACAGTATTATCTTAAACTGTTACAAAATAGATTATTTTAAGAATAACTGATATTTACTATAACGAACTGATTTATCATTCTCTCGTTATATGCAAAATTTCGATTCATATTCATCCTCATCATTCTGATTGAGTCTAGAGTAATAAGAAATTTGATTAGAGTGTATTATTACCTGATTTACAGAGATCTGTCCATGATAATGGCAAACATACTGATCGTGGTGAACAACACGTGTTAATCGCACAAACGGAAGATTTCGATGTACATGCATATGTAACATTATTGCATGGCTCTAGTAATGAACACATAATACCTGGCGCACAATATCTATCATCAGTATATGTACGATAGTCAAAACATGGTGTTGATGATGAACGACAGCTACTGTTATTATTAAAAATTATAAGACATTGTTGTAAAGTACAGTTCAATGTTGGATTCCATGCCGAATGAGATGACCAAGACAATGCAAATGTAACATTGCCACTACTGTTGTTAATACATGAATAGTTTGGTGCTTCTATCATTTGACCTATAGATATTTCATTTCGTGAGAAAGTTAAATTAAAAATTTAAATGAACGAACTTTTTAAACAAGAAAAAAAAGTATTCAAAGACAAGATTATTATCAGTCGCATATTTGTGAAGGTAATATGTAAAAAAAAATATTGACAACAAATTATTTTCTTGTTCTGTTCTCTTTCATACCATTTACTGAATTGAAAACACATAACATTTCTTAATGACTCCCTCTATATTAAATAGTTATTAACGATAAGCTTTGCCCATCAGAAATCAATTTTTTATTTCATCGTGCGTTTATTCTGTATCATACCTATATTTATTTTCACATTATTTTGATCAGAAGAATCTAAATGAATAATAGTGCAAATCAATTATATCGTAAAAGAAATTGTTGTTTTTTATTTGATGTATGTTTATTAATTACATTGATATATATTCATTTGTCATTCACAGTCAAGATATACATTCTCTAGGAATGCTATTTCAAAATAATAATTCATTTATATATAAATAATCTATTTATTGTATATATAATAAAAAACACAATCTTCATCTATTTTTCTTCTCATAAACATTATATTTGTTACGTTACAATACTCTGATAGTTATAGATTAAATTAATAGTTCAGTTCTTTAATTCAATCATGTTATTTACATATTTTATTTAATTATTCTTAAATACATAAATCAAATTTTTATGCATTACTTATGAACAAGATAAAAATAACAAAAATTTATTTAATTCTACAGTTGACGTTTCATTAATTCATTTAACATTATAAGAACTATATACAGACTGCATTCATTCAGATCTTTATATAATAATAAGTATCCTCTATAAATAGTAAGAAAAACACTCAGTTTTATCCAAGGAGAAGAAACATTGATCATATGCTATTTACATATAAATGAAAAATATGACTATGGCTATAGATAATTCATATTATAAATCGATAGCAAACTTAAATATCATCAAACTTCTTTAGTAAATTTTTATTTTATTATTTAATTTCCTTTCCAATATGTAATGCTTTATTTTTTCACCTTTTCACAACTACATATTATAGAACTTATTGTAATATTAGAATTCTTTGATTGATGTACAACTTGAATATAATCATGAGATGACAAATAATGCTGCTAACTTTTACTGATTGCTCCTGATCTTCAAATAAGAACGAATCCTACGAGTAATCTTATAGACATGTTTTGATTCAAACGTACTTGTTGAAGAAAAGTCTAAAAAACGAATAATATCGAAACATGTGCTTTAAACTTTTTTTTATTATACAGAATTTCATAATCGAAATACATTGTAAAAAAAAGAATAGAACAATAAATCCTTACTGGTATTTGCACATATTATATTAGACCTTTTAAGGATTCAGTCACCTACTCAACCATTTTATATATATTTCTTTTATTCATAAACTTTACGAGTCGTACTTTATATATATTGTCTTTTGATAAACTTTACAAGCACTGCTTTGCACGTTGTCTTTTCATAAATTCGTTCGGGTATATAGGTTGTAATATATCTCTAGAGAATTTATTTATGTCATAAATCCTTTGAGAAAGAAATTCTTTTATTCTACGGTTTACGAAAATGGAACTTAGACGATATGCAACTGTAAGTGTCTATTAACAGTTTTTTTTGAACAAGCTAAATTCCTTTATCGTACAGTATCTTTAAAAATAAAGCATCAGTTAATGAAGAGACAGTCAGTAGAATACTGAATATTACAGATACATCACAAACATGTATACTAGTGATGTAATTTTGATACCTTTTCTAAAAATAGTTTATTTTCATATACAAAAGTGGATATGTGTTACTATAAAATATTAGTCATTATTTTTTTGAAGATTTTATTTATGCACAGTCACTGTTCGATACCTTCATTTTATCTATGAAGATTTCTATACAGATAAAGACAATTTTATCATTGTTTAACATTGTTAAATAAAGGTTATTTAAAGTTTGAGGTATCTATCTTCTATAATCAGTATAAAGTCCACTCTTTTTTTCTTCTTCTAATATTAGTATTAACTTTTGCTGAATCATCATGTTTACTTTCATTATCACTCGAAGGTAAAATAACGCAGAATAGTGCACTTTTTTACTTAGTTTGACTCTTCATATTCACTTTACTTATCAACATGAGTGGTCGAGCCTCTGACCATCTAGTATCACATAATAGCGATCATCCATCAAAGTCTAAATCTAGACAGGTTTTTATTATTGAAAAATTATTTTAATTTATCATTGTTGACGTTTTTATTTAGGCTTTGACAGCGACTGCTTTCTTCTTATTAGGCGCCATTGTTATATTAATACCTGCTCTTATTCTTATTTTACGTAAAGCAAATTGTCCTGATCCACCATCACCACCAGGACCTCCTGCATGGAATAGTAGTGATTATTTATCAAATAGTGATTACTATAGTCAATTACCAGAAGCACGTGATTTTACACAATTAGATAATCTTCGTTTGGATCGTCTTTCATCTCCTCGATTTCATCCAAAAAATGGAAAAACAGTTATTTATCTTAGAAAACAATATCATATGCCTGATCTTAAAGGTTCAACAACAACTCTTCATTGGATTGATTTAGATACAAATAAAACAGTTCAATTAACACGACCTATTTGGGGTATTAATGATCAACAAGTCAGTACATATAGAATAGAAATTCAAATTGTATTCTTATTCTTTTCTTTTAGTTCTATTGGGTAGATGATAAAGCAATTCTTTTTCTATCTAATCGAGGATCATCTGGTCTTAATCAATTATTTCAACTTAATTTACCTGATGATGTATCAGCTATTGGCAATTTTCTTGAACCAACTCAAATTACTGATTATCCATTAGATATTGATAATTTATTAGTTAACAAACAAGGAACTCGTCTTGCATTTAGTTGTCAAGTCTTTGCTAATTTAACTGTTCAACAAACAGCTGATCGTCATGCAACAGATAAAGCTAGTGGTAGTTTAGTTTATAAATTTGATAAATTATTTATTCGTCATTGGGATGAATATATGCTTGGACCACGTCATCATCCATTTGTTGTTTCTATTCAACAAACAAATGGCATATATAATTTTACAAAAGCACCTACTGATGTTCTTTTTAATATTGATAGTGATGCACCAACAAGACCTTTTGGTGATGGTAAAGCTGAATGGTCATTTAGTGCAAGTGGAAATAAATTTGCTTATACAAGACAACATGATGAAAATAGTTCAGTTGCTTGGTCAACAAATTTAGATATATTTACTGTTGATTTGACTGCAGATACTTTAACATCTGTATGTATTACATGTGATAATCATGCAGCTGATACAAATCCATCATTTTCACCAATTGATGAACATGTTTTAGTTTATCGAGCACAAGCAGTTCCTGGTTATGAATCAGATCAATTCAAAATTAAATTTTTCAATGGTAAATTTTTATTTTTTAATCAAATTTTTTCAAAATTATTTTTATTTTTAACTCTTCTAGGTAGTAATCCAAACACAACTCTTCTTGATAGTTGGGATCGTAGTATTCAAGCTATTACATGGTCATTAGATGGTAAATCACTTTTTCTTGAATTAGGTGAAGAAGCACGTAATGTTATTTATAAATTGTCTAATATCTCATCTCCAATATCAACTCCTACTCGTCTTATACGCGAGGGTTCATCACATGATATAAATCTTCATCCAACAGATAATGACGTATTTCTATATACTCATGACAGTATTACTGCACCACCTAATGTTTATTTATATTCATCACCAACATCAATGCGACCTGTGACTGTTCATAATAATCATCTTTTATCTAAAGTACGAATGGGTAAAGTAGTAGAAGCATTTAGTTTTAATGGTTCACAAAATGAAATGGTATGGGGTTGGTATGTCGAACCAGTAAATGGTACAGCTGAACCAGCTCCACTTGCTCCACTTGCTTTTCTCATTCATGGTGGTCCACAAAGTAGTTGGTATGATGCATGGAGTTTTCGTTGGAATTATCAAGCATTCTCAGCACAAGGTTATGCTGTAATTGCTATTAATTTTCATGGATCTGATTCCTATGGACAAAAATTTACTGATAGTATAACTGGTCATTATGGTACATTACCATATGAAGACTTACAACTAGGTCTTACAGCAGCTATAGAACGTTATCGTATTAATGGAACTCGAGCTGCAGCTTTAGGTGCTAGTTATGGTGGATTTATGATAAATTGGATTGCTGGACATCCTGAAATGAGTCATCGTTTTAGAACTCTTATTTGTCACGATGGTTTATTTGACATGCGAGGAATGGCTTATTCTACAGAAGAGTTATGGTTTAGTGAACATGACGCTGGTGGTTTTACTCCTTACGAGAATCCAGAAGCATTTGAACAATTTAATCCTGTCAATCATGTCGCAAATTGGAGTCAACCAATGTTAGTTATTCATGGTGGTCGTGATTATCGTGTACCTGATACACAAGGTATTGGTGCATTTACAGCTTTACAACGACGTGGTATTGAAAGTCGTATGCTCTATTTACCTAATGAAAATCATTGGACATTAAATCCATTCAATTCACTTATTTGGTATCAAGAAGTACTTGATTGGATGCACCGTTTGACAATATAAACATACATTATTTGAGTTCATTTTTTTGCACTTTTATTTTTTTGCAAGTATATTTATAAACGATGAATTATATTTCATATTATTTGATTTTTTTTGCATAAATAAAGAAAAGCAATAATTATCTGTAATAGAGAATATTATGATGTTTAATATAATATTACTAACTAAAAAGATCATGAATAAAAATATTTAATTGAGAATTAAGAAAAAAAAATGTTAGTATTCTTTAAAATGTGACATTGTAGAGATTATTATTGTTTCAAGTCCGGTTTTAATAGCTATACATTAGACGTTTTATATCTGTTGTACGTGAATATAGAGTGGTATAGTATGAATGTTCGCTGATATTTTACTATTTTCGATTGGTTTTCTACTCTCATCGATATATTCCACTCTAAATAAACAACCAGGCATCATTAAAACTTCTTCTTCTCCTTGAAAATATGATATATGTCCAATATCTAGTGCCGTTGTTCGATTGCGAATTTTATAAATAATAACGATAGATTCTTTTGCATCTGTTGGTGGATCTGGTTGCGAAAATTCCAGGGCAACGTCCATTAATTTTGTTGTTGATTGAAATGCTTTATTTACAAAAAGAGCACCAACTTTATATATTTCCAGGTCTTTGAAAGTGATCGGCATACCTCGATAGGTTTCTCCACGATAATAATAAACTTCCATTGCAGGATTTCTCATCAATGCACCCGTAAAATAACCACTCCACTTACGACATAATTTCTTGTATACTTTTTTTGGATTACCTGTTGCCATATATTTATTAAGATAACGATAGAAGAAACTTTGTAACGTGTAAGCTGTCACTAAATATGAAGCATCATTCTTTTCTCTTGCTTCATTTAAATAGTATCTAAATAATCGACTTCCTTCTGATTGATCATTTGGTATTATATTAGCTGCTTCAATTTTTTCCACTGTTCTTTTCACACCACGATTCTTAATACAGCCACGTTCTATAGCACGTGCAAGCCAAGGGGCATACTTTTTGTCGAATAACCAGACAGTCTCTTCACCTTGTTTCAATGGATGGTCACCAATACGCTTTACTATTATTCGTTCTCTCGTATCATTAGAAATCGTAGGTTCTTCTGTAGTTGTTGTTAGCGGTCTCGGCATATGTTTATATTCAGCATCTACTATATTGGAAGATCTATACTTGTCAGCATTACGATCATTTGTTGAACGACGATCCGAGGCAGTAGTATGAGGAAGAGAATCTTCACGTAATTTAAAATTATTGAACTCAATATGAAACATACGTGGATATCGAGACTCGGTGTCTTCGTTTAGATAAGTATCGTGCGACTTGTACTTTTTACTTTTCGCCATGTTCTAAAAAATACTTTATATATTCAAATTGATCTGCAAATGTACAGACTTTTTTTGTTGGCAAAAGCAAAAAATTGTTTTTTTCTTTTTCCTTTTCACGTCACTATGTTTCGATTTTGCGACATAACTTTGTTTGTTGTTGTTACATTATTATTTTAAAGAAATGGAATGAAATATGACGACTTCTGAAGTTCGTTGATCAACATGATCAGTATCGAAAGAATATATGCCCTGAAGAAACTTTTAAAATATCATTTTATAATTAAAACAAAAAAGAAATTGCATATAACATATATATGTAATTACTCTTCTATAGATGTCGTCATATACCTATAAACGAAACAAAAATTAATCTTAACAATTTGATACGTTAAAAGTAATAAAAAGTGATTCATCATAGATAATATCATAAATTATAATCGTAAGGTATATAATATGTTTTAACGAATTCAAATATCATAACAAGCGATAAAAACAGATCTGAATATTAATTTCTATTAACTGTGATAAAATTTTTATAATAATGGGTGTAATTCTCGATTGTTTTCGTGGTTCAAATGCTGAACAAAATCATCAGTCAAATAATATAGCTACACCAAATATGGTAATTTGACTTTGTTGATGATAATCTTGATTTTATACTATGCTTTTTTTCCCATGCGCGATGACATAGCAAAAAAATTTTTGGAGTATTCGTCTTTAAATTTTATTTTTCAATAAAAGCAAGAAAAATAAATGCATGATTCAATGTTATATTGCGAAATTCATTTTGTTTTGTTAGGAGGCTCGTCGAGAAGCAGCTGCTGAAGCAGCTAATCGTCGTTTACAACAAAGTGAAACACGTGGTGTTGATGAAAATGAATTACGTCGTATGAAACAACGTCAAGCTGAACGAGAACGAATTGAACAACAACACGCAAAATTACCAAAACAAAATTCTGATGATAATGGTGGTCTTCGGGTAAATAGAATACACGATTTTTTGATTTTATTATATATTATTTTAATTTAGTGGCAAGTGACTTAATTCACGAAGAGCTTTCGTTTTTTTTTCAATTCTCTCACATGACATTTACTATTTTTTTTCTTTAAATATAGTCGTTCTTTTTTTTCAGATGATAGTATTGTGAGAATGATCTAGATATTAACGATGGGTAACACAACAAACAATCTATCATTGTGTGTAGGACAAAAGTCAAGAAAAACACGTCGAGAAAGACCAGTAAGTTTTTTTATTTATTAATCGGATTTTGTTAATCTTTTTGGAAGAATTTATTTACTTATATTCATTAGAAATAGCAAAGTAATTCTATTATTTATATCAGAAGAATAGTTAAAACAAAAATAAAGATTAACTCCTATTGATCTGATTGTTTGAACTAGTCAGGCAACAATAAGAGTAAAATTTAATAATTCTGCATTAATGAGTGGATTGCCGAAAGTAATTCAAAGCTTTTAATAAGACTAGATAAAATTTCAATACAGTCAAAATAACAAAGACTCATACGATTGTTTTTTCAAAGTGACAACTATTTCAACCTATATAAAAATATACATCGAAACAAAAACTAAATGGCGAAATTTTAAGGTGGAATGCTTCCTTTGTAAAGATTACAATATATCTTCATAGAGATATGAGGAAAATTGAGTTTTTATTATGTTACAAAACAAGGGCATCTGTTTAGGTTAAGACTTATACATCAGAGGATTATCCGTTTTGTTCAGCTTTATTATTATTTATTTCATTTTGAGCAAAATTTACCCAGATAATTAAAACTTTGGAGAAGGAAAGACATGTAAATTGATTCTACTTTCGTATAAAATATCATACGTAAAAGCCTTCAAGTCAGTTTCAGAATAGCTGCTTCCTCATAACTATCCTAGTATTTTCATTTCAACAATCAGCATGTCTTACATATTTTAATTACTCTATAGTATGTTTCACGTCCATTTTGGCCATATGAATATGAACATCGTTTAAATCTACCAACCCATATGCCATATAATTCGCCGACACGTGAACTAAGTCCAATACAACTATCACCTACGGTAAGATAAATTTGTAATATTTTTATAAAACTTCTGTACTTTTTTATTAGACTTTACGTGACAATTCACAGTATCCATCTATGCGTATTATAAGAAACATTCCACGCAGTTAAATTTCTTATTTCGGTTTTTTTATTCGGTGACTGTTTTTTTTTGTAATTAACCGGTGTCTTTTATTTATTTTTGTATTTAAAAAAAAATCACAACTTCTTACAATTTATTTTTATTCTAGATGAGTACGAACATCTTAGATATTTATCGTGATTGTCCATTTTGTTTAAAACTTCTTTTCGAACCAATTTCAACTCTATGTGGTCATACATTTTGTCTTCTATGTATGGAACGTTTTATTTTAACAACAGAACGAGTTTTACAATGTCCAATATGTCGAGATGATTTAAATTATCTTCGTTCATCATCTAGTCATTTAAAAGTCAATGCAATACTACACAATTTATTACGTGAACAATATGAAAAAGAATATGAACTAAGACGAATAGAGAATGAAAATGAACGAAAACAAATGATTAAAAAACGTTTTATTATTGGTAATACACATCATTTACCATGTGATAATGATTGTACAAAACATGAATGGACATTTTTTATTAAATTTGATAATGATGATCAAGATGATATTAGTGAATATATTAAACAAATAACAGTTAATTTACATCCAACATTTACACCATCAAAAATCGTACTTGATAATGCTCCTTTTTGTTTAACAAGAATTGGATGGTGAGTAACGAAAAAATTTCTAATAGATCTTTTGTTATTTTTTTTTATCTAGGGGAATATTTACAATTTATTTTACAATTGAATTTCATTCGCAATGGAATAAATCAGATTTAAAAACAAGTTGGTTTTTATCATTTGCAAATACAGGAAATCAAAAAACAATGGTAGTTGAATTTCAAAAAACAACAGATAATTTAAATAATGATGAAATGTCGTGATATGTTTTTCTTTTTTTTTATATATTTATAAATAAATAGATTAATTATGCGTTTCAGTATTCATCAGTCTAGAAATATTAGTACTATTTTCGTGGAAATAAACACTTATTTCTGTTTACTCCTCTACTCGAAATACTATTATAACTATTCAACAACCGCAGATAAATCATATGATCATATATACAACACGCTAATCAAGGGTGGGCGGCGGTGTAACATCCCTCAAGATCTTTCGAAATTTCTATTTTATGGTCAACAAAATCGGCAAATGTTCTTGGGTTTTTTATCAAAGATAATGCTACACCCCCCCCCAAATCGCGAAATTCATCTTTTTACTCTAAAAGATTTTGCCACACCCCCGCTCCCAATGCTGGCTGCCTCGCGCCACCCTCTGACGCTAATTTGTAGTACGTAAGAACTATATGATGGAGAAAAGAAAAATGGAGATTTTATAAACATTATATAATTATTCATGAAATGAGGTAAACTAAACTTCTACGCTTCATTTCAATATAAATATATATATGTGATTGTAATAACCATATCAACAATCTAAATATAGAAAACTTCAGTTCGCGTACACATCGATATTTTAAACCGTGAATATGGTTTGATTCAATTCTTCTTACTATTATAACCTCTCCAATGTGAATATATACATATAATATTTTTTTCACATCCTTCTGTTTTCTACTACTTGAGTCTTTCTCTCTTTCGAATTATGTCAAACTTATTCCTATCACTCGATTAGAAATAACACATCGTCATATGAATGTGAACGAGATCCTAAACTCTTGAAGAAACAGCTCCTAAATTGAAAGTATCTTTCCTTTCAAAGATATTTACAAGATGTTCTGTGCGAGTTTACAGTAGTCGCCAAAACAAACTTGCACAAAATTTTATTTTTTGTATAACGGTTTTCTTACCGTTTGAAAGTAATTACAAATTTGAATTTTTCAGGGATATATGTTCATTAGATATACTACAGGTTGGCTATATAAAAGTGTGATTTCTTCTCTTTTTAATACATAAACATTTAATTATGATGCAATCTACTGATTTAAAAAACTATCATATATTGACATTACATTATTGCAACAGAGGAATGGGATGTGCTTGTGCTATTCATCATGAAATAAAGATATCATCAAGGACTATCTATTACAATATAAATAAATTGAAACAAACAAATTCACTTAAACAGTGAAGAGGAAATGGTCGACTACGTGCTACATGGAAATGGAAAAAAGCGATATTGCTCAGTATATTCGATGTAAGAATTAAATAGTCCTCAGTGAAATTTAAAAAAATTATCGACAAATAATGGTTCATATACTAAAAAATTATCTTCTTTCTGCTGCTAGACAAGACTTTCCTCAAAATTGGTGTTTGCAACAAGATAATGATCGTATCATACTCACAATATTTCCAAACAATTGATCAACAACAAAGTATTAGAATTGTTGGAGTACCTATCTGATACTCGAAATACTAATCCTGTCGAGAACTTATGGTCGATCGTAAAACGCAAAGTTGAAAAAAGAAAACCTAAAAATATTGATGAACTCGAACGTTTTTTAGCTAAAGAATTTAATAATACTAAAATTCATATTGTAAATAATCGTGTGATGTCTATGAAAAAAAGATGTTTGTCTCTTATTTTTTCCAAAGGTGAACGAATAAAATATTGAAATATAGTGTTTAATAGTACTCGTCGTAGGCTATTAATCAGTATACGAAACTACTTGAGATTGACTTATATATAAGGATATATTTACATAACAAGATGTGCAAGCTTTTTTGGCGACTACTGTATCTCGAGAGCAAAAGCTAATCGATTCAAATTTTGTTTATGAGTATATTGATGATTAAGATATTATATTCATATTGTTCTTTTTTTCTCTTCTCTCAAATTATAAACTCTTCTGAGATATTGCTTAATAAATAAAAAGAAAGAATTTTGATGCTAGCATCTAATAATTTTATTAGTGTATTGATTAAAATTATAGAAAACGTTTGTAAACGTAGCACTTATCGAAAATTTTGTGAATGACATATTTTTTTTGAAGTTCATCATAATTGTATTAATGATTGAACTGGAAGATTGGTCTTCTTTAGCCCTTTTAGAAAGGACTATAACCATATGGTGAGCCGAAACCAGCTGGGAAGTTATTACCACCACCACCGAAACTTAGACCACTAAAACCTGAATTAGGAAATGCTGTAGGTGCAGTAAGACCGCCAGTGAAACCAGTTGGTTGAGGAAAGCTTCCAGCAAAGCCAGTTGGTCCAGCAAAACTTCCATTAAAACCACTTGGTGCAGCAAAATTTCCGCCACTATAACCTGTAAATCCGGCATGTGGTACTAAAAAAAATAAATCATTTTTTTAAAATTAATTTCAAATAAAAATTATTATACTGTTTCTTACTATGATGATGATGGAGAAGATGTGAGCCGAACATATTTATTGTTTGTTTCTTATGAAGAGTATAGGAGAATAAAAATGAAGTAGAATTGTATAGTTATATGAATGAACATCAGTGCTATTTATATAGTCGTCGAGGCGTTGTCTTCTTTTATCTCAATTACTGATCAACTTGTATAACATATACAAACACCTTGAATATATATTGAACATGATTCAATTACTTTTTTTTGCATATAAAAAACAGCCTTCTCGAATATGACTCAATATATGATGTATATCTTATTCATACATATTCGACCTAGTAACTTCGAGAAGTTGATATGTGACCATTTAATGAGTATTGTATGCCTATTAAAGGACGTTTTAAAAGAAACTTATTTCATACTAATTAGTCTTTTTTTTCTGATTCATAACAAATATGAAATTGATTTTCAATGTATATACATGATTCATATAGATAGTTAATAATATAGACATAAATGAAACAGATGGTAAATGCAAATTAATTGAAGTGCACGCAGCAAGGAGACAACAAATATGTGGGAAGATGATGACATACAAATACAATCTCGATCTTCACCTATTCCTGGGTAAATTCTTTTCGAATAGAAGTTTTTTATTTATTCTTATTCATAGACGAGATCTTGAAGCAGATGGAATAACACCATATACTGATTTAGCATCAGATGATCTACATATGTTTAATAAAGTAATTTTCATAGTTTTTTTGCTTATATTTCAAAATTTTCAATGTTTTTAGTATAAAGAAGTAATAACAGAACTAATTCGTGAAGAACCTGATTTACATTTCCCCGACGATTTTGAATTCTTTCCAACAAGTGTTGCTAGACAAATTGAATCATCTAAGAATTGCTATTTTCGTGTAAGTTATTATTATATCTCTTTTGCATTTATATATAATTTTCTTAATATCAGATTGATTTACCACATTGTATTATGACAGTCAAAATTATTCCACATCCGCATGCCAGTGATCTTAGAAATGATGTAACTATTCATCGAGAAAATTTTGTAGGTCGTGAACCATCTATCACTGAACTTATCTTGTGATATCAATAAAATATTGTTTAAATCTAATTTGTTTTCACTATCTTAAGTCCTTCATCAATAATGATTAACAATGTTGATAAAATATCAATTTTCACTCGTTGATGTATAGATATGAATGATGTGTCATAAACATATGGATGATATAATTCTATTTTATTTAAAAGATATAATTTCAATCTAAAGTTTTAGTTAGTGTATTGTATCGACTAATCAATTCAATGCATATTAGATAGATTTAGTCAGTGATTTATCTAGAGGTAGGGCAGAGATGACGGCACCCTTTCGAAGAACGATTTTGCCCTCCCGAAAATTACAATTTTTGTGCGTATACTATGTATTTGCCCTCTAGAAATTAGGTTTTCCCCACCCGAAACTCGCTATCGCACTCTCGAAAGGAAAAACCTAGATAAAACGCTGGATTTAGTAGTCAATTATTCTCCCAAATGAAATACTTTAGTTTCCTTACGTATCGATAAACATTGGAGAAGGATAACGGATTTTTCGTTTTCATAGAATTTCGAACACATTATTACAAAAAAACTAAGTAAGGAAGATTTTACTATATGCCTCTTACTACGTAGAAACGTATAAATTCTATTTCTAATACTTTGTACATACACACAATTAGTTTTATCTGTATTAAGAACAGTGCTTAGTTTTTAATTCTTTATTTCAGATATAAGAGGGATGTACAGGAACGTGTGGATGGGGAGTTTGGAAACAAAAGAAAATCTTTCAATCCCCCCACGCTCGTGCACATCTTGCACGATCCCTTTATTTCAACAGAACATTCAGTTCTTGTTACTCTAGCCTCAAATATTGTATCCATTCTTGACTGACTTCTCTTCTCTTGAGTATACTATTTCAAATCTCGAATATGATGAATAAACACATTACGAAGAAGAGAAAAACTAACAGTGAGAACTATATGATATTTTCTAATTCGACTTCTTGTTTTGTTTTGAGCATTTCCTATAGATATCTATTATGATAATTAGTTAAGATATTGTTCATGTAAGTAATATTACTTTATTTGTTTTATTCAAATATTAAAAAAGTATTTTATACAAAAAAAAAAACAAGTAGATATTTTCGTTCATTAAACAACAAAATTGTACAAACAAAAAACAAAAATACTCTTCATATAAATTTCTACATATTAAATGAATGTTTGATTATCTGACTCAATTAATTGTCGAATTTGTACGAGTAAATGATGAATTGGTAATAATACACTAACATGATTTTCTCCAATATGTTGATTAATCTATATATAGAAATGAAATTAATAAATCAATTAACGCTGTCAATTAACTTACAGGTTCACTATATAATTCATAAAATTGATAAAGTTTAAAAAGACATTCAATTGCAGTATCATCAGCAAGTATTACTGAACGAATATCATTTAATGATAATTGTGAATAAGAATTTGTTGAATGAAAATGAAAATTATTTTTATCAAATGATGAAAAATGTTTTTTTTCATCCATAAATAATAATTTTATTTCAGATGAAACCTTTAAAAATACAAAAAAAAAGAATTAATATAAATTTTCTCATTTGATTATTATTAATAAAATCTTACGTCTGTTCGAGTATCGAAGATAAATTCTAATCCATCTGCAATTACATTTAAACATGATTCAGTTATTGGACAAGTTGAACGGCATAACATTAAACGATTTAATCGTCGAATTAATTCACTAACCAATTGAATATATCTAGTAAATAAAGATAAATATTATATAATCCAAAACATTTTCTTCTATAAATGCAAACAGTAGAATAAATAAAGCGACATATTTTTTGTTTTTATGAGACATGACAATGATTTATTGTTCATTCGATTAATAGAAAAGATTTATAAACATGGATTTCCAGAAAAAATGGTAAAATTGATCCGAAATTTTATCTAAGGTAAGAACCGCCCAAGATGATTGAGCGCTTTTCAGCTCATACTCTGAATATATGAAAAGCACCTCTAGACTAGCAAACTGAAGATTCATATCTACAACTGTTCTTGTGGGTGGGTGTGGGCATTGTATTCGTACTTCACCCACACTCACACCTTCGAGACTAGAAGCATGAGATCAAAAATGGTTAATCACTTCGCAAGATTTTCTCATAAACTTTCTTCTGTTAACAAATTCTAATATGTCTAGGACAAGGTAGTTTACTAGCAAGGACAAGTTATGACGGAAAGAGCTTGAGTGTGTCTCTGTAGTTATCTCACGACTTGTGACCAAGGGGGAAACCACGTACTACGAGTACTTGCAGAGTACATGGGAGTACACTAGGGTGTGAATGGGGGTGAGGGTGTGGGGTGGGCAAGGGAGAAATCACGTAGTTCGGTACTCCGCTGTACTCTGCTGTACTCCCATCTACTCCCAGAATCCAGTGAGTACAATCCAGAATCTGTACTCTGTTGTACCCCTGTACTTCGGGAGTACAGTGGAGTGGACGGAGTACCAGAGTACGTGGTTTCTCCTTGCTTGTGACTAACACTGTCATATCCCATACAGATAAATGAATATCATATTTTCGAAATAGTTACCAAATTCAGATTAAAATATGCTTTCTTGAACGACTCAAACTTAGATTCTCAATTGGAAAATCTATTGAATTCGATCAATTCATGAGTGAAGTATCTCGTAATCTATAAGTTCCCAAGATATTTTTTCATACGAGTAAAACTATTGTTTATCTAAGAAAAAAAAGGAATCTTACTGTTGAAATAAAATTTGTTTATTTTCTTGATTAATATCAGCTTTCCAAATATCAAATAAATCCAATCCATTCGCAATTTGTTGATAAAAATAAATTAAAATTTGTTGTAAACGATTTTTATTTTCAATTAATTTTTCTTCAAGTAAATTTTCATCATAAATCAATTGATTTTCTTTACATAAATGATAACTAAAATTATTTATTTCATTTTTATTTTGTATTTTCTTTTGACAATGTATTATTGAATTAATAAAATAATTTTTTAACATTGGAATTTGATATATACATGTCGAATTTTCTAATGATGGTAATAATAAATCTAATTGTTCATAATCAATTAATCGATATGTATTTTCATATGAATTTAAATAACGAATAATTTTTTGTTTTATTTGATTTATTGTATCACAATCAAGAACAGATAAATGAAAACGAAGAAAATTTTCATAATCAATTGTTAATTGAAATGTATGATATTGTATATTATATAATAATAATGTTGATGATGATATTGAACGACATGACCGATGTAATAATTCATCACATGGTGATGAATCTATTAAATCAATTAATATACGTAAAAAATCATCAAAAAAATGAAATTTATTAATTAAATCAGTTTTGGTTTGAAGAAAAAGCGTCGAAAAAAACTGATGAAATATATTTAATGATTGTAAATGTTGAGGAGTATAACGAAATAGATAAGCATAACATTGTAAAAGATCAGATGAATTATGTTCAATTAATTGATTAAGAAATGCTTGAGAAAATGGTTTCATATTAAGTAAATCATAGAATAATTCCATTGATGGACGATAATGAATCGATGAAAATCTTTAAGAAGAAGAAAAATATTATAATTCATTGGAAAAATTGATGTGATTTTATTCAGTCACGAAAATTTTTTCGAAATGAAATTGTATGGTTATTATTTAGTTGTTTTCCGGTAAAATTTAAGTTGACGTCTCAATATTATGTCTCAAATGAGCATAAAAATACTGTCAAGGAAAGCTTTTGAACTATTTAAATTTCATCTTTCGATTATAATTAGATGTCGACAGAAGAAGTTCACAAAAATTTCATTCATTCAGACGTCTAGTCATAAGATTTACAGTTATCATTATATGATATGTGACAACCGATCATTATCTATCAGTAGAAGGTCATAGATTGAATATGATATTCTTCTAGTTACAATGTTCATTATTAAAATATAAGAGCATATCATTACAGAAAAGCAAAAACAAGTTATAGAACAAATCGTTTTGATATTATATATTGCAATGTCTACAGTGTGAATATGAAGATGCAGAGGAGGAGTGTGACGACCCTTCTCCTCTGCTTTTAGATTCTACAGTGAAAATATGACCTATATTCTCTTGTGTTTAATAAACGAATTGATATAGTCAGTGTTTTATCTAGGTTTTTCCTTTCGAGAGTGCGATAGCGAGTTCCGGTAGGGCGAAAACCTAATTTCTAGAGGGCAAATACATAGTATAAGCACAAAATCGTTCTTCGGAAGGGCTCTGCCCTCCCGCTAGATAAATCACTTGATATAGTTAGACTCTATTTCATAGGTTCCACTTTGTCTGTATCACTAGAAAAAAATTACTTACTTTTTATCTGTAGGAAATAGAAGTTTTGTTAATTGACTATCTTCAATTGATATAGTTGTTAAAAATGATAAACTCATTTGTAATTGTTCCATGATTGGTGGTGTATTACGTTTTTCTTGATAATATGGACATGTAAGAAGAAGTGGAGCACGTGTTAAAGTATTTTCATGAGATGATATAGAGGATATTTGTTCATAAACTTGATAATAAGGACCTGTAGATGCTGATGTATCTGTTGACCAAAATTGTTTTTCACTTTGCTCAATATTTTTTTTAATTGTTAAAGTTTTTTTTTGAGATTGAATATTTCGAAATTTATAAAATAGATAAAGAGCAAGAATAAGTACAGCTATTGTTATGAAACAACTAGCAAATATAAGAGAAATTATTGTAACAATGGAATATTTTGATGATAATAATCGATTGTATGATAAATAACCGATTAAATATTCACGATATCCAATGCGAAAACGAATTGGACCAATCGAAGAATTAAATAATGTACAATCATCTAAATATAAGTATAAAAATAAATTCATTTGAATTCCAGAGATTTTAATAACTAACCTTGTTGTTGTTGATTGTTAAGAATAATTGCAGTACTTGGCAGTAATTTCGCTGGTGGTTGACATGTAATTCCTTTTGATGTAAATGTTTTAAGTTTACATTCTGAACATCCAATAAATAATTGAATATCTGGCATTGATGCAGCTTCAGTTAAATTTTCTACTTGTAATTTTAATTCTTCACCTGTATAAGGTAAAGTTGGTGGAATAGCTGATATATTTAATAAAACATCAGGAATATAACGAAATTGAATTAAATTTGTTAATGATATAATTGAATCATCAAAATCAAGTGAAAAATTAACATCTATTGGTGTTGATGGAAAATCAGCGGACGGTGATGGAAGACCTGGTGTACGAAAATTAAATGATGACATTGATCCATCTTCTGCTGTTAAGATATTATGTGAATTAATCTAAATAATAAATTTTTTATTTTATTAAATATAAGAAAATATAAAACAAACTTTTAATTTCGCATTCCATTTTTTATATGAAAATTTCACAGTTATTGTTTGAATGGATTCAAAATACATTCCACGTACAGTTATTAAACGACCACCACTAAAATAAAAATTTCGATGTTCCAAAATAATTAATAAGAACTATCAGATTCTTAACACTATACAGAATACATAGAAACGCAACGATAAGTTTATAATTCCGACTAGTAATCTGATCGAATATAGTATATACTCCTGGGGTGTAGTCAGGAATTTGCTAAGGGGTATGCCCGACTTGCCAAGAGGTGCGCCACAGGTGTAGGAAAATAATTTTTTGTTTCGGATGGAAAAATATTCCCGTACTCCCCGACAGGTACTTTTTTCCAAGGGATGTGCACAAGCACCTTTTGCACGTCCCTGATATACTCTGACCCATCATGAGACAATCTCAAAGATATACAAGCTATCGAAAGTGTTTAAAACTCAAGTACATGAATTGTATTTTTTGTATTATTGTTATTATAGCATAAGTATTATTTGCCAAAAAAGCCCCAGGTGTTTTATCTAGTGTGTGGGTAGCACCTACCCAAAACCGAGACTTCGAAAAAGCACTGATAGACTGCATACACCTAGAATTTCTATTCCGCCCACCCCACACTTCGATTCGCATACTCGAAAAAAAGATTTATTACCTTGCAAAACTAATCGTCGGATCAATATCTTGAACAATTGGATTTGGTGTTACTTTTAAATTTTGTTCTGTATTAATGATTTGATTATCGATTTTAATAATAATATTATAAGTTCCGGGTGTTATCGATGGTAAACGACATGATAAATTATTTATTAATGTTTCTTTTATATTTTTACATTGATGTTTACCAATAAAGATTTTTTGTTCATTACCAATTAATAGATTTTGTCCATTGATATAAAGAATTTGTCCACCATATTGATAAATAATATTTGGATTTATTGAAATTATAGATGATTGTTGATATTCAATCATTTCTTTTGATAAAATATAAATAGAATTTGAAAAACGTATATGAATTCGTCCTTTTCGTGATGAATTTGATGGTTGTGATTGACATTGAATTACATTCGATGAATTTATTATTAAACAAGGTATATCAACAATTAAAATTTCAATAATTTTTTCGTTAAAAACTTCATTAATATAAATAGTAATTATTGTCTGACCATTTAATGGAATAAATTTTGGTGAAAAATCTATAATACGTAATGATGTACATTGTTCACTTGTTACACATGTATTTGATAATTTGGATAAACATTGGCCTTGACACCAGACACATTTAGAACGTAAATTACATTTATCACATGAATCATATAGATCACAACGATATATAAACATTTCAATTGGATTACCAATGACAATATCATTTTGAATAAGAGTTAAAAACATTTTCTCATCATTTTTATTGGCAATTTCAGGAATTTTAGTAATTTGACATATATTATTGGAATTTACTAGACCATGAATTGTTTCATTTAAACGACATTGAATTGGATTATCAAATTGAATTGCATCAAATTTTAATGGAATATCAACAGATTGACTAGATTGAAGAAATATACTGGAAGGATCTAAAAGATTAAATGTTGAACATTGAGATACGGTTTCCGTTGTACACATAGATGAACATCGTTGCGAACACCATTGACATCCAACTTGTGATTGGCATAAAACACATGATGAAAATGATGAACAATTATAAAATGTAAATTCAGGTACAGTAGCAATGCTAGTATTCGATGGCCATTTTATTACAGATAGACGAACAGTTGAATGAGAACCTATAAGATCAACAACATGTATCATTATTTGTATATATACCAATTGAAAAGATTAGGCAAAGATAAAAACAAGTTCTAATATATATATATTGCATGTATTAAACGATAAAAATCTCTCATACCTTTTAACATATGAATATTTTTATTTGATGGCGTGGGACACGAAAGACGATTATGATCTAATTTAATTGCTTGTGTATATGCCGACATAATTTTATTCATAAAGATACATTGATAGATTTCATTATGTTCTAATTGTGGTAATTTCGATAAAGTTAAATTAATCTTTTAGAAAAAAGAAAAAAAAGTACAAATGAGATTTTAATGAGACAAAATAAAATTAACAAACCCATTGACTATTGTCAACTGAAACTTTCAATGGTTCAACATTAATAATATGTGTACATTGATTATTCTCTTGTTGCCATGAATTCAAAGGACAATCATTAGCTAATGTACACCTGAAGAGAAAATTCTTTCAACATAAAAAAAAGAGTGAAAAGCCACGTGCTTATTCATAAATTGGTGAAAGAACACCTGGTGATATTGAACGACAATATGTCACTAGAGATTCTCATTTTAATTGCTAAGGAAGACTCTATATTTGATGTGTCAATATGCATCGATTAAACCATTTATCTTTGTTAAAATTGACATGAGAAGTTTTTTTTTTCTTTCTCTCTCTCTCTCTTCTATTTATGTGCATGTATGTCAATTTCAATGATCATCTTACCGTTGATTCATTGTACACCAACCACACAATGGATTATTTGATGAAGATAAACATTCATCACATGACAAGCGTGATGTACAATCACCCAAAAATGATATACGATAGACCTAGATGAAATCATTTTCTTTTTGTATATTAAAAACAAAGATTATTTTAAAAGCAAACCTTTGTTCCTGATGCTAAATAAAATGTTGCAAGATTTTTATCAAATATAATATCAGAAAGAATAGATGCTTGAGTCGATAATTGATATGAATAAAACCAATTTATATTTACTTCAAAATCGAATAGACCCTAGAAAAAGAAAAATTTTATCTTTTCAAGTATTTGTTTGTTCAATTCTTTATCATCAAACAACAACAATAAGAAGGAGAACAAAAAAAAAGCCAGATGTGCGGAGGTAGTGCGTGACAAGCTTTGTTTGAATAAAAGTACCATGTCATCTGACCTTTTGTCTATCGGTATATACTTTAGATGAAGTGAATAGAATAAATGTCTTAAGGCATTTCGTAAACTTTGTTTGATTGATGAAATACTTACTAACTTAAAAGTACCATTAGTTAAACCTTGAAAAACAAGTATCATTGAATTGAATGAATACATTTTAATGACACTAGAATTTTCAATTATATTTTCATATAATAACCGACCTCTAACAGGTGTAGTACCACCAACTGGATAAGGTAAACGATCACTAATTATCCAAGGACATATATTATTATCATTTATTGGTATTGACCAACTCTTTTAATGCACAAAAGAAAAATATAAAAAAATTATTTTTCTTAATAGATTCTCTCTTACTTCATCTTTTCTACATGGTTCATTTGGTTTGATAAATTCTAAACCTCTTTGTCCAATTCCTTTTGAATAACATGTTCGATAATTATCTTCAAATGCTTGATCAATATCATTTTGAATATTCCATGAACATAAATTCGTACCACCTGTACCATCTTTTCTTGTAAAATATCCAATTAAAATTTGTTGATTATTTCTATTATAAATAATATCTGCTGTTTTAAGAATCCAATCTGAATTAACACATTTCAACGGTATTTCCGTATATGTACGTATAATTGAATATGATGTTTCACGACAAAAACGAACAATTTTTGTTATTAAACTTTTTTGTTCATTATCATTTGGTTGATTTGTTAGAAAATAAATATAATTTTTCGTATAAAATGAATAAATATATTGAACAATAAATGTTGTTTGTTGTCTTGACATAAAACGTAATGATAAATCATCATGTGAAATCATATCATCATTATCATTAACAGATAAAATTTTCATAAAACGTGATATATTTAATGAACGTCCAGATATATTCGGTATTTGCCAACGATATTTACCATCATTTGTATATGTAACACCAAAATAGATCAAATTTTTTTCTGGTATTATTAATGCAATTGTACTATTGATTGGATCGTTAGCAACAATTGGAAATGTTGAATTAATAATAAATTGAAAATTTTTATCGATTATCTGACATAAACCTTGATCATATGTACCACATAAAAATATTTTATCATTGGAAATTGTTAATAAAATTTTAATATGAGAAGTTTTTGGAAATTCCAATGGCGTTAATGTTTGATTTAGGGTTAAAGATGATAGACGATGTAGAATATTATTTGTACTTATGTATAAATTCTCTTCATTAAGAAGAATTTTATCGATTGATTTATTTAAATCTTTTTCGATAATATTTATTGATAAACTATTCGTAGTTAGAATGAAATAACTTAAGAATAGAATAGAAAACATGCTGAAATAAAAAAAAAGGAAGAAAATATTTGAATTTATCTTAAGAATATAATTGTAAAATGAGATGATTTCAGGATTATCATTTAATGTTCAAATATTCACATCCGGTATTAATCGAGTCTGTCACTTACCTTTTCTCCCCTTGTCAATAATTTTTCAAAACGAAGAAAGAGAAAAGAAATGAAGTTGTATATGTATACGATATATAGAGAGAGAGAGAAAGAGAGAGTAGTATATGTTTGTCCTCGTCGTCCACTAAGGTTTTTTTTTTGTTTCTTCTTTCCATGCATGCGTGTGTGTGTGTGTGTCGGTCATCGGAGAAAGAAAAAGAAAAAAAACAGAAGGAAGAAACAACAGGAGGCAATTAGAGCAGATGGCCAGGTGATTCATTTGAGCAGAAAATTGAGTTTACCATCAGTATGTCATAATATTAATGACTTGAAAGTTTGATCGATGATATGATGATTATCCCAATGGATATTAGAATTCAAAATAGATTTAATTAACTTATTTTGTTCTCATGCGAATAATAAATCGTTCAATGTAATTAGGATAGATTGATATATATATGTATAGACATTTTACAATATGTATTTGTTCGATTTTTTCATTATATATATGAAATATTCATCAATGTGTGATCACTTTCTTTCTTTTTTTTTTCTATTTGCCGATGGACGCGTCTAGATCAATGAACTCAATACCGGATTGCCTTTAGATATATATATATATGAAAGCAAGACTAAAAAATAACAATGAATGGACAGGAAATGTCTGACTATACTCGACCTTTTAATATTTATAGAAAAAAAAATGAGAACGTTAAAGATTTTCTACTTTTTTTCCAATTAGTTCCAAACTGTGAATTTGATCAAAACAAAAAAAAGGAAGATTCGACTTATATTTTCACAAGTTAATGTTGTTTTATATCAACAGATGATCAAAAGGTGTTGAATTTCAACTGTTGTCTTCTTCATGTTTTCAACTGAATTATCATCTTTTTTTTCTCTGTATATATTATTGAACAAGATGAGATTATCACAAATTATTTTCTTGGTGTAAATCCATTAGATAAACAATCTTCTTTAGCAGCAAGAGTCTTTTCTTGTATATATATGTTGCTTGAATAGATATTGTTTTCTTTCTAATTAACAAATTGAATGATGTTAAGATTAACTAAGAACTAATTCATATGTTCAATGTTATTTTTTCAATCTATATGATTGATTTTCATTCACATACGCCTTTTTTTTCTATTAGGCTACTTGAAAATATGATTACAATTCTTTCGAATACGTATAAAAATAGTAGTATATGTACGATTCATTCACGCTGTGTGTATATGAAGCCGTAATATAACGATTTTTATAAGGACAAAAGGTGTGAATAGGTTAGGTAACTAACCATATAAAATATAAGTGAGTATAAAGAAAGATCTATGCAGAAGTTAACAATAGTTATTGTTTTGTTTCATCGACTATAATCTATTTATAGCGTGATTTTAAAATATAATTTTATAAGCTAAGAAAAAAGAATTTTGTTCGTATTTTTGTGTAACTAAGACTCAATTGACAGATGGAAAAATAATGATATATAAGAATCAAAATAATAATATTATTTGTAATTATCAAATATCTCATATTTTTCTGACAAAATAAAAATTAGATACGATTATGTTTATATTCATTGACAATCTAGCACCATCTATCGTATATAAATACATATATTTATGATATTTTTCATAATTATGTTTCATGATCAATATGAATTTTTCTATTTAACTTACATTTCAGTTCTATATATTTAATGAAAGACTTGAAAATTAAATCTGTATGGTTAATATAAAACTCGAATAGAATGTTTGTTGGTAAGACCTCGCTATATGATTTATTATTATTGACCAGGTAAATTTGATCTTTCGTGCAGTACTCATACTGCTGATTGATCATGCCAAAAGCTAATTCATCATCATCATTTATATCTCCACATCCTCCGATTCCTCTTCCTGATCATCATAATCATCCAGTTCCTCGTCGTTCTTCTACAACACTTAATGAAGCATCAAGTCTTCCTCCACCTGCCAATGCCGTGTCCTCGAACACCCACACCACCGAACATGAAAATGATGATAATCAAAATAAACAAATAATTAGTTTGCCCTTCAATTGGCAGGTATAAATAAGAATTTTTGTCTTATCTCTTCGAAATAATCATAATATTATTTAGGCATCAAAATCTTCTCTCAATGATCGTATATCAGCATTATGTTTAAATGAATATATGGCTGATATACATTTTGAATTACCTGACAGTGATGAATTAATTCCTGCACATAAATTTGTTTTAAGTGTTGGTTCTTGTGTATTTGAAGCTATGTTTCAACGAAATAATGAAACATTAACATCTATTATTCATGTACCTGATATGGAAACATATGCATTTCGTATATTATTACGTTTTTTATATGGAGATTATAGTAATCCATCATTATCAATAACACATGATACTGTTATGTCGATATTATATGGTGCAAAAAAATATTGTATACTTGGTCTAGAACGTCTTTGTGTAGATTTTTTAAAGAAAAATATTTCAATAGAAAATGCATTGATTTTATTAAGTCAAGCACGTTTATTTGATGAAGCACAATTAGCAGCACAATGTTTAGAAGTTATTGATAAGAATGCAATGTATGCATTACAAACACCTGAATTATTAGATATTGATTTAGATACATTAATGGCAATTTTAAAACGTGATACATTAGGTGTAAGAGAAATTAAATTATGGCAAACTTGTATAGCATGGGCAAAAAATAAATGTCATAATACAAATCAAATTGTAACACCAGATATGATACGACAAACATTAGGTGGTGCTTTAAAATTAATACGATTTCCATTAATGAGTCAAGAAGAATTTGCACAAGGACCAGCACAATCAGGAATATTAACAGATAAAGAAATAATTTCAATATTTTTATATTTTAATTTACCAGCTAAATCATATAAATTATGTGAATTTGATGATGAACCACGTAGTACATTTAAAGAATATATTGTTAATCGATTTCGTGAAGGTGAAGTTGAACATCGTTGGTCATATTCGGATGCATTTGATAGAATTCGATTTAAATGTGATAGACGTTTATTAATAGCTGGTTATGGACTTTATGGAAGTATACGAGAACCATTTGAATATAATATTCATATACAAGTAAATTTTGAAGATTTTATTGTTTGAAAAGAAAAATATTATTTTTAGTTACATCATTTGGATTCTGGTCGAATATTAGGTGAAAATGAAACAACATTTATGGCTGATGGATCATCATCAACATTTCGAGTTTCATTTAAAGAACCATTAGAAATTCAACAAGGAGAATATTATGTTGCAAGTGCTAAACTTAAAGTAACATATTTCATTTTGTTTTATCATATATTATACGTCAGCTGAGTAAATATGTAGTATACTAATGTTAATATTTGATTATTAATACTCTAGAGATAGGATCAAGATTAATTCATTAGATGAGATCTTTACAGTCTTTAAATTAATAAATCTTTGTAACTTTATTGAATAGTATCCATGAGTTAATCTTAGTACAGAAGATAAACGTTCTTGATAGTAGAACAATAACCTTAGTAATCCTCGTTCTTTGATTACCAGAATAAAATCTTCTTACACCTCAATTTATCAATCATGCTTCAAACGAGTTAGCGAAACTTATTGACATCACAAGTCTCGAATAAGTGTATGTCTAGAGATTCGTTCTTCGAAAATATCGTAGATAGCGTGTATACATATGTAATTAGGACTTCTACTCATCCATGAAGGTATTTTAACAAGTTAAAATGATTTCCATATGATCTATATAAATTAGATGACGAGAACATTCTGCATGAGAGAATAATTGATTCATATTCATTATGGTTCACTTGTTGGTTGAGTCAAGGAGACTTAATATGAATAAAATAAATTAAGATTTCCTGTACTATACGAGTTGAATATTCTGTATAGTTAAAGCTAAAGATTTTTTAAATGAACTAATCTCATATTCAATAGTATTGTCATACTGAAAAATTATGCCTCATTAATCACGTATTCTATTCTAATTTCTTTCGTCCTTTTGATCATATGTTAAAGAGCATCTATTATTTCTAGGGTCCAGATTCATTTTATGGTATTAGTGGTTTACGTCGCATAACACATGATTGTGGTCTTGATGGCAAAGTAACATTTCATTTTGCATACGGTAAGTTTTATTATTGTATAAATAATAAATATCTACATATTTATCTTGTAGCATCTGGCGAAAATAATGGATCAAATGTTGATGATGGACAAATACCTGAAATCATTTTTTGTCTATAAGATTTCTTGTTATTCTTTTCTTTTTTTTTCTCATTCCATATTTGTTTTTTTAGACTAGTAGATAGTCTATTTTTTTTTGCTATAAATATACAATGTATAATTCATGGTTATGTATTGAGAACATACATCTGGTGATAAATACCAATGTATGTGAAAAAAATGCGTGATGATGTTTGTATAAACGATATGAATATTTGAAAGAAAAAAAAAATCCGAATTATATATCTTTTATTTTCTTATTTTTTTAATGATTTCGAAAAGTATGATATTTAAGTGGAAAGAAAAATGTAATCAATATTCTTTCATGGTTGTAGGTAAAATAAAAATAACAAGTGTCAATTAAGAAATATGATCGACAAGGTAAATGAAATGTAATTTAAAAGATTTTTTTGTAAAAAGAAAAGAGATAGTATAATCGAAAATGAAAAGCTCATATCAATATTGGAACAAAATATGTGTAATTACTATAGATAAGAATTCATTTTCTTTTTATATCATATTTTCGTAATCTTTTAAGTAATTAAATACGAGTTTCTATGATAATAATACAAACTCCAATGATTGGCCTAACGCTTTAGAAATCTATTACAACTTACTCTAATATACTAATTTCAATAAAATATAGCATAGACTAGTAAATAATCGTTAATGTAACATGAATTCAATTAAATCTTTAGATATTAAAGTATACTACTATTTTCTTAACTATGCTATATAGACTGGCTAATTATCAATGTACTAAAACACCATATGGATTCAATATGATTAATAAAGCTAATCAATTGCAACAACCGTAGCATCGACTAAAAATTAACAAAAAATGTCAATATTTCGCTAGAAAAGATATTCGTACCTACACATTAGGTTTCATTATTTCGGTCAGTATGATCGTTCTGTAAATAACCAGGGATTCCAGATTTGGTCTGAATTAATACTTTAGGTATATTTACAAACACATAAAATCTACACTTACAACGTAAACATATAAAACGATCGTTAAAAATCGAATTATCATAGTAAATAATATACAGCCTTCAACGATCTACAGTTCGTAGCGGCGATGAGCATTACAATCATTATGTCGAGCAATTATTAAATATAATCGAAAGAGCAACATCTAAGATTTCTAAATCAATTATAATACATATTCAACTTTTTCTTATGATTTCTGTTCGCTTCATACTATCATGTGATGATCTTATCTCGAATAATATTCTCGACTTGTTATTATAAAAATGACAACAGATAATTTGAAAAAACTATTACTAAATAACGTTTAGCAAGTTAAGAATGATAAAGTTATTTTCCAAAAATACGTATATTAAAACGAACTTAAAGTACTCATCAATATTGTGAAGATAAATAAATATTTATATACCAAATATTTTTCAGGAATTTTCTGTTTATTTAGTTTTATATTTAATAGAACAAATAAGAATTGTTTCTTGTTATATCAAGCTCGATTTTATACATATCTGTATAATATTACATAAATGTTATTTATGATAAATATGTCTGTCAAAAGATCATTTTTCGATGTCATAGAATAGAGTTTTTCTTCGAAAATATTGTAAAGAATTTCTATGAAAACACCAAAAAAATTGAAAGGATTCTTTTTTGTTGTTCTGGAAAAGTTTTTTCATACAATCTATCATCTTATAATACAATGAAGATAGATAAAAAATAGTGGCACATTCGTATTTCTCTTCTTATCCATTTCCATATCCATATGTATCTACATGCATACTGATGCGTATAAACGCGAGGGATGTAAAGGAACAATAACGAGCTTTCTTGTTTGTCGTTGATATCCTATATATCCATACATACATATGCATCAATACAAAAAGAAATGTAACGAGACTCTCATTTTTCTTTCTTCTTTAGCACAACTTCTTAACGGATATTTTAGGAATCGGACAACATCGTCGTATTTTTTTTCATCTTTCTGCCTCCTCGTTCTTCTGTTATATGGCTTATACGTGGGTAGATATTACTAAGAAAAGAAAAAGAATAAGTGTTTAGAATACTAACATCATCATCATCCAGTGTCTATCTTGCTTTTGCTTCTTTACAAGATCAACGAAGGACAGAAACTAAATCAACAACCTATCTTCTAGTTAACTAACAGACAAAAAAATGGCTGACGAGGTAATAGCTTATAAAAAAAATTGCACTAAATAATTATTTGGAATATTAATCCGCATGTGATCTTCTTTTGCACGTATATCATCTCGATATGCATAAATTTTTTATTTATTATTGAATATAACAAAATATATTACAATAAAAGCGTATGTAACATCTCATATATTATCGAATACTTAGCGCGCATGGCCATAATTAATTGTATAATGAATAAAGTATGTTTTTTTTTGTTTATTAGGATCGATCACTTACAGAAGATGAACGAAAGGCTCGTAAGAAAGCCGATCGTGAACGTAAACGTCAAGAAGCTCGTGATGCAGCTGAAAAAAAGAAACGTTTCGCTTTAACACCGGAAAAAAAACGAAAACTTCGTGTATGTATTAGTGTATTATTTGTATATATATATATAGATTAATTTATTTAGCTTTTAATTATGAAAATGGCTACTGACAATCTTAAAGGTGAACAACAACGTCGTTTAGAAGCTCGTAAAAATTATATTGAACAACGTTTGAAAGCACTTGAAGATGTCAGTTCAATGAGTGATGGTAAATATGACAAAAAAAAAGATTCCATTTAAATATTATTTTTTTTTCTAGCTCAACTTAAATCACTTTGTCAAGATCTTTATGCTCAATTGAAAACAACTGAAGAAGCTCGTTATGATTTGGAATTTCGAGTTCGAAAACAAGATTATGATGTAAGAAAATTATTCTCCTATATTATTTCTATTCTCCTTTTTTGCTCTAAGATTAATGAATTGACAATTAAAATCAATGATATTAAAGGTAAATTCGTTAAACCATCACTTAAGAAAGTTTCAAAAACAGAACAAAAGTATGTAGAAATATTTTTCATCAAATAAAAACGTTTTATTTTTATTAAAATTAAATTAGATTGAGTAAAATCAAAAAACCAAAAGAAGATGAACCTAATTTTATTGGTTTGGCTAATTTAAAACAAACAACAAATAAATTTGCTCTCAAAGAAGAACAAGCAGAAGACGAAAAAATTAATTATCGTGATCAAATTCAACTTAAATCAGCCAAAGAACATAAAGAAGAAGATGCATAAAATCGTACAAACTCATTCGATTTTGGACATAATATATTTATAATTTTCTCTTTACCCTTTTTCTCTTTTTCTTTTTATGCAATACATATTTTATCTTCTTCTTTTTTTAGCTATAATTATTAATAAAACAGCACAAAGAAAAAAACTAACTAAAAAACAAAAAAAGTTTTTTTTATATCGTTTACATTGAGATAGGTATATATTTTAGATTTTTTTTTGCATTATGTATTGAGTGTCGATACTCATCCTCCTTTTTCTCCATTTGTCGATGACATTTAAGTGGAACATAATAAAGCCATGTTAATAATACCAAATGAATGAAAAGAAAAATACCAATAGCAATAATAAAAACCCATCGATCTACGAATGCAATATCCATGTCTGGTGTTAAGCGAAAATCAGGTGTGCGCAAAAATATATATGCGCCCACTACCGCATGCCATAAACAAAGAATAGCAAGAGTTCCCATACATAATATTGCATATTTATCCATTGATGTTAAATATGATATAGTTGGCTTGAAGTAAAAATGAAATAATATAGATGAAAATCAATTGAATTTAACTTACAAGTGATCGATTTACTGTCCAACGAAATGTAATTGAAGTCAATAGAAGTGTACATGATGTTTGAATTCGATTAGCTGAAAGACTTTAAAATAAAAAAAAAATTATTTAAAAAAAATAATATAATAAAAAATAATTCACTGTGCTGGAATTGCAAATATACAAAAAGACACCAGAGTTATTAAGAATATAAGAAAATATCCATTCACATAGAAGTAATTCGATCGACGAGCTTTTTTAAAATAAAAATAATTATTTATTTAATTTTTTTATTATTATTATTATGTAAAATACAAACCAGCATGACATGTTACTGATAGAATTGATCGTTTCCGATCTTCTTTATTATTTATATTTTCAATTTGATTACTTTCATCTTCTTCATCATCAGTATCACGAAAAATAAATTCAGTGATATATCTTTGTAAAGTATCAACATAGGCATATAATTTCCATTCTTGTTGATCAACAAATGCTTCTCGATTTACACCACTTCCATGATATGGATCAGCAACCAAAATAACCCTATCATTATAAAGCATTGAACCAATAGATATTGATAAATCTTGAACATCGGTTGGGAAATGTTGAAGTTCAAGTTTCTCCCAAAATACACCTTTGATATCACGATGTTCACAAACATAAATTTGAGTATCTTCTTTGGACTTTTTAGCAGTATATCGTATTTGTTCTTTTAAGTCACCTATAGTATTTTCGATATAAAGTTGTGGAGTCCAATGAGATTCAGCATATTTTAAAAGTGAAACAGATTTTCCATCAGCTAAACGTTTTTGATCTTCAGGAGAAAGACTTGATAAAAGTTTATCGAATTCAACTTGCCATCGAGCTTCAATAGATGCTTGTGCTTGATATTTTTCATTTAATGTATCAATTTCACCTAAATTGATAATGAAAAAAAAAAGAACATGCTTGTTTAGTTAATTACCTATTCGAAGAAACATTAATCGTACATAAACCGTTTGTACTTTATTCGTTGATCGTAACATTTCGACTGCAATTTCAACCCGTACAAATGATGAAAATTATGCTTTATGATGATATGCAAATTTCACTATACGTGATTGTTCTTTTTTAATACTCGACATATTCTATATCTATGAATAATCTAGCTGAATTTTATTTTTTTTGTTTTTATTCCCATTAGTATTCATGTATATATGTATGATGGTATGTGTGATGTTCGTGAAGTATTTAGTTACAAATTATCAGCCCTTGACTTTATATCAGTGAATAGAAAAAAAGAATAATCATCAACTGATATATATATATAATTATTTTCGAAAGCTTGACAATTCTTCTATATTGAAATAATTTCGATATAAAAATAAGTAAAGAGCGTTTAGAATGATAAGATTTTATTTTATAAACTGTTCTTCGTTTTATTAAGATTGAAATATATAGCAAAGCAAAAGATTTTATCGATATAATATTATTATTATAACTAATGTTTATGTTTTTTCCATTTTTAAATTAGTTTATTGGTATACGTTCGTAACTAGAAGTTGGATCGTTTCTTTTCACATTTGATGGACCATTGTTATTTGCTGGTTTTCGAGACTTAGTTAATTTTAATTGATCATCTCTTTTTTGCATATCTCGACGATGTTTCAATGGAACACAGTATAACCAGATGAGAAGTAAAATATGAGTGATAATAAAAATACCAAAACTAACACAAAAAGCTATTCGATCAATTTTTACAAGTTTCAAATCTGGTTTAGAAACAAAACCAGGTACATATTCAAATAAAAGTCCACCAATAGCAGCATGCCATATAACATTAATGACAAGATAAACTATACCTAATATTCCATATATATCTAATGATGTTAAATATGAAATAGTTGGCTAAAAAAAAAGAAAAGAAAAGATCTTCAGATAAAATGAAATCATTCATTTATCTTACGAGTGATCTGTTAACTGTCCAACGAAATGTAATCGATGTCAACAAAAGTGTACAACCTGATTGAATTCGATTTGCCATTTGACTTAAAAGTAAAAACCAGATAAATAAATTTTATATCATAAATATAGATACTCACTGTGGTGGAATCAAAAAAAGTGTATATGAACTTAACATAATAAAGAAAATAAGAGAGTATCCATTCCAATAAAAATAATGTGATTGACGAGCTATTAAAAAAATACAAAAGAAATCTTTATTTTTTATCCATTATATTTTTTAAACACAAACCAGCATGACAAGTAATTGTTATAATTGAACGTTTTCGATCTTCGCTGCCACTAGGTTCATCATCTTCATCATTTGCGGCTGAATGTAAATCAAATTCATCAATAAACCTTTGGGCGGAATCAACATAAGCATACAGTTGCCATTCTTGTTGATCAACAAATGCTTCGAGATTTACACCACTTCCATTATGTGGATCAGGAGCCAACAGAACTCTATCATTGTAAAGCATTGAACCGACAGATACTGATAAATCTTGAACATCAGATGGAAAATGATGTAATTCAAGTTTTTCCCAAAATGCTCCTTTGATATCACGATGTTCACAAACATAAACTTGATTATCTTGTCTATATTTTTTAGCAGTATATCTTATTTGTTCTTTTAAATCACCTATAGCATTTTCTATATAGAGTTGTGGAGTCCAGTGAGACTCAGCATATTTTAAAAGTGAAACAGATTTTCCAGCAGTTAAACGGGTTTGATCTTCAGGAGAAAGATCTGGTAAAATTTTATCTATTTCAACTTGCCAACGAGCTTCAATAGATGCCTGTGCTTGATACTTTTCATTTAATGTATCAATTTCACCTAAATAAATAATAAGAAAAAAAGTAAATTTTCTTTTAATTAATTACCTATTCGAGAAAACATCAATCGAACATAAACAGTTTGAACTCTACTCGATGAGCGTAACATGTCTACTGATGTATGCGATTCTAAAAGAAATTTAAAATAGATTGTACTTTTTTACATTTAAAGTTATATGAGAACCTTGTGCTGGAGCGTCATTCGACCGAGACATTCTATATAGGTAAAAGTAATTTCAAAATGTATTCGATAATCGTTAATTACCATGCCTTAAGTAAAAACACCTTCATCAATATATCCACATACTGAGCAACGCTTCAATAATTTTTGCTCGTTATAACAAAATAAAAAACAAAAATATATGCGGGTTTCGATATTTTTTATGTATACGGAAATCACGTGTTTGGTATGTTTAGTTTCATTACTAGCTTGAATAAGAAGCATACTCCCACTTTCATAAACATAAATCGATAGACATCGAAAACAATAAATGTGATAAGAATAAGAGTGTGATTAATATGATATATATTGTGTTGAAGGATACAAATAGTAGTTAAATTAAAAAAGAATGACTGTAAATATAATGTTTTGTTTTGTAAAAATCGTATTATCAAAGTTTAACAGAAAACGTTTTCTTTACAATTAAATATGTGAGTATCTTTTTTTACGTCGTTGAAACGTAATGTTCTATATGTTGACAGTAACTTTATCACTCATGCATCATAAATAAATTTAATGAAACTGACAGATTGATAAATATCAACTTATGGATAAAAAACTATTTTAATTGGTGTGCTAGTAAAATATGAAATGATTTTTATCTCTTTTAGGTAATGACATGTACGAGAAAAGCATTCGTATTCGTGGACTGATCTAAATTATTTTGTAAAAATAAACATAGAGAAAGAACAGAGTCATTTTTATCTTAGTTTTATTGGTCAATAATATCTGCTTTTAGGCCAAAATCATTCTATATCTCCTTGTACATTGACATGTTTAGAAAAAAATTAAAAAATAGGTCAAATACAAAGAGAACAGCTAAGAAAATAATAATAAGAGTGGAATAACGTCACATATAAAAGTAAAAGACGCATATGATATAATCGCTTGTTTATATTTACCAATAGAATATTTTATCACAAAAAATGAATGCATAACTAAGGTATATTAGTTACATAAAATAAATTTCATAGTTCAAATACAATGTTATATTAACATTTGAAAATAATATTGTTCATATATTAATTTCTAATATATAATTTTATATCAATATTATAAAAACTTTTTTTATTATTATTGATACAATATTACACCTTTGGTAAAATCTATTGACAATAGAAAATGCTGTATTATAAATACATAAAATGAAATAGACATAATAATTATACTATTATTCATTTAGTATATTTATAATCATTTCTACAAAATCGTTACAAAGAATATATATATAAAGTCTTTCGAATGAAATAAAAATAATTGTTTCAATAAACGAGTTCATAGAATTTTTTAACAAAACTGTTGTTATTACTATCAATGACTTCTGAAACAGTCGAAAGCTCTAGTTCAATTTTATATTTTGTATTTGATTTTATTATAAACAACTAGTTTCATAACGTTGAAAATAAATTAAAAATTGTTTCATCTGCTCTCTTTTAACTAGCAGAAGAAATCTTATTATGATATAAAAGTTAAATTCAAAATCATCGTACGGTTAAAAAAAACTTTGGGATCTACGAAATATCGTATTCTTCATTTTTTAAATCTAGTTCGAGTTCGTTTACAATAATATTTAATAGTCACTTGATAAGAAATGTATTAAAAACTTTCGATGTATCGATTACTTAATGTTATTCATTCACTTCCCCCACTATGACAGTTAAAAACGTGCATTAATATTAAAAAAAACTAGGTGAGTATGTAGGGTTGATCGTCTTGACATATATGAGGAAATGTAGGTGTATGATACGTGAATAATAATAATGAAATATTAAAACGATGCTTTTATTCTGTTACTTTTACTGTATATTCATAGTCGTATCCTATCTTATCGATAATCCAGTCGACAAATAAACAGAATCAAATAAAAATCATCGATTTCAAAAGTATAGAAACAAGAATGTTAGTTAGTGTAGAAATTGATCTTATTATCAGTCACTTACTATTCATAGGAATTATTTTTATGAAATAAAACAATATTGGAAGCTGATTTTTGTATTAGAGATACAACTCATTGAAACCTTTAACATAGAAATATTTTTATGTCTCGATGTTAAGTTGACAACTAAATTGTACAAATAATAAATATCAATTGTTACATGAGTCAAACTATTCATTTCTTCGGCTATACAATCTATATTATTCACGTTATTATTAAAATCTATCAATAAATGTCTATCATCAAATACTATTAACTCATATTGATTATTATCATTTTTGTAAATAATAAATAAGCCTATCTCAAGTTCATTGAGTAGACCATATGTGACACTTCTGGTTATATTCATGTCACATATTGTTTTACAGTAAAGTAAAATACGCATGGTTTATTGTGATAATAATAATACAAGGACTATTCAGGTAAATATGAATAATTCAGCCCATCAATGAAGAAAATGGTGTCCTTGAAGAAATTCGATATTCCTAGCGTACAAATATTAGTTAATTAAATGATTGTTCTCATTTTAATATAATAACAGTTAGTAAAATCTAAACAGTTCATCATTAATCAGTCTGAATATATGGTTAATATAATAAATGTTCAAATTATTATGTCGTTTGTTTTATCAAAGATATATTATAAATTCCAATGTTTATTGTAGAATGAGATAACATGATTAAAAAAGTGCTAATATATTGAGAATTTGAATAAATTTCTCAGAAGTTATAGTAAGAGTATAGAATACGAAAAGATATTAATCTGTGATGAATTGTACAGTTCTGGGCATAATAGCATTGCTTTTAATCATATTTATGTTTATTAAAAAATGATATACTTTTTTATTATTAAACCAAAGAAACTTATTCCTCAGACTATTCGGTTAAATTCAAAAACGAAGATTTTATCCGAATCTACTCGCTCCTCAATATGACCTAAAACAGTCACATCGCGACATCATCGAAAACAAGTATTTATGAAGCTGTCAGGGGTGACGCGACCCGGAGGGGGGTGTCGGGGGTGTGACACCCTCCAATCTTCGAAAATTTCTAGTTTTTGCTCAACAAAATCGGCAAATCTTCTTAGATTTTTTACCAAAGATAATGACACACCCTCCAAAGATCTGAAAAAATTTCGCTACAATGTTGGCTGACTCGCGCCACCCCTAGAAGCTGTTTAATATCATTTCATTAATACTATATAATCTAAGATTTATTTGATTGTCTAGTGTGTTATTTTTAACAGAAATATTCATAGATATGCCATCTTGATATATGATATATATTAATCATGTTCTGAGATTTGTCTATTAAACTTTCTTATGTAATCAAATGCGAATATATATTTATAGGTGATCCATCAGTTTACAAAGAAGTAAATCGATATGTGATGAATGTATACAAAAGCATGATCATTCTAAAAATATTATATCAAACAAATGAATATATTTTCGAATAAATGTTTTAATTTTATTAATATAAAAGAGAAACAAATTCATCAATATGATATAAATAACAAAAAAAACATACATTTTAGTTCTTCCATAAATAATTTCAATTGATATATTTATATATTTTTTTTTCTTATTTGAAAAATCTCCAATCAAATGGTTCAACTGCTGCATGTTTATTTGGTGAAATAGGTGGTTTTGTAGCTCTCCATGTTCCATCAACTTGTTTAGTAATACAATGCATCGATAAAAATGGAACGCGTAAAACAAGAAATTTCAAATCATTAACTCGTGGTTGACCACCAATTAATTGCCGAGTACATACTTCAATTGTTGATGCCTAAATATAAATTATCAAAAAAATTTTTTTTTGTAATAAAAATGAGTGATTTTGGTTTTTCTATTTACATGTCCAACTAGAAGAATATTTCCTTCATGTACTTCATGATTTTTTAAAATTGATGTTGTTATAAAATGACTTCTTGTATAAAACATTAATTCATCTTCATCTTTTCTAAGTGTTTCAATTGGATAAAATGGTATATAAGATTTATCAACATTATATCCATTTTGTGCTAATTCATCTAAGTCAAGAAATGGCCATTTCACCGGTACAACAGGATACCATTTAAGAAATTCAAATAGACATGGTTCAACACGAATTGGTATTCTGTCACGCATTTGAAGACCTTCGAGAATTTTATCAGCTGTTTGTATACAACGTAATGCTGGTGACGAATAAATATGTGCTATTTTAACACCTTGTGCAGCAAGTTCTTCACCAACCATTTGACATTCATGTAAACCTAATTCGGTTAATGGTGGATCAAATAAAAAATCTTTTAAATCTTTTCTTGTAACTAATTTTTTCGGTAAATTCAAATTAAATCTTTGATAAGCACCTGTCGTCTTATCAAATACTTGTTCAAGCCAATTAGCACCAAATGTTGAATCAACTCGTTCACCATGACGAATAACAAACATTTTTTGTGGTTCATTTTGTATAAGTAAAGTTGTTCCTTGATAGATTGTTTGAAGTATAGCTGGTAATTTATGTACACGTGCTGAACGACGACGTGTAAATGTATTATTATTATTATTATTGTTATTATTATTATTATTATTGTTGTTATTAGTATTAGTATTAGTATTAGTATTAATATTCACAGTATTACTACTAGTACTGTTATTAGTACTATTGGTATGATCATGTTGAATGCTTAAACTAGTTTGAATTTGTTGTTGTTGCTGTTGAAGTTGATGTTGTAATTGTTGTTGTTGTAAATGTGAATGAATGTTACCTATTAATGATAGTTGTGTTTGTTGTATTAAAAGAGAATCGGATAAACGTTTTCGTGTTTTTCGTATTTCATGTAGTTGATTTGTATTCTTTTCACGAAGTGCAACAGTTTTATAAAGATTTTCAAGAAATATTTGCTGTTGTTGTGTAGTATCTTTTCGTTTTGATATTGATTGATTTGGATTATTTATTGGTGTAGGTGTTAATGATCCAACTCCAGCTGGGGAACTTAAATTTAATAGACTATAATGTTGTGTTTGCTGTTGTGGCTGCTGTTGTGGTTGTTGCTGACCATTCAGATGAATTTCGGAAAATGAAACTGGAGTTGAACAAAACGAATTTGACGCATTTCGATATGTATTCATAATAAAAACTTAAGAATTTCTACTATATTCCATGTCAAACTGAAATATGAAATATAAAAAAACCTACATATATGTCAATAAGTATTTTGTAAATTGCTCTATGGTAATTCATGGCTATATGTCTGAATTTATAGGAAGGATAGAAGGTTGTAAAATTGCAAACAGACAAATTAGGTGTGAACAAAATGATTGTAAAAGAAGGCAATTTTTTTTCTTCTTTTATAAAAATGACACTCACCTACAACCCTATACTTGAGTTTCTCTTCTTTTTTTTATATATAAACAATAAGGACATTTGTTATACTTGTGACAGTAGCCTTTCTAATTACATGGATGTTCGTTATTCTTCTCAAATATTTAAATTTTACGATGAAAGACTCTATCTATTCGATTGATTGTTCATATGAGTGAATATAGTTTTTTAAAAGAAAAAAAGAATGAAAAAAGTATATGTATGTAGTTAATATTACATTATGAAATAAAAAAAATGAAGGTCTTTTATATATCGATCAAACGTTCAAATGAACATGAACAATATAACACATATAGAAACGAAAAATTATCTCGATTAATTTGTTTCCTTGAAATATAAATAATATAATGGTTTATTATAGATCTGTATCAATGAATAGAAATTTGCTCCTTTCTCTTTTTTTTATATATGTATATACTTTTTGATATGCAATTATCAAATCAAGGTAGAAGAAAAAGAATATATGAAAACTGGATAAAACAAGAAAGAATAAAATAGTTGAAATAAAGTATATCGATCAATGATTAATCAGCGGAGCAAAACTATATAGAATAAATTAATTATTTATAATTATATCTTCGTTCTATTTTCTATTATTATTTTGATTAAAAAAATGAACTAAAGAATTACTGAAAGTGTATATCATATAGATTGAATTTACATACGATTTGTCTCATTTAAAACAATTGCAAAATATATATTAAATAGATTTTAGTTTTAAAGTTTAATTTACGATTATTGCGATAGGACCGAGTTATCTACAATGGCATACGAAAATATTCGTTGTACTTTATATGATTTAAATAATACATTATTACCTGCTGATAGTATAATATCGGAAAAATAAATTTTTGAACGAATTCTGAGTATCACTGAACTTAATTGAACTATCAACACATATTATTTCGGCATTGAATATTAGTATTATCTTCTTTGAGAAATGTATGATGCTATTTCAATACTTGCTATATGAATCAACTTATATAGTATGGAATCTAACTGATAAGAATAAAACAACATGATATCGTTGTCAATATAGAACATGCAGTTTACCTGCTAGTTTCGATTTCTTTTCTAATAATTACAACTTTTATGTTCGTTCTTAGAGTTACAATGAGTCATACATGATACTAGACTTTGTTAGTTCATATATATCATTAGAAACTGTTCATCAAACAAAATTTGTTTGTCTGTATGATTTAAAATGTATTCAAAAATTAGCTAATTATTTTCTACGACTTAATCGAATAATAAAAATCGAAATACTTAAGCTAAGGTAATACATAATACTTATTAAAAAATGTAATAAGTACAGAAGTCTTTTAATTCTGTAGCACATATGTCAATCATCTTATTCATACATAAAACGAACTGATGTTCGTTCTATAATATTAAATAGTCTCTATGATAAATTTCAAACTATTGTAGAATTTTTTGAAAAGACAAATAATTACGACTGACACACCTGCAACAATTCAAGTCAGTATACAAAATATATTTTTTCTTACTCTTTTTTGGCTATTTCTAGGTCTCTAAGGTGATATGACCAATTGAACTGAGATTTCTACCATATATAGAACACATTAAATAACGAGACATGTATTCAAAGAGCAAGTTTTTACTGGAGTGTTCGATTCAATTGAGAATCTTTTTGTAGATACCTGCGACTTTATTTTTGAGCTAATTTTTCAGTATTAGCAAAAGTTAATTCCCTGACCTCTTGAACGGTATAGATTTCACAAATTTCTAAAAAAACTTGATTCTAAAGATTTTCTCTCAGTTGATCGATTGCATTTGTAAAATATTATACGATAGAGTATATTATATAAAGGAAGAGGTTATTCATCGTGTACACAATGTCTAATGTTGTGAGAAAAAAAATCTAATTCAGATAAGGATATAAGATATCAACGTCGTATTTTTTGAACAATTAAGAATAAATTTAATTCGTTCATCCTCGATCTTTGCTAGAAAATTTCGGAATTTTAAAATGAATTATTGAAGATAAATTAGCTATTGTTAATTATCATAAATGAAATGATATTGAATTTGGGATTGTTTAGCAGATTGAAAATCATTAAATTTAGTCTAGAGATGCTCGGAGTTTTTTTCTAATGAATAAGAGTTGATGTCGAATAAAAAAATATTATAATGTAAACAGAAATGTATTCTAAATAGTGAGAAAAAATGACAGCATGAGAATACGTCTAGTCATACACTGCCTAAAGCACATTTGATATTACTAGTGTGACACCAAATGAGTAATTATATATGTCGCTACATATATTTTATTCGATAGTAAATTATTATGTTTATCGAATCAGATCTATGTAGAAATATCAATAATAATTTACAAGGTTTATCGAACTACGAAAACATTCGTGCAATAATCATCATACTCTTAATATACAATTCTCAATCATATTTTCATCGACGAAGTTTACTATTTGATCGTGTGTTAGAACCTTTAATGTAAGCATAGATCTACAAACTAAGCCAATTGAAAATAAAACTATTATTTAATGCTTAGAATAGATTGGAGATCCTTGAAAATATAGTTTATAAAACGTTTTTTTAATCTTTTTCGATTGAAACTACGAACAACAGTTATTAATAATCAGGATTATCATAATATTTTAGAAAATATATTACTTCCTTCGTACATTTATAGTTTTTCACTGAATGATTATCAAGTATGTATTATAAAAAATAATGTCTTTTTTTCGTATGAAACGTGTCTGGCGGTTCTGCTTGATTATGGTAAAATAAAATAATGTTCGCCTGCCTAGCCACCAACAAAGCGATCGAAAAAAAAAGAGGAAAAAGAAAAAGAAGGGTGCGATAATAATCTGTATGACTGTGTAAAGAAAAGTAAAAGTAAATGTCATACTTGTCTAATATCAGTCCGTGAAAGCAACGTAAAAACAAAAAAAAATACATATATATATTACTTATTGAATATTTAAATCTATGAAACGTTGGCAAAGTACAATGCAAAAATTTCGAGAAAAAGTTTTAAGAAGTACGTATATTTTAACTAATATTTTCATGAAAAAAAATGTAATTATAATAATATTAATACATTAATAAAAACTGAAAAACGTAATTCATCTATTTGATTTTTGAGAAGAATTTATTTTCGTAAAAAAGAATACTTTGAAAAAAATAACATCGTATTACATTTCACGTGATAGAATATTTTACTCAAATACTGAAAACTACATATTAATTATAAAAAAAAATTTTTTCTCCTCTATGCGCATACCTTTGATGATATCTAATGACGATGATAGTGACTCATGTATTGCTAATTAAATCATTGTAGAACCAACATCAAATGGTCGTTCGAAGTCAGATTATCCAGGAATATCACATCATGCTTCATTAAATCAATCCGTACAACAGCATCATTCATCATGGGATCAGTCAACACAACAACCATACCATTCAACATATGATCAGCCAGCACTACAACAATACCATTCAACATTCGATCAGCCAACACAAGATCGTTCATCTTATCCAAATCAATCCACAACAAGTAAGACAAATCTATATATTTTTTTCTCATAAAATTTATTGTATGGAGTTTCTTAATCGTAATACTGATAAACATTATGATTACTTTTTTATCTTATAAAATATATAGACAATAGTTTGTTTAGACAAGCCTTGGCTCGATCTTCGATATCATGATGCTAATAAAACATCGATAAAAAAACCGGCAGAATTAGAAAATGAATTGCAACAACCAATAGGTCCAATTGATCCTGAACTTTTAAATAAAATTCAAGGATCAATAGTAGGAATGGCATTAGGCGATGCTCTTGGTGCACATGTTGAATTTCGTCCTCGTGAATATTTAATAGATAATCCTGTTACTAATCTTGAAGGAGGTGGAACATGGGGTCTTGTAAAAGGACAGGTATTGTTATTTAATTTCATTTACTTTCATGTTTCTATATGAAGTATATTATACATATTTTTGATTATCATAGTTTACCGATGATACTTCAATGGCAATCTGTTTAGCTAATTCATTGATATCGCACAGCAAATTCAATCCTTATGATCAGCTAGTTCGTTATAAATGGTGGTTTAGATTAGGATATATGTCATCGACTGGAGAATGTTTCGATATTGGCGCAGCAACTAAACAATCGATATTGGAATTTGAAAAACGTCAAAACATGTTTGCGAAACATAACAATCTAATTCAAAACGATATGGATGCACTTTCAGATCCAGAATTACTTAGTCAGTTTGATGTAAATTGTAGTCAAGCTGGAGTTGCTGGTAATGGAGCTCTTATGCGTCTTGCACCAGTACCTTTATTTTTCCATCGATATCCCTCAGCTGCTGTTGAATATTCAGGTATTAGTGGACAGATTACTCATGGTGATATTAAAGCTTATGATGCCTGTCGTTATTATGGTGCACTAATCGTTGCTATTCTTCATGGATATGGGAAAGATCAAATACTTGATAAACGATTTTATCATGATCATAAAGCATGGTTTGGTGATAAGGAACTTTGTGATGAAATTAGAACAATTGCTGAAGGATCTTTTAAGAGAAAGGGTGGATATGATGAAGGAATTCGTGGTAAAGGATATATTGTTGATGCTCTCGAAGCAGCATTATGGGCATTTTGGTCTGATAATAACTCATTTGAAAAAGGTGCACTTGCTGCTGTGAATCTTGGTGATGATACCGATACAACGGCTGCTATATATGGTCAATTAGCTGGTGCTCATTATGGTTATAAAAATCTACCAAAACATTGGCGTAAACATGTATATGCTGAGAAATTTCTGTTAAATTTGAGTAAATGGATCGCTTATGATGGAGAGTCATGGAAACCATCAGAATATCTACATCGAATTAATTCATCACAAAATAAAGTTTCTGTTCCTGCATTTATACCAACTGAACCTCAAAAGGTGGCACCAAATAGTGGACGCCAACGTCGGAGAAAATATCATGATGCTCCTCAACCAGATCCTACATCACAATTTATCTTGCCATCGTCTCAGACCATGAATCAAGAATATATGTATCCAAATGATATGAATTCACCTATGAATAATCAATTTCAGCCGGATTCAGGCATTAATGCAGTACCTCTGACGACATCAAGCACGATCAAATATATTACAACAATGAACCAAGAACCGATTCATTCACCTCAATCACGTAGCAAAAGATCATCGGAAAATGATAAACAGCAAATAACATCACGCAAAACTTCTTCAATGTCTTCCACAAATAATAGATCAGATACAGATAGTGTAAATCAAAGATCATCAAATACATATAAAAATGGCTTGACTGTACCGTCTCAAAATGCTACTAGAACCGATGTTCAAACATCACAACCAATGTCGACTTCATATAAACCTATTTCACAACATAAATTAATAAATGATCGGTCAAATGAGAATAATCTTGGAGTCGATAAATTACAAAAGCGCGATTCCTCGAAAAGTAGACCGCACTCAACTTACTTAGAGAATCATGCAATCCAAATAAATGATCGATCTTCGATGCCAATCAACGAATCGTCTCGTAAAAGAAATACTAGTAGAACCTCACAGAATCAATTTGCTTATGATTCTCAAGGTACTAATGATACATTCATTAACAAGAACTACTCAACAACTGATAGGTCAACGAGAGAACAAGGACAAGGCAAGCTAGTTGACTCAATAACGATATCAGGACGACCATCAGCGAATCGCAATAGTAATTATTACTAAGAAAGATGATCCTCGTTACCGTTCGCGAAGCGCACATGAATTTTATCGATTAAAACTAAATTTCGAGACTTTTAGTGTTCAAGCCTGTTATTTTTACTGATGAAAAAAAACTTAAGTGTCATATTAACTTTAAAATAAACGTAATAATTTCATTCTTAAATCAAAGTTCATGAATTCAGATATATCCCTATAGAATTTAATCGATTTGTTGATATATTTATTTTAATTTCCGTATCTATCTCCTAAACAGGATTTAACTAATGTTCAGAATTTTAGTAGCATATAAGATACAATATTAATACCAGTTGTTCCCGACCTGCTTGAAATTTTATTTATTTTTTCTTTAGATTCATCTACTTATTAATTTCTTTTAACTTTTTTATGTAAACCTATATAATTATCATAAAATGAACTGTTATGTAAATAGTGAAGATTTATAAAGTTAACAATAGAATATTATAAGTTCAGATATAGTTAGATGAATGTATATTTCTTCTTACAATAAATAAAACTCGACTTATTAAAACTGATAATTAATATTTTTGATGAAACTAGATAAGAAAGATGATTTTTTTTCGAGTCCAAAACTTTAATTTCAGAAAATTAAACAGTATATCAATCTTTCTATTCTATAAGATGGGATTCGAAAATCACATACAAGAATCTAACTGATTCAATTTATCTGTATTTATAAACAACTCGAGTGGGGGTATAGAATGTGAATGAGAAATAAATCTTAAACCGTTATTAGATCTACATCGAGGGTGAGGGTGTGAGTGTAGATAATACTCTTCCCTTCACGAACACTGAACCTAGAAAGACATGATTTTAACCATTTGAAGATCTATCATTTGTACAAGTCCTGTATTAGTATCTTTAGTTAATAGAATTACATTTGATAAATAAGACATTTATCTTACAACTAAAAACTGCATCAGTATAAACTTATTGCTGCTATTTGAATCATTTTTTAAATACGTAAGTTTGTGCGGTTTCTATATATATATATCTTGATTCCAATTAGTCTACTTCAAAGCAAAAATGAATCAGTCAAATCTATTCTTATTATCATTCAGTTTTTTTTATATCTTTAAAAGGAATAATTTATATATATATATAACATGGATTTTGCTAAGTCTCAAGTTGAAGCTGCTTTAGCTTCCAGGCGTCCGTTAACAAAACAAGGTTTAACAAGTTTAACAGCTTTAATTGATGCTGTTGATCCATCTGAATTACCAACATTATATCGTTGGTTATTTCAACGATTAAATAATCATTTACTTAATTTATCACTTCATAATCAACATGTAGACACATTTCTTTCACCAAAACAGCTATCATTTCATTTACATGAACATTTTATAAATAAATTCCATTCATTACAATCTACAACAATTAAACAATTACAACAAATTTTAAAAAGTCTTCAACAACAGCAACCATTAACACAAAGTGAACTTAATCAATGGAAACGTTCTCAACAAGGTTTACCACGTGATGATTTTATTCTACATTGTTTATTTAATAATTCACCTCAATTAGCTTTATTACATGATCAAAATTTACTTAGTGCTATATTTCGTGTTGCTCTACAAACATGTGTACAAAATTTAGTTGATCGTGATAATAAAACATCAATAAAAATTTTATTTAGTGTTGGTTTAGCACCATTAGATATTATGCAATGTATTATGTCAACAACTGTTTATCATCATTTAATATATTGTAAACAATGTTTAAATGATCTTGGAGAAGATTCTTTTTTAACTAACTAAGAAATGCAAATATTAAGTTTTATAAATCAATTAAAAGAATTTTATACAAGTGAAACTGTATTAGATTTAATTGATAGTAAAAAACAATCTATTGAATATTGGAATAGAATATTTCTTACTGCACCATTAATAAAAAAAAACCTCTTGTGAAGATATTGGATCAAATACTCAACAATCAACTCAAATAATATCATCGTCAAAAAGAATTACTTTTGATTGGATATATATATAACTATCAATAAAAAAATAGAGACATAAAACATTGTTTGTTAATTACAGAAGGTTAACATTTAATTGGTGAACAACTTCTATTTTCATCAAAAGGTATTGTCATGTCAGCATTACTTAATTAGAAAAAGAGAATTGTAGTATTTGTTTAATGTTTACATTATTTTCATCTAGATGAACAATTACAATCTAAACTTGTATCAGCTTGGTTATATGCCTCTTCCCGTTAATCACTAACTTTAGTAGAACAATTAAATTCTATTAAATAAATTGAAAATTTAGAATTAATATGGTCTTTTATTCGATTAATTCATTGAATTCCTTCAAACTGGTCAGATACATTTTTTAGGCATAGTGTTATTCAAGATGAAACAAATGATTCTTTAATGTTAAATCAAAGTAAACTTTATCATGTCTATCTAGCATATATTTATTTTTCTATCAATAATGAAAATATAAATATTGATGATGAATAATGGTGTCAATGGTTACGTTCTCAACCTTGTGAATATGTATTACAAAATTCTTTTGATAATACACTTCCACTTAATCCATTAGTTCGTATGGTTCGTCAAGGAATAAATAGTCGTAATGATGAGAATGATAATAAATTAATTTTTGACTATCCAGCCTTAAGATTATTATCAAAATATTCAAAAATAAATTCATTTAGTATAAGTATTTATCATTTACTTGATCGTTATAGTCAATTAGATATATCATACGATGTTTTACATGACAAGAAGGAAATATATTTCGTGCTAAAGAAGATTTAACTACTTTACATGATTGTTTTTCATCATCAAATGATAATAATAATAATAATACAAATGATTAACAACAATCAATTGATTATCGATATTTATTTGGACAAAATTTATCAATTTTTTTATTTGATGTACGTAATGAAGATAAATTTCCCATGAGTTTATATGTATCAATAATAAAAATTTTAAAAACAAAAACACAAGAAGATTTAATATTAATAACAAATATTAATTCAATAAAACAATTAATTTTATTTAATCTTTTTTCTGAAACATATTCATCACAACATATACCAACATTATTAACATATTATGCTAATCGTTCTTGTTGGTTTGAAATGTTATTTATTGCACAATTATTTCATTATACTGCAGTTGATATTATATCATGTTTATCATTAACACAACAGCAAAATATGTTATTTGAACATTTAAAATGTTGTCTTAAGCGTTTAGTTAAACGAGATATTTTTGCTTTATTAAATGATCAAATATTAACATCAGAACAACTTAAATTAAGATTTCAACAAGGTAAATCATTTGAACTCATCGATGACTTCAGATTAAATCAAATTAAACTCTTATATTTCAAACTTATTTAAATCATCTTCAATAAATATATATCTTATTTATTTAGGTGCACAACAATGTTCTCATCCATTATTAGTTGTTCTTTATAGTACACTTTCACAAGTATCATCAATCAATGCATTTGTTTTATTTCTTCAATCATTGAATCCTAAATATTCGCATTTATTTCCAGTTATGTCAAATTTTGCTAATTTAACAAGTCGTTTAATATGTCATATAGCTGGAAATATAGGAGAATAAATTCATACTTTGATTGTATTGATCTGATGAATTTTGACATCTTTTTTTGTGATTTCGATCACGAATAAATTATTCTGTTGTTTTGTTTATATTTTTAGTCTTTTTTTTATTACAAGGTAGATTGATTGATTTAAAAAAATATATATCATAAGAGAGAAAGTATACTCTATTTTGCGTCATAATAATAAACATGCTTCATTCTTATGTTTTGTATAATGCGATGAAGGACAATAAGATAGTTTTCATAATATATTGTTTACTGTTATGAAGGTTGATATCTTATGATCGTCAACAACAGACAACAAGGCCAGTTTTGATTACAAAACTGGAAATAATTTATATCATGAATTTTTATATACCGAAAAAAAAGAAACGAGTGCATCCAAATAAATGAGAATTTAATCTAACATTTATTTTCATTTCTAAATAAAAATTTCTTGTGTTATAATAATCAAAATTATTAGTTGGTTTTATTTTGTTCCAGATTTTCATTATTTTTTAACAGATAAAACAAATATTAATTAAATTTTGTTGAAAAAAAGATTGTCAGACGCTATATTGTCCAAAGTTTCTTACTTCGAAAGTATACCTGATGACACATAATGAAATATCAGTTTTCTTTCAACATATAATAGTTCGATTTCTCAATTTCGATAATATAACTTTGATCTTATTCTTTTATAGTCATTAATGTTAAGAATATTATGGAAATCTCAAAGTCTTATTTCGAAATCGAGCTTCGCACATTGAATTTTACTAGTTTAAGAAGAAAATATTACGATAATTCACAAGAAAGGCAGGATTTGATAAAAAAACCTCTATTATTATTGTGTTATTATTATTATTATTTTAAATCGACTGATAGAACAGCTATTATGCGAAATAGTACATAGGTAAAAGATAAATATTTTTGACTAAAAATTACTTTTTGTCTCTCATGCATATCTGATTCTTTTTATTTTTTCTGCATAAAATACTTTTATAAATTTTGATACACTCGCCATCTCTTCTTAGTCATCATCACGTATCACTATCATTATTCTCCTTTTTGTTTTGTTCTGTTCTCTTTTTCTCTACACAACGTGTGCGATTTTGTTTCACTCTTCTTTACCATGAGTATGTACACATGTCATGGTTGAATAAATATGATAATTTTAACGCTTGTTTCTTTTCATCTGATATCGAATACAACTACAAGCAATCATATCATTGTAATTTTTTTTTTAAATTCCGTTTCATAGAAAATCAACGTCAAACAAGCTAAAAATATTTCCAAACTTATTTCATTTGTTCATAAAATAAAAAGCAGATTGACGATGCCAGGATTTCGAAGGAAATCATTTTTCAAAAAGTGAAAAATCAAGTTTATTATTCTTATTGTCCCGAATATATTATTTTCAAAGATTTAATAATTCTTCGATGAATTCATATAAACATCCATCAAATATTATTCATGGAACTCTTATAATTTATTTTCTAGTTTACAGTGCAGTATAGGCAGGGGTGGCGCGAGTGAGCCAACATTGGGGGCTGTGACGAAAATTTTTTGAATTTTTGGGGGGTGTAGCGAAATTTTTTTGATTTTTTGGGGGGTGTAGCATGATCTTTGTTCAAAAAATTAAGAAAATTTGCCGATTTTGTTGAGCAAAAAATAGAAATTTTCAAAGATTGGGGGGGGGGGGGTGGGGGGGGTAACCCCCCCCCCCCCCGGTCGCGCCACCCCTGAGTATAGGATTTATTTTACACATTCTACTTGCATGATATTTTGCATTATTTAGAAAAAACAACCAGTAAAATGGATTTCTATTTAACTTTTATTATTGAAAAAGAGAAAAAAAATATAAAAAAGAAATAAAAACAAAATCATAGATAAAATGTGTAATACTAACTAAATGAGTAAATAAATATTACTGTTGAAAAAGAAAAACAAAACTGATAAATAAAAAGTATTAAACTAACTAACTAATTAAAAATGTCAATTTTTTGTGCTTGGTATGCCAGTCAGTGCATTTAGTTCTTTCTATAAAAAAAACAAAGCATTCAGTCGAATACTAGAAAATAAATAGAATAATAATCTGAAAGAAAGTATCTAAAAAATAAAATACAATATCAGAACTATTCTGTCTTAAATAAATACATGAACAGTCTTAGGAAAACACGCTTACCATGATTATTAAAAATCCATTCAAATATGTAATTCACTTTATAAAAGTATTAAAAAAATGTACTAGTGACTAAAAAATAATGATAGAAGAATAAATCATCGAAAGATTGTGTTCAACTATTTTATACAATTGAAAGGAATATTTGAAAGAGTTAGGTAATAGATGAGCATGGGACTTATAAACTATTTGCACAAATACTTGATACAACTATTCTATTCACTTTGCATAGAATTTTCACTCGATCAGGTGATTCATGAACAAACGACATATGAATAAGTCATAAAAGAATTGTGTACAGCTATTTCTTTTTGTTCGAAGAACAAATGCTAGAAAAGTTTAACATTCGAAAACAAATGATAGATGAATAACTCATACCAAGATTGTATTCCAGTATTTTACTTCGTTCGAAGAACAATTTCTAGCACAGGTTAACGTTCACAAACAAATGATAGATGAATAAGTCATAAAAAGATTCTGTTCTAGTATTTTACTTCGTTCGAAGAACAATCTCTAGAACAGTTTCACATTCGAAAACAAATGATAGATGAATAACTCATACTAAGATTGTGTACAGCTATTTCGTTTTGTTCGAAGAACAATCTCTAGAACAGTTTCACATTCGAAAACAAATGATAGATGAATAACTCATACCAAGAATGTATTCCAGTATTTTACTTCGTTCGAAGAACAGTTTCTAGTACAGGTTAACGTTCACAAACAAATGATAGATGAATAAGTCATATAAAGATACTGTTCTAGTATTTTACTTCGTTCGAAGAACAATATCTAAAAGAATTTAACTTTTATAAACAAATGACAGATGAATAAGTCATAAGAAGATTGTGCACAAGTATTTCTTTTCATTCGAAGAACATTTCCTAGAATAGTTTAACATTCGCAAACAAATAATGCATGAATAAATCATATTAAGATTATGTTCAAATAATTATTCGGCATTAAAATGAGATTTCTATTTCACATTAGCACATCTTAAATAAACCACAGACGAACACATCTTACAAGCATCATATTCACATACTTTACTCAATTAAATGTAGAATTTAGATTATGTTTAAAGGTTGACAAGTTAATAAACAATGAATAAGTTTTAACAAGATTATGTTCAAGTATTTTCGTTAGTTTAAAATCACATTTCTATGACACTAGATAGCGAAGAGATAGTGATTATGAATGTCTCATATTAAGCTATGATTCCGTTATTTTGTTGAAATAGAATTGATATTCTTAAGAGGCTATTTGATCGAAGAATGAACAATAATGAATATTGCGCAGAAAAGGTACATATTAATATGTTGAAGAACATATTAATTGTTATTTGTATCAAAGTATACGACTTATTCTCACATGTAATATAAACTGAGCGAACAAGAGATTCATTAAAATATGGTACCGACTTCAACACAACATTTGTCATTGTATGTCTAATTCGAGATAGTTCGATATATGAATGGTAGAACACTAGTTAGATAGAAATATTTTGATTACAGCAACATAAATTAATATAATGAGGATCGTAAGCTATAGTCACATATAAAATGAATATTGTAGTCATAAGCAGATCCAGATACGTTTAACTCTTCGAGAAAATAGTTTCGTTTCAAACAATGGCTAAGTATCTTATGAAAAATGAATATTTTATACCATTATACTTTGTTCAAATATCTTTTTCGTTTCTCAAAATGTGACTGAAGTTACAATAGGATTGTATAGAATATATTAAATAAACAGTTCTAGCTATAATACTAGTCAAAAACTTCATTACTTCAAGTAAAAGGCAAGAATAATTTAGTGTACAGGAAATCCGTAGAAAATGAACAACTAAAACTATCATTCTATTTAATTATTTTGTTTCTTTTGAAAGCAAAATATTAATCATTCAAACGATTGATTGTCGGATAACAATTGAATTTTTCTAACAACGATTCTATTTGAATATAATGTTAGAATTTCAAAATACACAGATACTGTAATAATAACTAGCAAAATTGTATACTACATGAATGATTATAACCATAATTCTGTTCAATTGTTACCTGACTTTTCGAGAAGAATTGAGAGTTAGTCTATGATTGATAAATATATCCCAAATGAACATTCAACAAAAGTATTCTATTCAGATATACGCCATGCTATAACAAATAATTTGAGATTCGTTTTCACCCATGAATACACTAAAATTGAATATTTTTAACTAGGATTCTAGTCAAATATATTCCCGTTTATAGTTTAAATTCAATATTTATCACTTTTAATGAATACACTGCAAATGAATAGTTGTAAGTATAATTCTGTTCAAATATTTGCACGATTAACAACGAACCGAACTCATGTGATGAATAAATCAGTGTCTATATTGCCAATGACTAACTCTAACCAAAGCTTTATTCCAATACTTGTTTATTGCAGAAAACAATACAAAAGATCATTCAGCATTCAATAAAGCTGTAGTTAATGTACACTTATGAATAAGTCATCATTCAACATTCATTTACTATTACGAAAAACTTCACATTTCTAACATATAGTCGATAAATATGAGACTAGTGAATAACTCAGACAAATCTTTTCTTCGAATATATTCTTACTTACAACAAAAGCAATGAAAGTGTATTAGCCAATAAAGAAATTCATAGCAAATGAATGATTCTAATAATCATTCTATTCAAATATTTTAGTGAATGTCATGTATTTGGCGAAAGCATACTAAATAACACAGATCATAATTACCATGAATGAACGATACGCTTTGCATGGGGTTGGAGAAATCTTCTCATAAGCATCTCAGCCAATTCGTCAGATGCATCTTCCTCATCGTCATTGATGAAGCGGGCGTTGCACATTGTTGAACATATAACCATTAAAGCCAAGATGCAGACTACAGTCTTGTTAGCAACCATTGTACTTGTTTGTGTTGAAGGAAAGAATAATTATTGTATGATAGGATTAACTTTGCAATGATAGCCTCAGTGTTATATAGTCATCACCAAGGCAGAGGAGGAAGAGAGAGAGAGAGAGAGAGTAATAAAAATTTATCGATTTTTCTTTTTCAGATACAAATCAATGCGTTTTCATTAGATAAAAAATAAACACAAATAAAAAATGGCCGATCATGAAGGTTGTTAAAATATAATGGCCTTGTTTTTTTCTCCATAAAAACAAAAAATACGATTGTTGTTTATGTTAACATTATTCTACACAAAAAAGAATCACATTATAAAAATATTGCTTTATGTCGATATAATTTTTGATGGATACCTATGTTTAATGATATGCAAAACAAGTATTACTGATCTATTGTTCGATTGCTTAAATTTATCGATAACATGTCAACTATTTGAAACAGTAGCTTTCGTATACATACGATTATGACCATCATAATATATGACAGCTATACATAAATCATGGGTAAAGAAAAAGAAGAAGAAAGAGAAAGAAAAAAGATATGATCAATATCAAAGTAACTCATGTGTGGCAAAAACGAAGGACATATACAAAAAGTATCAAACTAGTGAATGACGATAGAATGTTCAATCAATACTAGGGGTGTTACTTTATCTTTCCTTTAATAAAAAAGGTAAAGATTTACTTTACTTACAAAAATAAAATTAGAATAAAGAATAAAGAGACATTTTTGCACGTTAACTAGTGTTCTTCCTCATCATTACCATCATTACCATCATTACCATCATTTTTATATGCTGTATCATCAAAAAAGGATGACACAAGAAACGATGTATATGAAAAATGTTATTTCATATTATATTTACCTATAGAATATCATAACTTTTTGTGAGCTATTCCAAAAAATAAAAAAATAACGTTTCGATAGAAAAAAAATTCTTTACCCTTTATTTTACCTTTATCTTATAAGAATAGTTTCTTTAATCTATTTATCTTTATTCTTTAGATGTATTGCAAAAGGAAAGAATTTATACCTAGAAAATACTTTGTTTAAAATCTTCATTATTTTGTAATATCATTAACACACTTAATTCAAAGAAGAACAGTGTTTATAATATCTATAGGAGAAAAAAAAAGAACTAAAAATTCTTTGACAAAATCTAATAAACTTGATAGTATAGATTATTATGATGATTCAAATGATCAATGAGATAATTGGGTCGAGTGAATAGATAATCATCAACAAGATCGTCAACAATTACATTTATATAATCTTTCTACACAAAAACCAAATCGTTGTAATAAACAACCGTCAACAACAAAACACGTAATAATGATCGACAACAAAAAAGTGAATTTCATTATTCATTTTGAATATTTATTCATTTTTTTTATTTTTCAATTCAATTAGATGCGTGTTTTAAACAAAATTCGTCGACATTAAATAAAACTATCGATAATAAAACTCAACCAGTATGGTGTTCATTGTATTCAAATCATCCAGCAAAATCTATTGATTAAACACCACAAGAATCAATGATATATAAATCTCAACAACAAATAAATGATCGTCGTCAATCAGAATCTTATCAATAACGAACACATATCAATAATCATAAACAACGATATCAAACAATAAATACAGCATCTCTATCACCATTAATGAGTGTATGATCTGATGTAAATACAAGTGCAAAAATTATATAAAATTACTATTCATACAAATTCGTCACATTACGATAATGAAAATATGTGTTATGATTCAAATTTACAAATCCATCAACAACAATATACAACTTATAATACAAATAATACATCTGATATATCATCAGCACATACAACAAATAATGGAGCAGGACAAAAAAAGAATTCTACAAATCGTACATATACAAATAATAAAAAAAACGAATCAATCATCTGAACAAACAAAAACATCAGTTATTGATGAGACTAATTCTTCATTAGAGATATCGAAGACAACTAATGAAGAAGTATCAATAAAAAAACCAAATGAAACATCTGCATTACCTTCAACAACGGAAGTATTGGCAAAAGAAATTGGAAAATCAAATGATTCCAGTAATGGCATATCAGGTGAAAAAGTTGCAATAAAAAATGATTATGAAACTAATGTTGTACAAATAGAAAATGAATCAACAAAAATAAATAAAAAAAACAACAACACCATCAGCGAATACTAAACGACGTGCAAATAAAGGTCAACAAAACTATCATCAAAATCAACGATATCAAAATCAACAAGCTCCACGTCATAGAAATAATTATGCCAGAACAATGCAAGATAATCTTTCATATTATCCTTCATATTTTAGAAGTGATCACTTTTAATTTATAAATTAGCAATAATTCAAGAAGAAAATCGGATATAAATATTTATTTAGAATTCGATACAATGCAAATGTCTAGTACACATAATTATTATGGTTCAGTTCGTCGAGTAGCACATGGTGGTCGTAATTCACATACACCTGATCTATCTAGTAATTATTATTATGAACAACTTCAACAGTAAGTTTTTATTTTTGCATTTCTCTATATATTATTCTTATTTGTATATAAAGGCATTATAATAATAGTTATAATTATTCGAATGAACATTATCAACAATAGCGTCCAACAAATAATAAACATTCTAAGCGTAGTGATGCATCAACTATACAAAATTAACAACAAAGACAACCAATAGTCAATGGAAGTGGTAGTAATAATAATAATTTTCATCATCATTCAATAAGTACTAATAATCAAAACGAAGGTGAAGAATAGGAAACAGCATCTTAATGGAATAAATAATCAACAAACAAATGAAACAAAATCACTTAATCGTGGTCGAACACCACCTAAGAAAATTTTTTCCAGTCAAAGGTATATTTAAATCTTCAAAATCACAAAAAAGACTATATTATTGATTTCTAGACCAAATGCGCGTTAGATTTTCAACTATACGAATGCATGAGAGAGGCAATGGATGAATTTTTGTCATTTCTTTTCTTTTTTGTATTTCATCTTTATTTTTTTTATCTCTCTCTGTTTATCTGTCAACGCGTATACTTATTATAATAAATGTGTATGCTATATTCTTGTTCTTTCAAACTAGATAGAAAAGTAGACTAAATACATATATACATAAATATGTTTATTCATCTTTTTTTTTCTGTTTGAAAACGAATATAAAAAAAAGGCTTTTAAAGTAAATTTTGAAAAAGAAAAAATATGTTCTCTTTTTTTTACATAATGTACTGGTCATATTACTTTTTGTTCTCGAATAATGATGGATATTAATATTGTGTGTGTGTTGTTTATCTGCGTCTTTCTCATTTTCTCTTATTTTTTTGTTTGTTAATCGAACAAAATATATTTAATCATCTGTATGTTTCTTTTTTTTAGCCGTTGATAAGATATAATTGATCAAAAATATAAAAATCTCTCTTTTCTTGCTATTTATAATTTGTAAATAGAACACAGCAAAAAAAAATAACATAAACATAATGTGCAAAGCATTCTAATAAGTGATTTTTTTTCTCTCTCTATCTCTATTTCCTGTCCAATACATTGCAGATTCTTTTTGTTTGTTTTTCTCTTGTCATGAAAGATAAATTGCAATCAGAACGTTGTGTTTTTTTATATCGATTATTAAAATTATTATCTTCTTGAAATATGCTGTTTTCAAGATAAACCATAGAACTGATAATAATAAATTTTTTGATAAATAGTTTTCGAAAAAAAGAACTATACAATTAATGTAAATATTGATTTGTTTGGTATTCAATTTGATGAGATCTTGTATATAAACATGCTACTATAAACACAAATAATAAGTTAATCATTATGTTAACTTATTCAAAATCAACTACACGTACTAATTAGAATACTCATTTTCTTTAGTTTATAGGTTTACTTTTCGTATATCACTGATAAAGTATTAATTTGTCCCTTATACTACATCTACTATTCCTATTCAGTGATGAATTGAAACTATCTTTTACTTCCATATGGTTTGTTATCAAGTATTTTATATATGTTTTTGAGTTTTTTATTATCGATTATAAGATCTGATGTCGAGATAAGAATGATGGGCATTATAAAACACCCAATTTGAATGAGACTGCATCGAAATAGAATCAAAAGAAGTCCAAGAAAATTTGAGGGTGCGTGTGTAGGTGTGGACATTGTATTAATCATACACCAGACCCAAGATGGTAAAATTTCAAAGAAATAATATATTATTTATATGATCAACGAGATTTTATTTATCGAAAATAATTCATAATGAAAGAAATATTATATCAATATCTAGAGGTTTATCACAGGTATGTTTATTGATCAGTCTTTTTTGATACCTAAAAAAATAAATTAAGAATAAAATAAAATGAATCATTGTAATATCTAACTATTTGTAGATATTGTTGATGTTAAGTTTGGTCTTGGTTCCTTTGACATTTTAACACGTTCCATTGCCTCCATCATCCAATGCATACATCTATTCATCTTTAAACAATGAAAAAGAAAACAAATCTACTAATTCTATCATTAATCATTCGATTATATTTTACTTCTTCTGCATGAGTACGAAGATCTGCTATAACTTTTTTTACAGATGTCACTTCATCTGCAAGTAGTTTCGTATCCGACTGATTGTTATTTGATTGAAATTGTTGATTATTATTTGTCATATCCGAAGATAATTGTTGTTCTTTTGATGGTACAAGAGCTGCTATTGATAATGGTTGATTAGTAAGTAATGATCGTACATATTGATTAGTAGCATAACTTTCAAATTCTGACCATTCTCTATCAACATTTCGATTAGCTCCAATCATTTCTAATAAAAAATACAAATATAAATATTTTAATATTTGGTAATATACTAAATGTTTTTGTTTGTGCTGTTTTTGAATGTCGTCTAGCAATGTATTTAACAAGTTCAATTACATGTGTTATAATTATTAATGGAGGAAAAAGTGGTGGTCGATCATAATATTCACGAATTAATGAATATCGTTCATAACGCCAAACAAGATCAGTTTGGTTTTGAATAGATTGAAATGTAAAACTAGAAAAATTTTATTTATTAATACGTCGAAATTTCATTCTATTATTATTATACCTAAACATTGCAATAAGAAGATTAATGAGTAGAATATTCACAAATAACATATGAAAAGCTAAGAGAATATGAGTTGCAATAGACGTACTACTACCTTGTTCTCCTATAAAAATAATTATATAATATTTAATTGATATTAATAAATTTTATATTTCGTTACTATCAAGATTAGCGAGTTCACCATCGATATTTCCATACATAAGATAATATGTTGGATAAGCAATATTTTGAAAAATTGATTGACCATCAAAAGGAAATGTTTCATTATTGAAATTATACATTGATCGTGAAACAACTCCATAAGCAATCATAGCAATTAAAATAATATATGTAAAGAAAAATAAATCGGTTACCTAAAATTAATTATTCGAGAGAACTTGATATAAATATTAAATATTATAACATACCATTCTGCGAATCATAACAAGTTTTGGTCCTAGATTTTGTGCAATACCTAGAAAAACGAATGAACGTATAAACCAAATTTCAAGATCATATGCTAGGACAATTTTTGCTGCAGAAAAAGCTTGTTCACTGTATGTATTTGTAAAACGAAGAATAAGACCAATATAAAAAAGAAGATAAGATAGAACAAGAATAACAGTATGAAATTGATTTGTTATAAAATAATTTGATAATTTTCCAATCATTGATCGATTTTCTTGACAAAGAAACTAGAAGAAATTTTCATTTAATATAGTAGAAAATTTTTCTAATTATATAAAGTTTATATACTTGTCGAATTTCTTCAAAGAGCATTGTTGTAACCATAAGAATAACAAATATTTCTGTCCAATGTATACTCGGTATTTCATCCGTTGGTATTTCAAAATTAAATAAAAGATAATAAGAAAATAATAAAAGAAAAATAATATAACTAGCAGAATTATATGAATATTTAACAATAGGTGATTCATGAAAATGTTTTAAATGACGAAGATATGTTAAATATGATTTGGAATATTTTGTTGATCGCCACATATAACTATCAGAATAATTTATACCATGATCATTTAATCTATATTAAAATATATAAAAGGTTACAATAATTAGGGAACTGCAAAATGGTCCCAGTCCCGCGGGACCGGGGCCAAGACTAAAATTGTCAGCCGATTCCTCAATGTTTTTATCAAGTATGAGACTAGATATTTTCTTATTTATTTTTTTTTCTTTAATTAAGAATTGACAAATGTGTCATTTTACAGTTCAAGAAAAACCATATAGATTGAATTTACAATCGGAAAAGCGAAAATTTTCGTGAATGTCATATTTTTATTTGCATAGATGAAGGCAACACTAGCATTGTTCTTAAGCTTTTATCAAGATCGGGACCGGGACCGAAAAAAAGTGATTTTGCAGTTCCCTAACAATAATAAACTTTAATCCTTTCTTTACAGAATTTGTTTTCTCTGCATTGAAACTCAGTAAATTCTTAAACTAGCTATTTTTAGAGAGATAGGGATCAGTGACGAATTGAGAGGCGGGTGATGAAGCGATCGACCTTGCCTTTTCGAAAATTGCAGTTTACGGCTGCTAGGGATGTATGTACAAAGTAATTCATCTATTTTGTTGAGGGTGAGTGTGGGTGTGAGGGTCGAAGAAGAAGATAATGGAAGATTGAAGACGGTGTCTGTAAGACAAATACTACGAATTTTTCCTAGAATACCCTGTTTAAATTGCTTTTAAGAGATCGCACACCGATTTCTGTGAATTTTACTATGAAAAAATAATTAAAAACAGGTGTGGCTTTTTTATACTATCCTAATGGAAGGATTAATAGAAGTAATACTTAATACAATATATTTCTCACAATTGAATAATAATAATTTTTCTTCTTGTGAATACAAGATTTTAATGAAGTCCGGAATTGATTTAAATCCTAAATTTCTCTTTCTAGAAAATATGCTTATACATAACTTAACTTCAAATTAAATATTATTAAAAACTCACGAAAACATGATTTTTGAAAGAAGAAAAAAGAGCAGTTGTATGAAATCATATCACGTACTTCATTCATATACTGTTCGCTTCATCAGTCTCGTGTAGAAAAACTTCATTGAAAGTATTAAGACTACAATTTATATCGAAATTTATCATTTTTCGAGTCATGTTGCTCTATTAATAAGATTATATTAAATATATACATACCGTTTATTTGTTATTGGTTTTAGTTGTTTTTTTTCTTCTTCTATTTCATTTATTTTAATTCCATTTATCTGTCTATCTTCTTCAAAAGTATAATTTAATAATGATTGTTCTGTTCGAAATGTAACTAAAAATGGTGCTAGTATACCAAATGTAGAAATTCCTAATATTAATTTAATTTTATCTGATAATGTTGATTGAAATGGTTCCATTTTATCATACCAGATATTATTTAAAACTTGATCACAACATGGTTGCCCAATAAAATTTTTATCATCAGCATCAACAGCAACCTAAGCCCAAAAAAAACATTATTTTCTCTTTCTAAATTTAAATTCCATACTTGAAGACAAGTAACTCCACCGTATATATTAAGACGTCGAATAGCTATTTCACATGCTTTTTCTTCATCAAAATTATAACAACATTTTAAACATTCATTTGCATATTCTTCAAATTGTGTAATTTGACAACATATAACATCTTTTGATTCATTATCAGAAGCATAATAAAAATATGAACGAAAAATTTTTGATGCTATTAATAATGCACATATACGTGTTTCCATATGATTTAAAAGAATTTTCGATAATTCAATACGATTTGTTAAAATTGACCAAAGATATAAATCACGATAAACAAGTTCTCGAACTTCTTTTTCTGCTTCTTCAGGATCTGGTATTTCGGATTCATTTTCATCATTATCTTTATATAAACAAGTTCGACTATCTGATACACGTGCCATATGTGAATTTCGACAACAATGTTTTAATTTTTCAAAAGAACTAACAGTTGAGCGTGTATAAATTGGTTTCATATAATCACCAATTAATTTACGTAATACACGATCTAAATCATGTTCAGAATTAACTTGATTTTTTCCAAGACATTTTTCAAATAAATAAAGACGTTCTTTCTAAATATTAAAATTAATAATGTATATCATATTGTAGAGTTAGCAATTTTCTGTGTTGATTTATTTACCTTTTTTTTATCATTATCATTATATAATTTTGCTAATTTATCCCATTTTAATCTCCATGGACTATTTGTTCGTTTTTCGTAGAACATTTCGGATAGATTAAACTTTAATTTTATAAATACATTAATAAATTGTGGACGATCGAGAATAAGAGCCTCAAAAAATAATTTTTCTTTTGCTTGAGGCTATAGAAAAAAAAATAAACTTTAACTTGTTAAGAATTTCAATTGTAATATTTTTTTCAAAACATACCGATAGATCACTCAAATCATCTTTGATAATATGTTCTTTTGCTATTTCGATAGCATCCCATGCTAATGCTAATTGTAATAATTGTTCACGATTAAGTCCAGCTTCAGTTTGTAAACCTTTCTTTTTTTTTGCTATAAAGAAATAAATTTCAAAAAAACCATAATATTTCTATTCCGTATATGTATACCTTGAATAATCGCTTCAAAGATCGTATCATCCAAATCACGATCACTATCAAGACTAAATATTTGTATTTTCCTTCGAATAGTTGGTTGTAAACAAAAAAGAAAATATTTCAATAATGTATCAATTTTTTCTTCGGTTATTTTTGATCCTTTTGATATATCTTTCAATCCATGACGTATTTCATCTTCATATCGACGAAAGAACTCTTTTAATCTTTTAATAAAAGGAAAATAGTGTTACATAAATTATGTTAGCAATTCATACATTTCACTATTTTCAATATCAATTATTTTTTCCCAAATTGTTGAATCATTATTATTTTTTTCATCACGTTTAACCATTGCTGCTGTTTGATTAAGAAAACTAGCAAATAGATTAGGTACTCGACCACTACCCTATTTAACAAAATAAAAATATATAATTAAAAATTTGATTCAATAAATATCTTTACATCAATTAATACGACGGGGATACCCATACAAAGATCGTTATAAATTGTTGATAATGTATCAGGACCACCTTCAACAACAATTGTGACTACAGGTACTAAAATAAGAGAATTTCGATTTAGATCAGAAAGTCAATTCATATGTTTACCGTTTGTATCATTGTATTTTGATATTTCATTAACTAATCTTGTTCGATAATCACCCATTTCATATCCATAATAAGTACCATCATCAAGTAAAATAAAATGTGTATGATTAGGTTCAAGATCTTGTTGACCTTTTTCTTTTTTCGATAAATGAACTGAACTTTGATTAACTGAAGATTTTTTCTAAATAAAATAAATAAATTTTCTATTTGAAAAGTATCATAAGAAACTAATTACTAAAATAAGTGATTCACGATTTTTAGTTGCTCCCCATTTCGAACAGCCAATAGCTGTTATATGACTTCGTGGATTTGTTACTTTATGATCATGAATAGCTTCACCAACTAATTGTACAACACCAGTTTTAAAACCATTTGTAACAATCCAACCATCTTTTTACATAACAAAATAAATCAATTATTTATATTCAAATTTCGTTACCTGCTTTTAATGCTACTTGGATAATACCTTTAATAAATTCCCTTTCAAGTCGTTCATTTAATTTAAAATATTTCGCTCCACCAATAATACACATAATTAACCGTGGAGGTTTTATTTGCCATATATCTAACATAAACTGAGCAAGAATATTTGGTTCAGTTTCAATATCACATCGAATATAATGAGTACGAGTATTTGGAATATAACCATATGCATTATTATATGCTGATTTTGTATGCTGTATTCTATCCCATTTTGATTCATCTCCATCAATTATATCCCATGAATGCTCGCGATAAAGACGATTACAACCACAACGAACATCATTTCTACTTATGCTAAAATTTTATATAGAAAAATTTGAAATAATTAGAAAAGAAAACCATACTGATCATTTGTTGATATTTTTTCTGGGATGAATGTAGTACATGTACGTCGTCTAATATTAAGTTTTTCATGTATTGCATTAGTCCAATCATTCTTAGATGTTCCTGTAAACTAAATTAGAAATAAAGACTAGACAAAATTTTAAAAATTAAATAAATTAACGTACAAGATCGAGTTGATATTCAGTAGTTGTCATAATTTGATAGATCTACGGTTGAATAACAAAGTCACTAAGTATTTGAAATAGTTACTATGGTAAAACTGAACTACAAACATCATTATTATATTTATTTTCCATGTAATAGCCTCTCATCATCTTGAGAAACTTAACTTGCAGGAAGGAAAAGAGAGGTCGCACATCTCAACTTTAAACATTTACTTTCTTTATGAGAAAGTATAAAAATGGTCGGAAAAGTTAAACAATGAAACAATTATATTATCATCAGATTATTTCAATAGAATGAATATAATCTATCATTTATTGAATCCGATTCAAAACGTTTCCGTAAGAACAATTTTCTTCGTCTGTTTGTACGTCTATTGAAAAGGATGTCTTTCAAAATTTATTTACTGAGCATTTAAATCAGATAATTCAGTCACAGCTAATTACCTGTAGCACACAGTTCTCCAAAAGTGTAAGTTTTCAGAGAATAACACTTTTCACATGTTAATATCAATGTGCAGGTAAAAATATAATAATACGAAATTCTAATTTTTTTTATTGTGAAGAACTGTAAATTAAGAGATAATATATGGATGACAACTATAATATCGACGTTTCGACCAACGTCAGTGGTCATTAACAAGATACTCCTTATTCCAGCACCACCATCTATACCGATAATCATGATAATTGTGTCTCAATACTTCACGAATTGATTTAATACTATATCAGTGATGAGACATATAAGTAAATAATACGCAATTATCAAGATTATCGGTATAGATGGTAGTGCTGGAATAAGGAGTATCTTGTTAATGACCACTGAAGTTGGTCGAAACGTCGATATTATAGTTGTCGTCCATATATTATCTCTTAATTTACAGTTCTTCACAATAAAAAAGAAATTAGAATTTCGTATTATTTTATTATTTGTCTCATCAATTATATAGTGTTAAAATATAATATCAAAGTCGTTCATATTTTAAAAATTTTCCAAAAAAAATGAATACATCTTTTAAAATCATAGTTCGATATGTTTCCTTTAATAAAATAATAATCAACGCAGCTATTAAATTAATATCATTCTCATTGTAATGAAAAAAATAATCGTATTTAAAAAAAAATAATTATTTTCATCGAAGTATCTAAAATTACTTTCGATAACATTTCTTAAATAGAATTATATATGTCCTTGAGAAAATATAAGTACAAACAATCTTGAACGTACAATGATTGTCTAATTGATTTATAGATCGTATAATTAAATTAATACATTATTTATAATCGTATAACTATAGTATGTCAATTATATATCTGTTTCAAATCAATTGAATTTCTCTTGATAAATAATATTTTTTTATTTACAAATAAAATAAAACGATTAATCGTTATATTAAAGTTTAAATTTTTACAAATAAACCATTCGAGTTTTAATTAAATTATTGTCTCTGTTTATATCATCTTCAGTCATAATATCTAATAAAGAAAATTTATTTGTTTTTGTATGAGAATTATTCAAACGAGATGTATTTGATGATTGTTTTAATTTTAAATTATTTCGATAATCAATATCTCGTTGTTTCATTCGTCGTTGAAATCCAAATGGAACTTTATAAAACCAAATCATCATACATAAATGCATAAAACCATATAGACTAGAAAAAGTAAAGAATAAATATCGATCAATCCATACATAAATATTATCCGTATTAATTGTTAATTGATGATTCTTAATAAATATAATTGTACCAATAATTGCATGCCATACACATAAAATAATAAGAATAAATATGGATGTAATTGCATATTTATCTAATGTAGTCAAATAAGAAATTGTTGGCTAGATAGAGAAGAAAAAAAAAAAAAGAATAAATCGATTAATAATATAAAATTTAACAAACTAATGATCGATTAACAGTCCAACGAAAAGTTATTGATGTTAAAAGAAGTGTTGCTGTTATTTGTAGACGATTATGTGGAAGACTATATTAGTTTTTTTGTAAATTAATTAATTTTAAATTTATACTCTTACTTAGGTGGAATAGAAAATGTACAAAATGCACATATTGTAATTAGAAATACTAGACAATAACCATTCCAATAGAAATATCCAGAACGTCGAGCTATGTTAGAAAAAAAATGAACATGTTTGTTTTATAAATAATAATTATATTCATTTTTTTCTTATTGTTACCTGCATGACATGAAACAGTTAAAAATGAACGTTTTCGTTCGTCATTTGAATTTACTTCTTTATCTTTTTCATCATCATTTTGAATGAGATATTCTTTAACATATCTTTCTTGTGTATCAACATATTCATATAATTTCCATTCTTGCTGATCAATAAATATTTCACGATTAATTCCACTTAAATTATATGGATCAGCAATTAATATAACTTTATCATTATAAAGTACTGAACCAATAGATATGGATAATTCTTGAATATCCGAAGGAAAATGATGTAATTCAAGTTTTTCCCAAAATAATCCTTTTATATCACGATGTTCACAAACATAAATTTGATTATCTTCTTTAGATTTTTTAGCAGTATATCTTATTTGTTCTTTTAAATCGCCTATAGCATTTTCAATAAATAATTGTGGATGCCAATTTGATTCAGTATAATTCATAAGTGAAATAGATTTTCCATCCGATAAACGTTTTTGATCATCAGATGAAAGTATTGATAATAATTTATCAAATTTAACTTGCCAACGAGCTTCAATAGCGATTTGTGCTTGATATTTTTCATTTAATGTATCTATTTCACCTATTCGTAAAAACATAAGTCGTATACTGACTTTAATTGGATAGGTTTGATAATGATTATTATCTTCCTCAGTATCAATTCGAAGGGATGAACATTCAGTCCAACCTAAATTATAGAAATACAGATTTATATATGGAAGTTTTGAGAAAAACTAATTATAGATACAGTTGTCATTACCGGATTGAAAACTAAATTGTTTCTCTTGTTTAACAGGCATATTTACACTATGATTGATGCTCTATATGATTACAAATAAGGACTTTCTGAAACGTTATTAATGATGTTTGCACACTTGCTTATATTTTAATATTTACATTAATCAAAATGTTGAGAACGCAAAAATTCTCCTAGATCTACCATTTAAATAAATACAAGAACTAGAAAAAGACACATGTCTAGAATTTCGTACTAAAACAAATAAATCTTTATAAATAGTAACTAGCGTGATATGGGAATAATACTTGCTATTCATTTTTTGTCCGACTGAAATAAATTTGACGCGTCATATGTTATACAATATTATTATTTTGTATCGTATAAAACTTGTTTTATTTTTCTTCACTTATATTAATTAATCGATAAGATTAAAAATTAATGAACATGCAAAAGAATTTGAGATGATTCAATCGATATTTCATGTTTATAGAAAAAACTATTGAAGAAGAATAAATAATTCATAGAAGATTATTTTTTTATTTTTGAAACAATTAATATAGAATGTTATAGTAAATACTTCGATTAGTTTTATAATATATAACCTTTCATAGTCAAGATTTATTAAATAAAAATGTGAATCGGTCATGAAGATAATTGTTTTTATGTATTTTTATCTTTATATAAAAAAAAATAACATATAATCATTAATATTAAAGAATATGTCAAATAAAAATGTAAAAAATGCCTAGTATCTTACGATAGATAATGGCAATAAAACGAACAAAATAATATAACCTTAACATTTTCTATTAAAATATAAATAACTATTAAATGTGTTCTTATTTTTGAATAAGAATCACATTTATAAATTAGATTTTGTATGATATGTAAACTAGGAGTGGTTCTTTACTAGTAGCTACGTAAGTATAAAAGTAACTTAGTTACTAGTAACTAGTAACTGTATGAGTTACTGAATTACTAGTAAATACATAATTACGTAACTACAAAAATTACTATTTATTAGTAACTCAGTCACTTTTGTGGTTACTAGTTTCTAGTAACTAAGTTACTTTTGTACTTACGTAGCTACTAGTAAAGTAACTCGGTCACTCCTGGTGTACACATTTAGTTTATTGATTATAATTTCATCTTTTTACTAGTTAAACATATTCCAATGGTAAATAGAATTAAATTTCAAGGTAATACATTTTATAGTTTATTTTTCGTATCCTTTAAGAAAAAACTGATTTATTATATAGAATAATATATTTCTTTTTAGTTGTTTATTTACACAGTATTGGTGCGTTAATAAATATTCTTTATTTTGAAGTATTGATGTGGATTAGAAAGGCACACATAGATACATTCTCTTTACTAAAACTTAACCGAATGCTACGAAATATATCAGCATACATACAATGAACGTTTTCTTTTTTTTCTCTATGTGTATACAATGCAATAATAATACAGATAGTTAGCACTATTTCTAACACGAACAAACTATTTGTTAATAAGAACTATAAAGATATAATCACCCTCCAGCTATTCATAACTATTTCTATATATAGAGTAATGAATAATTAATAACACATGAGATCTATCAATAAAAATCTTGGAAACTATTATCTGTCACGAAGTGGAAATTCGATTATTTCAAATGCACTTATTTTTACAGCATTAATATATATCATATAAATTGTTTTTTTGGAGTTTCTATGAAATAGTTCTACGAACTTTCGTAATGCCCTACACAAGATGAGTATTTAGTACGATGATGTTTCTTATTATTTTTGTTCAGGAATTTTATTACTGAATATTTGTCTTCTGATAATCAGTAATTTTGTGAATGCTGGTCGAACTGATTGGTCAGTAGAAAAGAGTGCAGCATTCTGGAATGAACAAGCTCGATTATCAATTGAAGAGATATTACAACGACGTGATAATACTCGAATTGCTAAAAATGTAATTCTATTTTTGGGTGATGGTATGGGTGTACCAACCGTTACTGCAGGTCGAATTCGAAAAGGACAAATGAAAAATCAATTAGGTGAAGATTATATTACTGAAATGGAACAATTTCAACATTTAGGTTTATCAAAAACGTATAGTTAAACATAGTTTGCTTAGTTTTGAATATAAAAACCGTAATTATTTAGATATAATATCGATGCTCAAACACCAGACTCTGCAGCAACAGCAACAGCTTATTTATGTGGTGTTAAAGCACAATTAGGTACAATAGGAGTTGATGGACGTGCAAAACGACAAAACTGTACAAGTTCAATCGGTGCAAATGTTTCGAGTATTCTTAGTTGGGCTCAACAAGCTGGTAAATATTCTAAGATTTAATCGAGATTTTAATTTATCGATTATTTTTATTTAGGTAAAAAAGTTGGTGTTATAACAACAACTCGTATAACTCATGCAACACCAGCTGCTTCTTATGCTCATACACCTGATCGTGATTGGGAAAGTTTTAATACGAAAACATTCGGTATTAAACAAGTCGAAGATGGTTGTCGTGATATTTCTTATCAACTTGTAACTCATAAACCACCAATTGATCTTATACTAGGTGGTGGTCGTCGTTCGTTTTATCCAAATTCAATATCTGATGTTGAATATCCAACATTGAATGGTACGCGTACTGATAATCGATCACTTATTGATGAATATTGGCCTGGAAGTTTTATTTGGAATAAAAAACAAATGAATAAGACTATTTTAGGTACTACGAAACCATTAATGGGATTATTTGAATATAATCATATGTTATACGAAACTGATAGAATTAAGATAAAAGAAAATGATGATCCAAGTTTATCTGAAATGACAAAATTTGCAATTGAACATTTTTTAACTATGGAACGAAATGGTTTTTTTCTTTTAATTGAAGGTGGAAAAATTGATCATGGACATCATGATACTAAGCCACGTTATGCACTTGATGAATATGTTGAATTTGATAATGCTATTGGACAAGCTAAACAATTATTAAAAGAAAAAGGTGTTCTTGATGATACACTTCTTGTTGTTACTGCAGATCATTCACATGTATTTACTTTTGGAGGATATTCAAATCGTGGATCGAATATATTAGGTTTTGCTTCATCAGAATCATTAAATGTTAGTGACATTGATCAATTACCTATTAATATAATAGCTTATGGAAACGGACCAAATTATCGTTCAAATCGAAATGCAACTTATCTAGCTTCACTTAATACTAATTCAACTGAATACTTATCACCAACAGCTCAACCAAACCAAGATGAAACGCATGGAGGTGATGATGTACCTGTATTTGCTCATGGACCATGGAGTCATTTATTTATCGGAACAATGGAACAACATACAATTGCACATAAGATGGCGTATGCAGCATGTTGGGGTGCTTATACAAATAGAAATGGATGTCCATCATTAGCTAATCGAACACCCGCAACAACAGCAACAACAACAGCAGCAGCAGCAAGAGCAGCAACAGCTCGACCATCTGGTGGAATAAATTTATTTCATCAATTTAACCTTATTGAAAAGGTTCTTAGTTTCTTACTTATTCTTATATTTATTTAAACATTTTTTCGCATTGAACAACTATTGAAATTTATATATTAGTATTTTTTTAAACTTCTTAATATAATAAAATAAAAGTGAACCATCGCAAAATGCAATCTTTAACTATATCTCCTTAGGATTGATTTTAGTGCGTTTAAACATCAATGATTTTTCCGAGAATACTTATAGTTTGTCGATTGTTATATGCTTTATTAGAAACTATGCCTAATATAAGTACACTTCAATAAATAAAGAGACGAGAGTACCATCTCTAAACTAAACAACAACAAAACACTACAATAACAATTTTTATTTTTTTGAAAGATACATTCTAATCAAAGAGATTCTCTAGTTTTCTCCATAATAAAACTAGCATGAATAAGACAGTCTATGTCTACTAATGATTATTCTCTTGTCTGGCTTTACATGTTTTCACATTCAATACAAGTTCCGAATGAACAGAAACCAACACAATTGAACTGATAATCAATTAGATATGTATGAAATATAATTTGACAAATTTAAAATTATATTAAATAAACATAACTGATTTGGACAGTTGCATAGTTCCTGTTGTCATGTCAAGTGACTGTCTTGTCCAGTAGACCGTTATCTCTTCTTCTTCTTCTTCTCTTAAAATTCTAAATGTACAGCCGGACACTAATCAAATTACCTCAACACATATGTTCTTCTTGTTATTTTTTCACCAATATATATATATACAATATATACTAGCTCAATCTAAATTATACTAGTTTTCATGTTCTCTTGCACTTTATATACTTCCATACACACACACACCATCATCTATTTATTGAGATAACACAACATACTCTTTTCCTTAACTCGATCGACATCTGTTTTGACTACCACCATTATTTCTATATCGATAAATTATGTTCAACTTTAGATAAGCTCACATTCAAATCTTTCTTTTATATATATATAAAAAACACCATTAATCGTCACCATTTTCTCTCACACATACGTGTATATATATGAATATATCGATAACCTTTTTCTTTTCCTCCTCTCTCTCCCTCTCTCTCTCTTTCTCCTTCTCCTGTCTCATTCACGATTGAATGAATTTCCGGCTATAGTTTTGCATTTCATTGATGCCATCTTCGTCATTGCTCAATTGAAAAAGAAAAAGGAGAAGAAAAAGACGAAGAAGGGTCATTCTTTCAATTGAGTCTTCTGCTCAAGGGTAAGTTATAATTATTATGTCTCATGCTGATGTCTTATCCTTCTCTTAACTTGACCATAATAAGCACAATATGAAAACGGCAAGAGGATTTCTTTTTTTTTTTTTGTATCAAAATGTTCTCAGACGACATTGGACACTTGTTGAAAAACGATGATGATGATGATGATGATGATGATGATAATTTCCGGTCGAAATGATGTGTATATGTGGACAATACATGCAAGAAAGTTAAGTACGGAGGATCACGCACAAATACTTGTAAATTCTATCTCCTCCTTCTTCTTCATTTTTCTATTACAACAGAGGAACGAAGAGAGATAGAAAAAAAGAATCTAATTACAAAGTGATCATCATTGTTTAGTCTGAAAACAGAACGACAATGATGGAAATAAAATTGAATTTTCGCCTTCTTTCTCTCCCCCTCTTACGACATATTCAGGAAAAGAGGAAAATTATAATCTCTCTCTCTCTTCGTTCTTGCCGAAAGCAGACTAAGAATAAAGATATGCCTCTTTCTCTTTCTTCTCCCTCTCAAGAGTCTATTCTGTGTTCATTGAGAGACTAGTGACGATTTGATGATCATGATATAGACTTATATTATGTATACATATACATATATGTATACAAACAGAGAAAGAATAAGTGAGAATTTTTGATGGAATAAATGACGACACTTGTATTATCGATATTAGATGTAGACATATTCTCTTATGTGAAGTGTATATTGATATGTTCATCAATACGATATACTATACAGAACGTTAGTATTAACATTGAAAAAATTCACACCCTAGTTTTTACTTTCAGATAAAAATTACAATGAAAATTATCTTCTTCTTATTCTTATTAATAATTTATCCAAATTTAGTCAAAACATTGCAAGAATATTCCATCGAAATTTCAGTAAAAGAAGAACAAGAAAATGGAACAATAATAATTGATTTATTCTCATATATTCCAACATTAACAAATTCAAATGGATATTTAATAAAATTTGTTCGTCCATGTCAAAATCTTTATATCGATAATCAAAATCACAATCTAATTCGTTCATTAAAAATTGATCGAGAAGAAATTTGTCCATATGAAATCAATTGTTTATTAAATTGTAATTTATTTCTACAAAAATCCAAAGAAGAAATGAAATTAATCAAATTAAAAATCAATATTGAAGATATCAATGATAATAAAGCTAAATTTAAACGAAAATTTTATTCCTATGAATTAGATGAAAATCTATCATTAAATTATCATTTACAATTAGAACAAGCTGAAGATAAAGATTTATTTTCTAAGAATTTTTATTCTTTAAATATTTCTTCTTCGTCTTTTCCATTTAAACTAAATTATAATGAAGAAAATCATTTACTCGAATTAATTCTCATCAATAAATTAGATAAAAATATAAAAAAATATTCATTTGAATTAATTGTCAATGATAATGAAAATGAAATCGATGATAAATGTCTAATTGAACTAAATATTTTATTTAACCAACAACTCAATTCTTATCCACCTGAATTTGAATTCAAATCTTATAAATTTATTATTTATAATTTCAATCAAACATTCATTGGACAAGTTAAAATCAAAAATTCGAAAGAAAATAATGCAGTTTATTATCGTTTAATCTCATCATCATCACTGGAAGAGAATTTTAATTTATTTCAAATTAATGAAAAAACAGGAGAAATTTCTTTTAAAGAAAATACTTTTCAAACAAAAAATTTTAACGAAATTTCTTCTTATAAAATCTTCATCGAAGCTTTTGATTTAAATTATCTTTCATCATTAACAACAGTGGAAATTTATTTTAATTTTACAAATTCTTTTCTTCAACAACAAAATCAAAATTATTTTATCGAAATTTTAATTCCAAAATTATTTCAAAAGAAAACAAATTTAGATTTGAATTCAAATGAAATTTTTCTCAAAGAAAATCTAACAAATCTTCCATTGACAATTCTTCAGTTATTTATTTCAACTTCATCTTCATCTTCATCTTTTCCTTCTCTCTTTAATATTTCAATGAACTCAACAACATTATCTTCAACTGAATTAAATTCGTATTTTTATTTAAAACAAATTAATGATGATAATGAACAAAAATCATTTGAATTAATTCTTAAAAAATCATTTGATTATGAAATTATGAAATTAATTCATTTAGATTTTATTTTAAATCAAAATAATTTCACGAGAAAATCTTTAACAATTTTTATTGAAAATATTAATGATTGTCAACCGACTTTTAATCAAACACAATTTCGTTTTCAAATCAAAGAAAACTTTCATTTTCCTTTTCTTCTTTATACTTTTCAAGCTCAAGATCAAGATGATTTAAATAATATTCAGTATTATTTAAAAACCAAAGGTTAGACTTTCTTCTTCAGAAAGAGAAGAAAAATGAAATTGTTTTTATTAAATTTAGATGAAAATACATTTGCAATAAATTCAACAAATGGACAATTTTCAATATTAAAATCGTTTGATCGAGAAATCAAATCAAATTATTCATTATTTATTTGTGCATTTGATCAAATCTATGAAACATGTTTATCCATATTTATTGAGATTCTCGATGAAAATGATAATATTTGTCAATTTAATTCTTCATCAATCACATTAACAATCAATGAAAATCTTCCTCCAAATACATTTTTAATTCAAATTCAAGCATTTGATCTTGATTTAAATGAATATGGAAAATTATTTTATTCATTTTCATCAAACACAACTTATTTGAAGATTAATTCAACAAATGGAATTATTCAAACAACAAATCATTTATTTGATTATGAAGTAATTCAAAAATATTCAATTTTAATTAAATCTTGTGATAATATCAACTCACTTCCATCTTTATGTTGTTATTTACAATTAAATATTAATTTAATTGATTTAAATGATAATTTACCTTATTTAATTTATCCTCCATCATCATCACTTCATGATTTATTTATTATTAATTATACAAATAAAATAATGCCACGTTTAAAAGCATTTGATAATGATATTCAATTGAAAAATCGTTTCATTTTTTATTTTATTATTGGTGGATCACTCAATTCATCAATCACCATTGATTATTATTCGGGACAATTAAATCTTCTCGAATCAAAATCAAATCAACTTCCTCTTTATGGGACACTGATCATTTCGATTTCATCACAAACGAATATTTCATTAACTATTCTTATTCATGATTATCACACCGATCCACAAACATTTATTATGTCATTAAAACAACAACAACAAGACCAATCATCATCATCATTATCTTCAATTCTTTCTCCATTATTTTATTTTATTTCTTCAATTTCTCTTAGTATTTTTATTTTATTATTCATTTTTCTTACTTTTTTCTATTTTTATTTGAAACAAAAATCAAAACATCAAACTAATTCATTAATTAATACACCATCAACAACAACGCTTTCTGCTCGATCATTATCAACTAATAAAAAAATCTATGAAACATATTATTCATTTGGAGATACTGTTCATCAGGATATTATTCATCTATGAATTATTTTCTCTCTTTCCCTTTCTCTTTTACATCTCATTTCAATTTTTTTGATGTATTTAATAAATAAATAAATATATGTATATAAATTATTATCAATTTCACTCATTCAATCAATATTCATTTCATATTTATATTCACATTTATTCTCTTAAGATGTACGTTTATATTCTTTATTGTAAATCATACACAAACTTTTAATATACTTAAAAATATGTTTATTTATTAATTGTTATGATTGTCTGAGGTTGATAATGATCGTTTCAGATCGTAAGTCTCTATAAAAATAAGATTTTCATTACATTCACTCTACAATCATATTTGGTTCCGTAGTACTAAACACAGCAACCTTTTGAGTTCATCACTATTGAATAGAATCTTTTTATCTAAACATTATTTGATATTACACGTTATACGATACACTTACTGTTGTAGAAAAATCTTCCTGATTCTGTATTATCCAACAGAATCATTTACATCAGCATTGTTGAAAATAACTTTTCAGGTTCTTACTATTACCACAAAGAACCTTTTATTATTCGAAGTCATCAGGAAGGATCTTTGAGAGTATTGATACTGCCATAGTGAACCTTGTCTGCCACAGCCTTACTAGAACAAGTCTTTGTAAGTTTTACAAATATAATACACAATCATATCCAGATTTTCCACCTGCTGCCGAATCATACAACACTTTCCAAAAGTTCCTTTATTGTTTTTGAGTTACATACTCATCAACCTCATAGAAAACGTTCTGAACAAACATTATCAAAAGAACACAAGATTAAAATGAAAAACAAGCAATTTTATTTATGGTGATTTCACAATAATTATACTACAAGAAAATATGTCAGCATGGGTATCACACGGTATGTATCCGTTATTGAAATATGTTTAATATTATCATTTACAGTTTTCTGGCTCTTTTATTGCGTGCAACACATTCATTAATCAGAAATATGGTGTCGTCTCCGATTACATTGTACCGAAGATCTAGTGTGATGAGCGTCTAGATGAAAAAGTACAGATAAAAACACAGTATAGATGAAGAGAGAATGTTAATTACTGCATTATGCCGTAGTGCATCAGCCAGATGCTGTGCTCCAGCATCTCCGATTAGATTATTTGGGAGATTTAGTGTAGTGAGTGTCTAGATGAAAAACGTAAAGGTAAAGATATTGTACAGGTGAGGAGAAAATGCTAAGTACTGTGTTATGTCGTAATCCATCAGCCAAATGTTGTGCTCCAACATCTCCGATTTGATTACTTCCAAGATCTAGTGTGCTGAGTGTCTAGATGAAAAGGTGCAGGTAAAGACATGGCGTCGATAAAGAGAGAAGCCTAATTACTGTGTTATGTCGTAATATATCACCCAAATGTTGTGCTCCAACATCTCCCATTCTATTATATTCCAGATGTAGTGTAGTGAGTGTCTATATGAAAAAGTGAAGGTAAAGACATGATATATATGAATAGTAAATAGTAATTACTGCGTTATGTCGTAATCCATCAACCAAATGTTGTGCTCCAACAGCTTCGATTTGATTATGGTTGAGATTTAGTGTAGTGAGTGTCTACATTAAAAAGTAAAGATACAGACATAGTGTGAATCAAGTGAAAATGCCAAGTACTGTGTTATGTCGTAATTCATCAGCCAAATGTTGTGCTCCGACATCTCCGATTTGATTATAATAGAGATCTAGTGTTGTGAGCACCTAAATGAAAACGTGCAGATAAAGATATGGTATAGATAAATAGAGAATGATAATTACTGTGTTATGCTGTAGTGCATCCGCTAAATGTTGCGCTCCAACATTTCCGATTCCATTTAACCCAAGATCTAATGTGGTGAGTGCCTATATGGAACGGTGTAAGTAAAGATATGGTATATACGAAGAAACATTTATAGTTACTGTGTTATGTCGTAATCCACCAGCCAGATGTTGTGCTCCAATAGCTCCCATCTCATTATCTTTAAGATTTAGTGCGGTGAGTGTCTAGATGAATAAGTGAAGGTAGTGACGTAGTACAGATGAAGAGTGAATACTAATTACTTTGTGATATTGCAATGCATCAGCCAAATGCTGTGTTCCAAGAGCTCCTATTCGGTTATTTTCGAGGTTTAGCGTGATGAGTGTCTATATAAAAAAGTAAAGGTAAAGACATAGTATGAATCAAGTGAGAATGATAAGCACTGTGTTATGTCGTAATGCATCAGCCAAATGCTGTACTCCAACATCTCCGATTTGATTATAATAGAGATCTAGCGTTGTGAGTGCCTAAATGAAAACGTGCAGATAAAGATATGGTATACATAGGGTAGTCAAAAAGTTTTGCAACTTCTCTATATTTATTCACAGAAACAACGCTTCATCTATCTTTCTGCATCATATATTAGAGGTAGTTATTCTAATATTTTATGGAAAGTTTCAGTCTTCTAACATACTGTTGAGATGTTCTCTGAAGTAAACTACAGGTATAAAATTGACATGCCTGGATAAAACCCCTGCTAACTTATTGTAGCTGGTGATTATTTAGTCTATGTTGAATACACCTGAACAACTAATATTCTGGAAGCCTGTTCCGAGGTGAGTACGCTTGGTGAGTCTTAGCTTCATTCCTTTCACTTTGAAGGAGATAATGACATTATTTTACATGTTGCTGAGAACAGCATAATGGAAATCGATAGGATAGGAGCGTGATAATGCTTTTTTATTCGATAAATTTTTTAATTGTGAATTTAAACATTTCTCACTAATATAGATAGTATTAGTTATCACTATAGGAATCACCATATGATAGATAATGACCCGGATGTCATAAAAAGTTGACACATACCTTAGTTTCTGACATCGTTAGCAGTAAATTGTCGGTGGAATGACCATTTTCTCTTGTTTGCATAACTTCTGATGATAGTTTTAGTTCTAGATTGTGGTGCAGATATCAGTCTGGTAGCTACTAATGATATTACAAAAAATTGCATTCCCCAATTAAGAACTTCTCTAATTTTTTGAAAGCTCAAAAAACTAGTAAAATCCAACGTTATCCAAGCATGTCAATTTTATACCTATAGTTTACTTCAGAGAACATCTCAACAGTGTGTTAGAAGACTGAAACTTTCCATAAAATATTAGAATAACTACCTCTAATATATGATGCAGAAAGATAGATGAAGCGTTGTTTCTGTGAATAAATATAGAGAAGTTGCAAAACTTTTTGACTACCCTATGTAGATAAAAAAGAGTATGCTAATTACTGTGTTATATTGTAATGCATCCGCTAAATGTTGTGCTCCAAGATTTCCGAGTTGATTATTTCGGAGATTTAGTGTAGTGAGTGTCTACATGAAAAAGTAAAGGTAAAGACATGGCGTCGATAAAGAGAGTAGCCTAATTACTGTGTTATGTCGTAATCCATCAGCCAAATGTTGTGCTCCAACATTTCCGATTTGATTATATGTAAGACGTAGTGTGGTAAGTGTCTACATGAAAAAAGTAAAGGTAAAGACATAGTATGAATCAAGTGAAAATGCTAAGTACTGTGTTATGTTGTAATCCAGCAGCCAAATATTGTGCTCTAACATCTCCGATTTGATTGGGTTGGACATCTAGTGTGGTGAGTGCCTATATGAAAAAGTGCACATATAGATATAACACACATAAAATAAGACAACTGTTGGTTGCTGCTATCTTCCCTGCAGTCAGTGTCGCATTTGTTGATGTGAGTGAGCTGAAGATCGGATCAAGATGAGTCTGAATATCACTAGGATTCTAAATTCTATACGGTGCTCAAGAGTGTCGCTTGACAAGCTGGATTAAAACGAAGTTACGAAAGGTGACGCAAGGATAATAATTTTTGATCTATGTGTTGCTGGAATTCTTAAGTGTGTGCGGACATAGGGAAAAGTTTTGGTGAATGAATAATAGTGTGGAAATTGCTTCTGCAAAAAACGATTGTGAAGAGTGGGATTATGTACCTAAAAGCATAGAGTATTAGCATTATTGATTTAGAGCGTTATAAAGTATGGGAGGTCGCTTGATAGTATTCTATCTATAACTCAAGATATAGTTTGCATCAGAACTCCGTATGATCTATCTAATTTCGCTTCATTCATGCATATGATGTATAGTGGTGCGAGAATTTATTGATCTCGATAGTTGCTTTTGATGGCAACATACGACTATATGCATGATGAGTAGCATACGATAACATGTTAAATTGTCGTACAAAAAGTATGTAATATGAATGGTCCTGGACGTCTCAATCAGGTAATAAATGATCTTCAAAATTTCTTCTCTAAGATAAATTTTTTCCAGTTCAAATGCGGTCCAGAACAGTTATTGTGAAAACATATTTGCTTTAGAAGTAATATTTCACTTTGATGATATGGATGTGAGCGGTGTGATAGGAGGAGAATGTGGATGCTGTTATGGGTGAATGTTCTCACCATCCACATCTACCGTCATCTATAACTACAGTCGTTTATGCTCTCAAAGGAATTTATAAGACGCTATCTTTAGCAAGAGAAACTAGTTTATACACCGTTTATTTCTTTCAAAATCTGATTTTGATGATCGAAATGGTATGTAAAAAAACGTGTCTACATACACGTGTGAAGCAAATAACAATGTTTTGTTCCCTTTTCTTTCGTTCTTATATAAACACTGTATGTTAATGACATTATACCTGGTTCGAAACGTGGAGTACTCGGATGAGATTGAAAAGAGAGAAAGAAACAAATCATTTTTCTCGACTATCAGGACCTCATTTTCACGTTGTCGTATAGTATAAAAACTTAGTTTTTAAGAAGAGAGTGATAACTAGTTTATTCTTGTATATGTTTTTTAAAGTCAGTATATTAATGTAGAGATTGTAGCAATGAAAAATAATTTGAAGAGCAATAGAAAATGTGGCTGTAATAATACAAACAGTTTACCTGATATCGATGATAACTGTCGACGATGTTGTTGAATCGTTGACATACATTTATCATGGAGCACAGCATTGTAAGATCTGATTGATGATCCATTATTCGGTAGACAAGTTCTACCGGTAGTGTCAAGAAGGTAGCGATGGTTTGATTTGCCATTATAGACTGCTGATGAAATGCGTGTTGTGTAGCTTTATATGTTGGTTTATATAATGTATTGCTGTTTTTTCTTCCGAACAAATGAATAAATATTTGTTTTGTCATTCATTTCACATGATGTTGCAATTACTTGTTGGAAGAAAAAAACGAGAAATAATGACGTCATTTTTGACGACAGAAACATGATAAGAAGTATAGTTAAACTTTTTATTATGATTACTTGAGCAATAGAAAATGAAATATAATAAACATGACTATTGCGTCTGTGATTATAATTAACAAAGTTTGAAGAACTCTCTTTTTCTTTGTCGATATCCAAAATGTAAATTGTTATTTAATTGTAAAATCGAGTATAAATATTTTATAAGATGAAACCGACTTTATCTTTAAGAAACAGAGCTTCAAGAATATATGGGAGAAAAAGCTAAGATTATTAATTTTATGGCCGACGAATATTACTATAATCTGATGTGTTGTCGAGTAAATTTTTCTGAAATATTAACAATATTTTGCTCTATATGTTAAAATAACATTTATTGTTAGATAGTATTAATACAGAAAATAATAAACAATAGTTTTTTTGTCAAATGATACCACTGATGTCGTTAAAAAACAAATTCAGTCATCTCAGTTAAATAACAATAATAGTAATAAACAAATTATATTAAATAATGCAATAATGGCTGCAGCTTTACGATTAGCCTTCGAACTAGAATTTAATGATTGTGTATTATCTCTTGTATATTACAAGATATCGAAAGTGAATAGAAGAAATTGAACAGTTTTAACTCTTAGAATGACATAACAATTCAAAAGTTGAGAATATCACTTTGTTCTCCACAGATATATCTATTCCACTTGATATGACCCTATTTTCTTTTGTTCCAAATGAAAATGCGACTAGTTTTTTGAAAGAATATCCAAGAAATCGCACGAATTTAATATAAGATTCTACTGTTCAATGATAAGACAATATTAATTTGGATATAATTCATTAATAATAAAAGTATCAGTTAAATGAAAAACAAGTATGTTATTGTAATAGAACATACACTTTCAATTTCTTGGCTATCATAAACTATGGTTCGTTTTATGTTTATACTCAGTGTACTATGTTCATATTCATATAGAATAAATATTATATTCCCAACTATTGCCAATAAAATGTGAATCATTTGACGTAAACATTGATTATGATTTGCTGATATGTTCTGGGCATATTGCAAACTTTTAAATTCATTTCAAAGTATTTATTAATTGATTATAATAGTCGGTAGAAAATAATGATATATTTTGTTTTCATTATTTATTGAAATAGAAACATTATGCGAATGTATTTTCTTTTGTGAAAGACGATTTAAAAGGAGTGTTGGAATGTTTAAGAGTAGAAATTTTCACACACTACTTCCCCTTTCCCCCGTCCCCATAGACGTGATCAATATAATATCATAGGCTGTCATAAACATGACAATTGAATTGCAGGACAAAATAAAGCGGTTGAACTCATACAGTTTAAGAAAAATAGATACATTAATAATTTCTTTTATATGAGCCGCTTTTTCTCTTGAATTTTGGAACAACAGTTACAATGTTAATCGAGTGAGTTCGTAGCATCTGAATTATTCTTCCTGAAATTTCTATACGTTTATGTTACAGAGCGAGGTTACAACCGTTTCATAATGATACAATGAAATTATCTTCTTCAAAGTATAGGAACAAGAATTATAAGTTCTATTGGATATTTTATTTCTTCCAGGGATTAAGATAACAGCTTTTCTTAGTTTTCATGAATAAATATAGGAATTAGAAAAAATAGGTACATGACATTTTCTAAATACGCCAATCATAATGCATTGTATTAGTTAAATGGAAAGAAAAGATATTCATCTTTTTGTTTTCTTGCATGAAACATTCCAAACGATGAATACTATTACAGCCGAATAACTAGAAATAATGCAAAATTGACTAATTATTTTCCATTATTTCTTGAAAGAATATTTTTAGATGGTTTTAATTCATTATTTCTCAGTTTTTTTGTGCATTTCTAATGCATTATAATTCATTTTCTCGAAATAAAACGGAAATGTTGCTTAATTTATTAAAATCCAATGGATTTTAACCCATTATTTAGAATAATTCACAAATTGTCTTGAATTGGTTAAATCAATAGATTATTTGTTAAATCGAGAAAAAAGTCAGTAAATGAATGTTCAAAATTTTATATCAATAGTAGAATATTTTGTATGGCATACTATACATTGATTTAAACACTTATTCAAATTTCTATACAGAAAATATTTAAAAATACTATATCATGATAGGCTTAATGACATCAGACATTGACAAAGAAAATCTGTCAATCGTTTTTTTATTTTTGTTATCATATCTAGTTTATCAGAAAAATCTTCACTGAACTGCTGAGCTAGATCACAATTAATTCTCATCTGATCGCTGAAATTGAAATAGTGAGAAAACAGACGAGATATTGTCTATATATACATATTTCTTAAATACATCAAAATCAAATATAAATATCTCAATTTTTTTATTATATCGAAGCGGACCAAAGCAATATTTGTGTAAATCAAATGAAGCAAAAACAAAGTTATATCTTTTATGTTGCTATTGGATTAATAAATGATATTTCTGGTTGTTGTTGTGGTTTTTGACGTTTTCCTGAAGACCAACGATAAGCATGTAAAGATTGACTAATAATTAAACGAAGAGCACATATTAAACCTAAAAATAAATAAATATTATTTATTTTGTAGTTTCTTTCTTTTACCTCCATAGATTCCAAGAATAGTTGTTGCTATAATAAATGGATTATTTCTATCAGGTAATGTATAACGGCATTCTAATGGACGACATACTTGAAAATAAGCTGAATAATTACTACGATTTTTCCATTTTTCTATAAAAAGTTTATCATTCAAATGACCAAATGTAATATTTCTAAATTTTGATAAACGAAATCCATCATACGGAAAGCAACCACTAACAATATTTTCATGAACTTGTTCATTACAATCAAATGATAAAGCACATGAACAATTTGATGATGAGAAACGATGTGGATATGCTTTCATGATATAATTTTCATTTTCATCAGTAAATTCAAGTTTCCAATTCTTTGTAAAAACATTAAGTAAATGATTGACACCAAATGAACGAATAATTAATGTTATAGTTCGACGATAATCTGAAGGAATTTCCGAAATAAATGTTGATAGAAGTGATTCAGTTTGAGTAAGATATGAAGTACGTGTCATAGTTTCTGCACTAACTAATTCACGAGCACCAAAACTATCGACAGCACGTTTAACAATCCGTTGAGCTTGTTGACAAAGTGATGCTAAAATACTATAATGAGTAGCTATTTGTGTCGATATACTATCTTTCTGTTCTACAAGATTAATCAAATAAGACGATTTAACATAATGACTCGAACATATCGGATGATATTCTGGGATGATCGATAAAAATCTTGAATAAGCAATAGCAGCCGTTGAACAAGGACAAGATAATGTGGAAATATTTCGTGAATGAAGTTCATTGATTTTATCAGGAGTAGGATTACCAATCACGGTCGTTTTTGTTTCTTCAGTAAATGGACCAGCATAGAGAAATACAATAACAAGACTGATAAAGAGAAGAATAAGATAAATACGAGTAGCGATTATTTCATCACGTTTTATTATTTCATCAGTTGAATCTTGTTCACTAGCAAATAAGTTTAATGATCGAAAATAATGACATATTTTATGACATAACGATGACTTTTGTAAATCAGTAGACGAATCAATATAAACTTCTAAACAGATATAACGCGATAATCAAATAATTATATTTCAAAGATAGTTTCTTACCTATTGTCGTTGAAGCATTTCGTCGTTTTTTCCATTGTCGTCTCACAAATCGAACAATATGAGGTAAAATAATTTCTAATATAGCACCTAGACCACTGTAAAAACCAAGCATCATAGCAATTATATATGTTCGATCGAAACGTCCTACTAAACTGTAAGTACATTGTTTCGGTAGACATCTATCAAAATAAGACGTAAAATTTCTCGACGTTCCCCAATCTTCTATAAATAATTGTGAAACAATAGTACCAATGGTAGTATTAGGAGTAAAACGACTATTTTCTTTTCGAAGTGCTTCAAGACCACGAACATGTATATCTAATGATTGAAGTAAATCGGCTGCATCATAAAAATACATATCAAGTAAAAGTTTAATACATTTTCCATCAAAGAAACATCCAAGATTAGATAATAGAATCGAATCAATAGTATAACAACCATGAAATAATCCTGGTATAACGACTTTCGGATGAAGATTATCGCTGTCAGCTTGAAGATAAAAACCTTGTGGTCGAACACATTCAGACGATAAAGCACAAGAACATGAACTATTATAAATATCTTGAGAATAAAAACTAGGCATCCATTTTGATGTATGATTATCAAATATTGATGAAAATGCTGCGCTAGTTAATGAATTTGTAATTAAATGATTGATATGAAAAGAAGAACGAAGTAATTCAGGAAGATTAACATAATATGCTTTTGTTTGTTGTTCAAATTGTTTTAAACGTGTTTTAGTTTGATCATTAAATTTTTTACGTGATAAAAGATTTACTGTTACTAATCGACGAGATTGAAATGAACGTATAGCATGTTCAACTGTTTCGTTTGCTGTTCGACATAGATCACGCATGTTATTAAAAAATAATTGACCACTTACACGAAAATCTCGTCCAATAAAAAATGTTGTATTCATATTTACTTCGGATAAATCAAAATATGATAACCAAGATTTCGTAACAAATTCACTAGTACATATTGGATGATATCGAGGAGAGATTGTCATTACTCGTCCGTATGACATTGAAAAACGTGAACACGAACAAACTAATGATGAATGAAGAGATCTTAATTCTTCATATGTATCTAATGATGGAAAATCAACCGTATGTGTTTGAGTACGCTTAACGAGAGAAGTATAAAAACCAAGTATAATCAAACCAAACAATAATAAGAAAATGTAAAGACGAGTACTAATGATGCCTACATTTTCTTCTTCGACATCGCTTTCATCATCAGGTGGAAATAAATTGAACGTTTTAATTCTTCGACGAACATACGACGTGACAGCTAAATAAGACAATATACTATGAATTATCATTGATCAAACTACTCCGTATTAACATATTTAGGAATAAAGAATGATATACAGACCTTTTCTTTTTGGTGTGGGTGATGCTTTTACTGTAGTTTGTTCAGTATTAATTTGTTCTAAAGGAATTTCTTGTTGTTTCTTTTGTTTTTTCCATTTGATTAAATACCAAATTTTAACGATAGCCGGTGTGACAAAATCCCAAAGAATACATAAACCACCAAAAGCACTGATGGAAATAGTAATTATAGCCGCTAAATGAAATCGACCTTCGTAAGTATAAGTAAGTGATCGAGGTGCACAAAGAGAAAAATAAGTTTCGAAGCTAGTTTCATTTTGCCATGATTCAATAAATAATGATTCATCGAACATTGAACCGACTGTTAAATCTGGAGAAAATCTTGTCGATGATCTTTGTAAAGGTTTCGGTCGAGAAATATCTGGTTGAAGTGATAATATATCTATACATGATTGATCATAAAGACATTCAAGTGTTGATTGCCGGAGAGATTCCATTGGTAAACAACCAGCCATAAAACCAGCAATCTAAAATCATTTAATATTAATCTTTAGAAAAAGTGTCTCATGTAGATAACTAAAACTGACAGCTTAGTTCTCAAATAGACTTGTAAGAAAACACAAATATATATTTACTTTAGAACCAGCTGATGGCTCTGACATTGACAGTTTATCGAATTTGGTTATTGTTGAATTGTGGAAAGTATACGCTGGATAAGTACATTGATTTTCTTCTAATCGACAATTACAAGATGCTGTTGAATTTTTTCTTAAATATAATTCACTGTATATAAGAAAACTATCTTGAAAATTTTTCGATTGAATGAAATAATTCGTACGTAATGCTGATAAGAATCCATTTTGAGCGATAGCTAATAAAATAACTTTCGCTGTTCGATTCTCATTTTCGAGAAGATTATTTTGAAAATTATGCGTTACAACATCGATTATTTCATTAAATTCTGGACGTGAAAAAACTTGACCGGTAACTAAATGAGTACTATTAAATGTACGAAGTCCATCTTCGACTGATTGCATCGCCGTTTGACAAAGTAAAGCAAGCGATTGAAATTGTGCAAAAATAAATGTACGAAAATCGAGTACATTATCATAAGTTTTATTTGGATGAAAGAGAGAAGATATCCATTGATCAGAAACGAATTCACTTGTACAAACTGGATGAAATAATACTGATAAATCAACGAATTCATTATATGGATTTGAAACTTGAGTACAAGGAACATTAATTGTAGTTGGATAACGTGCTTGAAGTTGTTCGAAATCATCGAGTGTAAATTTCTCTAGAGTATTACTATGTGTTCGAATAATAAGACTTGTATAAGTAATAACGATTAGAAGAGAAACAGAGAGAAAAAAAAGAAAAAGTCGTGTACTAAGAATTTGCTCAGAAAGATTTAATGATGGTGACCAAAATGGATTTGACGAAAATAAATTAAGTTCACATGCCTGACGAATAATATATGAATAAATAGCCACAAAGCAATTTCTCGATGATCTCGGTGGTTTATTACTCATTGTAAAGATTTACAAAACATCTAAAATACGAAAGAATATCTTACTATTATAATAATATAATAATCCATTAGATCATTGTCTATCTCTCTCGGTGACAAAACGTTTGAATGTTATTTTTCGTCGTTAAGGAATTGGATTGCGTGTAAAAACTTTCATATACCATTTTCTTGGGAGGAGAAAAGAACAAAATTATTACCAGTCAAGATGTATGTATCTCAATGATCGGTTTGAGAAAATAATTACACACATAAAAAATGGTAGGAGATTAAATTTGTTGTACAGATGTTAATATAAACGATAAGACTGAAATAAGCGATTTGTGTCAGTCTCAATGGCATAATATATTACTTTGATTCTTTTTTTTTATTTCTATAAATATATATCGGTTAGATTTATGAAAATATGTTGATTAGTTTTTCTCTCGTATTAAGCACATACAAGATCGTTTTATTCTCCTAATGTCTCAGACATGCAACTCGTGTAACAAAAGGTTAGTAATTTGTTGCGACTTTTTCTTTTCTGTTATTTTACTCATTGAGAAAGACATGTATAATTATTTATCTAATTCTTTCCGTTCTTTCGATGACAGTATGATTTGATTGATTCATACAACACGATATAGAGTTATATTTTATCGCATGAAAAGAACAGATCGAATAAGTATGTCATATTAATAGTTTTCCTTAAGCTGTTAACTTTGCGAAGAAATAGAACATATTGTTTATATTTACGAATTCTTTTTGACAGATGTCTTTCTAGATGTGCAGTTATCTAGAAAAAATCCGTCATTAGCTATTCAATATCTTTCAAAGAAGTATTTTGTTGATGACGATTAGAAAAATATGATATGAATATTCGTCCTTGAAAATGATTATATTACTATTTGAAATATATCTGTCAAAGGTGCTTACGTATAGATGAATGCTCGAAACAAATCATTAAAAGAATAGTGAACACAAAATCTATGACATATTTTTATTTTAAGAGTGTGAGTAGAGAGTATCTATTTTTGAACTATACTTACATATATCCGTTTACTAAATACTTATACTTTGTGTAAATATGATCGTAATAAAAAAATGTTAGTTACTTACTATTGTTATTTCTTTACATTTTATCACAAGAGAACTGTTTTTCGAATTCATGCTAAGTTGGTTTTAGTCAATAGGTTTTATTATAATGTGAATCTCTGGAGAAATTTATAATATTATATGTCGCATTCAATTCTATTGTTTTGTTTTGCGATAATTGCGTTTTTTTAAGAAAATGTCTTATAAAATAATCCATGTCAATTTATAAACAAATACTAAGCTGATATGTATATATTTAATTCCAATTAATAACGTAAAAAAATCTTGCAGATGACCTTTTTGTAGCATGGGGATCAAACGATAATACAGACAATCAATAATTTGTTTGACTTTATGCAAAAACAATTATATCATTGACTCAAAATCATCAGAGTTTGTTATGTTATTTTTATAATACAATGTCAAACAGTAATACATAAATTATCTATGAATATATCATAGTATCTATAGATTCAGATTATGGAAATACGATTATATTAAGTCTAGACCAATTGACAAGGACTATTGTTTGTAAATATGTATTTGAATAATAACCAGTAATAGAGCTACATGTATTGAATTTGACCATTCCACATATTGATCAAAGTCAACGGGTGAAGATACATTTAAATAACGTCTACTTATTCGACTAAATTCTTATAGTTTGAAGGAAGTGAACAAGTATATGAGTTCTCTAGTGAGAGAAAAAGTCAATTTATTGAACGTAGCTTATCATGAACTATATCCAGAATTTTGTTAATATCTAAAGTATAAATAAGAAGATGTATTATGTAGTAATAGATTGTAGTAGCAATATTAGAGTATTGACAAATGATAAACATCTTCTGCGTAACATTAGATTTATGTTTATATTAAATTATTTGTAATCAAAATATAACAATCTGATCTATCTTTATTCAAGTTATTAGTCAAATGAAGTTCAAAAATCATTGAATATATATATCAATTGTTTAGTTTTATGGAAATCATTATTCATGAAGAAAGTTGAACAAGGGAATATTATTGATACATCTTCTCTTCTATATAGTTACTATAGGTAGTATACATGTACGATTTCACTGATAGAGATATAAGTTAATGGTTATTATTTGTCTTAATGTGTTCTAGTAAAACTTACACAATGTATTTGATTGACATGATCAAGGGATGCATATCAGATAAAGATCGATTAAATGTAGTATATCCTGCTGATAAATCACTCTGATAAAATTAACAATATAGTGTTACTTCATCATAAATAAATATTTTCATTATGTTGTTTTGCACATAGAAGACATGAAGAAATATGAACATTTTTTTAAAATGAACATTGTATCTTTATTACTCAATATTATATGTGATTTAGATATTTCTTATAAAGTTGTGTAGATATGATATTATTGTAGTCGGAAACGTTCATATGTTGATATTAAATAGAAAAAAAATTTGTTGGTTAAATTAATAAAGGTAGAAACGAAATCTAAAAAAAAATAATGCTTGATTCTAACCTTTCGTTTAAATATAAACTAATATAATAGAGATCATTCTACTCAAAGCACTAAATTACAATTTCTGCTTCTTTCTTCTTTTACTTATACTATCTGCCTACTATTCTATAAAGATAATGACTATATTTGAGTTACACTATAATAATACTGGCGACCAAGAAGTACAGTATCCTGCTAATGTCTTACAAAAAACAATAACGTAACGTTTCTGTTTACATTTTCTATTTCATTTCACCTATGAATCTCTGCTTTACACATACACTCACATCAATGCCGAAAGAGCACTGTACCTTGCCGATATAAAGTAACATTTTTTCTTCTGCTTTCGTTTCATCTCAACACTTATTGAATATTTTATAGAAATACTCAAAAAACTCGATCTGTACATCAATGATATCTATAGACGAGAAATATAGATAAAAAATGATGACTAATAGTGAATATTTTTATTTACATGATTACCTTCAGAACCTCATGTGGAGACATAGAAAGAAAAGAAAAAAAAGTCTGACGGTAGTTTCATGTTGTCGACAGAAGAAAAAGCTTCATAAATGTGTTCCGTGTAACATCCATTTATGACTGGTGTAAAACAAATATTTATTTTATACTCTATTTAAGCATCTACGTAACAGTAAATATTTCTATATGAAATATATGTAATTTTTTATTTCAATAAATGCTTCATATTTTGTATTTAACTTAATAGTGAACTAGTAAACGAATATTTTTTTTCTTATACGCAATAACAAAATGGCGAATAAATGTTTCTATAGTTTTTTGCCTTTTTAAATAGTATAATTATGTTTGTCTTCTAGATTTGAAAAATAGATTTAATAATGCAATACTCTAGCACGTCAAAAATAACAAAAGAATTACCGAAACGTAGTCCACCAAAAATAACTTGGCAACATTCATGGTCATCAGATGAAACAAAAGATGGATTAGAAAACTCTGACTTTCGAACTATTCCTACTGAAGTCATGTTAGACATATTCAAATATTTGTCTGTACATGATTTAGGTAATGTATCATTGACTTGTCGTTCATTTAAAATGATTGCCGATCAGGATGAAATATGGAAACTAAAATGTAATTGTAAGTGTATTTGTTTTATGTCTTTGATTCTTAATAATTTTTGTAATGTTAATAGCATCAACAAAATTACATTCAAAATCTTATAAAGAAATTTATATAGATTGGATGTATGAAAAATATTTGCGTAATATAGAATTAGAAGAAGTCGAAGCTCACTATCGTGAAAGAAGCAGACATATTGCCTGTGGAATGCGATGTGGACCACCTCAATATCCTGTTCGACCAGAAGGCAAACATCCATTTGAATCTATTGGCGGATTCGAAAAACATCCAAATGAATCGCAAGATATGTAAGATATGAGTCTTAACACCTGATATACATTTATATCGCATGTAAAGATATTTATACAATAATTTATCTCTATAATCATCTAATTTATATAATTATAAATATTGAAAAAAAATTACTTGATATAGTCGAGAGATAAATATACACATCGAAGAACCACATCATTTTTGTAAGAATTATTCAAAATTTGTTTCTATTGTTTAGGACAATTAACTTATCAGTTGATGTCGATAAAACAGCTTATGAACTTATATCATTATTAAAAAAAGCATCACAATTTCAGCCTCAATGGAGACAATCATCGATCATCAAACAAATGATGACAAGATATTATCGATTTATGCAACTCAAAGCGTCATCACCAAATAATATTCTATTGATTCCAACATTAGATATTGAAATCATTTGGCAAACACATCTTCTACGACCACAAATGTATCGAGATGATTGTATGAGATTATTTCATCGTGTTATTGATCATTCTTTATTAGCAAATGAAATGGAACAATTTCTAAAAGAACAAGCATTTATTGATACTTGTAAACTATATGAAGAACGATTTGGAGAACAATATTGTCCATTACTTGAGCATAATGATAATGAACCTATCGCTCCAAAATACGTTCATCCCGTGTTTGGATCATTAAAATGTCTTATTCCAATATATTCATATTGGGATGAAACAGATTTTGATTTTTCATCAGTATCATCAGTTAACCATGATGATAATCCATTCTCATTCACTGAAGCTGATATTATTCTTGATGGAAATTGGCTTGATTTATGTTCAAAATATATGAATGAAATGATATCAACAGTGCCTATTCAAGGTTATTATCGACGTAGTGATGAGACTGATCTTAGTAAAGCATCAATAACAAGACTAAAGAAGTCTTATGAACGATTTTTATACATGGCAACAAAATATTCACCATCAAATGGATATAGTTTTGTACATCCAACATATGCGGTAAGATCTTTCACATGATGTATAGATATGAGAGAGTGAAGAAGAATAACTTTATTTCTTTGAATAGATTGATATTATTTGGCATTCACATATGCAAGAACCATTAAAATATGCATCTGATTGTATTCGTCTTGTTGGTTATGTAATTGATCATGCACCATGGCCATCGGTTGATACAAATAAAATGGAAAGTTCTTGTAATGATACGATGAATGCTTGGAAAAAAGAATTTGATAGTGATATGAAAACAGATCATTTATACAATACTAAAGGAAATGGTTATGATCGCTGGGATGATTAATAATATATTTCGTACTAACTAATACACTAAAGTTTTTTTTTGTTAAGAAGATTTTCTGATTAAATAAACTTGATCGAAAGAAATTAGAACGCGTTTTTTGGAGAATGGCGTGAGTGTGGGTAGTATATTTATATTTCATCCTCACACCCACGCCCTAATTGTTTTCATCTGAATATCAAATTAGATCGTATACCATTGGTATAGTTTTCACAAGTTTTCAATACGTTAAATGTCTAAATTGAAGCTTAGAGCGTTTTATCTGGTTTCTTATCAAAACATCTTTCTAATAGAACATATACAGGTGTATCATCAAGAATTTGGTTTTTTATCTTTCATTCTTTATTTGGTCACATTGAAAAGACAAACTTCTCGACTAACGACATATTACAGATTTCAATTCATCCAAGGTGAGCTACATACAGTTGCGTTACCAATCAATGCGTATTTCAACATACTGTGCTGTTCTTCTTTGTATTGTTGCACAGTGTTTTGCAGCATCACACAAGTCGCGAAACACCTGTGGTTATGATGTAAATAGAGAGTCTTCAGTAGTAGGTAGAGAAAATAAGTATATCTATTGTAGTCATGCAATTTGGGTCAAGCAAATAAACTCAATGTTCACATAGTACCACACACACACGATGATGTCGGTTGGCTTAAAACAGTCGATCAATACTACTACGGGGGTGAGTGAGGCTTTGCATATATGTGTGAGACATGTATACTATGTCAAAATTCTCCAACTTCTTTAACAATCATCTTAAAATCCTGTTCAATTTTGTCTGATCAGAAACAACAACGAGATTTGATAAGACTATTTTTCTGTCCACGGTAGTTTAGAGAAATAACCAGATCATATAATAAGTTCACTATAGGATATGGAAATTTCTGGAAAACTGTTTCAAAATCAAGATTTGAAACGCATCCAATTGTATCAGATCGACTGCGCGGTGTGCAAAAATCCCTATTACAGCTGGGTTTATTCTTTTGAGATTTCTAAATAGACCATCTGTTTTTCTACTAATAATAGTATACTTTTCTCTTCATATAATACTTAAAAGAGTTGTAATAACAATTTGCATACTACAATTGATCGATTTGATAAAATTATATACATTTCAAATCTAGATTTTGGAACAGTTCTTAAGAAATTTCATTCGGATGAGTGTTTTGAAGTGAACTTCTTTTCTCTATGTGCACAATTATATTTGTCGCGTTCATATACTCTCTCTAGCTCGCAACGACATTCAGCATGCCTCTGTTCAATACATTCTTGATTCAGTTATTGAAGAACTCGTACAAAATCCTGAACGACGTTTTATCTATGTTGAAATAGCTTTTTTCTGGCGTTGGTGGAATCAACAATCAAACGATACACGTAATTTCGTCAAAGAGCTCGTAAATGCAGGTTAGTGCACATCTTTTTTGTTGTGTATATACTGTTTTGAAATGTACAAGTTAATTCAATTATCATGATTGTTTTTAAATTTATTTAAACTAGGTCGTCTCGAGTTTATTTCGGGCGGTTGGTGCATGCATGATGAAGCGACAACGTATTATAATTCGATTATCGATCAACACACTTTAGGAGCTGAGTTTTTGCGCGACCAATTTGGTGAATGCGCTCGACCAAAAATCGGTTGGCAAATAGATCCATTTGGTCATTCACGCGAAGTTGCATCACTTTTTGCACAGGTTTAATAATTTTAAAGGAGTGTAAATACTAGATTTTCTCATTTTAAAGATGGGCTTCGATGGTCTGTTTTTTGCACGAGCCGATTATCAAGATTCCGACCTACGTAATAGTACAAAAACAATGGAAATGATCTGGAAGGGTAGTGCCAATTTGGGTGAGTCTTGATAACACTGTATTAGAAGTTCTACACAAACACGTATTTGTAGGCCGTCAGAGTTGGCTATTTACTGGTCTTTTGGCAGATTTTTACGATCCACCAGACTCACTTTGTTTCGATCGATCCTGTGGTGATCAACCTATTATAGTTAGTCGAATTTTCCGTATCGAAGTCACGAATATTCAGCCAATGCTTGCTTTAGATTTCGATTTTGATTTCTTATTTTTTGTTTCTGTATACATTCTTATTGTAGGATGATCCAAGCCTGAATGATTATAATGTTCCTGAACGAGTACAAACATTCATCGATGCTGCACATGATCAGGTTTGTTTTCTATATTTTTCTGAAGTGAACCCTCTGAACAATTCTTGCCGATAGAATTGATAGAATTGCATAATCTATTTTTAATCATTCATTGTGTTAAACATAAATTCTGTCTTCAGAACACGGTATTGATCGCATTCGAAAATCTAACAATCCTATTGAAATTTCTAATGATGAAGTTAGAAGTAGCAGGATTAAATTAATTTTGAAGGCGATTAGTGTAAGCTTAACCGACGAACTTAACTCGATTCCTGATATGTTCACAGTCGTTTCGTAGGATTTCTAAAAAGAAGGAAATTTTCTCCATTGCTTTCTAGTGTTTTCTCTTAATCTAACTAATTTCGATCATTTTGAAAAATATTAAGACTTATTCATGATATAAAAGTAATTGCTTAAATTTTTAGCCATTATTTATCCGTTAAGGAATACCACGAAGAGTCAATTTATTTTTTATTATAAAGAAGAAAGCCTGAACTACAAATTTTATACGAGTTATATTTGTTCACATTGAATCTAAGAATGTCATAGAAGTTTCAGCAAGTCTCGTAAGAGTTTGTACTGTCTTATCCACGTAATCTAGTGCCTGTTAAGACTCCTTCAGAGCCGCGTACGAGCCTTATAGAAACTTTCCGAAATGGAACAAAAGTCTCCGACAGTCTCAACTATTCCAGAAACTTGATAGTGATCCTAGCAGTCTGATTTAAAATTCAATGACAGAAATGTAATCGAACTGAGAATAAACTTAGGGATATAAACTTTGCCATTGCTGTAAAAACTACCTGAATATATCTAAAAGCAATTTTGTATGCACAAGACAATTGCAATGGTGCCTCCGCTCTCTACAATATTCGGGCGCCTTTCTTTCTCCAAAACGCTTGACTTGGGATTATAAACGATTGTTATTTTTTTCTGAACAATCAAATATTCATTGTAGTTTTAACATGAAATAATCATTTGAATACTTTCAGGCATATGGTTTTGCTACTAATCATATCATGATGACGATGGGTAGTGATTTTCATTATGAAAATGCTAATCTATGGTTTAAAAATTTGGATAAATTGATCAAATATGTTAATGCTCAGGTATGCATTCTTTGACTATTGTTCTATGTTCTCTATCTGTATATTCAGCAAACAAATGGTAGCGATGTTAATGTGTTCTATTCGACACCTTCATGTTATGTATATGCGTTGAATAAAGTTGACAGAGCATGGACATCTAAAACGGATGATTTTTTTCCTCTTGGTGATACTCCACACGGATTTTGGACGGGTTATTTTACTTCACGAGCTGCACTTAAACGTTATGAACGACACTCAAATAATATTCTTCAAGCCACACGTCAACTCAATGCACTTTCACAAATCAATTTGCGCAATGATATTTTTTATCTGAGTAAGACAAGTATGTTTTATTTACTTGATTTAACGTTAGAAGTACTACAGGTGAAGCGATGGGTATTGTTCAACATCACGATGCAATCAGTGGAACAGAGAAGCAAAATGTTGCTGATGATTATGCACAACGGCTGTCCGAAGGAATTGATAAAGCCGCGGTATGTTAGCAAGATATTGTGTTATTTGTAAATCTATTTGTAGGATGTGATCAACAATGCCTATGCTAAATTATTGCCGAACGAGAGTGAAATACCAATGAATGCAACTCAGTTTCTCTGTCAATATTCAAACATTAGTGAATGTTTACCCATTGAAGGACAGAAACAGGTAGATATCAGGTGTATCATAACAAAGGAATCTCTCAGCATTTTGATAATAGAACAATTTGTATGTATTTTCCATTTATTAAGCTAATAGCTGTGGAAGATATTTTCAAGATTCATGTTTAGTTTCTCGATTATAGAATCAAAAACGGCATTTTGAGATTATAGGCTGTGTAAAATTGAAAACCTTATCATCTTAGCTTTTTGAGTGTGGCTATGAGTTTCAGTTAGATATCGAAGGTTTCTATGGCTACGCCACACGGAATATTATTAAATATATTTTTATTTGTGAATTCTCCTACTGATCTTTATTTATCATCAAATAGAAAAAGATTATAATACTAAAATTGGAAATTAAAGATTAGAGTCAATCCTAAATGTATCTTCTATAATTATCATAATATTTGCGTTTTATTTTCCAAACTTAATTTAATGATTAGCGTAATGAATGAAAAATATATACAAATTGTCATGAGAAAAAAAATATTTATTGAACTTTTCGTGTTTTGAGTCACATGCATCATTTTTCTATAAAAGATAACTGATTCAATACCGAGGTTTTAATGGAAAAATTTTCAAGAGGCATCGTTCGAGGTAAACATGCCTTTTGAACAAAGAAACAAACAGTTAATATCAAACTACTGAGAGTCTCATTTATTGTAATACACTCGACAATATTTTATGTCCTCATAGTTCACATTAACACTTTGGAATCCAACAATTCATCCAATTATTCATCACGTTCGAGTACCTGTTACAAAAGAATATTTGATTCGTGATCCAATGGGAAGCATTGTTTCCGCTGAAGTACGAATGTATGAATGATGATTTTAGAATATCTATTCTGTACTATTTTAGTATGTTCCGATTTCAACCACCACGAGAAACATTCCTGGTCGCAAGAGTTCTGCTCAAAACCAATATATATTCACAACTTCACTTCCTGCTCTTGGCTTTAGTACTTATTATTTCGAAGCTAAAAGTATAATTACTATTCAGTTCATCGTTTTGTTGACTTTTTAATATCATAGGTGGTGAGAAAATCAGAAAACAGAAGACGACAACAACACGAAACGAAGCGTGTACTCTGGAGAACGAAGTAAGAGATTGCATTGAACTCAAAATTCGAATTGAATTGTCATTGACAGTATATTCGAGTTGAATTTGACGATCACGGCAATCTACATCAGATCATCAATTTAGAAAAGGGCATTGCAGTACCATTTACTACACAAGGCTTCTACTGGTACACAAGTAAGTGAGCTACAGCATGTAGTGAACAAATAGAGTAGGAATTCATTTACGTAACGTGTGTTTCTGTATCATTAATAATTGAATCCATTCATATCTCACACCAGAGTCAGATTTGGTAGTTGTTCGTTTGAGCACAAGACGTGTTGATTGAAAGAAAAGAGATGTCATCCGAAGAAACCAGTTTGGACCGATTTGATGAGATTATGCAGTAGCTTCTAGTACATTTTACGTAGTCTGTATACCAATGATGTGAAAATGTTAGTAAGTTTAATATCTTTCATACTTTTTTAATGTATTTTGAAGGCTTTGCTGGTAACAATTCTCGTCCAGAATTTCAATCATCGGGTGCTTACGTTTTTCGGCCGCTGACATCGAAAATACAACCTGTAAGCACCACTCGTACCATGTAAGTAGCTCATCGAATTGATTCTCGCTTATTTTCAATTGTAAAAATAGAACATGTACAAAAACGGAAACAGTACAATCTGCATCAATCGTATTCAATGCATGGGCCAGTCAAGAAGTGAGCCTATTCCATGGAATGCGAACTGTTGAAATAGAGTGGACAGTTGGACCCGTTCCGATCGATGATAATGTCGGTAAAGAGATTATTATACGATATGATACCGACATTGAAAGCGCATCGAAATATTATACAGATGCTAATGGACGTGAAGTACTTGAACGAATACGTAATTATCGACCAACATGGAACTATTCTATTGTCGAAAATGTTAGTGGCAATTATTATCCTATCAATAGCCGCATTTGGATTAAAGATCATACACGCCAATTGACTGTTCTTATCGGTAATAATGATTAGTGATGTAGTTAGCAAAAACCACAGAAGAGCGATAACCCTCTAAAATGTTTTCTTAGTAGATGGCAAACTGACTATGCGGTTACTACTACCTAACAGTGACCACAAAGATATTTTTCTAAAATGCATGGAATATTCTTAACTTGATTTCTACGTAGTCAATAATACTAGATATTATTTTCTATTTAGATCGATCTGAAGGTGGTGCAAGTATCCTAGATGGTTCAATCGAAATCATGGTCCATCGTCGTATAGCCCACGACGACTCTCTCGGTATTAATGAACCATTAAATGAAACAGCTTTTGGTGAAGGTCTTGTCGTACGTGGCAAACATTTTCTCATCCTCGAATCACCTGAGAACAGTTCTCGCATTCATCGAGTTGGTGCTCAGCAATTGTTCATGCATCCCATTGCTACCTATGCTCTACCTCAAACATCCTATGCAAATTATTCGAAAGCCTATCATCAAACATGGTCTGCTCTCTCGGAAAGTATGCCGCTCAATGTTCATTTGTTGACACTCGATCAGTTGAACCCCAGACAATTTCTTATCCGTGTTGAACATTACTTTGAACTCAATGAAGATGATATCTATTCACACCCTGTCGAAGTTGATCTACAAGCGTTTTTCAAAAGTCTCGGCACGATTACTGATTTGACTGAACTAACACTCGGTGCTAATATGCCCTTATCCCAATTACATCGACTCGACTGGCGGACAACCGACAAAGAATCGTCACATATCGACATGCCGAGTGAGTTTTGTTCCGATCAATAATTTATACTCTATGTCTTATTTTAGAGTATTCATCATTAAAAGATACAATAGTCACGCTCAATCCGATGCAAATCAAGACATTTCAAGTCACATTGTGATATGTCTTGATTTTTTTTTAATACACTTGTCTTGAAAAGTTATATAAAACATAACAATAATTCTGTGATATTATGAGGGATATTTTATAAAATAAACAGCGGTTCATTCGATTTCCATTCCATGAAAAAATTGATCGATTTAAATTGAGAGTGTGGGTATAGGTAATATATCTAGAGAAATATCATCAAAATACTAAGAGATCCATTGTTCACAGGACACCCGTTAACATATAATATTGAATATTTCATATAAGTGTCGATTGATATTGCTTCTATATTAGTTAAAAATACGAATAATTATTTTTCAGTAATAGTTTTTGCTTTTTTCTTTATAGATTAGTTAGTGAAATATAAAAAATGAAGTATCAGTTGATGTGAACTTATTTTTGCTTCCTATTGTATGTTTGTTGCATACTGAAGACTTATAATAATAAAAAAAACACATGAATTTTTTTTTTTACATTGAACAAGAGAGAGACTATGAGTTCTAAATAATTTCTACAGTTATAGGTTTGAATTGAAGTGCTACTAATTGGTTGAAGACATGTGTAGAAGATGAAATATTTTTCTTTATTTTCTAAAATAAAAGGCTACAGTTAAGTCTGAAGTGCACTGGTATTTCATTGATAAAAAAATATTTTATTTTAACTTAAATTGTATTTTACAATAAGCAATATTTTGAAAGTATTTATTATAAAAAAAAATTAATAGTAAACGCGAACTTGTGGTTCCATTAAATGAGGAAGTCGCGGTCCGATATAACCAGGTCCTGATCGTGGATTGTAGTACATACGATATGGTCGTTGTGTGTGTGTTTGTGGTGCGGATGAATGTGGAGCAGCTATTGTTGGTTGTCGTCGAGGAGGAATTATTGCAGTTGATTGTTGTTGATTTATCATTGCTCCCGAATAATTCTCAGGCGAATTTGCTTCATTATTATACATAAGATTGGCCATCGCTGCTCCCATACTGAATAATGTGATTTTTATTTTGAATTCTGCTACAGTTATATAAAATTCTAGTTATGCATGACCAACCATTCATGACAAGTAACTTATTACTCATAACTTCTAATTAATATGAATATTGCGTAAAAAAAAATATAATTTTGTATATTTCTGTTTATCAATAAAAAAATGCGATAGAAACTTGAAACACATGTTCTCCTTTCTCTTATTCACCTTATGTACCCATGTAAAAGGTGAGACATATGTAATACTTTGTAAAACATACTTCGAATCGAATATTCAAAAACCCTTTCGTTTTCCTTCTAAAATGTGGAAGGTATGAATGAGAATCATGATTGAAATCAGGGTGTAATTATGTTCTCCATTTATTACCACTGGTATCCATTCTTTATATTTAATATAACGAATATGCTTTCCGATATAAAGAGAAACTTCGGTGAACTAAGTATTCTAATGCAGTTATATATGTTGCTGTAGTTTAGAAAAATAGACAATATAGGCTCGAATTTAATCAATAAAATTACATTTGACAGAGATACTTACAAATATATATATCAAATTTTTCATCGAAAGATTTAACACAATATTTCATTACACAAACTCTGAATGTTGAGATTTAAGAAATTGAATTTAAATATAAAGATATCATATTAAATGAGTGAATCATCAAACAAACTATTGAACATAATTGAATGAATAAAAAAAAAGGAAATCGTGGACGGCTGTGAATGTAAGAAAAGATAATATTAGTATAAATTCATATCCATGTTCTAGTTTATTAGAGAATTTGATTTTGAGTGAAATTCAGTGTGGTTGTAACTGATTATAACGATATTGTGCCACAATACCATTTTTATCGAGAGACATTGATTTTTCTGTAAACTATTTTTGGTTTTGGACGAAATGGTTTTCCCACAAAATTAAATTCCTTATCATATGTTCACAATAGATATTATCCTAGTATTTGTATCACAATCAGATTAATTTCAAAAGTGTATGATAATATTCAGTTATAGTTTCTAATGAGATTTTTATTTTCTTCATTTATTTAAGCAGAAATTTGTAGGAAATAAAAAGTAATCTTACTTCTTGATTAAACGATATCTATTCTATATTGAATAATAAAAAAGCAAACTAGCTGATATTTTGATAGAGTCAAAAGTTCAAAGTATCTTGTGTAAGTCTTAAGATTAATTCTTATTGATATATTTTTGAATAATCATATATACATATTAGTTTTTCTCGAAATGCATCTCACAATAATTTAATAGAAGGTAATTTTGTTGATAATAAATATGCAAAAAATCGTTTCTATCACCTAATTGAACTTGAAAGAAAATGAAAAGTTAATACAATAGAATTTTCTGAACAATCTCCTAAAATTAATTTATTTAACTATTTTTATAATTGTAAAGTATTTGTTCAGAGAGAGAATAATGCCTAACTTTTCTTTTAAATACCTCGAAGTACATATCGATAGTCGATGTGAATATTAGAGTACACGAACAAGCACTCAAGTGAATGTTTGAAACATTTAAATTTCATCTATATCTATACTTCGACTATCTTCCAATCGAAAATATAAAATTCGACTTTTCTCTTTCAGAAGAATAATAGAGCCTCTACATCGCTTACAGAACGAAAAAATACACTCAATATAACCTTGGTGTCTGACAACAAAGATAGTATTTAAGCATATTTTTTTCTTTTCTACCGCATGGTGTCAATGATCGATACTCTTTTTTTTTACCATGTGTTCTTCTCATCATAATACAATAATTAAATATACTATATTACAAGCAGCTATAGTTTATTAATTATAATCTCATGAACCAAACTGATAAATAATATTTGATAATTGTCAATAAAATCTTGTTATAATCTTTTTTGATAAAATATTTTTCATGTATAAATAGTTAGCCAAAAATATTCTTATTTAACAGCATATTTCTTTTTTCTTTTCTTTCTTTTTTTCATTTTCTTTGGCTATAACATGCAGCTAGTGCGTGTTTGTTATTTATTATATATATATATATATATTATTTTACACGATGCACTCTCTTCTAAATCCTTAAACTTTATTCATATTCGGGTACGTAACCTTTCTCTGATTCGTAAAGAAAATTGATTTGATAGACGAAAACTATCAGATAGAAATTTGTAAATTATCAAATGGTTCTATACAAATATATTTAGCTAGAAATAACATTTGAACCTAATGAACCTAGAATATAATCGAAGAAAAATAGAAGGATAAATTATTACATTATACTTCACTTGTTAATGTTCCTTTTTTATAGATAGTAATTATACACAATCAGATATTGTTTGATAATAAAACGATTATAATACTTAGGAAGTTGATTTCACTTCATCTATACCAATCTTTACAATTTGATCGAGTATTTCTTTTTCAGTTTATTTCATTCGTTATAAAAATATGTCTTGATGTATATCGTTTATAATTAAGTGTCCAAGAAAAACAGATATAAGATTGTTTGTGCATATGTTGAAGTGTATCAGTAAATTAATCTTAAACTTTTAACTATAAGATAATAATGACATGCTCTTGTATCGAAATTTGTAACTAGATCTTTTCTGATATGCACATAGTCAAAAACTATCGCAAAAGATTATTCATAAACGATTTTACATACTTCTGGTATATAGAGTAACGGAGTAGATGCCTAGAAACAACACTATACTTTTTCGAGGAATATAATAGTTTCAGTACTATTTGATATTGTTACTGGTATTAACATTACTATTGACGATATGAATACTGAAGAAATAATACGTGTCACGTGCCTTCATTAAATAGATTCGAATTTTTAAACCTCGATTAAACTTCAGATGAAATCATTATTTTCTCGAGATAGACATTCTTTAAAAGAAAAGATCCGACCGAGACGCTTTGAGAAACTAATGATTTTCTTCTAAAAGTTAAACAATAGTTGTTAACATTCATTTAACACATTAAGATATTTTGTGATGCTCAATGTCTGTATTAATCTTCTTGTGATATTTTAGATCATTCATAAGCATGAAGATTTTTGGATCTACACAACGTTTATTATTGAAAAATGTATATCTTAAAAAATAATATAGTAAATTTCTATTCAATGTCCTCTCATTTTTTTTTCACTAGGTATTAGAATCATGTCGATTTAATTTGATATCTCGACGAACTGTAGTAAAATTACAATGTACAACAGATATTCGTCCACTTGATAAATTAATTACTAATAAATATTTATCTTTACCACAACCATCAGATAAATTATTAGCAACATACATTTGGATTGATGGAACAGGTGAACAATTACGAGCAAAAACACAAACAATTTCAGAAGAACCACGTAAGATAGAAGATCTTTCATGGTGGACATTCGATGGAAGTTCAACAGAACAAGCTAAAGGTGCAAATTCTGATATTTATTTAAAACCAGTTGCAATATTCAAAGATCCATTTATGTTGGGTGCAGAAAATAAACTTGTCTTATGTGAAACATATGATTCAGACAAGAAACCTACAAGTAAAATCATGTTTTTCTTTAGAAAAACTGTTTTTTAATTTTGTTTGTTTAGAAACTAATTTAAGAGCTGAATGTGAAAAGTCAATGAAAAGTGCAGCTGATCAGAAACCTGCATTTGGATTTGAACAGGAATATACTCTACTCGATCGAGATGGATGGCCATTTGGCTGGCCTAAAAATGCTTTTCCTGCAGCACAAGGTAAAAAAAAGAATAATCGATGAATATCAAGAATGAATAGAATCTATTTGAAAACTTTAAATCTTCTTCGAAATTTTTTTCTCTTCTGTGGTTCAAATGAATTATTCAAGTAATCTTTTTCATTTTTTTTTATTTTAGGTCCATATTACTGTGGTGTTGGTGCATGCCAGTCATATGGCCGTGATTTAGTCGAAGCACATTATCGTGCTTGTCTTTATGCAGGTCTCGATATTTTTGGATCAAATGCTGAAGTCATGCCAAGTCAGTGGGAATATCAAATTGGTCCAACACGAGGAGTTGCTGCTAGTGATCAATTATGGATTAGTCGTTTTATTCTTCATAGAATTGCAGAAGAATATGGAATTCAAATTAGTTTTGATCCAAAACCAATAGAAACTGGTGATTGGAATGGAGCTGGTTGTCATGCTAATTTTTCAACTGAAGCAATGGGAAAACCAGGTGGACTTGAGTAAGTTTTATTATATTATTCTCTTTACTTGAAGTAAATTTGCTTATGACATAAATGAATTAAGAATTTTTTTTTGAGTCGATCTAGTTTAAATGAGAAGAGATTTTATGTAAAATTATTTTTCAAATTTTAGATTAATAAAAGAAGCTGTCGAAAAATTATCTCACCGACATGAAGTTCATATGAAACATTATGATCCATGTGGAGGTTCGGATAATAAACGTCGTCTGACTGGTAAACATGAAACAGCATCGTATGAAGAATTTTCATCCGATATAGCTTCACGAGCTGTTAGTGTCCGAATTCCACGTCAAGTTGCAGAAAAACAATATGGATATCTTGAAGATCGACGACCATCGGCTAACTGTGATCCATATGCTGTATCAAATATTCTAGTCAAAACTATTTGTCTCAATGAAACTACGGAAGAACATTCGAATTAAAATATATTTATATTATTTTATTTTTAATCTAGCAAATATATATATTCGACTATAATTATCGAAATTATACAAGAAGACTAATGGAGCAAATGCTTATAACTTTTTATCAAAGATAGATAGGGATCTGCAGTTTTCACCATTCCAAAGAGGTATACGAAGGACGTATATCTATTTATCGAAAAAGATAAGTTTAAAACCTATTTTGTTTAGCCCTGCAATGAAAGAAAGCCAACATTATAAGGTTGATCAATACACTTTTGAGGATGTAGATGTGGGTGGGTGTCTCTACTTTTAACTGGCACTCACATTTACTTCAGCATAGCTCTCGTATAGTGACTTAAAAGCAAATATAGTTATCAATTGCCAACGATTTCGTTTAGAGAGATATAACTCTTTTATCATTAATATTTCATTTATTAAAATAAAATAAAGGAGAAGCATACACGATACACAAAGCAGTGTTATAACATATTAAAATAAAATAGAGGAAAAGCATACACAATACATAAAGCAGTGTTTTAACATCAATTAGTTTGTCTTAGTTTTAATATAATGAATTCAAGTATATAAAACTTTAATTAGTTGATGGCGGAAATGGTGCAACCGTTGTGTGTTTGCGATTTTTAATCCAGAAAAAAATTTGAATCATAAATTTTGAAAGAACTTTTAATACAATCGTTATACCACCATACAAACCCACAATAGTTGTTACTACATACGGTATATCAGAATTTTGAATGTATGAGTAAGTACATTGCGATGGATGACATTGTTCATAATAATTTTGATAAGAATGACTAATATTCCATTCATTAACAAATAATCGATCGACCATATTTTGAACTGTTTCATTCATTTCAAAGGAACTTTCTGATAATAAAGATGAATTAAGTATTTCAAAACTACTCTCATTAGATATTTGATCTCCAAAAGAATTTATTATTAAATTCAAACATTGTTGATTATATAAACATTCTAATGATGATTGTAATAATGATTCAAGTGGATAACAACCAATTAACAAACCAGGTAATGTTACATTTAAAGTATCATTAAGTACTGCTTGTTGTGAGCATTTTAATGAAGTAGCACAACTACATGAATTACCATATGATTGAGGATTTGTATAAATAGGTGCTTCTGAATAAGTAACTAACACAGTGAGTTTCCAGTTTGTTTCATATGCTGTTATAAATGTATTACCATGAATGAGATTGCTGAGCATATTCAATGCTTGTTTGAATGTTTGAGGCATCGATGTTTTAAAGGAATTAACAGTTGTATCAATTTGAATTTGTAATAAATCTGAAGATATTGACTCGCTACTGGTTAATTTTGTTGAATAAAATTGTATAAGACTGCTATTCACAGCTTCTTGTGCTTGTTTACATAATGATGAAAGAATTTGAAATTGAGCCGAAGCTGTAGCATAATAACTTTTTTCATAAGTTTTATTTTCATTAAATAAATATTCAAACCATTGTTGACTGACAAAATCAGATGAACATATTTGATGATAAGATGGATTAAGTTCTATAAATCGATCATAACGTATAGAAATATCAGTACAAGGACAAGTAATTGTTGTTGGATATTTCGTTCGTAAATTATTATATTGATCTAAACTCTGTAATTTTACTGTAACAGATATTGATTTTTGATTCAATAATATATATGATAAAATAATAGGAAAAATAATGATTAAAATAATAATATAAAATCTAGTTGTAAACAATTGTTTTCTAATTGTATGAGGATTTGTTGAATGAGTTTGAAATAAGTTCAAATTTATTAATTTTGTTTTGACTAGCGGAAAAAGTTGTCGAATTCGATGCGAAAATGGTATTCCTAAAAATAATTAGTATATAATTCAAAATGAAAATCTATTCTTAACACTAGTTCATATGATCTTTTTATTCGACTAGCAAGTTAATGGAGATATATGCATATCAGTATATTCTATAAATCTGTAATGACTCATACGTGAGTTATATTACAGAAATTTAAACCGGCACTGGTTTTTGGCAACGAATATCACCACCGATCTATCTTACAATGCTAAATTCAATCTAGAAGTTGTAGAGATAGAATCTTTTTTGGTTTCAAGTGGTTTTGACTATTGAAGGAAAATATTCTTATATGCGATGCAAGTTTTACATAGTATGACCACAGAAGGAAAGATACTATTATAGTAGAAATAAATGATAACTCATCACTAATCGAGAGGAATGTCTATTTATTGATCATTTCATACAACTTGCAATTCGATTTTATCTAGTCAAAGAATACTTATCACAATGATATCTCTTATCCAAGGGGAAAATTTCGTACTCCGGAAGTAGATGGAAGTACAACAGAGTACCGAAGTACGTCATTTCTCCTTGCTCATCCCACACCCCATACTCACACCCACCCTCTTCTAATAGTGAAACTCGAGCTATTCGACTCTCAATCCTCTATCTTCTAGCCTTTGTATATCTAAAAGATAATGAAAATCAAAACATATTTGTTACTTATTGTTTGTACTGGCTTTCGTCTAATAAAATTAATAATCATTGGTATAAAAATCTTCATAATGATCGTTAAACCTCCATATATTGCAATTAATTTTGTAAATATATATATACTACTTGGTTTTTCTTCCATAGTATATGAACAATAAGATGGCTGACATTGATCATAATATTGACTATAAGAATAGATTTCATTCCAATCTTCAACAAATAAATTATTAACAATTGTTTCTATTGTTGTATTTGGTTGATATTGACTTGATATGGATGTATTCAATGGTATTAAACGTTTATATATTATTTCTGTTGTTAACATATAAGACCGTAGTGTACTTATACAATCTTTGCTGAAAAAACATTCTGTTGTTGATAATAATAATGTTTCGATAGCAAAACAAGCTTGAACTATTCCTAATATATTATATATATCTGGTGTAGCAGCAGAATATAAAATCATTGGTTGTTTACATAACCGATTGATAGCACACGAGCAATTATTATATGTACGCATAACGGAATGATATTCCAAACCATAATCGCCATAAAAACTTGTGAAGACACTGTTTGTATCTCTCAAATTAACCAGTTGACTTCCAGATAAAATTTGTCGAATTAAATTCATGCGAAGTTGAAATAATAGTTGCGTTGTAGTTTTGAATAATTCAATGAATGAAGTTACTTCACTAGTAAATATATCAGATGAAACAACTTCTGATGTTAAATATTCATTTTCATTGAAGAGAACTAAATTGTTAATTACTGTTTCATCAGCTGCTTGACATAATATTAATAAAAAATGGAAAAACGAAGGTGATAGTTGGTGAAAACCATCTTCGAAGTATTGCCCAACATCCTGCCAGTATGTATTATCAAGCCACAACTCAGATACAAATATACTTGAACATATTTGATGGTATCTTGGTTGAAAAATAATAAATGTATTGTATTTAATTGATATATGACTACATGGACATTGGAGATTATCAAATAAATTATTTTTAAGTTGTTCATATTGATTTTGTGTTGGATTGTCAATAGTTATGATTTTAATTTGTTTATCCAATGATAAATATACACCAAATATAGTTAATAAGATTGGTAATGCAATAAAATAAAATCGTGTTGATAATATTTCATTTTGTTTTATATGTTCATCATTTGATCCACTCTGGAATATATTTAGTTTCCTAATAAAATTGACAATTTTTTCCGTTAATTGTTTCCAACGAGTTTTCATAGGTACTATTCAAAATTTTAAAAAATAACAATGAGAAATAATAAAAGAGTATCAAGCCTTCGAAGGATGTACATTAACTGTTATCCGTAATGAAATTAGAAAGAAGAGTGTACGAAAATTCAATAACTTAACAATCGCAAGTCACTAACTATTGTAATCAAGGAGAAAATGCGGATCTCAAGATCTGCTCTTAATCTTTTGCGGAATCCATCGGGATCCGCTTTTCTCCCTTTGGGCTATATAGTCTAGTATCGTTTCAGAATGTACAACATAGGCTTCCTCATTTCTATTCCTTCAAGTAGACAGGCACATATTGTTACACATATATTCACTATATATAGGTATTTTAAAGTAAATAACGAGAAACGAAATGTAAAACATGACTACTCATGCTGCATTATTGATTAAATTGATACCTCTTACAATTAAAAGATTTAAAAGGAAGACGAAACTTACTCTCAGGTAAAATAACATTAGCTTGTGCTTGTTGGTTTTGGTGTATCTTGAACAAAAAATTGACGATAACTAGAATGATAAATGGTAAAAAGTGTCCTAATCCACCATACAAACTAATAACTAAAGCCAAAATAGAAGTCCAACTTTGTCCTATTTCATTTGTATATTGACACTGTAATGGTTGACATTGATCAAAATAATTATTAAAAGATATATTAGTATTCCATTGTTGAATAAATAAATTATTTATTAATGTTTCATAAGTTGTTTGTGATGTAGATAAAGATTGATTTAATTTCGAAAACGAATGAATTGATATTGATGTATAATTAATATTCGTACCAATTTGATTGAAACATGCGTCTTCAAATAGACATTCAATTGTTGAATAGAATAATGATTCAATAGGAACACAACCAACGAATATACCAGGTAATAGAAATGTAGCATTAGTATTCAAAGTATTTGAATAATTCGATGCTTCATTATCCCATCCAGTAGATCCAGCATGGTCATATCGAATTATATTAGTATAAATACCTCCTGGTAGCTTACACACGAATGAATCTAAGCACATACAGTGGAAGTATTTATCTTGCGTTTCATAATAATAAATTGCGTTTACATATACATAATCAAGGTCATCGTTGTCACAACATTCAACGGTATATTGTGTTCCCATTCCTGAAACGAAGAGCTGTTCAAGAAGTACCTGTCGAATCAAACTGAATATGTCCAGAAATAATGGTGATGTGGTTCGTTTGAATAGTTCAATAAATGAGTTTGTTTGAATATCAAATGTATCCATAGAAATCAGTTGATTTGTGATGAACTGACTGGAATAAAATTGAGTTAGACTATAATCAACAGTCTGTTCTGCTTGTTCGCATAACGCACGAAGAATTTGAAATTGAGCTGAGGCACTATGACGAAAATCAAGTTGAAAATAATAACTACTATTTTCATAAAATAGATAATCAATCCATTGTTGACTAACAAAATCCGATGAACAAATTTGATGATAAACTGGTAAAATATTAATAAATTCTCCATATGAAATAGCAATTCGCTCACATGGACAACTTAATGTATTGGGATGTTGTTCGATCAATTCTTTGTACTCTTTTATAGTTGGTTTAAAAACAATAATGGGAGTTATTTGAGTAGTTGATGTTATATAGAAAGCATATGCATACAAAATGATCATAAGTAATATTAAATAAAATCGACTTGATATAAGTTCCTTTCTTTTAATATGTTCATCGTCTGTTTCTGTGTTGTAGAAATTTTGATCGAGTATATATTGACGAATTCGATAAAGTTTAAGCATTTTATTCTTCAAACTATTGTCTTATATTATATCTAAAACAGAATTTCCAATATTTCATCGTACTAGATGACGATGTCATCCATTTTAAGCGTGTCCATGATGGTTTCCTTGAGTTAGATTAATCTACTTCTCTACATTCAATCACATTCACACCCTCAAGATGATTTTTTTTCTAGTTGAAATTAAAATAAAATAAAAAAGTGATTAGTGTATCTCGTAAAACTTACTGAGTTCACCCGAAGTTCATCAAAAAGAAAGTCGGCCTCCATAATACAGTGGATTCGCGTAGAAAATACTCGAATTCTGTTCTAGGATCTGGTACATCCAGGAATACTGGTTGAAACCCCCCATTTTTAAGAAAACACATCTGTTGTCATGCGATAGAGGCAGATATACCTGATTTATTCGTATTATGTTGTCCAGCTGTGTATATAGAAAAAGCAAGTAATAGTTTCAGTACTTGATTACCTCTTTGAATGTTTCTTCCATCAAAAAGATACTACCAACTACCATTTAATACTAAAATGTTTTCTCTTTCCATACATGATTACTCTCTCTTTTTCAAAGACAAAAAATAACGTTGACTACTGCCTCCAGTTTCTAATACGTGCCAATAAATATATTGTTGTTACTCATTCTTTTTTCAGTAGTTAAAAAGATTGCTTTCTAGTTACCTTTGTCATTTATGTTTTTTTTTCAATTTAAAGATACATGTAAATGAATATTATTGTCAAGGAGCTGGATATTGCACAACTCTGTCTTTTCTGCTAGTTTTTAACATAATTATATATTGAGTACTTTTCTTCTTCGACGTTACCTTTTGTTATTCGGTGAATGCATGAGAAACCAAGTACGTTTCTATGAACATTTCTTATGACGTAGTTTTCTTCTAATTAGATGTATAGTCGTTAGACAATAGGTTTGTCCGAAGGAAATTTGCAAGTAGTACTTGAAATAGTGAAGATCCCAGGTGTAGGTACGAAATTACTAAAACGGCAGTAGATTCTTTGAATTATTCAAGCGTGTCAAGCTTCTATTTTCTGTTTAGACAGATAAATACTAGACTAGCAAAATCTTCAAAGGATTTCTCTTTTCAATAGACTGCAGCCAAAATACGATCATTTCAAGTAAGACGAACTCTGTATAATCAGAACAGAGATATGTTTTTCACGGTAAGTGTTTTAAATTCCTCTTATTTAACAATGGCATATTTTGGTTTTAATCCATTGAAAAGAGAAATCCTCTGAAGATTTTTCTAGTCTAGTATCTATCTGTCTAAATAGAAAATAGTAGCTTGAAACGTTCGAATAATTAGAGGAATCTACCGTCATTTTAGTAATTTCGTGACTACACCTTGAATCTTTATTATATCAAGTACTACTTGCAAATTTCCTTCGGACAAACCTATTGTCTAACGACTATACATCTAATTAGAAGAAAACGACGTCATAAAAAAATGTTCGTAGAGACGTACTTGGTTTCTCATGCATTCACCGAATAACAAAAAAAAAGGTAACGTCGAAGAAGAAAAGTACTCAATATATGATTATGGTAGAAACTAGTAGAAAAGACAATGTTGTGCAATATTAGTTCCTTGACAATAATATTCATTTACATATATGTTTTAATGATGAGCAAAAAAAACAAAAATGACGAAGGTAACTATAGAAAGCAATCTTGTTAACTGCTGAAAAAAGAATGAATCACAACAATATATTTATTGGTACGTATTAGAAAACGGAGGCAGTAGTCAACGGTTATTTTTCTTTTTGAAAAAGAGAGAATAATCATGTATATAGAGAAAAAAGATTTTAGTATTAAATAGCTACTGGAAGTACCTTTCGGATAGACGTAAGTAAAGTTAGCAGAAGATTCGATTTTTTCTTGCTGATATTTGTCTAGATGCTTGGGATATGACTAAGACTTCTGGAATAGACCGAAAACATGATCGTCCATCGAATGATGTTAGTTAAGAGGAGGTGATCAGTCAAAAAAAGAGGCAGGAGTGTATCCGAAACGTTAGATGACGGACAGTTTCACATAGTATTTCATGCTGATAGTCGCTTAGATTATTCACCCAGTGTTTTGGGTGAAAGCCTTCCCCATTTTGGATCGATTTTTTTTCTTATACTGCTTATCGGACTACTATAGTGCCACACATCTAGGAAATCAAACGTGCAAGAAATGAGAGACAGATGAGAGATATTTTCACGGTATACATCGTTTAGAATAGTAGATAGGTGCCGGACGATCGGGCTTAGCCATTTTCAATCATTTGTCAAGTTCGGCTAAAAGTTAAGCCAAAGAAGAAATTTCACAGGAAGGTATAATAAGTCGTCATACATTAAAATAGCTGATATAGAAAATACAGAACTACAGATATTCAGAAGGCATTAATAATATTAAAACAATCCCGAATCCGAATTCGACCGAACTTTAGAGTGCTTGTATTATTGTTTGTGTCTTCAAAAATTATTAAAGAATTATATAGATCCTTGAGGCCACTTGAGTTAGTTGAATAATGCCCAGAACCTTTGGATTAAGTGTCGAAAGTAGGCCACTTTTGATGGCCTTGATTTGGACTCGACTTATGTAAGTCCGCGAGCCCTACCCGACATTACTCTGAAAAAGATTTCATATGATGCACTATACGAGTTTCCAAAAAAGTCAATCACTTTGCAGGCATAAAAAGGTAGCAATGATTTGTTGAAATAGAATTGTCTACTGGGAAAGTTTTTGCTAAAACAATGATTTTGTAAGATGGAATGGTTTCAGGAAACTAATGTTATAATAGGAAAGAGTCTCGAAGAAACCGATTTCCTACTAGGAAACTGAGTAGCTATCAAGAAAGAGTCCCCTGAAACTAGGTACGATTGTGCGCATTACGCCCATTAGTTCCATTAAAAAGCCGATCCAAACATAAGTGAGAAAAAGCGTCTGCTGAAACTCATAGAACTCATCAAATCTCATGTGGAGCATACTTCTTTTTATCGATGTAAGATCACACATACGTCTTTCATCGAAGGCTAGATGTCCTAACAAAACTGTGCAGCGAGTCTCGTTGAGACATATGAACGTCTGAGGCATTCTTGACCAGAATTTTTGGAGGCACTAATAGTCCCTTAACATCTGATGATAATAATTATCATATCTGATATGTCTAGCGAGGCTTAAGAAATCAACAAAACTCGGAAGACTCCGTAGTCCGAAATCCGATGTGCGCTCACATTGTTTGGCACATAGTCAATCGACTGTAAGTGTAGTGATAAATTCAATGATCTGGGTCGTGATGAAAAGAAAGGAAATGTACACGAAGCAGTTCATATATCGACTTTTGCCATCACGCCGTATCAGCTCATGGAAAATCATCAATACACATAGTAAAACAAAAATCTAGAATAAGAGACCATACACGAGAGTGGGCGAGCTTCATAAATTATACATTAAATTTTCATAAGGTGGTTTAGAGAATATGATAACTTCATAAACCCTAAAAAAAGACTTACAAAAATGTAATGTGTCAGCAATTTTTGAAAGATTTATGGAGTCTTCATAAATTTTTTTAAGGGTTTATTAATACTACAGTATGTCTTCTAGCAGAGATGCATTTCCCCAATAAAACATTTTGGGTAGAACTCCTAAAGATAAATTTATCAGTGTGGGTAGGATGAGGAAAAATATGGACATCTCTCCTTTTTTCGTACGCATATTCACGCACAAAAGAAATATGATATTTTAATAATATATGAGTTGTTAAGAAAAAACTCGGAATGACAATAGATAACTAAATGGAAATATATTTTTACTTTTCATCTTATATGTTTCAGATTTGAATAACTTTTTTTCGGCAACAGTACATTAATATTGATCACAGCATCTGTCACGTTATTGTTGAAGTGATACTATTATCGGCGACTTTTACATTAAATTATCAACTACAACTCTCTTCATTATACGAAGTGTTTATCGGCGCGATGCATGTTGACCGGATCATTATTGAAATAGCAGTGTCAGTACTTGTGTTAGGACTATTGGCTTTTTCGTTTATTTATTTCACTGAAAAAGTCAAACAACAAACTTCATCCATAGGTATGTCTTCTTAATTATTTTATCGAAGACACCGAAAATTGTATTTTTGGTGCTCTCGATTGAAAGTAGAAAACTTCTTCTGATGTACGCCAGAAGTCCTTCCAAAAGAAGCGTACATTCCAATAGATGTCAAAAACTATGGGAAAGGAGGATGTAAAGTTCAGAAACTTTATGAAGTTCAACAGGATCAGGAATTACTAAGACATTCTTTGAAACTTGGAATTTACAAGTCCTTAGATGTATTGCTTTTGCGAGAAAATCTGTTATCGCATATCCACAGTTAATTGAGCATTGCGGAGAATATTTCTTTTGTAGTTTAATTATCAAAGTGAGAATATGAATATACGGATGATATATCTATCTGTCACCCACATCTGAATGATATAAACAATATTTATCTAATAGTCTTTTATTTACAGGTAACTCAAACAGTATTACAATTGACACGACGACTATTGGCTTAACAAGTACGGGTATAACACATAGATGAGCTCATTTATATAACTATAGCACAGTGTGCATTCGTACACATTGACTCTAAAAACATGTATTATTCTTAGTAAGAAAGTTAATTGTATATATCTAGAAAAATAGGAGAAATATTGTTAACAAAGTATCGTCAGTTATCATTAAACACTCTTTATAAATCGAGTTTTTCTGAGAAATTATTATTCTATGACAACAATAGCTTTATCAACAAAACATCGTCTGATTGTTTTTATCGGAAGTACTTGTGATAAAATAGATGTTAGATATTTCATGTATGTAACATCCAAATGAAAATTATTTTGAACGTTTTTTCCCATAAAAACTATTATTGAATGTCTCTAATATTAAAGGTGCCCGACTCGTTCAAAAAGAGAATATCAGATAATGTCTGAATTGATCTGATTGCTAACCATAATTAGTGCTAATAAAAGTAGAGAAACATCTTCCTGAAATGTGATTGACTGATAAAAACGATTCCTAATCAATTAAATCTCACAACATTTTACTTTCACGTTTATAAGAAGTAAATAGCTTTGAGAGTAAAGAATTGAAAAAGATTGATAGTAAAGAATGAAAGTAATGTATTCTGCTATTCCATCATTTCACATTCACAGACTCTCAGTTTCACTTCTCATCTTCAAAAAAAAACAATCAAAACTGAATCATAAAACTATCATCATTTTCTATTTCTCAAATAGCCACTTCGTTAGCGGTACAATCGAATTTCTCATCTGCCTTAACAATGTCAAGTTCAACATATATTCGTCCTGAAAGCCTCTGGGCCGCATCAGGCTTTTACTATCAAGCTATTGAAATGAACGTAGCGACAACAGGAATGTATACTATATTATCCAATAGCATCATAGATACACAGGGCTTTATATACAATAATAGTTTTAATACTTCATATCCGGATGAAAATTTAATGTCATTTGACGACGACGGTGCTGGTAGTAATAAACAATTTATGATCACAGTTGTTCTTGAAGCAATGACAAAGTATATTTTATTTGTAACTACATATGTGGGAAATACATTAGGAACATTTTCAATCATCGGGCTTGGTCCAGGAACGATTAATTTTTTAGAAAGTAAGCAAAACCTATATAAATTACAAACTGACACCTTGAGAGAATTCTTATCCGATAAAATGCAATATTTATCAAAAAGAAAAGAATGATCTAGCGATGTTAATTAGTGGAAGCGTTATCATTAATATTATTCAGTAAAATTATGACAGGATTTTCGCGACCATTTTATTGAAGTATAACAAATTCTGCATTCATCATAGAGATGTGTGCTTTGAAAACAGCGAGTAGCATTCTGACGCAATCCTTGTACCCCTCACTTTTCGTGACATTTGAAGTATTGTGTTGAACAATTCAATAGTTGGATGCAAATTTTGAGTTTTACATATGTGAGATGCTAAACCCATCCTACTATGTAACTAGTATAACCAACCAAATTCGATTAATTAAGACTGTTTAATTCGAATTAATCAACTACTACCAATTAATGAGCCCTATTAATTCATTTTTATTGGCATAGACTATTTGTTTAATTAATATTAATCAACATGAGCAAGTATGACAGACTAGGAAACACACAACTACTGAAGATTAGAAATATAACCGAAGTTAGTACTTGTTTCACATTTTAAGCTCACAGAGATTGCGCTAACAACTCTTTTATTTCATCTCAAATGTCGAAGTCAAAATATAAAATTGAAAAGTACTTCACATATATAATTCAAGTTTGTAATATCTTTGTATTGTACAAATACTCTGGTATCGTCTTCTTCGCTATGTTATGCTTAGTACAATATAAGCGCACTTTCTTCCACCCTCAACCTAGACTGGCATTCTTTTTACCTAGCTGAGTCCGAACCAATGTCACGAATTTCATTCGGACCCATGCTCAGGTTCATTTCAGTTTCGGATAACCACTTGAGTTGTACTGTTTTAACGACCATTACAAAAGTTGTTAGTAAAAATCCTGTGCAATTCAAAAGATGAAAGACCAATTTACTTTGATTGTCAGTGAGAGACAATTAATCTAAACGTACGCTTGTAGTATTGAATATAACTACTAAAGTACACTTATGGATTGTCTCGATCATTCTCTGTACTTCCTTGCATCCAGAACGTCTTTCATAGTCTATAGAGAGTAATAAATCGATATTTCTTAAGCTTGCGAGTGTCGGTGTTTTTCGTACCTACATCCATTCACACTCAGCACCTATATCCACTGGATATATAAGCGATAGTTCGGAACTAGGTGGTCGATCAATTCATCGCATATATGAGAGTAAGAGAAACAAATATGAGAGCGAATCGGTAATTGAATTATATAATTTAAACTAACTTGTTTTGCTCAATATATTATTGATTTCAAAAGTGTCATATGGAGTTTCTCAGTAATGCTGTGATCAGACAAAGATGATTTGATGAAAACCTGCAAAGTGTCAAACTTTACTGTAAAAAACAATAGAAGATATCATAACGTGTATATAGTCGCCACTAAATGATTGAATTGATTTTAAGAAGTAACTTGCCTCTCACTTCATGCTAAGAAACACTAGTGAAAATCTTATGAATAATAATAGATATTACTCGTGCTCTCATTTTGTGTTAAAGTTTTTTTGAAAAATAGTTTTTTTCTTAATTTCATACGAACTTTCACCTGTTTCCAATTGGAAAGATGAGTTCAGTTTTATACTCCATTGCATCGGTCCGCAAATACTTGTCTGAAAATTCTCTTTTTTTTTACAATTTATTACTTTCGGTCAGGTAGAGCTAGACGATCTATATCAGTAATTAGATAAGCAGTATAGTGAGCAAAACAAGTTAGTTTAAATCATGTAACTCAATTACCGATTCGCTTTCATATTTGTTTCTCTTACTCTCATATATATATGTTGTAGGCAAAATTCAAATTAGAACTTTGACTAGGCAGAATTTAAATTTGAATTTTGTCTAATATATTTTCAGTCAAAATTAGAATTTGAATTTTGACTAGACAAAATTCAAATTCTAATTTTGACTGATATATTCTCAGTTAAAATTCTAATTTTATTTTTGACTAGACAAAATTCAAAAACTTTTTTATTGTTAAAAGAATTAAAATGTTTGCGTGTTGATCGATTTTTCTTTCTATTCTTCTTCTGTTAACTATAGTTATTCTCACAACTAAGAAAATTAGGTTAGAAGCAGGCCTCGAAATGGGCCGCTCGGCCCGGCCCAACGTGGCCCGGGCCACCTTGAAGAGCCCAACCTTTTGGGCCGGGCGGGCCCTATCAGTTCGGCCCAATGAGTCGGGCGGGCCGGGCTTAAGTCGGATGCCCAACTCCATATTATTGTTAAGTTATCAACCAATTCATATGAATGATGTCGCGTGTTACTAGTACTTGAATATCATTTAATAAAATCAATCATCAGAATTGGATGATTCACATAATGTCATACCATTACGTAGCTGTTACCAGTAACAATATACGCGAATTTCTTATGAATTATTTTATATATATATAGTTAAAAAAATTTCTAGTCACTGTCGGGCCGGGCCGGGCGGGCCTTATCAACTCGGCCCAATCGATCGGGCGGGCCGGGCCATGTTGAAGCGCCCGACCTTCTGGGCCGGGCGGGCCTTATCAGTTCGGCCCGGTAAATCGGGCGGGCCGGGCCACGAAAAAGTGGCCCGATTTCGAGGCCTGGTTAGAAGCAAGAATAGATGTTGTGTACGATGAGTGACTTAGCCAGTAAGATAAAATAAAGAGAAAAAAAAACCAGTAAGGGGCTATATTAAAAATAAGTTGGTATATAGATGCTCACACATCGTAAAAAATAATGGAGTTGGACACAGCGATCATTTGAGTTAATAATAATGAGAAAATATTCCCTACTCTACCAAATGTCATTCAAAGAGCGGTGGATGCTTAAACATGGATTAAATAACTAGAACTAAATGATGTTTTCTTAAAAAGTACTGTAAAACAAAAGAAATTATTCACACTTAGATTATTTCTCTTTCTTCGCCTTCTTTTAACAATAAAAAAGTTTTTGAATTTTGTCTAGTCAAAAATAAAATTAGAATTTTAACTGAGAATATATCAGTCAAAATTAGAATTTGAATTTTGTCTAGTCAAAATTCAAATTCTAATTTTGACTGAAAATATATTAGACAAAATTCAAATTTAAATTCTGCCTAGTCAAAATTCTAATTTGAATTTTGCCTAGTCAAATTTCAAATTTGACTGGATTTGAATTTTGCCTACAACATATATATATGCAATGAATTGAATGGCGACGAATTGATCTAGTGCCTTACAGACGAAACATATTAGAAAACAAATATTAGAGTCCTCTCCCTAACACTTTTTCTTTATTTAAATTCTTAAAAGTAATATTTTTGTTTTTTACTCCTTAGTCAATTCATCGAAAATAGAAATTCAATCAGATTATTCATCTGCTCTGACTATGTATAGTCTATTTTATTTTCGTTCTCAAGGTGACAGCTCAATAACATATTATCAAGCTATTCAAATCACTGTGTTAACGACAGGAGTTTATGCTATTCGGTGCAGTAGTACCATAGATACATATGGGTATATATATAATAGTACTTTCAATCCTCTGAATCCAGATCAAAATCTGCTGTTATCGGATGATGACACTGGAGGCAATGATCAGTTCTTACTCACAAATGTTCTTCAAGCTATGACAAAGTATATTTTGATTGTAACAACATATTCGGTAAACGTCATAGGAAACTATTCACTCATTGGACAGGGTCCAGATTCGATTAGTTTTTCACCAAGTAAGTAATATATTAAGTAAGAATTCAAGGTACAAGAGAATATTTTTTATTAAATAAAATACTCATTAAAAGTTTTTTCATGATTATGATTGTTACCCACTCAACAGTTTGTACTCGCAGTCAAGTATTACCTCTAGTCGGATAGCGAAAAACTCAAAGTCTAAGTCCTACTTATAAACGTTCTCTTTAGTTAAACTATTAGAACTAATCGTTTTGTTTTTCTTTCACTAGTCAACTCATCGATGATCCAATCGAATTACTCATCTTCTCTGAATACAAATAGTCCGATTTATATTCATTATTCAGATGATCCGACAATGTCATATTATCAAGCTATTAAAATCACTGTGTTAACGACAGGAGTTTATGCTATTCGGTGCAGTAGTACCATAGATACATATGGCTATATGTACAATAGCACTTTCAATCCTGTCGATCCGAATCAAAATCTGCTGTCATCAGATGATGACTCCGGAGGCAATGATCAGTTCATGCTCGCAAATATTCTTCAACCTATGACAAAGTATATTTTGATTGTAACAACATATGCTAAAAGTGTTACGGGACGCTTTACACTCATTGGAAAAGGTCCAGATTCGATTAGTTATTCACTAGGTAAGCAATATATTGAGTAAGAATTCAAGATGTAAAAGAATATTTTTTCCATTAAATGGGACACTTATCGAAAGAAGAGTTTTTTCAGTTGTACAGAAATTGATGATTTCTTCGATATTAAAAGTTTGTTTCATTATCATCAATGATATCCACTAAATATCGAAGTCTAAATCTTCCTGTCTCTAAACTATTAAAAGTAAACATTTTGTTTTTTTCTCATTAGTGAACTCATCAACAATGCAATCGAGCTATTCATCGTCGCTGACGAAAAATAGTCAAGTATATACTCGACCGAATGCGTCGATAGGATCAATCTATTATTGTCAAGCTTTTGCAGTCAATATATCAACGACAGGAATTTATGCTATTTTTTCCGATAGTACCATGGATACAATTGGTTATATATACAATAGCACTTTTAATCCTGCAGGTCCAAATCAAAATCTCCTGTTATCGAATGATGACTCTGGAGGCAATGATCAGTTCATGTTCAGCACCACTTTTCAAGTTATGATGAAGTACATATTAGTTGTAACAACATATATATCGGTAACAACAGGGAAATTCTCACTCTACGGACTTGGTGGAAGTTTGATTAGTTTTGTTCCATTTAATATAATAAGTAAGTACTCAAACTGTTAATATAGAGAATTTCCAATAATTTAGATGGATTTTGATCTTTTTCAAAGTCTTTTAATTAATTCAACTTATTTTCATGTCTTGTATAGGAGAATGAATTAAATGTTTTCTTATTGCTCGAAACGATCAATATACTCTTGCTTGAGATTTAGCTTGTGTATGAAAATTGTTGTGATTACGTAAAATTATTCTTAAAATCTTTCATTTTGAGCGACAGAAACTTGAAAAACTTGACATTTTTGTTTCTAATTTTGGGATGCCCAATTATTAATATGATAAAAGAGTAATCATCTTTTATTTTATTTTAATTGTCAAACATAACTATTTTCTTTTTATGTGACTAGATAATGTATCGAAAGTGGCATCAAACTATTCATCAACTTTGATTACTAATAGTTCGCGCTTTTGTCGCACAGGTAATTGCTCAGCATCAATATATTATTATCAAGCCATTCAACTTAACGTCTCCACAACTGGAACATATACGATTTTATGCTCTAGCACTATGAATACATATGGATATTTGTACAACAACACTTTTAACTCATCATCTTTAAGTTTAAATCAATTTGCATCAGATGATGATAGTGGAGGTAACAACCAGTTTATGTTCTTGATTCTTCTTCAGGCTGTAGGAAAGTATATTTTGATTGTAACAACGTACAAACAAAATGTAACAGGTTCATTTTCAATCATATCCACGGGTGCCGGCACTGTTCGTTATGTTAAACTATAGATGCTGAAATATTTTGACTGGAATTTATCAACTTTTCTCTTTTATTGTCAATATTATCCTTTTCCGCGCTTTACAATAATTCAAATTTTTCTTTTGCTTTCTCTCATCGCTTTCTCATGTGTACTGTTTTGAATGATTGATTTGCTTTTCAGCTTTCGCCAATCAGACAACAATAGTAAGATTTTACAAGTCCGACAAAATTGTTGTGTCTGAGATCTTTCAAAGAGCATATTGTTTGGTCTGCTTTGCTTGTCAACTATTTTGAATAAATTGTTCAATAAAATGAGATATCCATATCAATATCATTTTTATCTGAGTTTTTTTCTTGATACTTTATCCGATAAAAAGAAAGTAACAACAGATTTTGAACATATTTTCTCGTTGTAAATGAATCCGATGACGTGAAATTTCGATTAATATTCTACTAGAATTTAATAAAGATATACCGCTCATGAGTGTAAGCATGAGCTGTGGATGTGAGTGTCTATCTTCTTTTATAATTTACCCATACCCTTCTATATTATTTCTAAATAATGAAATAAATTCATTAGATTTTTATAAATTAAGCAAGATTTCCGGATTATTTGGAAATAACGTACTATAATCGATTTGAATTGAACAAATTAAAGAACATCTCTGCATTATTCTAACTAATGGATTAAAATACATTAGATTCAAATGAATTATAATGCATTAGAAATGTACAAAAAAACTGAGAAATAATGAATTAAAACCGTCTAAAAATATTTTTTCAAGAAATAATGGAAAATAATTAGTCAATTTTGCATTATTTCTAATTATTCGGCTGTAATAATATTCATCGTTTGGAACGTTTCATGCAAGAAAACAAAAAAATGAATATCTTTTCTTTCCATTTAACTAATACAATTCATTATGATTGACGTATTTAGAAAATGTCATATACCTATTTTTTCTAATTCCTATATTTGTTCATGAAAACTAAGAAAAGCTGTTATCTTAATCCCTGGAAGAAATAAAATATCCAATAGAACTTATAATTCTTGTTCCTATACTTTGAAGAAGATAATTTAATTGTGTCATTATGAATCGGTTGTAACCTCGCTCTGTACCATAAACGTATAGAAATTTTAGGAAGAATAATTCAGATGTTACAAACTCACTTGATTAATATTTTAACTGTTGTTACAAAACTCAAGAGAAAAAGTGACTAATATAAAAGAAATTACTAATGTATTTTATCTTTCTTGAACAGTATGAGTTCGATAGTTTTATTTTGTTCTATAATTCAATGCTCATGTTTATGACGGCCTATGATACTATACAGGTCACGTCTATGGGGATGGGGAGGTAGTATGTGAAAATTTCTACCCTTCAACATTCCAACACTCCTTTTAGATCGTCTTTCACAAAAGAAAATACATTCGTATCATGTTTTTTTTTCAATGAATAATAAAATCAAAATATTTTATTTACTGACTTTTTTTCTGAATTTAGCAAACAATCCGCTGATTTTAAATTCAAGAAGAGTATAAAACTGATCATTATACTAATTTTAAAGTCGAGTATACTTATTATAAAGCATATCAATAGTATATTCAATCAATACATACATTGTCTTTTTACAGCTAATATCAGTTATTTTTCTATAATTTCGAAGAAAAATACATTACATAGATTCTATCACTGAAATTAAATGCATGATCTAGAGTTTTCTTATCACAGAAACCTTGTTTTGATCACGATATTTATTTACGAAACAAAACAACATTTGCACAATATAGAGCATTGTCTTTAGTAGTTATTTTGTACGAATATTGATTACTTCATTTTGACTTTGTCTGGTCAAATATCTTCGTAGTTCATGATTATATATGAATAAATCGATAATATCAGTCAATAAACTCAAACATGGTAATATTTGAAGACCATGAAGTACAACATAAGGTATAGCATCATCATTATAATCTATTACTGCTATAATAAACATTGGTACCCAACCACAAAAAAATACTGCAAATATAAAAACCATATGTTTTAATAAACGAACATCTCGTTGAGTAAAACTAGAAGTTGTTGTTCTATCTCCATTCATTGGCTGAACACGTTGTGTTGATTTACGAGCAGAAATAAAAATAATGCCATTAGTTATAATCAATAATATTGCTGGTATTACTCCAATAATGATCAACACATATATTTGATAATTAAGTTCAAGACCTGATACTAAACAATGCTAAAATAAACAACAAGAAATGAAATAGACTATTTCATCTATGATAATCATTTACCCAAAGACTTGAACGAAGTGTTGGTAAAGCTATTAATGTTACAAATATCCATTGAGTACTAATGCATATAGCGATCCAAATTTTGTTTTGAAAAAAGACTTTGTTTCTATAGACAACAATAAATAATCGATTTAATGAGACCATACATAAAGCATAAAGTACTTGACAAACAACTGTTGTTTGTGTGAAGATGATTGGTAAGCATGATGCTTCAGTCAAAAATACATCAAAATAAAATGTAGTCATTATGAAATAAATTCCACAAAATGCAGCACACATAAATGCAGCAACACATACATTAAGTGTTAATAGATGAAGAGGATTATGAAAACGTGGAATGAAAATGAGTGGTATTGCATATAAACATGATGCAACACACACTAATCCAAGAATTATAGCTTTTATAATCACTAATATAACGATGATCTGTTGATCGTCCATTTTTCTAACAGTTTTGTCGCAAGTTAAAATGAAATATTTTGTTGAAGATCAAGTAGATTTTATAGCTCATCGTGTGTCTATTTATTGCCTGGAACTTTTCATGCAAGAGAAAATTAAAAAAAAGTTTGAATATCATTCTCTTGCATTAAACTAATACGGTTCATGATAATTGATGCACTTAGAAAATGTCATGTAATTTTTTTCTATTTTTTCTATTTAATCATGCAAACTTAGAAAAGCTGTTAGCTCAACCTGGTGGAATTAAAATGTGCAACATAATTTATAACTCTTGTTACTACCTTGATGAAGATAATGTAATTGTATCATTATGAAACAGTTTTAATCTAGCAGTGGGCTCTTGAAAAAAGCAATGCATAAAGGAGAAATGGAAACAGGAAAAACGGTATCTATTTAACACTTTATTCGATACCATATGGATATTCCATACAAAGAGACATGCTTTTTTCGAAAGAGAAAAGGTACAAATGTGAAAATACATGCATTTAATATGTAATTCAATACGACATGGATATTTTCATTATTAGAGAGAAATCGCTTTTTTTCAAGTTCCATTACTCATTATGAGTGAAGATATGGATTAATCATCTCACATTGTTATTTATTCATTTCTGCTGGTAAAAAATCATATCTGAAGACAGTCTTCAGGTATGATTT